GGGGGGGGTTCTGAACAGAGACGAGGCCTAACAACATAATTACAACGACTCGAGTACTTCGCACAGAAGCGGTTTATTTGCGCTTTCACCTCTCCCGACATTTTGGTACGACCGTTCCAAGTTTCAGAAGTGTTTAAAGTGCTGGGGGAAGGGAATTCCCGACAATCGCAGATACCTAGCCAGTCCGGTGGGTTGGTGGAAATTAAACCACCCTCATAAGGAAAGGAGGGTTGGGTTCCAAGACATTTTCTTAAACAGATGGCAATCTTGGTGGAAATTAGGGACAGAAGCGCAAAAGGTTACAGCGCACTCGGAGTCTGATCTCCGGAGAGGATACCAGAGGGTCTTGGGTCTGCGATATTCCTTAATAATTCAGTTAAGGAAGTGCACTGTACCTATACTCGTCATTCGATAATGAGCTGATATCAGAGGCGTGGACTGCGACGCAATGCAATGCATGGCGATTGCAACGAAGGATCAGGTACCTAGACACCTAGGTAAGTAATGTTGGATTGGAGATCGAGGCGATGTTGGTACCGAGATATCGTAAGTAACAGAACTCGATTTGAAATACCACCCTGTGATAAGACTCCAGGACTCATCCAGATCTGTATTCCCGTCTGGCTGGGTACGAGCTACGAAGTTCTCCGATGCAGCTCAATAATCCCCGTGGTGTTGTGGTACCAGTACAGTACGAGTACTAGCCCAATGCCCCAAGAAGCACGCTGGGCCACCGCCACTGTGCCCCCGGAAGGACATCCACGAACCGGCGATGAGCTAGAAAACGCCCGCGCGCGATGAGAGCGAATCTGCCCGCCACTGTTATTGCGCGCCGAGTGCCAGATGCCAGATGCCAGAAGCTCGAGATGGAATGCGAACCGGCGAATTGTCGCTGGAGGCCTGGGCTTGGCCGAGTCGATTTAGGAGGAGTTTCCGGTCTTCGTGTCCGCCGCCCTGGGACCAATGAGTACATCTACATCGCGGCCATCACCTTCTGACTTGCAGTAGTACGAGGGAAGCAGTTCGCCCTCAAGTACCGGTACCGGCAGTGCTCCTTTTGCTTTTTGCTCCCCGACCTTGCTTCTCTGCTCTGTTCGCGACTTCGACGCTGTTGGAACGAGCAGCTCAGCGGCCACTCACCGACCTGGGTGGCGGGGCAGCCGATTCCTTCGCAGCTCGTACTTCGCCGTAGTCGGTGCTCAATAATTACCACTTTCAGAATGGGGGAATCGCCTGGAAGGAGATGGTTGCATGGAAGAGGAGAGGACGAGGTGGGAGGAGGTCCGAGGTGGTACAGTACGAGTACTCGTGCTTGGTAGAGTGCTTGGTAGCAGGTACTTGGTGCTCCTGTACTACTCGGACTGCAGTCTGCAGTCTGTACTTACTTTGCCCGTCTTCTTCTCCCCTAACCAACGACTTTCTGGCGGTTGAACTCGGGCGCTGGCTGGCGGCGTTGACGAGTTTGGCCCTCGTAAATCCCCCCTTTGGGCCATTTCGGCTGCATCGGGCTAGAGAGTCCGGGCGGACGGGGGCATCGAGGATCGCCGATGCAGTTGCCGCCAGCGCGAGTCGGGGACTGAGCACAGGAAAGAGTACATGTAGGACCACGGACAGAGGAGATAGGACGTACATATAGGAGGTACAAGTAGATATGGCATCGCCTGTGCGTAGTGCATTGTCCGTCGTGTCATTATTGCTAGTTGTCTTGATTGATTGATTGCTTCCTAGAGCACCCTCTGGTGTACGAAGTACGCGGTAGGAGTATTGGCGGGTGGGCATGACGCCTACATTGCCCCAGCCAGCCATCTGGGACCCTGACACTGAGGCCCCCCAGCCATTCTATCGAGATGTGAAGTTGCTTGCACTGTTCTGTTCTGTTTCCCGGGCTTGTCCAGCGCTGAAGCCCAGGGCCCCAGCAGCGCGCCAGCAGCCCCCCCGACCCTAGGATTCCAGGCCTTTTTCCTCTTGACCCGACTCGACTCCTCCAAGGTTCTTCGTCTCTCCCACCTCCCTCCCACTGCCATTGTACTGTACATACGGTACTGCGCTCTCTCCAGTCTAGCCTCTCGCCGATCAGTCACGTAGACTACCCAACTAACTACCCCGTCTCTCGAGAGTCTCAACATCAATGTATCCACGAACACCAACGCGATCTCAGACGTCGAAGGCCTCGTCATAGGCAACGGCCACCCCCTGGCCGTCGCCGTCGCCGCCGTCGTCGCTGAGGCGAAGAAGGCTCGCTGATTGGGAATCGCGACATGGAGGCCGCAACCTTGGTTCAGGAGGTCCGCTCGTCCTCGCCCACGCCGGAGAGCTTGCGGCAGCGACAGCGAGACCGTCTCTCACCGCGAGGACGATTCGCAAAGTCTCCCCGCATCGCGACGACAGTCCGCGATATGGAAGGTTCCCGACCCCTTATGAATGGCGTCACGCTCTGGCCCGCGCCGCGATCGAAGACGGTGACCAGCCGCTCCCCAGAACAGGTCCGGAAGAGGCAATTGCAGAATGGATTGCGCAAGGAGAATAGCGTGGATCGTCGCGCGCGGAGGGATCTAGAGGAGGCTAAGGCTCAGGATATCAGCATCACTCCCGATGGTGGCTCAGCAGGACGAGAAGGCAGGCAGTTTACCGTTGCAAAGGTTGGGAATAATGGCAGGATATACTTACGGTAGGACCTGACCCCTTTTCGGCCATCATGCCATTTGTTTGGATAGCGAAGGGATCATGAGTTGGAAGTACAGGATATAAAGAAAACACTGGCTGACAGCTCTCAATAGCCCTACTATCCGCCCTGCAAACCAGCGGTATCAGCAACCTTCATTCGTTTTCCCTATTACGCCACCAAGCACCGCAGGCCTTGATGTGTTGTTATCGCCTCGGGACGGGGACGAGACGCAGCGTAATAGTGAATCCATTCCCACGCGCTCGCCAGCCTTGCCCGCAACTCCCACCGCCCGCGTTGCGCGAGACTTGAAGTCCCCGCCTATCCAGACCGCACCGCAACATAAACCTCCGTCCACGCGACAAGAGCGCGCCCTATCATACTCAACCATCGACGAGAACAGCGTCGTCCTTGACTCAGATTCAGGAGCATTCAGAGTGGTCATAGAGAGGCCTGGCAATATGGCAAAAGCCCCGGCGCCTTTTCTTGGTATTCCAACTTTGGAAGTTCCTATCCCCTCGTACAAGCTAGGTACCCCTAGATTCAGTGCCCGAGGAACGGCTATGCTTCGAAGCTCTTGTCAAACGGCTACAGATGACCTGCGTTCAAGTGTCTTCTCTTCACAAAGAGATCCTAACTCACGTCGGCCAACTCGAATCCTCTCCAGACGCCATTCAGATGCTTCTTGGCAACCGCATTTCGACCGCGTGATTTCAAATGCACCAGAACCTTTCGACTTGTCGATACCACCCTCTGGTGTAGTCCGACAGCGTGGACCGATCGGCCCTGAGATGTTTGATAGTCTTACTTTTAAACCTGCCTGCGATCACCCCTCACTGGTCCGGTACTCCCTTGGTGGAGGTATCAGAGCAGCAACGCCGGCACGCATAGTCGCCGAGATCACATCACCAACCTTTGTGGACTACGACCTTCTCTCCGACTTTTTTCTCACATTCCGCTCCTTCCTGGATACGAGTGACCTGCTACACATGCTCATTGCACGTCTAAAATGGGCCCTAACACGTGACGACGAAGTTGGAGCCGTGGTCAGGGTCAGAACATTTGTCGCTATTCGCCATTGGATTTTGAATTATTTCTTGGACGACTATGTTGTGGACTACGAACTACGGAAATCTTTCTGCGAACTCCTGAATAATTTTGAAGGTGACGTCTCTCTCGACGCCGAACGTGCCAAGGTTCCCCGGAAAATACTTGGGGAGCTGAAGAAATGCTGGAGAAGAGTCTGCGCCTTGTACTGGGATGGCCCAGAATTCGATACCGACCTTCGTTCTGATGTCCTCATTTCTCCGGGAGGAGTAGCTGGATCCCGGAATCCAGCCTTAGACCCGAGCTTTTGGGTGAATGGCCCGCCTCAGATTGAGGAGGGCGTTATTGAGCAAGACACTTTTGGAGAACGGGAGTGGTCAAGTGTAGAAGACCACAAGCTCTTTGCTGACGTATCGCGCCCCGGCCACTTGGGTGATGCGGCCCGTCCCCAATATACGCAAATCACCCAGCAAGCAGAGTCTCAACCCGAACCGCCCTTGTCGCCCACGAGCATGGTTAGTGAAGATTTTGTTTCCTGTTCGTTTCCATCGCGTGCCCGAATAATTGGAACTGCAAACCACCCTGGTGCTCACCCAGTCCCAACGAGCTCTATCCACGACCATCCTCCACCCGTTGCTCTAACCCCGAAGGCGCTTACCGGCAAGCGTGTCCGTTCAACCCACGCCCACAAGCGCAGTGGTAGCTTCTCAGACTCCTTCCGAGACAATCGAACACTTGAGCAACCGGTCCCGAAAGCTATTTACCAAACTACTGAGCTCTTCGTCAACCTTCCCTACTCTGGGAACCTCGTCCGAGGAAACCTCTTCCCGCCAGGCCAAGCATTTGTTGATGCTGTTGCTCCAAGCACCCCCGCAGACGTTAACCACAAGGCCGCACTATTTTCTTCCGCCACCAGAGCTCAAAAGGGCCCAGGAGCAATGTCAGGACCGGGCATGAAAAAGTTGCTGAGTAGCGTCCGCCGTGCCCTAAGCACTAGAACTGGAGGAGCACAAAATTCGAATGCGTCCCCCACACAAGGCAGCTTCCCTCATATCCCGCCGCTCGGCGTCCGAGGAGCTACGATGAATCGGCTTCCTGGAACTGCAGTTGTCCCACAGGCGCGGCCTCGAAATATGGGGGGCAAAGCACCTATGCGCATCGACCTCTTGGGCGCTGAGATTGCCGAGGACTTCAAGAAGGCCGTTGAAGAGGAAGCTGAAGCAGAAGCTGCAAATCAAGGGCTAGGTGAGGCCAGGTCAGATGATAGCAGTCAGAACCATGTCGGCCGTCAATATTCTTCGATGACCTCAGACACGACCCTCGAGCCACTGGTAGCGAAGCCTGACGACCGCACAGCTCTAGTCAGCGGGATGACCAACGGCAGTAAATCTATTGTCATAGTGGATGATACGATTGCTTCGGGGGATCCTTCCATGAAGGCCGTCCTACCAATGAATCCATCCGTAGATACATTTGCGGATGCGTTCCTGCAGCAATCCGGTGGACCCACACCACCTTCTACACCTCCTGAGGCGCCATTCGGAACCCCTCGACGGTCATCTCATTTATTAGGACAACATACTAGAAACCGATCAGTTTCTCTCGAGGGAAACTCTTTTGTCGAATCACTGAATCAACCTAGAGACGATGATCATTTTCGCAGCCCTCGATCGGTTGGTATGTCCTCTATCCATGCCCAAGGCCATCCTTTGAGATCGAAGAAGTCGCTTTCGTTGCGGCGGTATGCATCATACCATAGTGGAATTGCACAACTTAGAAGTGAAAAGAGCTTTGATGCCACCACGTTCTCCGGCTCTGAAGAACCTGAACGTCTCTCACATCCAGTGGTCCCCCGCCCCCTCCGAGTCCTTCGCAGACGTCCGGGTGGTGATTTAAGAGCAGTTGTGAATGTGGGGGACCTCAACTCTCAACCTCTTCGGCGGCCTATGTCTACCGGGTCATTGACAACCTACTCAGACTCTGTGCGGAGCTCGTATGCACTACGGGAGTCCAGTGTTTACGTAGATGTTATCTCGGCTGGGCATGATCAAGCAGCTCAAAAATCCCAAACATTCTCTCTTGGCGCATTGGCAGAAGCTTCACAGAACCGTCGTGCTTCATTAGTTAGCACACATTCATCTCAACCGATCATGAGTCCGTCTTTTGAGAAAGAAGCCCAGCTGCTTGCACAGATCCCCGACGATGCTAATGATGATGGAGGCGTTGAATCTGCTCTCTTGAAACTGGAGGGGAAATACGAACAGCGCAATTCTGATGCATCTTCAAGAAGCTATGTTGGCGATTTTGCCGACCGTGGTGGAAGTTTTGGTGTGCGCCCATTGGATGTCAGCCCGCCGTTCCCTAGGGATGATGCGGTTAAAGCCGAGAGACGCCGGCAACGACATGAACAAGTTATGGACAGCAGCTTACCACAGGCCACCCGTTCGGTGTCGACACATCGCCCCCAACAGCACTCGAGTGGCGAAGAGCTTAAACCTACTGTTTATCAGCCTCCAGGAGTCCAGGTTAATGTAGCCGAAACATCTCCAAGATCGGCAGCTTCTTATAACTCCATCCCGATACTTGAAAGAGGACTGTTAGATCATGTAAGGGACCCGAGCCCGAGGGCGATGCGAGATTGGTCACAGCGTTCCATACTTCGAGATCCAAGCGGTGACAGGGTGGGTTCCAATGACCATGCTATTGAATCATCGCACGAAAATTCGTTCGACTTCATCGATATGACAGACAGTCTAAAGGACGTAGCAGGTGGCGACACGGTACCCAATAACAAGAGCATCGACGAGTCATTTTTAAACAGCGAGAGTGATGATCGAAGCGATCTTTCTTCCGAACTATCAATAGAAATGGTTTCACGAACGGAGTACACCGAACGCGAGTCTACATCGACCCTCACATTTCCTACTGTCCACCCTGGAACAATCGTCAAAGAAATATCTACTCCATCGTATGGTCTTGGCCATCCTCCCTCGCCACCCATAACATTGACCCAGGCATTACGGCTGTCCCCAACTATGGGAAATATTCAATGGTCCACCCAAGCTCAGCTTCAACGAGATCCGAATAGCCTTCCCCCCACCCCCGAGTTCACACCCACAATGGATGGAACTAATCAAGACTTTACCGTTGATAGAGGAGCTACACCATCTATTGATCCACTTCGATCCCACATTATAGCCGAGCCTTCAAGAAAGACTTCGATCCACCTGCCCTTCGTCCTTGCGTTTGACTCGGGAATACTTGCGCAGCAATTTACATTGATCGAAAAAGATGCCCTCAATGAGATTGACTGGAAGGATTTAATTGAGATGCATTGGAAGGATGCAACTAGCGAGCCTCGATCATGGGTCGATTTCCTCCGCACCTCTGAGCCTCGAGGAGTGGAGGTGGTTATTGCCCGCTTCAACCTCGTGGTGAAATGGGCTATATCGGAGTGTGTCCTAACCGAAAACCTTGAGGAACGTGTCCGAACTATTAGCAAGTTGATCCACATTGCAGCTCATTGTCGCAAATATCGCAATTTCGCAACTATGACGCAACTCACTGTGGCTCTCACTTCTGAGGAGCTTGCCCGTCTAACCAATACCTGGGCTTCTGTCCCAGCTGATGACAAACAGACGTTGAAGCAATTAGAGGCACTCGTTTCGCCGACAAGCAACTTCCACAGCATGCGAGCGGAGATGGAAGGTTCTGGCGCAGACCAAGGCTGTATTCCATTTGTGGGCATCTACACTCATGATCTTCTGACCAATTCCGAGAGGCCAAGCCAGATTGCCAGCACACCAACCACAGAACCTCTTGTCAACTTTGAAAGATGCCGCGCCGATGCTACTATTGTCAAGAACCTTCTGAGGCTTCTGGAGGCTAGTCATCTATATAGGTTCCTACCGATTGAGGGAATAACCGAAAGATGTCTCTGGATGGCCGCTCTTTCCGACGAGGAAATCATCAAGTACGGAAGAATCATCCAAGCATAGACACCCTTCTGAGTTGATACCACGCCCTTGAGATATTCCCCGCTTTCTAGAATGGGGACCAATTATCATTCTCAACAGACCTCTTGGACCATTTTCAATATCTTTAATCCCTGTTCTCATATGAACACCCCAAGCGCTCTTGTATACGATTAAGTTGTTCGTTTTCCGCTTTTGTCTTGATACCTTTACTGTTGATTTTTTTTTTTTTACGGCGGACCACTATCGCACACCCTTTGGTTGGCTATCTTTGCTCCGCCCAAACGGCTTGTCGCCGACGAAACCATAACGAATCCTTTTCCCCCTTCTGTCCTATATTTAAGAGGGACCAACCCCTTACATCATGTTCGACCATCGAACAAAATAGATAACCGCGGGAAGCGAGCGAAAAGCGGCCCGAGGGCTGTCGCTGGCTTTCTTGTCTTTTGTTGTGTTATTTCTGCAGCGATGAGCGGAACGGGAAAGCGAATTTTTGCATTGCAGGAAAGGAATACCCAGTTGGAGTTTTTTTTTTTGAGGTTGAGGGGCATGGATGAGAAGATTTGGTAGGAGGCAAATGTTGTTATTAGCCGCTAGTACCTACCTAGAATAGGAAATATAAATAATTCAATAATATGTGGTTTGTGTAGAGATTGTGACTGAATAGTATAGGTGAAGCTACCTGCAACGTCTTAATGATTGATTAATGATTTGATGCCCCTCCCACGAATGCAAATCAGGCTTTATACAGAGCAGTGTAATGAATAGTTTTAACTATTACTGCTTTTACTGTGTGTTTATATAGATTACTATGATCGATAGGTGCTACGGCTCTGATGAGGCTGTTATTGACATAGGCAATGTAGAATATAAATTATATATTTGTAACGAATGGGATAATGATCAATCACGGCGTCTATGTTTATGCCTGCGTCTCCTATCTTCATCCCGGTGCGAATGACCTAGGGAGGAGTCTCGATGTCGACTTTCGTGTCTGTGAGCCCTACTGTGTTCTCCTTTCTTTCTTTTCGAGGGACTTTTCTCAGGCGCATCGAGGTTAAAATCCTCTAAATCATCCTCATCCCCATCTTCTTTATCTCTATGCCTCCGCTTACGCTTTCGCCTCCTCTCCTCAGCCTCAAGCTCTTGCATCTCCTTCTCCTTCTCTTCTCGCCAGCGCCTCCTCTCCTTTTCAACCTGCCTCACCTGTGCCGCGCCTTGACGCATCATCGCGAGAGGATCATTTGATACAATCCTCGCAGCTTCCCTCTCTTTCCGTCTCGGATCTTCATTACCCCAGACATCCTTACCAGGCATACCGTCTGCTTCCTGCTCCTTGGAACTATTGGTCTTCGAATACCAAGGATTGTCTAAACTCTGCTTGAAGCCCGCCGCATTGGAGAACCGCATCGTATATTGATCCTCATATTCCTTTTTCTTCTTCGCCGCTTCTTTCTCAGCCTCTTCGTTCTTCGCCGCTTTATGCGATCGTTCCCGTTCTTGCGGGAACAGGTCAATATGTCCTCTGTGATCGACTAACGGCGCATCGACAGGCTTCCGCAGCACGATTTGTCTCTCGGCATTTGAACTCGCTGTCTGCTCATGAGCTATGCGCATCTCGAAATCAGTGTCATTCTCGCCAGCTTTCTTCCTCCTCTTGCGCTCATGTCGCCGGCCTTCGCGCTTCTCCCCAACGTCGTCGGCATTACTTTCTTCGGCGTCAGGTATTGGCGTAGGTATCTCGCCCCGTAAGAGCTGCATGCGACGATCTGCATCGATCTCCTGCATGCGCTGCTCCTCGGCCTCCTCTTTTGCCTTTGCAGCGGCTTCATCGCGCTTTACTTTCGCGATGTTATCCTGGTTGTAAACGTTCCATGATTTCTTGCCTAGTAAATGTCTGCGGTAGTGAGTGATGTTAGTAAGTGACAATAGCTTTGGATTTGAGGTTGGATAAGGATATAGGTATATAGTGGGACTCACAGAGGCATGATTGGGACCCTGAGTTCGTGGTTTGCGACTTGGAGGAAGAAGTCCAGCTCGAGGCTGAGATCTTGAGGTCGAGGCTGTGGTCCGGTTGTGGCTGTTGTGGCTGTGGCGGATGATGCGGACAAGGCGAAACCGACGACGAGCGCTTTGGCCTCGCTCCCACCTCCTGCAGACGTCAAACTAGAGAGAGACAACAGACGCAACAAGACCGGTACAACCCATTTTGTGACCCTCATCTCGACTGAAAGTTTGCCATTGCTAGATCACGATACGATAAGATCAGTGGGTTCCATTTATAAGTGCGAGTGGGTGATCTGTCCTTCCTTACCTGAGTCATTCTTACACCAAGGACAGTTTCCACTGGAGCTGGTATCCCTGGACTAGCAAGGCTACACTACGGTCGTGGACTCTGGACAGCTTGCACCTTTGCTAGGCACGCCACTGGAATTCCATCTAAAGCAATCCGTACGCATTTAAAACAGCTTTACGAACTATTTCTATATTCGATACATTCCTATCAGACCATACCTCCAGCATGAATATCCGCCAGAATCTCTTCGGCCAAGGCCCAAGAGCAGGACGAGAACAAGCACAAGGTGGTTATGCTCGTCCTCCAGCTCCCCCCTCGCGCGATGACACTCCTATGTCCATGGGAGCGCCAGAGGGCTATGGTGATCCGAGAGGGAGCTACGGACAACAACCAAGACAGGCCATGCCGCAACGCCCCCAAGTTGGACGGACGCAGCAGCCGCCAATGTCTCCAGCACGACGGATACAATTACGGATCGCAAAAGTTGAAGATAAGACGTTGGCAAACCAATACATCTTTGGAAATCTGTAAGTGTTGCGTTACTGTGCTTATGGGATATGGTGGCAATGCTAACCCCACTGCTAGGTGCGCCGTATCGCCCGAAGACTTCCCCCCATCTCGAGATGGCTCGGATTTGTATATCTTGCTCAACGGCCGCTATGTGGTAACAGCTCGGCCGACGGGCTCCTTTCCACCGGGATGTATAAGCTTGTCGGATCCGCAGCGGACATGGTGCAATGTTGGAATGATGGATCCCATCACCGCCGAATTATACGACCCTTTCTCTCAAGGTGGACACACATACCTCGGGTCCCTGGATGTGGAAGCTGGATTTGCGTCAGTGAAGAAGTTTACAGAGGTCCCCTATGATCAGGATGTCCTGGCCGACGTGTTCATCAAGCAGTTCGAGAACCAAATATTCTCGCCCGGGCAGAAGCTCTTAATGGATTATAAGAACATTCCCTTGATGTTCACCGTGAAGACTGTCCAGTTGGTGGATCTTAGCATGGAAAAGTCATCTTCGAATGCCCCAACTACGCCGTCGCCAACAGCACGAGGTATCCTCACGAGACACACCCCGATCACCTTCTACAAAGATGCAAAATCACCCATTAAACTGAAAGGATCTGCAAAGCGGCCGGCCGCCAATTCTATCATTGCTCCCGATTTCAAATTTGAGGATATGGGAATCGGCGGGTTGGATACTGAGTTCAGTGCTATTTTCCGACGAGCTTTTGCATCGCGTATCTTCCCTCCAGGATTGATTGAGAAGCTGGGTATTCAGCACGTGAAGGGTATTCTACTTTTTGGACCTCCAGGTACCGGAAAGACGCTTATTGCCCGCCAAATTGGAAAGATGTTGAATTCGAGAGAGCCTAAGGTCATCAACGGACCTGAAGTACTCAACAAATATGTGGGTCAGTCGGAAGAGAACATCAGAAAGCTCTTCGCGGATGCGGAGAAAGAATATAAGGAGAAGGGAGACGAAAGTGGTCTTCATATCATCATTTTCGACGAACTGGACGCCGTATGCAAGCAAAGAGGTAGCGGAGCTGGTGGTGGAACCGGCGTTGGTGACAGCGTAGTCAACCAACTGCTTTCCAAGCTTGATGGTGTCGATCAACTCAATAACATCCTTCTCATCGGAATGACGAATCGGATGGATATGATCGATGATGCATTACTACGCCCTGGCCGATTGGAAGTCCATATGGAAATCTCCTTGCCTGACGAGGCTGGACGAGCGCAAATTTTGAAGATCCACACTTCGAAAATGCGAGATAACAATGTCATGGACTCGGATGTCGATGTTATGGAACTTGCGCATGTGACGAAGAACTTCTCGGGTGCTGAGATTGGAGGTCTGGTCAAGTCCGCCTCATCCTTTGCCTTCAACCGCCATGTCAAAGTCGGAACTGTTGCCGGTGTCAGTGATGATATCGAAAATATGAAAGTCAACCGAGCGGATTTCCTAAACGCCCTGGAAGAAGTGAAGCCAGCGTTTGGTGTGTCTGAAGAGCAGCTCGAGACCGCCATGAAACACGGAATCGTGCATTTCAGTCCTAATATTGACAACATCCTCAGTCAAGGTGCCCTTGCAGTTGACTATGTCAAGAGTGCGCCGGAAGCATCGCTACTCTCTGTTCTCTTGCATGGTCCTCCAGGCTCTGGGAAGACCGCAATCGCGGCTAAGATCGCGAAAGATTCCGGATTCCCCTTCATCAAGCTTATTTCTGCTGAGAATATGGTAGGGTTCAGTGAAATGGCCAAGGTACAATACCTCCAAAAGATGTTCACGGATGCATACAAATCACCCCTGAACTGCGTTATCGTGGACAACATTGAGCGAATTATTGAATGGTCGAATATTGGTCTCCGGTTTTCGAATCCTGTCACTCAAGCTTTAATGGTTCTCATTGCTAAGGAACCACCCCATGCAAGTTCTCCTTCTCCCATTTCTTTGGTTAATTCTTCAGGTTCTGACAAAAGATAGGGCCGTCGGCTCCTGGTTTTGGGCACAACCTCCCAACGATCCGTCATGGTACAACTTGATGTGAAACAGACCTTCAACCGAGAGCTAGCAGTACCAAACATCAATACGCACGAGGAACTCAAAACAGCACTCCGAGAATTTGGGTCCTTCGAGAACGAATCTGATCTGATCGAGTCCCTCAACGAGCTTCGAGCCATTACCGGCACAGACAAAGTTGGCGTCGGGATCAAAAATATCTTGACGACCGTGGGTCAGGCTAAGAGGGATAGAAATAACTTCCCAGGGACTTTTGCGGATATGATGGCGCAGCAGATGGCCGATAATATGGTCGAGGTGGACAGATAGAGCTGTAGAATACACTTAGATAGGTTGATTAGATCGCTGGTCTTTGTGGAGTGTTAAGTCCGATATCAGGATAGACTTCTAATCGATCTTTTGCATATTAGTAGCTGCAGAGAAGATAGTTCATCTCGACTGTGGCACAGCATGAAGCCCTCTCCACTCGGTAGGCACGCGCTCGTACTATGACCATGATCCCTAACTTGATGCTTGGTCGAAATAGGTCCAAGTGCTTAGTACGCATTGCCTCTTATCATATTTCTCTTATCGACATCTGGTATGATTCTACTATCTAAGGTGGGGAAAGTATATGCCTACCTACAGATCTAGTGGGTGCTAGTGTTGGAATTGAATAATGCAACCGGAGAGGAATTCTTCAGTCGCGTGCACTATTACCCATTTCGCACCTTTAGGCGTCTTCCGAAGGTCGAAGTGCAATTTTCTTGTCCCTGATCGCCGTTATCATTATTCCTCCTTCCTTTTCTGTATCTCGGTCGCTGATTGTGCCAGGATTGAGCTCCAAGTCACCCTTGCAACAAGCTAAGGGTGATTTCAAGGTACTAAATGCTTGTTGATAGCTTGATAGCTCCGTGTTAAGATGCGCTTTGCGCGCGGTATACTGCGTATATTTACTTCGCACGATGCCCTGAAATGAATTGAAGACTAGATAAGTGTCTGTTCGTCGCGAGCTGCTTAATTGAACTGGTGCAGCACCGTATCCATGCGCTCTCGCCGTCTAGCTTCCGTGTACCTCGCTTCTCAAGATGCGGTTCAGTCAATTGACCTCGGCGCTGGTGGTTGCTGCTGTTGGTTCTTCTGCAGTCAATGGACTGAATATTCTGATTAGTGTAAGTATGCTCTCGTTTATGCTGCCTGGCTTCATGGGCGCCTCTACCGAACACTGCTGATTTCGACGTGTCTGTTAGAACGATGATGGGTTTGGTACCGCCAATATCCGCGAGATGTACAAGGCAGTCAAGGCATATGGGCACACAGTTTGGATTGTAGCCTCGGTCACCAACCAGAGCGGAGCGGGAGGAACTGCTATCTATACCACAGAGAGGAATTTGACAATTGACTCGGAATTCGGTGAGCCTTTCCCAGTTACCCCTCGCGATCTTGAATATTTTTAACCATTAATCTAGGTATTGTCAAGAAGGGCCAGCCGTCCGTAGGAGCAGACCCCAATGACTCTCATATCTGGTATTATAACGGTACGCCCTCGGCCTGCGTCCAGGTCGCCCTCGACTATGTCCTCCCCCGATACGCCAATTTCAGCACTCCAGACCTCGTCTTGAGCGGCCCCAATTATGGCTTGAACCTAGGTCCCTTCCTTTACACGCTCGCTGGCACCCTTGGTGCAGCATATACAGCCGTTGAGCGGAGCATCCCCGCAATCGCCTTCTCAGGCGGAACCTCCGTTCAAACAGCCTACTACCACGTAAACACCACGACGTCTGCAGGACTGAAAGACACCGCGACCATCTACGGCGAGCTTGCGGCAAATCTCGCCCAGCAGCTTATTACCAACGTTGCCAAAAAGGGAGGAGGGCGTCTTCTTCCCCCAGGCTATGGAATAAACGTCAACATGCCATTCATTACATCGTTCACTAACGATTCCTGCATCAACCCGCCATTCATTCATACTCGTCTCACAGGTGGCGCAGATGTGGACGAGGCTGTGTACAATAGCACCACGGGACTCTTCACCTGGGGTAATGTTGTGCCCGAAGGCGCAAACACCTGTATCAACGGTGACTGTTCCTTGCCTGGAGAGACGGATATCCTCAATGCGGGATGCCAATCATCCGTGTCGGTATTTACCGTTGACTATGATGCCCCGCTTGCATGCCATGCAAGCCCCGATTTGAGGGGTGACCTGGCTCCTCTCGTGCAGTATGCCAACTCAACGATAAAGGTCGGTGGCTTGGATGGCACATCTAGTGTTACGAATGGGACAGCAGTGATTACGGCCGCAACTCCGACTTCGACACTGTTTCCGGTTGGTAATGTGGGAGCTGGAAGTTTCCGGGTGTCTCGGGTTGCGAGTGGGCTTGGTATGGTTCTCGTGGTTGTGGCTGATTTGTGGTTGTGAATACAAATAAACCTGAAGGAAAAGGAAACGGAGAAACTCGGCAAGCGGGAACGCGGAATGGGCCACGGGAATGCAAGAAGCCTCGTTGGGCGTTGGAAGTCCACCGACTGGAGATTTGGAAGTTGCTTTGTTTGTAGAAGCACTCGTACGAATCTATGGTACTGTTCAAGGGGGCAAGTCGTAACAAGCTTTCAACGTTATATCCACCCTAGCCGCAAAGTACTTGGCAATATGCACCTGCTTGTTCTAACGGACCCACTCCATTCGTTATATTTCCTAAACCCTATCTATAGCAAGCTTCCTAGTGATATATCAATACGCCTTCACACTCGGGTGCTCTTTAAGTTATCACATCGATATCCAGCGGCTGGTCTCTCTCATGTATTCGACGAGGCGCTACAAGACGCCGCTATTCGAAGGCGTTGTTAGAATCTGGTAAGAGTCACTGTGTAAAAATGACAAGTCTACCTTTATAAAAACAGTTGAAATTGTCTTGCTAACTATAGAATATAGGAATGTTGTCGACCGAAGCGTTGTATTGAGGGGTGAGGTGCTGTGTCGGGGGCTGCTAACCGGAACTGTTAATAATACGAACTACGAAGTATAGCAAGCACATAATAGTATTCGGACTGTAGACGGCCCCTCAAGCCCGGTAGCAGCCATAAAGTCTGCGTTAGACTTGTTTCTATCCCCATCCACGAATACCTATGTGATCTATTCTACTTCCTCCTAAATATATCCGTATTGTCGATATCAGGGTTTGACCAGCGTCCGAGCAAAGGCCAATCGACCAGTTGTTGCGATCGTCCCCTTGACGCAAGGGACCGTGTATTTCGAGAGAGACAAGTATTCCGCCACTGCCTGATGAAAGGGAGACTCAACATAACAGACGTGTCGAGCCCAAGACTGAAACAAGTCTGGAGTCTTACGCTATCGAATATGCTGGCAAGAGGCCTACATGCAAAGAACAGTTGTCCATCCAAAAGTTAGTGATAGTAGTCTGATAGATTTCGGTCGCTGAGCCAACATACCGTATAGTCCTTCCTTGACGCGTGAATATCCAGCAGATTGAGTTTCTGGTACCCCCCACCCAGCGAATCTAGGCTTGCTCTATCCTTACTCGATAATATTGAGGGAGCGATATTGGGCGTTCCGACCAATATTGTGGCATGGCTGCTGCGAATGGGATATCACGAGGCTCTGTATTGCAACCATAGTAACCTCTGAGCGACGAGTGGTGTTGTTTAGCGCTCGCGCTGTATGAAGGTATTTCAGACTTTCTGTGCCTTGGCCATTATAGATTTGTTATTGTTGATGGTGTTTCTCATTTGCTTGAACCGAACCGGAGTAGAAGGCTCAAACTTCGCGCCCTCATCTAACAGAAGCTCGACGATACCGATGTGCTTCCCCTCAACAGCAACGAAAAGCGGTGAACGATTGTGGTTGTCTACCGCGTTTTTGTCAGCTTTGGCATTGAGTAATTCCCTGGCCATTGATTTCCTGCCGATAGAGGATGCAAAATGGAGAGGTGTGGCTCCGCTTTTGTTTCGCCTGTCAACTCCTTCTATATCGCGCTGCACCTTCTTTGAGCGGAGAAGTTCACGCATGACCTTTTTGCTGTCTGCCCTCACAGCATAATGAAAGGCACACCATCCATTATCATCTTTCGCCAGGGGATCCTCTCCGTTGGCCAATAACTGGGCGACGACTCGAGACTCCTTGTTCTCAATGGCAGTGATGATGGCACCAGACAAGCCTGAGGTGTCTGAGTCGGACTCTTCATCTATCAGCAGCTCGAGGTTCCATTTAACCTCTCCGATCTCACACATGGTCATCGTATCATCATCTTCGAACGATGTTGAATATGTGGAGGGGGTGGAGGAGGGTCGGCGTTCATGAATTGCGAATATGACCTCCCTAGAATCATATGCGACATGCCTAGAGTCTGTGAGCGTCTGGTATCATAGCAATAGCTGGGGTTGGATTGCAAACGTACGTGTTGATGGATAGAAGCGCGCTTTCAATAGATTTCACTCGATCAACAATCTCATCCACGCCTCTGCTAACAACTTCTTTGCCCTCATTTTCGTAGAACCAATAGTCGACCACGAGCCGGAGACTTGAACGCGTTCCACGCTTTCGAAGTTTACCCCAGCAACGAAATAATGCAAATAAGGTATGATAGCTGTCCTCAAGACCTTGTTTCATGCGGCGCAATGCGTTAGATTCATTTTTGGTGCGGCGCGTCGATGATTCTATGGTTTGTGCAGCTTCACTTAGGGATTCGAGAGCGCTTTGAAAGGTCCTGAGCTTTGAATGAAGCTCACCCAGTCCTATTTAGCAGGGAGCACGGCCCTCAGTCACTAATACATCTTTATGACGGCGACAAAAGAAACGCTGTCTAGTGGATAGTTAAAGTGTTTGCGTACTCTTGTTATATTTCTCCCCGGCATTCTTATATTCATTGATGAATATTACCGTCTCTGGAAAGAGTCAGCGTTCATTACCATCGCATTTTCAGTGCCTCGGAGCCATAAGACCGAGGATCGGATTATCTTACTGCCAACGAATTGAGCAAACTGGAAGGCGGCGGCCGCTACGCCCACTATCTCGGCACCAGACATGGTAGTGGTTTGTTTTGTTATATTTCTTTAGGTTTTCAACTTTATAAATGTGTGAAGAGCCAAGAGGCCAAACTTCAAAGGGGACCAAAGCCTCGAGGCAGTGTAGTCGTGGTTGGAAATGGATAAATGGAGGGATCATGGATCTAGATGGAGATTGAAGGGCATGCGTATACGTATGCTATGCTATGCGTATGCGAGCTCTCTCCGCCAGCGCCGACAGGTTCGACAGCGGGCATAGCTGTCGCAGCGGTCACAGTGGTCACAGCAGTCATAGCAGTCACAACACCGGACATTAGGTAGCCCTTCGAGACTCTGTGCAACGTGACTGCGAGCAGACTGCGACAGCCCTACTGGCAGCTCAGGCGGGTTGGGATCCTATTGGGGCTGTGTCGCAGGGCGACTCTATCAACGTGTCCAATACGGAGTAATATTGTATTGGGAGATTCCAGCCTCTATGCGCTTTCGCCAACTTTCACTATATTTTTGCCTCGGAACCACCACTCACCACTCCCCTCCTACCACCCACTCATTCGTCACAGCCATAGCGGCCACTCACATCTTCAACATCGGGCGGATAGCTGTCAGCAGGCCGGTAGGGCGCCGGGGTTGTATCCGGTTGAGGATGCGCCCACGTTTTACCCCATGGTGCTCGTAATATTGGAACTGGGAACGGCCTCCAGCTTACGCATCCCCAGTTCCCGGGGAGCCTCAAGCTGAGTCCATATGGCCCCTGGTGCAAGCAGGTGACATCTATCACAGCTGGAATGACGCATCCTGATTGCCTCTTTGACCAGCCCCCAAATTCCTTTCAGTCGCAGCAATATTACCTTCGTACCCCCAGTTGTCTCTCAGCCTCTCATATTCTTGTGTTACTGGAGAGCCGCATCGTGCCTTGTCTCTGTATCCTTAATCCCTCTCCGGGAATGTAAAAAAAGAAATTCCTCTCTCTTGGTGTTTTGTGCTAGTATGTTTTCTTAAGAAAACATTGCTTCGCTATATATTATCGAACTAGAAGTATATTTTCAAAGTTTCCATGCCTAGACTGCCATGGCTTCCACCTCAAAAGTCCCGATAGAGGTAAGAAATCTGTTCTCGACCTTTATTCAGTGATGCAATTCCTGTGATCCGGCTTGATCTATATGTCCATTCGTAGCGGTATCATCCTTGTCATTAGTACCAGTAGCTATTTTAGAGATCTGGACACTGCATGAACTTTGAACACGCAGAATGGTTTGCCAACTTTGACTACTCAGTGCTAACATAATCTCGGGGCTCATCTAGGAAGAAACCCAGCCTCGTCCCGAGTCTCCTGGTAATGGAATCTCTAGAGCGAGCTCTCAAAAATCCCCAGTGAGTTTGCGCCTAGAAACCTCGATTTTACGGACTTTAGGCTTAGTTCTACATGTAATATCTAACTTACCCCAGGCATCGATATCATCTAAATCAAGCTCGGAAAGCGACCGGTCCCAAAACGCGCCGGAAATACATACAGACGAATTAGACCTAGACAATCCATTTGAGAAGGACAACGACGCAGAACTGGCGAGCAAGGTGAAGACTTTTGTAGAAACAGACCTAGGGTTGGATAAACACTTCGAACTCCTAAACTGTGGAGCACAACTGGCGAAAGACAAAAACAATGCCTTGGCCAACGAGTCCTTATCCCAAAATTTCTCGGATGAGCAGAAAGGTTATCTCATGGATGACGAAAATCTTAGCAAGATAAGTATATGGCCACTTAGCGTGTTGCGACGCATGATATATGGCAGCCACTCATCAGAAGGGCCTAAAAATCGTGAAGAGCACGCTGGGTTTTGGGGACAATCAAAATATCTCAAAGGATCCCTACTATCAGCCTGTCTTGCTGGAATTATTCAGTAAGTACTCTTCTTGGCGATGTTTTTAGTTATAGTAATAACAGTATTATAGGGGATGGACGCAATCTGGTATGTTTAACTTGTGAATGTACTCTCCGGCTGCGCTAAGCTTCGTTGACAGCGATGAACGGGGCAAATTTGGGGATAACAGAGGAATTCAACCTCCATTACACAAGGGGAGACAACGGCCAAAGAAACACTGGGGATCTATGGGTTTTTGGGGTTTTAAACGCCATTCCCTTCCTTGCAGGTGGACTGCTGTGAGTCTTGTCACCTGTTTTTCGCGTTCTGCTGATTCTGGTTCGGCGTTGATATTTAAAAAGGGCACCTCTCGTCTCTGACCCATTGCAAGAGTACTTTCTTGGACGCAGGGGCGCTATTGCCGTTGCATGTGTTCTCTCGATCGCTGCGACGATAGGGCAATGCTTCGCAACGTCAATTGCCCAAATAATAGGCTGCAGAATCGTTACTGGGTTAACATTGGCGGCAAAGGCTTCATCGGCTCCACTCCTAACAGCTGAAGTGGCCCCGAATCATCTCCGCGGTAAGGATTATTTACCCCAAATTGGCGTACAGCAACTGAGCGGCTATTAGGAAACCTCTTATCCACGTGGCAGTTGAGTGATGCTTTTGGCATCTTCTTGGGGTTCTCATCCAACCTGGCAACCTTGCATATGAACGCTCCAAATAAAATTATCTGGCGAGTCCAGATCGCCACAATCTTGATACCGACTATCATTCTACTGTTTATCGTATATTTTATGCCTGGTAAGTTTGTTTGTCAACGGATTCCTGACGCGGCAGCCTAACTTGATAGAATCTCCACGATATCTAATGAAGCGAGGAAGGTAAGCACAGCAAGCCCAACTTCCCATCCACAGTCTCCCAAACTTATTTTGAACTACTAGGCCTGTGAAAGCCCTCGACTCTTTCACCATGTTACGACCGTCGCCAGTTTCCCGCTTGCTTGCAGCTCGTGACTTAGTGTACGCCCACTTCCAACTGCAAATGGAATGCGAATCCATAAACAAGCGCAGGGCAATTCGGCTAGCTCAAAAGCTCAACTCCAAGGAGACAACCCCCACAGCAATAGGAAAAGAAGACGAAACGGAAATGGAAAAGGGAAAGGGAAATAACGTGTCTGAAAATGAAATCGAAGTAGCCCCCAAGAATGAAGAAAATAGACCTGATATCGAAAAAATACCTGATGTCGAAAAACAAGGCTCGGCTGGCCTGGTGAGACCGTTATATGTAACATCTGATTCAGGGACACACTTTTCTCTTGACTTTTTCCGACGAATCAAACAAACATTTAACGACGCCCGATCGCGAAGGGCACTCGTTTGCGCCTCAACTGCGATGATTTCGCAGCAATTGACTGGCATCAATACAATTAGTAAGTTTGCCGGAGTATCAAATATTCAGAGTGTCAGATTTTGGGTCTGGAATACTTCAAGGCTACCTATCTTTTTCTTGGCATCTCCTTAACACACTCCACCAAAGCTAATATTATCACTCTGCATAGTGTTCCTCTCTGCGACCCTCGTGAGCACCATTAAAGCCTCCGACCGCACCGGAGCGTGGGTAGGCTTCGGCATCGGACTCTGTAACTTCGTGTAAGGCTGGCCCCATCATTAAAGCAACCGGCAACTGACCAGTGACCATCAACAGATTTGGGACGCCAGCATTTTGGCTGCTTGACTTCGTTGGCCGAGCGAGAATGCTTCTGCTTGGCTTTGTACCTATGTTCGTATTGATGTTGATCCTCGCATTCTCCTTCAAAGAGGGCGCTGAGGGCGCCGCCCTCCCGCCTCTAGTTGGTGTCTTTGGGTTCTTCTATCTGGTCGCCTATTCGCCCACGGCTGGGACGTCTCCTTTCGCCATCTCTGCCGAGGTCTTTCCACTCGTTGTGAGAGAAGTCGGGCATTCGCTTGCCGTGGCCGTGAATTTTCTAGGCCTTGGCCTTGTGCTGTTGATCTTCCCATCTTTGTCGGGTGCCATGGGTGGATATAGGGGTTCATTGTCGCTTTTTGTGAGCTTCTGTCTACTCTTTTCTATTAATATTATTATTAACATTTGGTAGGCGGGACTTAATTTGGTTGCGTTTGTGCTATGTTTCCTTTTTGTTCCGGAGACGAAGGGCAGGTATGGCGGCGACCCCCTATTGACCAGAAAATACCATACTAAATTCAATGCCGCAGGTCGCTTGAGGAACTTAGATCTATATTCGATATCCCGACGAGGCAGCACATCAAATATCGCTCGAAGTATGTGGTGCCGTGGTTGTGGAGAAGATTCCTACATATAGTGGCGGCCCGGTTGCCTTCATGGCTAAAGCGAAAGCCAAAGTCAAAAGGAGATGCCCAAGAACCTAATCCTACCATTGGCTTCCTTGAGTTCCGCGGGTGGTATGACGGTGAGGTACTGCGGCTGGCTATCAAAGCCCGGAATGCCGAAATTCAGGCGGCTACAACTGCGGCTGCTCAAGCGCAGGCTCCTCAAGCTGAGGAGGACCATGCCCAGGCTGCCCAACAAAAAGAATCTGATCCAGTGCCAGCAAATAAGGAGAGTATAGGTGTTAGCTAAATGGGTAATGGGTAATGAGTGATGTATAACAGGACCGTCAATTTACTTCCTATAGTGGGCAAAAGGCTTCATAATTCGTAGAATACTCTCTATGGGAATATAATCTTCATATACCTAAATAAGCAAACGACGGCAAAATTCTGAGTAAAGAGAGAATTTGAAATACGTGAAACTGCTCACCGCTCACCGCGCTAAACGTGGAAAATGCTTTCTGCCATGCCTTAATCACGCGATCTATAATAACCAACTGGTTGTCTCGGGAATCGCTGCCAAATATACTAAAGTAGCTTCCTCTATCTGCACCAAAAACCGCGAAGCAGACTGATCGGAGCCTACCGTAAACACTCCATGAAGATATGAACTCTCCGCAAGACAACAGAATGGGAAAATGGAAACAGCTCTAGAGAATAAGTATGTATCTAGTATGCCCATAAATCCATGAGCCTACATGGTGCACTGGCACAGTTCCATGACATTTTGCCCTTGGGATTTTCAACAGAAATCCACTGACGCGTCTATCATGCACTGAACGCAAGTCAGAGGTCACAGCTTCACCCCAGAATCATAGAGACGGCCGGATTCAAAACTATCATGAATACATGGTAGATGACGCTAAACTAACAAATCTTCCAACTGAGTGTACATCTATTCCGTCGCTTTATACTTCTTGTTGAACTCCCCAACCGCCACGCCAATCTTCCTATATAGGAAATTCCGACTACTCTCCTCAGCCACCGGGATAAACGGACCATTGGTGCCGCCTCTCAAGGTGAGACTCAGCCCAGTGCGCTCCTTACTAATTGTCTGAATATCCTTCAACGGAACATCCCATTCGCTTGTTAGCTTCTTGCTCTTGATAAGCATGATGCGGCTATATGTCAACATAACGACGACATCCTCTCGCGGAAGCTCTAGGTGAGCAATATATTGTTCGTTGAAATATTTGCCGTTGTCCAGCTGCTTGAGCCAGAACTGGCCTAGAGCCTCCCGCTGGGAATAGGGGCGAACAATGCCGTCAGTGCCAATAAAGCGCGCGAGACGCACACGGTCAAGTGCATCTGCGTCAAACACTGTGGTAGTATTTCGAATGCCCTCGCTGACGTTCGAAGCCAGATCAAAAACACCAATTGCAGGCTTCGTAGCAAGTCCAAGAACACCTTTGCCCACACCCTTGAAGAATCCTGCGACACCTTCCTGTTCAGCGCCTTCAAGGGGCTTACGAGCTAAACCACCAACGCCACTTGCAAGACTGCTAACAAACGAGTTTGCTCCTGCAGTAACGCCATAAAGTGCGTGTTTCGGCCGGTTCCTTGACTTTGTCATGCGGCGACGATCTTGAAACTGTTTGTCCATCGTTGCTTCGGAGAGACCTTTTGCAATGCTGCCAGTTACCTTAGAAAAGCTGTCAGAGAATCCAAAAACGGATTTCTTCACAAAACTAGTGGCTCCCTTTGCAATACCAATTCCAAGCTGCTCAGGCCTATCGGACATGATGAAGCCTTGATATGGTTCATAGAAGATATCAGCAACTCCGGAACTGAGGTTATTGAAGAGACCAACTGGATTGCCAAGGAAGTCAGCGGAACCAAGAATTTTATGGACTTGATATAAAGCCTCTTGTGAGTAGTGGTTTGACATATTCTGCACCAAAACAGCTGCAGACACTCGAGCATTCTCTAGCATAAGCGAATTAAGACGCACAGGGGCGTCGTTAATGTTTCCAATGGCCATCGTCAAGACATTCAAGAAGAACATCAGCGGATTCTTTGACGACGTTTTGTCCTCAGCATTGACCCTATCCGTACGCACGAAAGACAGATCAAGCTGCATCGGTTGGATATTCAGCAATTCGAAGTAAATGTCTTGACCCGATTGCTCTTGAGTTGGTTCGGGGATGTCCAAATCTTCATCACACAGAACGCCCTCTTTTTCAGATTCAGACCAGCTGGCTCCAGGTACCTTTGAGAACTCCAAAAGGGCGAAGACAAAATCTTCATCGATCTCAAGAGTCATCTGTTGCAACAAAATTGTAGCATATTTGATGTATAGGACACCGTAAGAGTCATCTTTAACGCGAGTGACCTGAAAATGGACCGATGGGTGAGATTCGGTCTCCCTTGTATTTTTCGGGACAACGCTGGGGTACACAATCATTGGGAAGATGCCGCCATAAAGCTGGTTGTCGATTTGCACCCATTTGATTGCCGAGGATATTGTTTGAAAGAGCGGCGATTCGGAGTATTTGACAGAGATGTCTCTAAAGGTGATGTACGCAAGTTCTTTTAACTGGACGGTGATCAAAGAGATCCCGATTCCTGCAAGCTTGAGCTGTACTCGGAATGTGATATCGGTATCCTGATCCTTGACCTCGAAGCCTCCCGCAACACTGGTTGTTGACTCAGAGCGAGACTTTTGCTTATACAAACTCTTCGAGGCTTTGTAATTTGATAGGATCAGTGTTTGAGTAGGTCCATCCGCCGTAACATTTAGATCGATGATCTTTGATTCCCTCGCTCCAGTTGCGGCGTGCGGGGCGGGTATCTTCATTGGGATCAAGTTCCCGATCTCCGCCAGCTTTATTTGTCTCTCTCTGCCATTCGCGTTGATCACCAGCTCCTTGATTTTTGCAGCAGGATAATCCCATGCATAAGGCATGATACTCCTCGGCGGCAACCGATATCGGACTGGACGCCATCCCGATCGGTCTTCCACATCGTCGTCATCCACATTTGGATTCGCCTGGTAGAACATGAATTCTGTGTCGCTTTCATTTCTCATAGAAAACGGCCAATTCCTCGTCTCGGCACTGAAATGTAGGAAGATGGTAGCATTTTCCATCAGCACCTCGATCCTTATCAACCTCTGGCGTTGGCCGGCCTTAGCTAGCTTTACGTGAGTTGTTCCAAGGTCCGAAATATTGAACGGTGACGACCACTGGTTGTTTACCCCAGGGAAACACAAGGACAACTGCTTTCTCGCACTTTTCTGGAGGAAATGAAGGGGCTGAAGAGCTTTGGGTTTGAGGGTCATGAGCTCAGATGAGCCGGGCTCTCTAACGTTGATTTCCTCATCCATCCGATTCTTCAAGACAAATCGTGGAGCAAGAGTGACAACTTTGGTCATTTTGTATTTTCCTTCTCCCCAATCAACCGTGATGCCAACATGAATCTCGGTGTTCTTATTCGCGGATGGTAGGACAACATCGACAGTGCTTCCAATGGCATCAAAACTTTGTGGTTTACTCCAGTTTGATTCTCCAATTTTGAGAAGGGCACGATTTCGTTGATCGTCCCCACCAAAGGCAAACATATAGGGGAGAGCTTTACGCCTCTCAGTATCAGCCCCACGCGTATGGAAGTCTTGTCCAGCGGCATTCTTAGCCTGTTGTAGGAAAGACTTGGCTCTGATGTTGATTTCAAGCCCAGTTTTGTTCAGAACGACGTAGGGACTATAAACAGTGACTCGGAAAGCCCCACCACCATCCGGAATTTTGTGGTAATGAAGCCTAAGGTTTAATGGGAGACCCTCATTATCTTTACAGACCAATGTTGACTCCTTGCGGAAATCTTCCTGGTTATTCGAATTGATGATTGCAAATTCGCTGGGCTTGAAGACCGTATCTTGCATGTCGATGCTCATTAACAAAAGGTGTGAAAGCTCCACAACATGGACTGGGCTCAGCCCACCCTTGCGTAGAAAGTTTGTCCAGTCCTTTTTCGTATTCTTATCATAGATACGATACTTGAAGTCATATGGGAGCAGATTCTCCAGCTCTACAGGGGCGGAGAGTCTAATTCTCATATAAGGATAAACGCTATATAATCTGTTAGCTTGGTCATAATTTATCGGAGGAGAAGGGGTATCCATACGAGGAAAGAGGATTGCTCTTGTCAAAATTTGCATGCATCTGGAAATAGAATGGTGGGGTTTGCTGGTTGCTTTCGCCCTTACATGTCAAAGTCCTTGTCGGCCTCTGGAGAAGATCTCTCCAGAACAAGGATTCGCTAGACCATGTGTAACCAAACCCTTGGTCGGGCCTAACAAGAAGGGACTTCATGTAGGCCGCACCCACAGGAGCGGGGCGACTCTCACCCGGCGCAATTTTCTCAATCTTGAGCAGATGACCTTCCTGAGCATCGAAGACCCCAAGCTCAACTGGAATTTGAGTTTTGTTTTCAACTAAGAGTGGTGAGCGGAAGGTAATATATTTGACATTGTCGGTCCCTAGTTCGACTTCCACTAGCAGGCGATGGAGAACCTGGTTTTTCCGCGGGCGAAGGTTGTAAATAGTTTCTCCTTCACGATTGATAGCGATCTTGTTAATGCTATCGAACCCGCTTCCCTCAAGCCGGACCCCAACGACCCCAGAGTTATTGTCGGGGGACAGATTTTCGCGCATCTTTTCCCAGTCCTCGAATCGCCATGGCGCCTCTTTTCCGTCTTCGATGTTAGCTGTAATACGGTTATCACCTTCAGAAAAGTCTGCCCATACATCGATGTCGAAGCCAGTGTAATTCCTCAATCGATAGGGCGCCTCTGCTCCACGCGGCTTTGAGAGCACGTCCTCATCCTGTGTGAGGAATTGCGCAGATGTGGAAGCAAGTGCAATTGTTGTAGAGGTCACAGTCAGCTCGAGCGACTTGGGTGAGGTAAAATCAACAGACAAGCAATCTGAAGTTGTCTCCTTTGCAACCTGCAGACCAAGCTGCCAAGGCTCGATTAGAGGCTCCCAAGCAGACTTTGCAAAGTTGTAGATGTTAATGAACATATCGATACTTGTCTCCGCTCGTGGTGTGGTTGTCCAGTCATTAGCAGTAGCTGAAAACCCCTTGACGCTTAGATCTAATATCGGTAGTTCATGGAGTTCACCTATCAAAATGACTCTCATGCCGTCTAGTGTAGCTGTGAGCTCCTCGTGCTTGCGCACAAGCTGCCTCTGTGATACTGGGCTGTCTACTCGGGGATGCGCAATAGTGGATGGCTTCGTCCTCTTTCCAGAAGTAGATACACCCTTGCCGCTTGCTGATCGCCGTCTGAGAGAGGGGTTTGTGCTTGAGCTCTTGAGCTGTCGGGCTTTCTTATCCGAGGAAGCAATCTTCTTTTTACCATCATCATCGTCTCCTGACAGTTCAGAAGCTCTAGTGACGATCTGAATGGCAAGAAGAATATCGCGAAGGGATAAGCGGAGTATGAGCGGCTCGATGTCAATGTGGATATTGGTCGTATCAGCTTGTGAGCTGTCCATGGACATCTGTAATGAGAAGTCGTCTAATACTCGCAAACGACTATCATCAAAGCGATCCATCCTGCAGAGGAACATACCCATTTTCATAACCTGAAGAGTCAAAGAATGTTGTTGTGCCATGAGGATCTGTTTAGTTCCCAGGACAATAGCTTCGGAACTGGAGCTTAGGGGGTTTGCAATCAATATGATCTGAGCATCAACCATGTTGAATCTAAAAGAGATACTCATCGCCGATTCCTGGGGCGGCGGAGACTCTTGCTTGGATGATTTAGATCTAACGGGCACAAATCGCGAGTCCCCGCCAATTCGGGTTGAGTCGGTCTCAGATTCGTCGGGGGACCCAAACAGGCTTTCGTCATCTTCTGACAGTAGAGGCTCGTCGACAGTCAGAGCTTGCGTCGCGAAAGTTTGGAGGGCGAAAAGATAATCTAAAGCGAAAATGACGCGAGGGCTATCAATAGCGACCATGGCAATAAGGTTTCGCTCTTTTCCTCCCGAAATGGTAACGCTGGCCATACACTGTTGAACGTCCTTGTTTGAGGAGGTCATGATCTTTCGGAATTTATTTGCATCTCGAGTTCTGCTGTCCTGGATTGTAAACGATTGGATTAACAGTTCGGATTCCAAAGAATCATCCGTCATCATCAGAAGTTTGACTTTAGTATTGTCCAACGAAAACTTGGACAGGCTCGATGAATCGAGATCTCCCACGGGTTGGTCTTCCTCTGCTAGTATCAATTCTAACCCAATAGTGTGCACTTGAAATGCAAGATCAAGCTTAGTCCAACTCTTCGAGTTTACTCCGAGTTCAGGTCCTAAATCAACGAGCGCACCGCCGTTATCAGAGGACTCTTTTGGAGTGTTTGATTGTGCCAGCTTCATGGTCGATTTTGGAATATCTTCAATAGCTTCCGGCTCGTCATCATCCGAAGCCACCGCAAAGGCAGCTGGAACGGACTTTGCAAGCTCCAAGAGAAATTTAAGTTGTGTCTGGGTGATACGCAAGTTGAAATCTGTCATGCTCCCTTTTACTTCCATATCAGGTCGCTTGCTCCCTGCCGTGTGCTCAGCATAGGTCATTTCGAAGCTAACATCAACCTTATCAATGAGCTCCAGTTCTTCTGTTTTTCCCTCTGAGAAGTGGAAATCGGAAGTCAAGCGGGTATTCCTGATACCGGCTGAGAGACTCATGGCAATAGCTGCATCCTTAGAATCATCCAACGGAACAAATTTGTTCGCGGCATATATTTCTCCTAAATGGGCTGTAATCATGTCACGGTTGGGGCGGCCAGCAACCATGACACGTGGAAATACAACAATAGGAGTCTTGATGATAATGGCAAATTTTATGCGGCTTGCATTTTCTTGGATTTGTGAGGCTTGATTCGCAGCAGCTTGCCTTGCGGCATTAAAGATAGCCTGCATCTTCCCGAACTTGACCAAAAAGTGCATGATCTTTCGGAACGGTTCTTCGAGGAAGTTCAATTTGATGGAGCCAGCCCGGAGATATATTGAAGAGTTATACCCAGGGTATGCCGCTTTACTGTCGGGGTCAAATGTCTCGTAGCGGAAATCCGCCAGGTCATCTCCTTCGATGGTGATCAATTTCCGTAGGTTCGAATCAGACGAAGCTCCTTGATTTATATCATCTAGCAAGGAGAGGTTACCCAATTTTGCAACAACCCGTAAAGTCTTACCCATGATAAAGATACCCACATCAGCAGCATTTAGAGAAAGAGTGGCTAGCCGAATCCCGTCATTATTGAGGATCAGTCGGATACTCTTTAGATCCACCTTAATACGAATTGATCCACTGCCAGTATTGGGTGTCGCGACGACTTGCTGTTCCTCATTTTCACTATCTAAGATATCTTCAGATTGAGTCGAGGGCTGTGTAATGGCGGATTCGTTATTCGTGAAGGTAACCAGAACGAAATCGAGGAGGGTCAACAACGTTTTGCGAGTCACAACCAAGTTGATGGTGGTTATGGCAATGTCGAGGTTTATTTCCACACCCTCATATTTCGGCATAAACTCCGGAGATGCTTTCTTAACTTTTATAAACTTCACACTAACGAGATCCTTGTGATTTTCTGACTCTGCGTCGCCAGATGAGACAATCGATTTAAACTCCGGCGAGGGGTTGGATTCGACGTAATCGTCAATAACTAAGGATTCCAATGATGTTTCCACTATCAAGTCGAACGGCCGCACACAAAGATTCAGAGCAAAATTTTCAGCAACAAGTTCCACAAGGAGTTGGTCTTCCTTCTTTCTGTCAGGGTCGCTCTTGAAGAGCGAGCCCTGCAAGCGGTCAACCTCGAACTTGAATTCGAAATTGCGTTGCTGCACCCGAAGCTTCTCATTCGCGGACGTACTCGGCGCATCTTGAAATTCATCATCATCGTCATCCTCGGATTCTTCTTGGATAATAATAGCTTCTTGAGCAGCGAAACTGAATGACGCAGATTGTGAGCGCTCATGTGTCTTGCCAAGCTTCGAGATCGAACTTTGAGCTCGAGGTCTTGGAGCCTTAGAAACAACCGCTTTGCCTGGGGCTGACATCTGAACAACAGCGTCATCCTCATCCAGATTTGGGATAGCCACATCAATAATCCGCATTAAACTCTTGTATTTCTGGTCCGATACTGAAGCATGGAGTACTGGGAGGTGTCCAGATACCCGTACCTTTGTGAGATTTGGAGCTTTGGGAATAATAGAGGTTTCAACGATAAAGTCAACGTTGATCTTCTCGACGATGTGCATTGCTTTACTCGCGTCCCTATTCTCGAGTTGAGATTTTGTAGTTTCGATTGACGGGCCGATGAGCACTTGAGTTGATGATAACTTGACCAAGAATTTATCATACATCAAGGATTCGAGGCGTGTATAGTCATCATCAGTGTATGACCGCCTCTGCTTTGCTTGGACCTCTTTCAGGGTGTCTTGGTCGACAAGTTGGCTGTTTACACTGATGTGTCCAGCATCCACGATCAAACAGGCAGTATCTCTTGAGGTTATGCTTTCAGGAATAATGATCAAAGGTGCCTGAAGATCGAGTTTGGCATTGAGTGTCTTGTGTTCCTCCAGGGCAAACTCAAGCCCGGCTCTAGTTTGTTGGCGAAGACCTTCTACAGTAGCACCAGCGGTCTCCATCAGAGCACCAATAGATTCCATGTGTCGCTCTGGGGGTTTAAAGAATTGTATAGTGCCAACGAGAAAATGAGGATTCCATATAATTTCCAACGGCTTCAGCTTGCCGGTAAGTGCCAAATCGCTCGCGCCGTCTAGAGGATTTTTTTCAAACTGCAATTGAAAGAAGGGATCAATGATCTCGTCAGCGCTTTCATGGTCCTCAGTCTGGGTCCTCTGGGCTGGTCTATCCGGGGCGTCTTTGACACAAACAATCTGGGGAAACAGGCTTTTGGGAGTCGTTCCATCATTGACCCTCAACCCACCAAGACTAATATCTGCGAGGAATGATTCTGGCCGCTGGAGAAACTTAGCGCGGAAGTCATCGAAGTAGAGACTGAGAACTTCGGTCACTTTCTTATGAGGGTCGCGTTTGAGGGTAAAGCTGCCGGTATTGAGTGAGGCATCGATTTGCATCTTAACAGTCTCTTTCGGTAAGTCCACAGCAGCTGCGAGAGCGGTCTTCTCATCCCACTCAATGGCATCATAGAGCTCTTTCCGCTGCTCTTCAGTCATGGTGGTCTCAGGATCTTCTTCCTGCTTTTCGGGTTTCGAGCCCCACGCCCAAGCAATCCAGCCCTGGTTCTGCTGGACCGGCTCTGTCTTCTTTACCCCGACGTTCTCTTTTTTCAGCTGGTTCCTTGCCAGTGATCGCCAGAATCTGAGATCTTCGTAGTTGAGTTTCCATTCCAACTTCTCTATTTCAGATATTTCATCGGGGTTCAGCTGATCTGCAGACTTCTTTTTCTTTTTAAATAGCTCGATGTAGCGGATTCGATCATCCCGTCTTTCCTTGAAGAATGCCCATGACCAACGCCGATTGCGATCATGGATTTTACTTAGCACCGCATTACCAGCAAACCTAAGCCATGCACCAGGATCCTCCTTTGGAGTAACATCCTTGGGTTGAAGCTTCTTGTATTCTTGGTGGCGAATGAAGTAATGAAACAAATCAATCATCATAAGAGCGTCCCGATATTGATCGTCGTCAAGCACAAGACCAATCTCATGAAAGATTAAACTAGCCTTGATATGCGGCCGATCAATCTTTCCGGATTTGTCAATCGCGATCTTTGCTTGTCCGCTGACTGGTTTGAGAATGAACTGGTGATTCGCAGTATTCGGGTCTTCGGCCTTAGCAATCATCTCCTTGAATTCTGCCAGCATTTCTTCATGCGAAGCAACTGATGCTCCAGCGACCTCCGCTTGCCTCCCGGTACCCAGCAGAGAAGTATCCGTATTCCAATATACAGCCAGTGCGCCCAATGTCGCAAGTTTATGTGTCGATCCAGCCGAATCTTGGATGTATGTGGGCTTCCATTCGCCATCTGTGCTGATTGCGCTGAATTCCTCCAAAGTAAGACCAAGAGCGAATGGATGACCTGGGGCAGATATGGAATCTTCATAGCGGACATGAATGTTCTTGACGGTAACCTGGAGATTGTCCACAATTTTGGTGACCAAGCTTTCTGTGAAGCTTTGATTTTTCTGTTGCTCTTCCTGGGTCATGCCCTCTTGATTGCGATCCTTCAGCATCTCAGCACTGTCCAACTTCTCAATTTTCACGGCCTGGCGCCGGCGCTCTTCTTCCTCTTCGTCATATTCGGCATCCTCCTTCGGTGCCGCAAGCAAGTACACATCCTCAATGTCAACCTGCACCGGCTGGCCCCGGAGATTCGACCATGGTATCTTCAATGTGAGTTTCCCCAGATGTCCCTCAACCACGTTTATAGGTAGCTTTAGCTGGTCCAGGGCTTCTCGCCGTAGTTCGAGGTCGCGTAGGGTGACATCTCCAGACCAGATGCCGACTTTGAGCTGTCCCGGGTCGAAGTTCCTTATATACATCCCCAAGAAGCGGTTAAGCAACGAGGAAACAAGCCCTTCCAACATCTTGGCAGCGAGACGCCTTCACCCGGGCAGGGACTTATTCAACCGACGATCTTCGAGGGGAAGCTGGAGGACTCGGTATCCGCATGGGTATGTGTTGTACCGTACTCAATCGTGAATAGAGGGATTGATGGGAGGTTATGTTATCGACATCTAGGGCTAGGCGTTATGATTTATGCCTTTCGTGTCTTGACCAGCGTTCATAGGAATGGGAGGACGAGAAGAGGTGTCGACGTGGGATGTGTAATGTGGTGATGGGGCGTTGATCGCGAGTTCCCCGCCAACGAGTTACGTTGGTTGTGACTTCACCGAGTTGGGGCGGTGCAGGGACCAAAGAAGCACGGGTATAAAGTATGGGGCAATATGGCCACACAACAGGTTTAAGGAACGAATACTGGGACAAGATATTGGGCTAGATATTTCTGCCTGTTCGTACCTGATAGCTGCATCCTGGTGGCCTCGCTTACTCTACTACACGCGTCCAAGTGGTAAATACGTAGTACCCCAATAAAGGTTGCTGCCGTTGCACAACTACGTCACTCCAACCAAAGCTCAAGAACCTGTCGAGGTGTTTCTTAAGCTCCCCTCCACATTACCCCACAACGATGGCTTTCCAGCATAATAATGGCACCGTCTCTTTAACAAATTCACCTCTCCTTATTTTCTCTCTCTGTTATTTCAATCCTCTCTAATCCACCCATTTTTAAATCGACTTCCTTGCTATACAAAGTCCAATTCCAATCGCCAAGAAAGCTCGAGCCCTCAGGCGGGCAGCAAGTTATATACCAATACCTACAGCCACCCACAGCGTCATTCAACACGATGCTCCGCACAACAGCTGCACGATCACTCCTAAAGAGCTTGCCAAAGACTCCAAATTTAAGTTCCAATTCGAGATCGAGCTACAGCGCAGCTTCCGCTCAATTGCAGAATGCCAATGCCCTTCGCAAGTGGAAGCTGAGCAGCAACCATCCGCAACGCCGCTCCCTATCCACAACTACCTTGCGTTATGCCACCCCACTGAAACCGAATGTCGATAAGATTGACCGACAAGAAGAACGCCGAATCTTAGAGCAAAAAATCAAACCCGATCCAGCTAACGTCTCCACCGAATCCAGTGTACGTCAAGTATTCGAGGAAAGCCAGCGCCCCCCAGAAAACGACGAACCGCTTGCGGCTTTGAAGTCAGATATTGAGACGGTCAAGGATACTTTCGCACTCAACGAAGTTCCGAGAGAGTCGCTATATCTTGGACTTGCTGGCGTCATTCCGTACGCGGCTACCTCTTTCTCAACTGTGTATCTAGCGTGGGACATCAATCATGCTCATGCGGCCGGCACTGGCCTTCTTTTCGAGCCTGAAAGAGCACATCAACTCCTCGAGTTCATAACTCCAATTCAGGTTGGATATGGTGCAGTTGTAAGTTCTTAGATACGGCGGCCTCCTTCTCGGCCACTGCTGATCCATAGCATGACAGATCATCTCGTTCCTAGGGGCCATCCACTGGGGGCTAGAATATGCTGGGTATGGTGGTCACCACAGCTACCGCCGATTCATGTACGGAGTCATCGCACCAGCGGTAGCATGGCCAACAATATTCATGTCCGTCGAATACGCCCTTATCACGCAATTCGTGGCATTCAACATGATGTATTTTGCGGACACCCGGGCCACGCGTCGAGGATGGTGTCCACCTTGGTACTCTACATATCGCTTTGTTCTGACGTTTTTGGTTGGTGCTTCCATTGTCGCAACCTTGATTGGCAGAGGGCAAATTGCCAGTCACGATTCCGCACTGAAAGCCCCTATGGAATATCTCAAGCCAGATCGTGATGCCCAGCGGGAGGCATTGGCTCGAGAAGAGGAAGCCAGAAATAAAGCTAGGAGGCATGCAAGTATAGAGAGGTACAACAAGGAAGAACAAGAGAATAAGAACAAAGATATAGGTAAGGAGGATGGCGACAAGAAGAAGGCTAATAACGAGGGAAAGACGGACAGCGATGAAAAGGAGAAGGGCGGCGATGAAAAGAAGCAAGATGGCAATTCCAAGTAAACTTATGATGACGGCGAAGCTGATCGGGAATGGAAGGACTAGAGTTTCGCATGATTGTAAATATTCCAGGTATTCCGCCGGGTTACTGATGTAGTCTTCTCCTGGATGTCAATCAAATTAATAGTAAATGTAAAACTTTGGTACGAGTAGAGGAGCACGAGTACGAGCACCGACCCAAAATACTTCGTGGAGCGCTCGCTTATTCATGCACACGCTTGATCTTGGCGGGCAGCATCCATTAAAGCTTATCAACGCCCAATTCCAATGTTCCTACTCTGCAACTCTTGGGCTGGCAACCTAATAATATCCAATAATAGGGGGGATACCGCGACAGTACAATGAACAGTACCACTTGCGCACAAGCACATTATCCATTTCGACTATCATCAATTCACCCAGCGCCCGAGGCACAAGAAGCGAGGACTACCAGCGAGTGCTATATCCCCTCCATGCGCTATTTACGGCGATATGCCTCAATTAACGGGTATTGTTGTTCGCATCCTTTACCTTTCATTAGGGTCTTAAGCACGAATCGCCGTCAACAGTCATCAATCCTCATTTCCCAGCGATGACATCTCCGAAGACAAGGACAACATACACCTTCGCCAAAGTCAATGAACCAGCCGATTCGTACACATAATGCAGCAGCAACCTCCATTGTTACGGCTGTTAAAGCAGCGAATCTCTGTGGGAGACATTGGCGGCTTGCTCGCATGGTATGGACTTGGACATATATTTTGTATCAACGGTAGGTGTGAGATGACAACGGAATGTTGATATACTGAAAGGCTGCTGGGAGGTAATAGGCGATGGAATCCAATGACAGTAGGTTGAGCCCTTCCTATGGAACCCAGTCTACCTCTCAAAAGGCAAAGATGGATCTGCGACTTCAACGCAGCAAGGCACACCGGCTTTTACGCTCCTCCATCAACCTATCGATGTATTCTAGGATCCTCCCGGATCCCCGGATTATCCATACGGAAGATTGAGCCGAACCAGGATGTCACAGAGAGACTCTCTGGATGTGGGTATGGCTACGGCTCGCTCCGTCGGTAGTGATTCGAGATTAGCAATAGCGTTTTGCTTAGAAGGTTATATATCCAGGCATTCGAATACCTAGATAGAGTTTGAATCACTTGCCCACTATTTTTGGACTGGTTGCCAGCCACAAATGCGCCGGCGCATCATCGCCTGACATACATAGCTCACATTCCTCACGGTAGTCGTGGTCATCATTTCCACCACAACCACAATTCTCCGCCACACCGTCCAGTGTATGGAGTGTAAAAGCTGACATCACAAACCCCCCTTCCCTATTATCATCGCCACTGACCGCAATCGATAGCAAAATTTTCACCACTGCTGGCAAACTTTGTTTTCTAAGCATTTTCAATGTTATTGGGTCGTCCGCGCAAGCACAGCTTCCGCGCAAAGGGTCACTGCATACACCGCCTGTACATTGTGTGGACATGCGTGGCTAGGCCATGATATAATATGGCTATCGGATGTAGCTAAGAGAAAGCAGGGGCTAGATAGTGGATATGTGTTATGAGCTGCATTCTTAGATGTGCTGATCACACATCAACGTCCGGAAAGATCGGAGGCACGCAGCTTTAAGCTCTTCCGTTTGCGAACAACAAACTACATTATTTGGTTAAAAGTCATGCATCTCTCTGACTCATCAAAGTTAATTCTTTGCTCCATCTTCCTCATTCCTCCGGTCTCAGCTTTCCCTTTGCATACCATTCCCCGGCTGTTTCTGATTTCCGAGCATTGTTCCTCACTCGTCCTCGCCACATCTCGACCATTCAGCATTTTCCCGAAAATCTCCAATCACTACTTCGAGATCTCATACACACTTTAGTGACGTGTGGGTAGTGCCATCATTGAGCATCATATCGTTCATAATGCCATCTTCCACTTTCATAGGAAGCAAAAACCGTCATCATCGTCCTCCCAATCGTCGGGCAAATAGCGCCCTAAGCAGTGCCGCACCGACCACTCTAAACCAGCGCCCCATTGATGAATCCTCTCCTCCGAATGAGACAGATGCGGAATGCTGGGAACGCATGCTCGCGCTGCAGAAAGAATACCATTGCTACAACTCAGCAAGGTTAGAGGCTGCGGTCGAAGCGCTAGAAAATGGATGCAAAATCGAAGAGGTACCTATTCGTAAGTCTCGAATTCGTTCCCTTCAAGCTATACCTGAAACGGGATGTTGATTCGATGATAGCACCGAGACAATGCTTGGATTTGCTGAATGAGAGCTTGAAAGCTTGGATCGATGCTCATAGGGAAGGACTCATTTACTAGCCAGGAGATCATCTGTTTCGGCGGCGGGATTCCTTATATGTTACTGGTTTGACGGTCGATTTGGATTGAAGGCGTAAGGCCCAGGTCTCGGGGACGCGGGAGTCTGCGGTAACAAATGGAACTGAGAAGTACGGATTTCAAATTGCTTGATCTAATGGGAGATGTTTGTCAAGAGATACCCTCTCGGACTTAGCGCTGGTGTTAGGAGAGAATAAACTTCTGTCGTAGCTTATTGTCGCAGCTTTTTATAAGTCTTTTTGTTTAGAAACGAGTAAGGACTTCTCGCATTACTTAGATGCGAATTATATGCGTCCCCTCTTCAGCTTGCCTCCTTCCCTTGCACACCTATCTTCTTTGTCAAAATTCATACTAGATGAGCCGAGGCCAACTACTATTCATTACCACAGTTTAATCAGGATAGGACTGTTATGAATAAAGGCGATGTCTTGTACACTCCATTTGCTTCCTTGTCTTATATACAACGGCATGTCTCGGATTTTCCCCACTTGGTGTTGTGTACTTGCACAACCAGCTAATGTAGCTAAGGTAGCTACAATGCTTGATGTATACAGCAGTTACGTCATGCTACACCAAGAACACAATTCCCCCTGCAAGGGTAGCCCAGGTAGGAAGAGCGCGGACTCCACTACGCGTGCGAAGTGCAACGAAATTCATATTGTTGTGCTTGTCCCAAGAGTAAGACCCATTTTTATCGACATTGTTAGCCTTTCCTTTCCTTATCTTTCTATTACTATCTTAGTAAACCGACTGGCTAGAGTCTTTATATCTTCGCTCTAGTTAGATTACTGGTTTCTGTGGAAAGACGTGGAAAGACGAGAAGCAGAAAAGCGAAGACGTGAAATTCCTCAAAATAGTTGTAGATGCCTGTCGATCGTAAAAGCGGCACCCTAGTAAACAACCACCCTTATCTCCTACCAAAGAAAACATCTACTTCGAGAATCCAGGATTTTAGGAGGTCCATCTCTAAATATCTCAAATATACCTACATACAGAGATATTTGGGGTTCCAAGTGATTGTTCAACAATTTTGAGACATTGTGATAACAAGACTCAGAAGGACGAGCGCCGCTTTATTCGCCCACTGTGAACCACGAACCGCGAACCCTGCCAGCCCCTATTCTGTCATCTCAAATGACACTCTCTTCAAACACCATAAGCCCGCTCGTGGCCCGCAAGCTCAGCTATATCAACAGGACAAATGACGGTTCGATTCCTTAGTACACTCCCTGCAAACCTTGATACAATGTTTCAGGAATAAGCAACTTGAGAAACCCCATCTTCCGGCCCCATTCGGTCGCGGCCCAGCAGGGACGGCATGTGGCAGCATCGGTACTCGCGGATTGCCTCTCCCCAGAGTCTGTACTCCTCGATCAGTTTCGCTCATTCGCCTCATCTTTCAATATGCCTCCTGGCAACGGGACGGGACTCTGCATATCAGCCATGCGCCAGATCATAAGGAGTAATGACAACCACTTCACAGCACCTCTGCATTGCATATCACATAGCTGCACTCCCTGAGACTTCAGATGATGCCTCCTCTATTATTGGCCGTCATTCTAGGATTCCTCCCGAAGCGCGTCAGCAGCCAAGCACCGTTATGCTAACAGGCTTCCGTTGTCTCGTGCTGCCGACTAGATCTCATCGTCGAGGCTCTACTGTTATTTGCTGCCGCTTTTGGTGGGGGGGGCAGCTGCACGGAGATATAGCCTTCTATGACGAAAGAGGGTCCTTGGGTCCTTTGCACGAAGCCATAGAACACGGCCTAGCCCCCTTCTACGGGGCGGCGAAATCACATCCCCTGGATTTTATTCTCCAGGTTCAGATGATATGATAGGTATTGTTCCAGTGATTGGACTGGGAGCGTTTGCCTGGAACTCGTGTCCTTCAACCCCAATTAATTACCGTCTGTTTATTCCGCTATTCCTGGGGAGTTCGTGTCGGGTCGGTACAGTTAGTTGTAAGGAGCTGTATTTCTGTTTTACCCTTTTCTGTTCTATTTCGAGTTTCAATGACGATGAGATGCTCTTCATCTCATGGTATCACTGCATCTCTCTAGGGGGCCTACCCGCTTTAAGAACTCCAAGACAGCATTGAGTCATTCAGCAGGAAACGATACCAGATATCCGCCATATATATGCCCAACAAGCTAGCTACACCATCCCGTATTGTACGACAAAGCTACTGAATGGCGCGGAAAAGCCTCCTTTCCAGCCATAGTACAAGAGCAACACCCCCTATTTGAAAGCCACAAGAATAGCCAGGCCGATACGCCGCGACGTGAGGTGGAAGATTGCCGTCAGCGGTTTGATTTATGGGCAAACGGAATGCAAACCGGAATCTGTTGTCTCCCCACACATTCTGTTATACTTTTGCTGTCATGGCTAGATGGCTAGATGCGGTGGAGATTGACCGAGAGTCATGCCCGAACGCGATTTCTTCGTACTCTATTCGAACAGGGTTTCCCGCTCGCCCTCTCGCCAGGTCAATGGCCCGATCTCAAGAATCCAGGCCTGCGAGATTCCGAAAAGAAAACTGCCCTGGCGAGCTTTCTGGTACGTACTGATATGCGTCGGTGACTCCCAGAATTAATACTCCGTAAATGAGGATGTCAAACGCAATCCCTGGTCATCGTCCCGTGGGGGACCCTCCAACTTGCAACTGGAGATGGTGGCAAAGACACTGATAACGCGTCGCGCGCTTGTTGTCATTGTTGAGACCTCGTCATGGAACACAAAGCCATTCATCAAGCCCAACAAGCTTTTACTAGTATGTGTCTTCTGAGACATACACATAATTCCATGTAAAATCGGGGTATAACTCGCGTCCACCGGCACTTTATTATCGCGCGAGTTTCTGAGTCTGTAAGTGGAAGGACTCCTCGCCTCGATAGCTGTTATCTTTATGCTGATAGTGGCTTACTTACCTGGTTTCCTACCCCACGCACGATTGGCGACTCTCTATTACTTTTTGTGGCGCTTATCTTCAATGCTTCAAACCATCCAATCGGTGCTGCATTTTGATTCCTTTTTGAGGTATTTTGACCCGGCCCGGGAATCGGCAGTATGGACTATCGGCGGACGTCACTGGCTATCAACACCCAGCCAACGGCCGGCATAAATACCAATCCACATATACCCTCTATCTTCCCAGCAGCCGGGACAAATCGACACATCAATGAAATTCTGTCGGAATCCCCCATAATGTGGTGGGATGAGGAGCGGATCGAAGCAACTGTCACTCGCCAATTCGTTCTGGCGAATCTGCGACCCGATGAACAAGTACGACTAGATGAACCTTTGGGATTCGGCGATGGTTTGACGAATGATACCTATATGGAATGGATCGACCTGAAAGCAAAAAGAATATTCTTAATATTGGTGGATCTAGACGTCCCAGACCAAATCTTTGGTGTTATCGATGATTCTTGGGACGATGACGATTTGCCTATTCCTCTGGACCAAGTCGAGCGTCTTCGTCTGACCTACGAGCGAGACGAAAGATTGGAGAAGCGATTCTTTCAGCGCCAGTTCCTGTATCTGCTGAGGAATATTCAGAAAGGAGAGCAGGTTTACTATGATGACGAGGAGGTGGTTCCGCTGGAGATGGCAGAGAAACGGCCAATAGGTGTAGTGGCCGGACTTACTCATAGCTATGCGGATAAGGTGCATCTTCCCTGGAAGCCAGACGATATTTTCCTCCGCCGGGGAATACCCCTAGGTGAACCTCCTGGTCGCATGCGTCGAGAAGAGTTCCTCTCGGGGATTGAAGATATGAAGACTCTCAAGCACGGCCATCTGATATCCCTGTGGGCTTCATACATCCACCAAGACTATGGCTATCTTCTCCTTACGCCTATCAATGATAGCAGTCTAAAGTCCTTCCTAACCGTAACTCCTCAATCCTTCAAAATCCTAGCCAAGCAGGACCGGCGCATTCTCCTTTTGAACTGGCTTCATTGTCTTGCCGATGCTCTCTCGTTCCTTCATAGTAATGGCCTATCCCATGGCAACATCAGACCGTCGAATGTCATGCTGGATCCTGACAACCACATCTTTCTGGGTGACTCTGGAATTCTTCCCATAACCACATTTACTTCCAAGAAGCGGGGATTTGATCAAGAGATATACTGCTATTCTGCTCCTGAGCAAGCACCACGACCGCCAGCACCAGCGATTATTCATCTCCCAAGTTCTCGTCCCACTTCAAGAGGACTACCCCCACGTCGAATGACAGCACCCCCTTATTCCGGGGCGCTTTCAGTATCCACCTCGATCGACGCAGCATCGATACATACATCATCTACAAGATCGAATTCCCCATGCTCGCCAACACGACCTGGGAGTTCTGGGACCAGATATGATCCCCAAAAAGCCGACATATTTTCTCTGGGAGCCATATTCCTTGAGATTCTCACTTTCCTTCTGAAGCGAGCGTCTCGGAGCTTCGCATCCCACCGTTCATCCAAGAACAGGACCCCTGGCCGTGGTGGTGGATTACCTGACTCATCATTCCACAAGAATCTAGGTCAGGTTGAAAGCTGGATGAAGATGCTAGCTAAAGATGCAGCCAAGAAGGAGGACGGGGTTTTTAGGGGAGTGAGTCCTATACTGAAACTGGTCGATAGTATGATAAGGCTGAATCCGGACGATCGCCCGTCAGCACAAGCTGTCCAGAGACAACTGTACCTCATTTTATCCGAGACTTGCAGGCTGGGGAAGCCATCCCCGGGAGGATCTAGTGGGGGAATCCACTGTGAGGCTTGGAATAGGGGAGATAATGGATGGATATTTGGAATGGACGAGCTTCGGGTGGCGTCTCAGAGGGCTGCCGCCGCAGCATGTGCAAACCTAGCACCCATCAACACCCTGAGTGGGGATATCGAAGCCAATGCGGCGGTGATCTATGGCGTTGAGAAGATCTCGCTAGCGAGTACCCCGCCGTTGTTAAAGGGGCGCAGCTATGAAGGCGATAGCACAAACCTTGCAATGAAGACAAGCACGAGCAGCGAGGAGACGAATAGGTATGCCAACGGTAGCTTGAAAGTGGGTGTGAAGGTGAAGCCGAAAGCAAGACCATGGCAGGCGCCTGTTTATGCTGGTTCGTTCTTCTACGAAACTTACTTCGCCACCCCAATACACCTACTGACGCATGTTATGATAGAATTCAGTTTTGGGTTTTAAAACGTATATGGCAGCAAAACCAAACACATTGGAAACCGTACGAACTCCTGAGCACGGTGTAAACGAGGGATAATGATCGACAACATGGGGCGAAAGGCTGGACTTAGTAGGAGGTATAATCGGATTGGAATGGACGGAATAGGTTGGTGTTATGGTTGCTATCTGGCGTTGGCGGCAGTATGTGATGTGAACATTTTCTAATTGTAAACTTTTTGTAATTTATATGCTGTAGGATTTTGGAAGAATTTGCTCAATGCAAGGCACCTTAGCTTTTAGGAATACTAGACTTTGATAGCTTAGGATTTAGTTGTGATGGATTCCAAATGTTTTTGCTTGCTATATGCTTTTGGTTGTAGTATACAGTATACTTTGTATATCGATACTCTACGCTAAATACGTCAGTGTGTCCATCGCAATCAATGTCTATAGGGGTATCCAGTCCACGCTCGTAAGGTTACGCTAGCTGCTTCACTTAATCGCAGTGCTCAATATACACTTCCTCTAATGCTCTTATCCTCCTTCTCCGCAGCCAGCATATCCGTCATCGCAAGATCCAGCTCGCTCCCAGGGTCAGTAACAGCATCACTCTGATCACCTAAGGTATCGGCCAGCGCCCCGCGCTGCATCCCGCTCTGTTCTCGTTTGCCCAATGATGACCGTCCATGGCCGCCTGCTTTCCCAAAGCCCAAACCAATACTCTTGCCCTTTGCAAGGCGCTTCCGCGCGTCCTCCTCGGCGCTGAACTCGGTATCGCTCCCGGCATGGCTTGTGTTACCGCTCGCAGAACCGCCGAAATCCCGACCGCCGCTGTGTACAAATAAACTATCGCCTTTGGCCCCCGGGCTTCGAAGCTGGTTTCTCAGACGGTCTTCTACGCTAATGAACGAAGGTGTGCCGTCAGGGCTAGAGATAACCTCGTCAAGGGACTTCTGGATAACAAGACGGCCACGGGGATCATCTTCGTCTTCGTCGCTCGAGGATTGCCAGCGGCGACGGCGGAAGGCAAGTGTATCCTGGGAGTTGGAGACGGGCGAAGTGCCCGGCCCTGAGTTCATCGGCCGACCATTGAGTTGCATGGCATGCATGGAATTTTCTTTTTTATAGTGGTGTTTCCCGTGGTCACAGCCGTTGGGACAGCCACCCCATCGCTTCCTAACTGGGATAGGTATTGAGGAGCTGTGTCCAGAGGAGCTTTCTGCAAGTTTCTTCTCCTTCTCCTTGTCTTTATCGGACATTTGGGGTGTGGATCCAGAGGACTTGTCTTTAGCAGCTGTCAAGGCCAAACGCTCACGCTTCAGTTCGGACCAGGTCCTGAGCTTATTTTCGAGAATATATTTCCCGGAGTCCTCCTTTTTGCGCATGATGAGGAACTCGCAGTGGTTGACGTTTCGGAGGTCTTCGAAATATTCTACACTGAAGTGATACCATTTCATGAGGAAAACACGGCTCATGAGGCCATGGGTTACTATTGGAAACAGTCAGTTGACAAGGAACTATGCCAGTACAGTGAGGAAAAGAGAGTGTACCCAATACACACACACTGGCGAAGTCATTCTCCCCAAATTGCCGCCATAGGCTTTCGTTAAACCCACTGACCCTATCATAGGCGTCTGCCGCAGACTCTCCGCTCGGGATCCTGTAGAAGAAATGTCCATAATCCGCCCGCTCCTGCCACATCCTCTCCATCTCCGCTGAACATGGCTGGAAATTGCCGAAGTCTTGCTCCCGCAACCTCGGCTCTTCATACACTTTGATAGAATTGCGCGGGAACGGGGATGGGGCAGGCTCGTCAGAGGTCAGGGTGGACAGAATGCCTTCTGTTGTCTCTCGAGTACGTCGGTATGGGGAAGTAAAAAAGTGGAGGGTGTCATCTGCGCGGAGCATGGAGCGTAATCGTCGGCCGGCTTCATGAGCTTGCGTCCAGCCATCTGTGGTAAGCTTGACCCGGTGGTCAGGGATGGTTTGGTGGATGTCGCGATTTTCTGGCAGATATTAATATCAGTCTGGATTCTGGCAAAATAACACTTGGCGGTAGCTTATTATGTGCTATAGACAGAGCCTTACTGTTTCCCTCGGACTGCGCATGTCTGATGACAATAATCATGCGGGGTTTCCCCATATTTGATAGCGTACAGGGAGGCCAAGTTGCTGTCGTTTGTATAAGGACAATTGGAGAGGGGAGGAAAAAGAATTTAAAAAGGAACTGTTTGGTACTGCTGGACTTCTATATTTTATATGCCTATCACTGAGACTGTGTGTGTGTTGTATTCTTTTAACCAGGGCTGAAACAATGCTGGGGGGTTTTGAACAAAAGTAGAGGCTTATCGTGGTGGCTCGGGAGTGGCAAGGAAGCGATATCGCCTATGATTATTAGGGGTCATTGTAGCCGATGAAAGGGAGATTGTATCAAAGTCGACCTTGACATCAAAAGCTTCAACATAGCCCTGCAACCCTGAGCCATTATCTTCACCAAGCCAGCTGGCGCACGAGGTAGTCCCCAAGGGTCAGCGTTACATATACGTCTTAGAACGGTTCTAGATTCACAACAAAAAACAAAGAGCCTTGGCACCTCCATACGACCTCAATCCCCCGATATCTACCAAACACAACCCAAAAGCGGTCTCAGAAAGGGGCCCTCGCTCTTGCATATCAATATGTCCGAATCAATCCCAGAATCCATCCCTACCTCTGCCGATCCGCGCTCCAAACGTCCTACCAAAAAGCGGGCTCTGACCCCAAGATCAGAAACCGCCTCCGCGATCTCAACCCTCTTCGCGAAACCCGACCAAGAAATCCGTATTCCCTCCTCCACAGCAATTACCAATTCCAACCATTCGGCACCCCCAGAAATTGTAGCAAATGTGCAGGGAAGTAGCGCTGGTGCTGGATCTGGGGAGTTCCATGTGTATAAGGCGAGTAGGAGGAGGGAGTACGAAAGACTAAGGGCTATGGATGAGGAGGTCAAGAATGAGAAGGAGGGAAGTCAGTGGGAGAAGGAAAAGAGGGAAAAGGAGGAGAGGGACAGGGAGAAGACAAGAAAGAATAGGGAGAAGAGGGAGAGGATTAAAAAGCGAAAGCAGGGTGGAAAGGTCTCGGGAGGGGATCAAGGGGCAGTTGGTGGTGGAATCAAGCCAAGGGTAGTCGAGCGAGCGGGGGAAGGCACGGAAGGAAAGGGCGAAGAGACAAGAGAAGTCCAGGAACTGGGAGTTATTATCCATGATGATGATTGAGATATGAGTATTTCTCTTCGGTTTACGGGTACTTGGGGATTCAACGTGGACAGACATCCTGCCATGGAATTTAGTATCAGCCTCTTAGCACATCTAAGGCTCGTGTCACATGGAACTTGCGCCTAGGGTGACACGGAGCTTCTATACTATGGTACAAAGGCATGCCTGACCATATCATTGCTTTTTATTAGTACACTAACATTGGATCAAGACATCTATTCCCCACCAGGGCCGCCACCTCCGGCTTGTCTCGCAGCCTTTGCACTACAGATGTCGTCGACTCTCAAAAGCAGGCATGCAGACTATAGAATAGATTAGTACCGCAAATAAATGTGGAAAATGGAAGACATACCTCTATAGCCGTCTTGATGCTCTGTAACTTCACCGCCTCTGGTTCCCAAACGCCATACTCCTTCATATCGGCAAGCTTTCCTACATCGCCATCGATACCCCATGAGCTACCACCTTCAGCATGCTTGGCTCGTAGTTCCGTCAGCACTCTGACAGGGCTGTTGCCAGCGTTCTGAATCAGCGTCCGTGGGATGACCTCCATCGCTTCAGCGACGGCTTTGTATGGCCATTGCTGTACGCCTTCAATGCTCTTCGCCAATTGACCTAATCTTACGGCAACAGCCATCTCTGTTGCGCCACCACCTGGTGATAGTCTTGGGTGGAACATAACATTTCGCGCAACGGCCATAGCATCAGCCAAGTTTCGGTCAATCTCGTTCAAAATATCTTTTGAAGGGCCTCTGAGGAGGATGGTGCATGCTTTAGGCGATTCGCACTTTGTGAGGAAGGTGAAGTATTCATCACCAATCTTCTCAATCTCGAACAAGCCACATTGGGTTCCAACATCGGACTCCTCGAGATCATCCACTCGGTTGACAATTGTCGCTCCAGTAGCGCGTGCTATTCTGTTGTTGTCTGTTTTGCGGACACGACGAAGAGCGGTTACGTTGCCCTTCAGTAAGTAGTGTTGAGCGAGATCTTCAAACGTTAGTAGGCTTTCAGCGCCAGGAAACTGTAAACGTACCAGAAACTCCTTTCTCTGTGATCACCAAATCAGGCTTGACCGCAAGAATGGCATCACACATCTGCTTGACCTGCTCCTCTTCAATCTGCAATATCTTGTTCCAATCTTCCTCCTTGCTGATCTCCAGGTTTGTCTGAGACTCGCCCTTCTTATATTCTAGTGTGCAATCCAACAGCACGATTCTGGGATTCTCTATCCGTCTTCTCATCTTGGGGTGGGTGATATCCTTGTTGAGCATGACACCATCCAGAACTCTGCTGTCCTCGATCTCTCCACCAGGGATTTTCTCAACCCGCGCATAACGCTTGATATCGACCTCCGTCTTGCCACCACCCACGTCGAAGGAGACAGTCCGAACCGCCTTGAGTGCGAGACTGCACATGAGTTCCGACCACCTCGAGACAAATTTGGTGCCGATAGAGGAGGAAATCAGTTGGTACATAGCCTGGTCATCGTTTATATCGACCGGGAGGGAGATTTCCTCGATAATCGCGACGGCATCTTTAAGAGCAGCCTTGAACGCGGATATGATTACAACCGGGTGGATATTGCGTTCTAATTGTGGGAGCGCCTGTGCGAGAATCTCTCCAGCTATGGGAGGTTAGCTGGCGTTATACCAATATACTGACAGCGCCTACCAAGAATAATAACCGTCGTAGTTCCATCTCCAACCTCTTCATCTTGTGTTCTGCTGAGCTCGATCATGCTCTTCGCTGCCGGATGTGACACTTCGATTTCTCGCAAAATAGCATGGCCATCGTTCGTCAACACAATACCTCCCATCGGGTCCAACAACATCTTAAGCATAGCCTTGGGGCCCAAACATGATCGGATAATATCTGCGACGCTGGGTTTTGTCAGCTATGGTGCTGGGCATGGCGAGCGCGCAGCTTAAGAGCCGCTGGTAAAGCTTACGTTTTTGCTGCTGCAATATTGGACAGTTGGGCCTTCCGTCCAGTCTGTCTCTCACCACTCTGGGTGTCTGAGCAGATATAGTTAGAATGGAAGCTATGATCCAAGCTGCGAGGGGGAGCTCTCGAGGTTTGTAAACTTACTCATAACCAGCACCGGGGCCTGCATTTTGACTCCGCTAAAAGGCTGGATAGAGGGAGAAGGGCTTTGTTGAACTTGCTATAAGACCGAACTATTAGGATTCGGTGTCAAATGTGGTTGAGAAAGACGGTGATTTGGGAGATGGAGGTGGTTGTTTCTCGCATTTTGGGAGGTTCGCGTCTCGACGAAATTTTGTGCACGGACTCCTGAACTTCACTCAGGCACCCTGTCGCCTGATTGCAACAGGCTTGACAAGTTTGAACCGCATATCTTCCAAGTACAATACAAGTTTGAAGGAGCGTATAGTATATGATAATGAGAAGAGTAAATGAAACTAATGGCAATATCTTTTAAAATATTTCCTGTTTTGAGTTTTATACTCTAATTCTCGAGCTTCTACAACCAGAGCTTGGCTTCACTTAGTGACATAAAGGCAAACAATCATTACTAGTTGAAGGGCTAGAGAATACTGTGCACGGCTTTAGATTACATTTTATATAATACTATAATTACAATATGCTTTACATAATCTCAGCGCCAGCGCCGAAATTAATGCATGTTGATGGTTTATTATAAAGCTCCCTTCTTTTCTCCACCACTTCTCCCAACAAAGGTCTTCATGGCGCTATCAACACCACTCAGCTTCCTTAGGATAGTCTGCACGCCGACGGGCATCACATTCATCCAACCAACCCACCTAGCATACAATGGCAAAGCCAGCTCCGCGCTGCTACCCGCATCAATCGCGCTAATGACCTCCTTCGCAACATCAACAGGCTCTAACTCGGGGGCGAAGAATGACGACGGCGTCCTGACGCCGTTGAACAGAGGTGTTGTCAATTGTCCAGGTGACACCAATATAGTCTTTATATCTGGTGTTGACTTGAGCTCCGCGGTCAAGGACCTATGCATCGCTGTAAGGCCAGCTTTCGCGGCAGCATAATCGCTGAGATTAGCAGCACCTATTTGGCCAAGGACACTGGACATAGTGACGATTGTGCCGTGTCCAGACCTAACCATGCCAGGGAGGAATGTCTTCAAGGTGTAGAAGTGGGACAGGAGGTTCACACGGAAACTGCGCTCGATGTCTTCGATCTCCATGTCGAGGAGGGGTTTGCCATTGACAATAGCAGCGTTGTTGATCAGGATGGTTGGAGTACCAAGCTGGATAACGTTAGAAGGGATAGATCTTATCCAGTGGGGAATGGATACTAACATCTCTCTCAATCTCCACTGCTACCTTCGCAAGCTGTTCCTTGTTTCCCACATCACATTTATACACAGATACTCCTCGGGCTTCTCCCGATTCAAGGTCCTTCACATCCAGAACAGCTACCGTAGCTCCTCTCATGCCATACACCTCTGCGATCAAGAGACCCAGGCCACTCGCGCCTCCGGTAATCACGATCACCTCTTCGCTCAAGTCCAGCCTGCGTGGCTTCGAGTATGCGATTTGCTTGTTGAGGACGTCCAAGAAAAAGAGCGCGGTCAACAAGGACGCGTACCCGATGGCAATTTGCATAGCTGGATGCGCCCATCGCATGGCCTGCGCACGCATACACAGTGGAAGCATCCATGCCACGAATGGATGTAGGAATGTGACGTTGAGGACTTTGAGGAAGAGGTCGACGGAGAGGGGTTTGGCCCAGGAGAGCTCCTGGTTTCGCGCGTGTTGGGACATGATAAATTCTATGTGAGAGGAACAACAAGTAGTAAACAAAACTCGAGAATCGAATGCTGCTGCTGAAGAGTGAAGACGGAAAGTGAGAAAAAGATAGGGTTTCAACAAACTCGTATCATTTTGAAGATTTGGGGTCGATCTCTTGAGACAGAGGGGTTGCTCCTGGCTGGCGATTGCGTTCGGATGGTTTCACGACGAAGCGAGGGCGCGTCGTCGAGTCTGTGCGATTCGTTTCGCGTTGTTTCAATCAACTCGCTCCAATCGTCGTCTCTGCTCGGCCTTATCCCAACATCGCGCCAACTTTGCCAATAAATCTTTCCATTTCTATGACATACGGAGTAAACAGCGATGTCTGCATCTATTTTGTTAATATTCGAGGGCAAACACTGGTTGTTGCCAACCGGTGTCGCATAATAATAAGGCGATGAAATGGGCGCACAACGAATAGCGGTAGCGTAGTGCCAAGTGAAGCTTCGCAGTTGGCAAAGACAGTTATTCGAGCCTTTTTGAGGGTATACGTACGGTATACTTCGTACGTGCTTCGTGCTATGAAGTAATGGCCTAGTCTGGCTGTTATTCCTTCTTACGTAGGATTGCCGGACTGCCGCACGGCGCACTGTGCCTGCTATCCGGCCTGGTCTGCGGTGCAAACTACTCGAGCACCTTACTTGCTTCGCGGTATGGCAGATCTTGGTATGCTCTTCGTATCCAGCCAATACCGACGTCGCGCCATGCATTTAAGCAGCGGCGCAGCCCGAGATGGAGATTATTACGGGCGCCCAATTTGGGATCTGGGATCCGCGACGATCCGGCACGGGGGAGGGATGCCTCTTCAAAAGGTACAAAGTTCGCCCTCAGTACGATGTATCGTTTTGTCATCTGGAGTCTAGATTCTGGAACTCATTCTCCCATCTGTGGTTGATTTCGCGAGCTGCCTGCCCCGCCTGTACTCTTCACTTCATTCCACTAGTCGAGTCCTACTTCGTACTGTATTATCGATAATTGTTGTTTTGGGGCGCTTCGCTATGGCCCCTATCCGCTGGTGGCCTTTGGTGGTCTTCTTTGGCGCACTGTTTCCCCGTACGTTCTGTGCTGTGCTGCCTTCCCTTCCCCTGGTGCGTTCATCTGCAATGCAAAGTTGCTAAAAGTAATATTAGCTACTTCTGCCAACGAATGTGTCTTCCAAGAAATCCTTGTTGTACATAATCAGCTCGAGCTAGATGCCGGGACCCATGGCTGTACCTCGATCAATGGCTCTATATATGTCGAGACTGACTTCGCGGGGCCACTTACTCTCAGTGACATCTCCAGTATTTTCGGACGATTCTACGTTCTGGACGGTATCCGGAGCCGTACTGGATTAGATCCTGCGGTAAATACTGGACTTACCACTTTTGAAATCAAAGATCTACAGCAAATAGACACCCTGGGGATTTATGATGCTGTAGCACTAAGGTCCATATCACTGCCACAATTAACATCAGTTAACGATCTATATGTGGAGGGATATAAGATGGATACTCTTGATCTCCCATCATTGACCAGCGCAAACTGGCTGCGTCTATATGGAAATATCTCGACGTAAGATCGCTCCTTCCAAGTCCCCTCACCCTGCTAAACCTTGTTTACTTTAGGATGGAAGTTCCTCTCCTCAATAATGTCACTGGGCGTTTTCAATATAATTCGTATCATATAAATAGGTTTTCCAACGCTAGTTATGGTGCCCCACTACCATTTGACGCAAAATTCCCCTCCTTAAAAGAATGTGGTCGCCTCAATATAGAAGGCAACTTGAAGAGGTAATTCAAATCTCTAAGTATGTCCACGGACTAACAGCTCGGAAAGTGTCAGCATGCCAAAGCTTGCTTCTACCAGTGACCTTAATTTGGGTGTTTATGGTTCGTCGCTCAACCTTAGCTTTCCTAGTTTGGGAACTGTAGGAGCCGTCAATGTGAGGGGAAATATTACAGGGTAATTATTCCATACCGCCCTTCCAATCAGTGCTGCATATTAGCTAAATGAAAATACAATCAGCATATCATTTCCGGCACTTTCCAACATCACCGGCCTATTCCAAGCAACAAGTATCTTGCCACTTAATCTCGATCTGTCGTCTGTACAGTCCATTGACACTCTCATCTTGCCGGGAAACATAACAGAGTATTTTCTCCCTTCTTACTAGCTCTTATAAACTTGTTATATCAACTAGTGCTCAAGCTTATTCATTGTTTTAGTGTCTCGCTGGAATCCCTATTAACCTTTAGGAATATACATATCTACAGCCGCCTACCAATGAATTGTACTTCTGCGAAGGCCGCATTCGTGCGACTAAGGCCAAACAGCACTTATAGCCCAGACGAATACAGTAGCGACTTCAATTGCAGGGGCATAGAACAGACGAAAAAATCGACGAAAAAGCTGAGATTAGGTTTGGGTCTTGGCCTTGGACTTGGACTTGGACTTCCTGCTCTTGCTGCTTTTTGCTATTTTATGAGAAAAAGGACTCAAAAAGCAAGGATCGCTAGCGAAGGCCATGAGCTCAGACAGAACGCTTCCCAGGAATCGGTAACAACACGGAGTGTCGACACTGTGCTACCACCGTACGGCGTCACGGACGGCGCTCCACCTAAATACAGCCAGCCAACATGAGCCGCGGGTGAAGCCCATTCCAGCCGTTGTGCGCTTCATTTAGTGGTATCATATGAATATTCCAATGCCTGTCCAGGTTTGGGAGGCTATTGATGAGCTTGAAGGACTCATGGGACCGACATATCATTCCACATGGAGAACTGTCTCCATTCCCTGCCTTTACTGCAGAGTTAATATTGCAATGGGGAAAGTTCCATGGTCACAGAATGCTTTGGCCCGTAATTGCGAGGACGTCTTGAGGGTTTAATATAATGGATACGAGTTTATCAAAGATGAGTTACTCGGAAGTAGCGGGAGATCATACAGAACGGAAGATAATGGATGAATAGAGCATGGGCTTGTATACGTTGCGCACGCCCTTGTCACACTTATTAATTATTTCGACACATCCTTCGACTTCTCTAATTCTACATTCGAGTGTGATTAGTCCTAACAACAATGTCTATTATTTTCTCTGGCCCTTCCCCCGAATCAGGCTACGAAGGGCGGCCACGCCCAGAGTATAATGGTCTTGTCACGCCAAATGCAGCAACTTCTTCCACTTCCACAGCAATCCCCAACCGCCAAACACTGACGAGAGCCCCGTGAATATGATAAGAGGCCCGTAAGCTGTCCCATAGCCAAACCCTCCCAGCGAGGCCGTGCTTCCGGCCTTGAGCAGTGGCACACCAGCAAGCCCACCACTCACATATCCAATGCCCCTCGCTCCATTTAACAGACCATACAGCATTCCCGTGTCGATAGCTTCATTCCTCTGCGCCGCTTCGCTTTCCATCTCGTTAATAACGCCTCCCCAAGTAGCGCTATAGCCGCCGGCGAAGAAACCAAAGGTCATGGAGAACAATACCAAAAGCGCCATGCTACCTTGAGACGTCAGGCCCCAGAGGAAGAAAGCGGACAAAGCAGAGCTGAAGGCACATATAGCGGTTACAGTCGCGGCCGAAAGGGGGAAGCGCTTGTTGTCGCTCAGATACCCGAAAAAGCACGAGGAGACGATGCCAGGGATATTGAATAGGGTGAGCAAAAGGGTGGCCGAGGTCTGAGATAGTAAAGTGACTTCGTGGGCGTATGTGTTTAGGTATGTTTGTGGAATGCCATATCCAGAGCTTTGAAGTATACTGGCGATGGCGTAGATGTAGAAGGTCCGGTGTTTGAGGAACTGCCAGGGAATCTTCCGTGTCCGATGACTGCTCGAGCATATCCTCGAAGGGTGGGCCGGTATCAAGAATATTGCGAGAATGCTAGTTCCGGCTGCAATAGATGCCCATATCCTCAACGTGATACGAAAGCCATAGCGATCAAGAAGGACCCGCAATAGAAACGTACAAGCAGATCCTACGATGTTTTTGCAAGATAGGACAACTCCATACGCCACAGCTCGATTGCTAGTATTGAACCATTCACCAAGAGATAGCGTGGCCGGGCTGTAGATGAGAGCACACCCTAACGATGCCATGACTCCTTGCGTAGCAACCAAATGCCATACATGAGTGCTAAAGGAGGACAGTAGGAAGCTGACGCATGTAAGCGCAGCACCACACAAAGCTGCTGTCTGGCGCCAACGGGCCCATCGTCTTGTGAAAAGCGCGAATAAGAAAGGCATGGAGAGGTACATGACGCCGTTGCAGGTTGTGCCGATAATACCGGTGACTTCACGACTCCCTTCCAGCGTCCAGTTGCTAGAATAGTATTCTTGGAAGACGCCATAATTCATAGCGAAGCCTGCCGTGTAAGTAGAATTGCAATCAAAAAGTACTACTAGGACTCGGCCTACCCCAGATCGGAAGTTGTAATATCGAGGAGCCTACGAGAACGCAAGCCCTCTTCCTATTTGATTCCCACTGTCTTGAATCGCGTTGATCGAGGCTGGGTTCTTCTGCTTCTGTATTGTGGGACACTTGGTCGCCGACGGCTGGCGGCTGCGTCTCATGGAGAGAGATGCTCTCGTCTCGAGCCATTTTGAATTAGATATAGTTTAGATTGTGAAGAAAAGATTGTCAACAGGTCAATGTACGCTGTCGTTGCTTTAAGAGAAATGGCGTTTAGAGCGGCCCTGTAAGCCTATGAGCTGTATGAGAGGAGCATGTTGACGATCCTTACCGGTCTCAGTAAATGGTCGTGTGGACATACTCTGGGAGGTGAAGTCTCGCGGGGTTCCGTTCGTCCCAATAGTGGGGTCACCGCATCACCATCTGGCGTTGATAAGACAGGCTGGACGGGATCTCCACCTAAGCAGAAACGCCGTTATGTAATCTTACAACTTCAACACCACCGGAGGTGATTTGATCCTGTAATCAATCAATAATTTGACGGCTGTTGTAATATCTAAGGATGTCAAACTGAGCAGTAGCATGTTAAATGCGAGAGATCAGAAGGATGATCGAGGTAGGCGAGGTGATTTTTAGGACATGAATTCTGCTATTGGCTCTGGCTGCAAGCCTTGACATCTCTAACTCAATGATATAAAGGATCCTTTCATTCCCCTTGGCGAATGTTAAAAGTTAAACTTATAGGCGTCTATTCCAGTCCTCGCTCCTATAATATATGATCCAAGAATTTCTCCCCTTCTCGCGCCCCCATCTTTCTCGAGGCCCTCTTCTATCATATCCCCATCCTGCCCTCCGCTCCTCTATGCTATGCTCTATCTACGTTGTGTTTTGCATCGACAATATAGTCTGTTCTCTCAGATACTTTCTCGGCTCAGAAACAGAGGGGAGGTTGATTAGAGTCATGCAACGACGAATCTGCCGGATTTGACTGTCAGGTGCTAGGACGTAATTATTTCATCCCAAAGAATTTCCTCCCAGAGTTGTGACTTCTGCTGTGAGCAATGTTGCACAAAAGAAAAGGGGGCATTCCTGATCTCTCACGTGATACAACCACTACCTATGTGGCTCCCCTTAACTTTTGTAAATGGCTAAGGAATCCATAGCCTCCTTGGGATTTCGCGTCTTCGGTATTGCCACCCGCCTTGGCTTCTTGAGAAAGCTTCTCCACCTTTTGGTTCAGCCGTGAGGCTTGTTCCGAATCACGCAGCAACTCCTTATGCCTATCTTCCACAAGCTTTGCCAGACTCTCCACAAACTTGACCCGCGCTCTTTCTTCTGCTGTACCTTTCCATACTATTGCCAGTTCCTTAAGCTCTTCTACCCTCTTCGCAGCGGCTTCAATTCCATCGACGGGATCTCCGCCGATTAGCAAATCAGCGATCTCGTCCCGAAGCTTCTTCGACACCTGGTGTCCTTTCTCTTCCGTACTATGCATTGCCGAGCCTGGTTCAGGGGCAGAAACAGACAGGAAAGAAGAAGATACCGAAACTTCTGAGGGCGGAAACGTCCAGGCCATAGCATCACCAAACGTCTTTATCACGGTATCCAACCGAGATCGTACAAGCGTGAGCGTGCGTAATTTCGTAATATAAGGTGGATCGACGATGGCCTTGTCTGCTTCTGCAATTGGCAACTTCGCTGAGACGCCTCTCGAAGAAGGCCCTGTCTGCTCATTTCCTTCCCCGAGTGTTGACTGCTTTCGCTCTTGGGCGGCATCTAAACCACCGGGTACGAAACTAGCCACATCCTCTTGTAGGCTTTCGGTTAACGCTTCCGATAGGTTATGCGTATCCCCACGCAATACCTCAACCTCGTATGCTAAGCGGCTTCCGCTTCGAAGAATCTCATCGGTGAGTTGGGTGAGGGTCGACGTGAGTCTTGTTGTGTGTGCGCTAAGTTGGGAGAGGAGGGCCTGGGTCTGGGTTGATAGCTCCGCGAGAGGTACGCTTCCTTTCGCGGCTGCGGACTGCGAGTTCGTAGCATTGGTGGTTTGGGGTTGGAGAGAAGGTAGGGCCATATTGAGATATTCTGCAGCGTCAAAGGCAGGGTTCAAGAATGGCTGGAGCGCGGGGTCTGCAACGTGTGTGGACTTCGGCTCGAAGATGAGAGTGGGAGACGATTTCATCGGCTGGGTAGACGTAGATTTTGTTGCGGCATTGCTCTGGCGCCGCCGCGATGACTTGGAGTCCCAAGCCATCGGTGAGGTGCTTATGCTTCTTGTGAGGGGCGGAGGAGGGCTGATTGAACCTTTTTTATATTGGGAGGATACAAGTCGCGGTACTACGTAGTGGTGGGCAAACGATACATGTAGGACTATCAATATCCGACTTTGCTTTAGAGAAACCTAATCTCCTGGGGCTAGCCAGTGAATCCTGGAACTTCAATTTTCACCCCTTTAAGGTTCCCACACCAGAATGTGTGCGATTGTGGTAGTACTTGTAGCTTTGAGGGCTCTTATATACCTAACGTAGGTAAAGTGAATAAAAGGTAGGTATAGGTAGGTCCCTACACCATACTGGTACTCATGTTTGCTATCGTGGCGGGGTGTGGCTCGACGCAAGGCAACGTGCGAGGCTGCAGCCACAGGCAAGGCAACGCAAGGCGATGACCTTCAACTCGCCGTCGATATCACCGTCGGCATTACTGCCACCTTAATTATCTGGTTCTGATTCCTGTTCTTCTCTTCACGCTTCTTTTTCATGTTCCTTTTCTCATCCTTCCAGGCCAGGATACGCGTTTGCATGCCGACCCTCTGCCCGATCTTTTTACCTGTTCGTTCCGCGCCTAGTTCTTTCTAGAGTCATAACCCACAAGGTGTGGACGTACCGTACCTGCGAGCTTGTCCTTGCCATTAAAGGATTTCAAACAAGACACTCCTTTGTATTTACTAATATACGAGGACTCTTGAATCTCAGAAACCACAACTCCAACCCCTTCCACCAGGACAACGCGACGGGCCAAGGCACAGGAGTTACATATACACAAACGCCCTATTAAACACACAACCTCGTCTCATCATGCCTCGGAAGGCCTACATCGCCGATGCAGCGGCTGTCATCGACCAGGCTGCCGCCCAGAATAGCCCTGGCATTACGTCAATTACCAAGGGAAGCGAGGATGGTGAACTTCACATCTGCTTCGTCCCACCTACCGGCCTCCCAATCGAGATCCAGTTAATAGCACTAGGTGCGTCACTTGACCTTCTACACTATTTTCTATACTTCTTCCAGATCCAGTATGCCTATCACACCTTTAGCGGTTGACGCCGAATACGATATGACATAAAACTTATATAGTCACTCAGCCTAGCCCCCAATTTTCAACACATAGCACTCTACATTGACTAATCTTCTACAGATGTTGGCGGATATCCATCCGAAAATACCTACATGATCACTACTGCTTCCTTGGATCTTCCCGACAACGTAAATGATGCCTTGCAAGACATCCAAAAATACTCTAGGGGTATACATATTCCAGATCTTATTGCCACCATCTCCAGAAAGTTACAGAGGCTTCTTGCTAGGGAATCCGAAGCATCAGATATCAGCATGGAGGACCCAGAGTCCGACCAGGAGTCCGATCAGGAGATGAATGACGAGACAGACCATTATCCTGAAACGGATGATGAGTGGAAGGACTCATACGGCGTTAACGAACCAGCCACGGGGAAAGCCTATATAAAACCCGAGGATGCTATCAGGATTGATAAGCGAATCAGGTTGGATCTTCGAGCTGTGAAGGATGCCGGCTTCCGGGTTGGAATCCTGAACGGAATGAAAGCCGACTCTGTGTCCAGCATAGTTTCCATTTCAGTAAAGGTTGATCAACTAGGTCTCTCTGATGCGGCACTTCATGCTTGGGGCCTTGAACCACATCAGTACGCTGTCCTCCTGCTTAGATATCGTAAGTGTTACAAGGAATTTGAGGCAGTTATAAGCGAGCCAGCCGAACACGCTCAGGTCGAATTCAAAACCGGTGTCTGCAACAAATACAAGCCAACTCGATACGAAGCATTAGCTGCATTTGGGAATGTTGCTTGTGGGACGGGAGATTCCTCTGAAACTCCCGTAGTGCCCGACAACCGGACTGAACTAGGCGCTACTGGCTTCTCCAGTGTATTCATCAGCGGTTCTCTGAATTCATTTATGGAACAGTTGGTTTCCCTTCTCAAGATTCGAAAGAGTACCGGTCTTGGCTGGACAGGTGCTACTAAGTGGTTGAACAATAGCCAATCCCGGATCGATAAAGCTGACAGCGAGATACCCCCATCATATTACGAGAACGATTTGACGTCTTCAAGCAACACACATCTGGAATCATTGTTGAAGGATCATCTAACCGATGGCAAACCCAACGACCTGTCATTCCCCCTCATCGCCACGCAGTTCTTTTTGCTATACCTAACCCGATGCACCGAGTATTGCCTAATCTGCCACGAGAAGACGCAAGAAGAGCTCCAAGCACTCAAACCATATGTCTGCAGCAAGCCTCTTTGCCTCTATCAATACATGTCGTTGGGCTTCGGACCTTCCCTTGAGCATGAGCTTTTGACTCAACCCTATGTGGTCGATCTTCTTGTCAGCTTCTGCTACGCAAGCGCATATGTATGTTCAATTAGCCAGTTAGAGCGAAAAAATAGGTACTAATGGGCGCATAGCATCGCAAAATCCGAGAATACCCGACAGGTATGAATCTTAATGTGCCACCGGTAACGGTCCTCGCTGCCCATAGTTCGAATCCTATTCCTCGATCTATGAGCATACCCGGTTCAACTATCCCCGTTCAATCTACCGACCTACTAGACGTCAAACTCGATAGTAACCGGCAAGAAGTCCTATTCGAGGAGGGTAGCAGCTGTCCTGTTCGGAACGGAGAATGGATTGCCCTTAAAGTGGACGGTGCAGGTAATGGCGCCCTCTCCTCGGGACATTATCAGGTCGTGGATATCTCCTTGTACCCGACAGTAAAACTATCCAGGGCTGGTTATACTCCAAAAAGTAGTTTCAAGAAGACGTCCGATGTCCCTGTTGCCCCTGCAACACCTCTAACTGCACTTACTCCTGCAAAGCTGGCCATGTACAACCAAAATTTTGATGAAATGGATAGCAAGTGCAAGGCCGAGTCAATCGTTGCGCTTCTAGAGACATTACCATCTATCAAAGAGATGAGAGATTATCTTATACGACAGAGTCGATATGCCGAGCCTAGTCTTCGTACTTGGAAGGAAGGCATGTCCCCGGCAGCGTTGGGTTTGCTTCGCTGGATTCTCGCATCTAATCGTTCGTGCATCATGCAAGTTGACAGATGCCCCGGTCAAGACGAGCATGATGCCACACTAGGTAAAATCAGACTAGACCAGAGGATCTCAAATATTGACAAAAGCTGGGTTCAATTTCGGTTCGCCCAGGGTTCTCCAGACAAAGAACAGCGATTCTTGAACGCGCTCAGAGAGCAACAAGGCAACCTCAACCCAAGCTACCCAACATTATTCGCATGGCATGGAAGCCGCCTTTATAACTGGCATAGTATCATCCGAACTGGATTGGATTTCATTGATGTCCAAAATGGTAGAGCATACGGCCATGGAGTCTACCATGCCATAGATCAAGAAATCTCATGTGGCTATGCTAACCGTCGCGCAGTAAGTTGCAACTCATCTCAAATTTCGTGCATACAGCATACGTGGAAGCTAACAAATGAAGGAGATGCAGGCAACATGGCCAGGCTCTGAGTTGAAAATCTCCAGCGCGATGAGTCTGAATGAGATAGTTAATTGTCCTGGGCAATTCGCCAGCAACTCGCCCTTTCTAGTGGTTCAATATATTGACTGGATTCAGTGCAGATATTTATTTGTTCAAGTGGAAGATAACCCCAACCTCAACCCCAATAGCCTAGATGCAAATATGGGTGCAAATTTTGCAAGCAGGTATTTAGATCTTTTTTGTGCGGTAGCTTCTGCGAGCCTACCATGCTAACCCCGAGTAGTGGCTCAAACTCATCGGTTGAGATTTTTCAGGACCCGAAATACACCGCAAAATCGGCACGTGGGAAACCTATTGGTGTGCCGCTCTGTGCCGTCAACACTTCCAAACTCTTTCGAGTCGATGAGAGGGAAGAAACCACCTCTCCAGGTAGGAAACGAAAGCGATCAGTTGATGATACCTCTCCTGGCGAAGCCAGTACCAGCACCACCAACACCAGTACCAGCACCAGAACGAGTGTCAGTGCCACTGCCAGCGACGACGAAGATTTGAAGTTTTTCTTGTCCGACAATGACCATCAAGATATTGACAAGGCGAAGGGAACATCAAATGAAGGACTTGCCATGCTGTAAGTTACGTTGATGCCGAAGCGGCCTTAACTACTGTCAAGCCACCTTGAGATATTTGCTAACAGCTTCAGAAACTCAATTTTAAGAACACAGACTGATTTTATCCCTGGTTCACTCGATCAATCAACTTTGCCAATGCTACCGCCACCATCATATGCCACGCCTATGGCAACTAAATCTCTCAATCGAAACTTAAAGGAGGTCTTAGAACTCCAAAAGAACTCCAAAATTCATGAACTTGGCTGGTATATCAACCCAGAGCTTATTAGTAACGTCTACCAATGGATTGTTGAACTGCACTCGTTTGATCCTACAACACCGCTTGCTCATGACATGAAGGCGGCTAGAGTTACCAGTGTCGTGCTGGAGATACGATTTGGAAAGGGTTATCCTAATAGTCCACCCTTTGTTCGGGTAATTAGACCTCGATTTCTACCTTTTGCAGGTGGAGGCGGCGGTCATGTTACGGGCGGTGGAGCTATGTGTATGGAACTTCTCACAAACTCGGGTTGGAGCGCTGTCTCATCCATGGAGGGTGTTCTTCTTCAAGTCCGCATGGCAATGATGAACCTGGAGCCGAGACCTGCACGACTGGAGAGCAAACGCTCGTCGGGACAGCGTGATTATGGAATTGGTGAAGCTATTGATGCATATCGTCGAGCTTGCCACACGCATGGATGGCAAATTCCTCCGGACTTCGCAGACTTTGCTTCGAATGGGGCTAGACTGGCAAAGCCACCCATTCGGTAAACAACGTCAAATTGAGTATGGGTTGGTGACGCCGTTGAACCCTGCAAGTACCGCTCCCCTCTGTACGAACAACGATGTCACACAACACGAGCCTTGCTAAACGCCATTACAAACTCTACTAGTAAGGATCACCAGGTAATTTTCATTATGGCACGGAGTAAGCCAAGGCTAGCATAACTTTTGGGAATTAAAATGGTAATACAAGGTATGAAGTTTGGCGTTTAGGATGGGAGGCAACTTGATACCAATGAAGATATGCGTGTTTGCATCATCTAGCTGCTGGGGTATGCGAAAATTATTGTCTAAATGAAAAATTCCTGCTTTGCTAGCTGTCCATAGTAGAAAAATACCAACTTAATCATACCTGAATGAGATGCGGCCAGTAATAACTTCGGTGCAAAGGTAATCACTAAACTGGTGCCAGTGGACACCATTAGGGGTCACTAATTAGTAACAAGCGATTTCAGGGGAACGCTCAGGGGATGGCCACGTGACGATATAGGGCAGGGGTGGATCGGAAGGTCGGTGATACATTATTCCGCGCAGCCGGGAGAACTACGGCAAATTCCGCATGCGAAGTGACCTGAATCGCATCCAGTTGATCCGCGACAATAGCTACAACCACTTTTGAACCTCTTATTGTCCCCATCCTTCAATAAGATTTATCCCATAACAATATGTGAAATACATAGCATTCTTGCTGCCGATATTGATCGCATACTTCTCTGTCTTACGATCAAGATCCCATCTAAAAGTAGCACACCCTGAAGTGCTCTCCCAGCCTCTGCGCACAACCAACAATAAACTGGCTGAGTCTTACTGTTTTCACAGTTCTCACATACGAAGTTCTATACCCCATCATCTATTGCGCTGAAGGATTCTGCCCACTATGGCAACAAGTCCATCGCCGCAGCTATCACCCACCATGGGCTTGAGAGTCGACAGACAGCAGTCTAACTCCCCGCCACAGCAACAGCTTTCGAAAAGAGACAAGAAACGCACTTTACTCGCCGAACGCCTGGCTGAAATCACGATGCAGTTCTCCGCAAACCGAGACCTTCATTACCGCGAGCAGTTGCAGGCTCTGCAAATCGACATGAACCTCATTATGGAGGCCGACGCTCATGGCGAAACCGCACTGACGAACGATCCAAATGCGATTGACTTGCTGGTTCAAGAAAACATTAAAAAATCTATGATGAAGTCCATTGGACCGAACCCTCCTCCGAGAGCTGGGAAGATGTATGCGGATTTTGCGAAGAACGTCAATGATGCTATGGAGGAGAGAGATGCAGCGCTGGCAACCCATAAAGTAAGTTTTGCTTGGGTTCCGTAGGTGATACTGTGGCTAATACTTCTGTAGAGGGACTTCGATGTCAAATTGGGCGAACTCGAAGCAGCGCATGCGTACAGACAGAAGCTTGCTGCCTCCGAATATAAAGCATTGGCCAGCACTCTCCGCGATCGATTGATCAATAGCGTCACGAACAAAAAAAATCGGCTCTCAAGGGACAAGGAGTCAATGGAAATTGGCGAAAGCAATGCCCTTCTTCTACATCCCAGCCAGTTCGGCATTGCGAATCCTTCCAGCCCGGGGGGACTTCATGGAAAGAGGGCCACGAGACTTCGCCGAGACGCAGACGACCTTCATAGTTTTGGAGATAGTAGCAAGCGCAAGCGTAAGGCTATGGATAGCGATGAGTCTCCAGCTCCTACTCGGCAGCGGGTCGACAATGGCAACAGCACACCTATTTGGTTTGCAGAGAAACAAAGCCTAACATCCGCCCAAATCGATTCGTCACTGTATAGCATTGACAAGCTTTTCACCGAGAAAGAGCTGGCTATGACCTATAATGTGTCCGCTTTGGCTGCACATTCGCATCTGCAACGACATCCACCTTTCATAGACGAGGCGGATTCTGCAACCAAATCCGACTCCAGCTCTGAGAACGAAAAAGCAAGCGGGGCAAATGAACAGGACAATGAGGATGTGGAGTCTACGATGGGAGCTCCAATGATGGAGAGGGGATACTCGCACGCAACTCGCAGCACACGAGGCCTAGCTGGAAACTATTCCACAGGTATTGGGATTGATGCTTTCAACGACCTCAATGTTCCGGGCAACATGCAGGCTCTTACACGACAAACCCCCAAGTTACCCCCGATCCTAGCTATGCAGAAGACAATCGGAAAGGGCGAGGCTGCAAATCAGCCAGCTCCTATGAGTGCCGAAGACGCAGCTTCGGAATTGGACATGATCCGGCGAGCCCGATCGTACAACGACAAGGAAGGCTACGGACGGAACTTGGAGTTAGATGTTGGTGGCAGGAGCCTCTTGGAGATGGCCTCCGCACCCAGGCTCTATCACTATTTTGTCAAGTCTGATGACAAGTCTTCGTATTTGAGGACGACTAATGAACGGGATGACGACGGCGCTGTTGGGGGAGAGATGATGGAGCATCAGCAGAGTCAAGCCGCAAGTGAATTCGGTGGTGTTGCGATGAGCCGTCAAGCAACTGGTGAGGGTCAGAGTAGCCGGGGAAGAAGAATTAAGCATAAAGGCGATTAAGGGACTGTTTATTGGAAGGATAGGTATTGCGATGTTTATTTTCATTTGAAGCCTTGTAAATTGGCTTGTAAATTGGCTTGGGACGCATTTATGGCGTCAAGGATCCAATGGAGGATAAGATAGTGCTACGAAGGCAGCATAGTGCCACATACAATACCATTTCTGTAAAGCTTAGCTTCGCTACCGTGCTTTTTTGGTGTCTAATCAGTGATGTTGGTCTTTAGTTTACTAAGACATTGGTGAGAGAAATATCTCGCTTTCAACAAAGTGAAGCAGCATTCATGGTTTTGATAGGAAAATAACAATAGTAAAAAACATCATTAAATTCGTAAGCTATCAGTGTCTCTACTAGCCATCGGCTAACCCATAATTCAAACCAATTTCCCAAGTACGCCATGCTAGTCTTCTCACGGGCCAAACACTAGAGCTCTAACTTCAATACTCTCTCTACCAACAGCATCTTCAGGTGTGCGAGGATCCGCGAATGCGGTATGAGGTACTCTGCCACCCTGGACCCGAGTATCTGGCTTAAACGCCTCGCTATCAAAACATTCCAAAAATAGCCTCTCGTCATTCCTCATGCCGGACAAATAATGCCATTTCTGGCCCTCGTTATACCTGATGCCTGCGGTCTCGCCTGTTCGGTCGGGGTATCTGTGCTCGACAGGAATAAGATCCTCATCTTTTAATGTGTCTGAGCTACAAAAGGCGAGTGGGTTGGCTTGCACGGGTCCATTAAGCGGGCGCCAGATATTGATAAGGCGGTAACGACCCTGCAGCAGCTTCTCTGCTTCTTCGGGGAGGTGGTGCTGTACGCGAGCGGTTGCTGATTTGCGAGTCTGGTCGATGTGCACCCTTCTTACGGGGGTGCGGTTGGCACCAGGGCTCGAGCGGCGGATGGTATGGTCGAAAATGAATATTTTGTTACTGCCTGGGACATGATCCAAGATCAATTTCTCGACCTCGGGATAGTAGTTTTTCTTAATGGACTCATCGTCGACGAATTCTGGCTCCGCTGACTGGGGGACGTTCGAAACTACCTTGAAGGCATGTTTGTCTAGAGTATATTCATCCTCGCGGCCCCGGATGTCGTGGATTGGCACTTGGAAATCCTCATCAGTGTAGTTTCGTTGTGGCTGTCCCTCAGGAGGTGTCTCCACGAAGTTGAAAGGGACGGAACCATCTTCCGGTGGACGGAAGTAGTTCAGGGTGACTGTGGTATCGCCACGAGGAATGAAAGGCTCAGCACTCGCGGCATTTGATATCTGGTAGTTGGCCTCTGCCTCTGCCTCTTCTCGAACAGATCTGGAGAGGTTGTGAGGTGGTGTAGCTTGGAAAGGCGTTGCTGTTGCCATAGTGCTGTAGTTGTGGTTGGATCTTATGTGGTGATGATCGAAGGAGGGTTTGATAATGGTCTAGATGCAAAAGCTTTGGCTTTGAATAGCTTCAAAATATTGTACTGTTTGTGTGAACTCAACTGCACGAAAGGATCTGGGAAATGGAGGTTGTTGTCAGTTGAGCTGGAGGCGATGGGTAGCAATATATACTAATAGGATGCCAATGTTATCCTATTCTTATGGCTCAAGCAGCGTGTAATGTTTTGTAAGCTCGCACGTCATTCGAAGTCTTACAAATACACTATATTGTAGGGACAAGAGCGAAGCCGGCTCATTCCCGAAGAGGAAGTAGATGTGAGGGAACGGCTGTTCGCATTGCAAATGCAGGATGACTATCGAAAGGCGCAAGCTATTCCCAACACGTCTTCTGGCGCTTCTAGCGGTATCTAAGGAGACATAACCCAAGTGATTGGAGTTGGCTGAGAAGTACTTCTTACAAGTATCTACTACGTGTTATCGTGATGTGATTGATGTGTAATGTGGCGGTCGCAAACCAACCGCAAACCCCGCCGAGTGACTTGGCGATTGAACCTCGGAATTCGGGTGAACCTCGGACAGATGAGAGGACGTCACTCACGAGTGGCGTTCTTGGTCACGTGGGAAGGCAGATACCGCTAGGCCTAGAACGTCCAAAAGTAAACAGATGGCAGCTGCACGTCCGCTACGCGACCGTTGACAAAATACATACGAAGTAAAGGTATGCGATAATCCATACGGAGGCCTAGGTGGGTACGGATTGCGGATTAGTGAATGAGTTATCATTTCACCCAGTACCGACCACCACTACAACAGCACTAGGCAAGATGGACCGCGACATGTCATCATCTCCAGATCCCCTCAACGACTCACCTACATATCATGGCACTACCAAGTCGCGGCGATACTCATCCCCAAGAAAATCTCTTCCGGCCTACAGCAGTTCACCAAAGAAGCAGACCTTTGAGTTAGATGTTGGGGATCAGTTAACGTCACAGAAGATTCGAGTGACGGTGGAGGCGGGCGATTCGGAATCCGAGGATGTCTACGCAAATTATACCAACCCCAATGGAAGGAAAAGAAGTTCGCTCCTAACCACCCACGCGCCCCGAAACCGCCAAATGGAACAAACTACCACCACTACGGTCCGTGTGAAGGGGTTATCGGATACGGAAGGCGAATCCCAACCTGTTGCAACTCCTAAGAAAGGGAGGGGACGGCCCCGGAAGTCTAATGGGACGCCTGTTCCATCAAAGAAACGTGGACGCACATCCACTCCTACGCGGAAGGCCAGTGGTCGAAGAAGCTCCATCTTAGACTTAGTGGATGATGATACTAGTCCTGACGATTTCGATATTGGTTCGAATGCTAAGCTCGGGAATTCGAGAGGCACGCCGCGGTCCAGATCAAAGAAAGGAACGCCGCGAAAACCCACTCCGACAGCAAGGAAACAGCTCGAGGCAGATAAGCTTGCATCTAATACGCCTAAAAAAAGGGGACGGCCCAGAAGAAAGGCCCTGTTGCCGGAAGATATCCAGGTTCTGGAGGATGGGATTGCCCATGCTAGCGACCCGGAGGATGCGGCAGATCCGGAGAATGAGGAAGCTCTGCGTCCTATTGACACCAACAGCCCTTCGAAATACTCTACTATTCGGTCAACAACTACAGTTGATGGCGATCAGGAAGATGTTCTGATCGCTAGGTTTTATCCTGGGCATGAGACACCTCGAAAAACAGGCTGGTCAAGTCCAAAGATAGTAGACACTCCGGCAATTTCAAATCCAGATTTAGACGCTAACTACCAATCGTCGAATTATCACCAGTTCTCATCTGGCGAAGAAGAGCCACTGTCGCCCAGCCAAGATGGAAACGGCGAAGACCAACACGAAGACGAAGATGATATCGGCCAAACTAGGGAGTTCGATACCATCATGGAGAGTGAAGAATTCAGTATGATATCGGTCGACTCGGTCCCCTCGCTGTGGGCCCATCGCAGCAGCCCAGCCGGTGGGATTCAGGTCGATGTATCGGCAGAACTGGCCCCAAGTCATAGTCTCCTTCCAACACGAGATATGGAAACTGTTGATCAGGGAAGCACCTTTAGATCAATCTCAGACGACCAGTTAGAGGAAGATCCCCCCCAAAAGAGATTCCAAGACCCAAGGTTGCTCTCCGCTCGAAGCGCCCAAGTCGAAGACTCTTTCTCCAGCATACCCCCTCATGTTCTCAAAGCAGCAACGCCCGCTAAGAAATCACATATATCGAAGTTGCAGTCTAATGACAATTCGGTAGAAGACTCTTTCTCCGACATAGCGCCTGAGGTGCTTGAAGCAGCAACTCCAGGCAGGTTACTTCCAGATGTGCGGTTTTTAGCAGCGACGATAAAGCATGGCGATGATTATGAAGACTCTTTTTCCGCTATCCCGTCTGTGGTCCTTGACGCAGCTACCCCGGCAGCCAAATGCCAGGAATCAGTCAAGTCGAGAGACTCGAGACAAGGAGGTTCAGAGCCTGACAAGTTAAAGGTTATCGGCTCAAACTCAAACTTAGGTTCATCCCGCGGTCAAAAACATACGAGTCCTCGACTTTTGACCCCCGAGGAGACTCCATCCCCCCTTCTGGAAAGCCTTGATTGCAGTCCCACATCAACTAGTAAAATATCATCACAGTTTGCTGCATATGTGACGAAAGAGGGGCTAGAAAATGAGCCATCTATCTCTCGCTCTCATATGCCTTCTTCCCCTCCAGCACTAGCACCACGCATATACGATCACAGCGCACATATTCGTCAACATCACCAACAAAATTCAAGTAGAGTTGAGACTCCATTCATCACGTTCTCATCTCCCTCTTTACCACCACCAATACAGCAGCCTGGAGAACAGCTTTCTTGCTCTCAAGAGTCGTCGGAAAGCCAGAGACCAACTCTTTCGCCCATTGCCCGTGCTGGACGTGCGCTTCAGGATCTCGTTGTGCCTTCTCAATCAAGATCCCGGTCACAAAGTCTGGGGAGCCCCTTTAAAAGTCCCGCCAACCGAAAGAGTCCAAGTACTGTACCAGAGTCCCATCCATCGCCCTTGCGGGATCCGGGCGAGCAGCCACTTCCAACTCTAGCTTTGAGTGGTAATTTATCACCATTCCCGTTGCAGAATGCCGAATGGGGTTACACAGTCAGACAAGACGACCCATTTCACAATACCACTCTTGGAAGTCAGCAAACTTCTCCCGAGGAAAGAGGCCAATATAGCCTAGGACTACCGGGGCAGCGGCGCCTTTCCGACCCTACCATAAATAATCGATTTGATACCGGGTCCCTTCAAAACGACGATGCGATGAGCTGGCAAGCAGATGAAGAGATTCCCATCGATAATAACCCGGCATCCATGGCAAATATCGCCAATTCGTCAGTGGGCGCCCAAAGATTATCGTCAGACGCGGCTGCATATTTGCCCAGTACCAAAAGTCACAATATATCAGCGGGAGTGAGCATACAGAATGCAACTACCAATTTTAGCCAGCCCGTTGCCACTGGCTCCGACGGGGAGAATCGCGAATACCATCAGAGCGATGATGCTGATTTCGATTTGCTGTTAGAGACGATGAACTCTTCTTCCACAAATGCATCACACCCACAGGAACAACCTACGGATGTAGTAGAACGGCCCAGACGCAGTAAGATCCCCAGTCCATGGAGGAAAAACAGCAGACGGCTGGTATACAGCGATGAGCTCTCACATATCTCATCTTCTGCCATCAAGACTGGGCACTCCCATACTAGAGATATTATGAGCGGAGCAGTACCCGAGTTTGTCACGGTCCGACGCATCGAAACCGGCCATCAAGATTCTAATGATGTTGATGTCATGGATCTCTCAGGATATCAAATTCCTCAAAAGGCAAATTTCCAACCCCGCGCCCGAGAAACTGGTGCCTTAGACTTGTCCGCTCTTCTAGGGGATTCTCCGTCGAAGGCCCTTCCTGTCCTTACAACTAGCTCAAGGAATATTCCATCTCAAGTGGAGAGAAACTTGGAGAGGTCGCAGCCAATAGAGACAGACTGGGAGAAGAGTTCAGACCCCATCGAAAATACTCTAGAAGATCAGGAGCCATTCACTCCTATTCCCCAGAAGCAGGGATTTAGACCGAGAGCACGCAGTGAAGTCTCTGAAGTCTTTACCTCCAGTCCCGTAAAACAACCAAGCTTTGACCTTTTTGGTTGTGTATCCAAGCCTCCATCCAGAGCACCTGGCGACGCCCGTTCCACTTCGAAGCCGCTAGTTGCTAAACCTGCAACCACTGGCAACATCCCCGTTTCACGGATTACTCCCTCAGGGGTTCCTTCTGCTGGCTATCTATATGACGGCAGCTCATCAGTTGCTTCAAACACAGAGAAAGAAAATCATGATTTTGCGAGAACACTCAAATGGACTGAAAACCTGGAACTAGCTTTAGCCGATGGACATGTGCCATTCCAAGTTTCACCCACTAAATCGTGTCTCCGTTCGCCCCTCAAAACACCGTTTGGCAATTTAGGAGCTTCAAATGTGAGCCCCAGCAAAGGCGTCACATTTGTATCATCCTCCCCCACACCATCTTCCCCCCTTCAGCTATCAGCCACAACTTGGTCGAATGCGCATTGGTCCCTACTTAGCAGTATTGTCCAGGCCTGGAAACCGCAGAATCAGCGCTTCACTGGCCGTCACAGTAGCGCAGGTGGGAGTGATAGCAGCACAGGAAGGAGGAGAAATTCCACAAGAATCATCAGTAAATTGCTAGGTAGGAGGGTTCATTCGGAAGGAAATGGGATGGTTTTGGAGCAGTGGCATTTAGAAGCAGTGGATGAGTTCCGCGGCCAGGTGCCTGGCTGGGAGGAGAAGGTTATTGCGTTGAGGGTCTTTTCGCTCCTTGTGGGTGAAGAGAGGAGGATGCTCCGCGCTCTTGAACGCGAGGCGAAGTCAGAGGCCAGCTATTGAATTTGTACAACATGACAGAACGAAATGCGATTGTTAGTTTGGCGTATGAAATTGTAGCTATGGAGTTCTTGGATGGTTGTATGGAGTTGGATCCTTAAATGAGGGAATTTTTATAGGAGTATGTGAGAATGCCTACGAGCAATATTACGTCAAGTTTACGTTTAAATACATGAGAACGTGATTAACTGCAGTATATTTCTTGGTTACCGGTTTGCAGTTCTTTCCGCAAACTAGCAAGCGCCTCTATGGTACAAGTATGACACCCAGCCTTCAACTAGCTTTTCCCGCTCCCCTATTCCAACATGGACGCCTGGTTTGTGTATAGCACATCCACAACACTGCTCAGCTTCTCGATAGTCGCGAGCGCGGAATCATAACCCTCATCTCTCTCCGTCTCATCGAAAATAATCAAGCACCCGGCACCCTGGTCTAAAACGCCAATAATCACTTTATCAAGAATCATCTGGGACAACTTGCGCTCGACCTGCTGTGTATCGAGCCCAACCATCTTTGCGATGTGGTCAATTTCCACCCGCGAGAAGGGCTCAATGACTTTGATAAGATTCTGCTCCAACATTGCATCGTAGAGGCGTCGGAGGTGATTACGGATGAAGGGATCACTACCAAGCTCATGGCGATAGTCTCCTAACGCCTTCTCATATTCCTCCAATGAGCGGTTTGAGTGCGCGCGCGCTACGGCTTTCATGGCTTCTAGGTTCTTTCCTGCGTACTTGAGCGCTTGCTTGGATGTCATGAGCTGGTTGACGTCGTCGGCGAGGTTAAGCATGATTTTACACAGTAACATGTATTGCAGGGCTGCGGTAGCTTTCTCGGGCTCATCTTGAGTATGGTATCCATCGAGCGCTTCGATGAAGTAGGAGAACGCCGTGTTGAAATCTTTGTCTTCTGCGTGTAACTTTCCGGATTGCATATCCAAGCCGGCTTGTAAGAGAGGAGGCGTGTAGACGGATGCGGCGCTTGTGCGGGCGCTGGTGAGGGCTGCTCGGCCCTTGGGCACGTTGCCTAGGGCATGGTAGACGCGCGATTCAAGGAGCTGCACTTCGACCAAGACCAGTTTATCATCCAGCCGTTTGAGCTCCTTCAGTAGGCTGTTGATAAGGGCTAAGGCATCGTAGTAGGATTGCTTGATCATGTAAAGCGCCACGAGACGGGTTTCGAGGTTTTGGCGGAGGAAACCTCTACGTTCCGAGTTGGCCCATTCGATGCAAGATTTAGTGACGGTGATTTGGATATCTGTTGTGTTCGGGATCGCGTTGAAGAGGTCCAAGAGTTGTCGGACTGAGAAGGGCAGAAGGTCAGCATTCTGAATTCTAGTTCACTTGACAATGGTCATGGAATGGTTTTTGAGATCCTTGAAACCACGGAGGCCAATCTGTTCGAACATACCAAGCTTCGCTGTCTTTGCTTTGGCAAATGACGATAACACCGTCCGACTCGTCGTAATCAAGTCAACTAGATCGCCCGCTCTCCTACGAAGGATCAGGGTCAGTCAACACTCTACAGTTAATTGAATAGGATCCCGCACTTATCATCTCGATATAATTCTCCCAGGCTGACCAGCGCAGTTTCGTATTCCCGTACAGCGGCATCTGAGGTTACTGAGGGAGGTTTCGAGATAATTTCTTTGTATTGTGTCTCTGCCTTTCTCGGGTCCGTCTTTGCGAGCTTCTGAGCCTCTTGTATCCTGGCTGAATCTGGGGGCGCCATGCTGAGAGACGGTGTTTATTGTTGATAGAGAGGGTGGAGAGGTAAATAGAGGTTGCTGTTGCGGTTGCGTATGAAGCTTCCGCCTGAGAGCTCACAGTACAAGAACCCTGGTCTCGCGCTAAGAAATTGCACCCCTGCATCTGCACAGCCGTCGCCCTAAAGTTACTTTCCGCCTCCGAGATATTTTCCAACCTTTCGACTGTTTCTGAAAATCACTTAGCTCACCTCGACGATGGCCGCTATAATATAATATGAATGCAAAATGGTATGTCTTGCTCCGAGGTTTATTTCCAATGCCTCAAATGCTTACAGGATCCGTTATTCCAGAAAATCCAAACTCTCAGTCGTCCTGCCTCGTCGGCGCAGACCCCCGGGTCCAATGTCGCAAAGCAACCCCGCAACCTCGACCCAAGCCTGCATCCATTCGAGCGGGCAAGAGAATATACTCGGGCACTCAATGCTACGAAACTAGAGCGGATGTTTGCTGCGCCTTTTATTGGGCAGCTGGGAAGGGGCCATGTCGATGGGGTTTATACTATGGCGAAGGATCCAAATAATTTGCAGATTTTTGCCAGTGGAAGCGGAGATGGCGTCGTCAAGGTCTGGGACTTGACCAGCCGTGAGGAAATATGGAACGCAAATGCGCATGAAAATATTGTTAAAGGGATGTCATGGACCAGGGACAAGAAGCTCTTGACTTGCGCCAGCGATCGGACGATCAAACTCTTCGATCCATACAATACATCCTCGGGGAAAGCTCCCACTGCTACCTGGCTTGGTACAAACGCATTTACAAGCCTGTCACATCATCGGTCAAAAAATGCATTTGCTGCTTCCTCTGGAGTTATCTCCATCTACGATCTTGAAAAGACCAACGCCCCACCTGATGTTCTCAAGTGGCCAACGGCCACCGATACTATCACCGCTGTTTCCTTCAATCAAGTGGAAACCTCAATACTGGCTTCTACAGCTACGGATCGATCAATTATACTCTATGATCTACGAACATCGATGCCTTTGGCTAAGACTGTTTTGAATTTTGCTTCGAACGCGATTGCATGGAATCACCAGGAGGCATTCAATTTTGCAGTTGGTTCCGAAGACCATAATATCTACAGTAAGTGTTCCGCTAGTACATCTATTTTCGACGTAACAGAGCTAACTCGTATCAGTTTTTGATATGCGGAAAATGAACAGAGCTCTGAATGTCCTGAAGGACCATGTGGCAGCTGTTATGGACGTGGAGTTTAGCCCAACTGGACAGGAGCTTGTCAGTGCATCATATGATCGAACCGTTCGTTTATGGAGTCGTATGAAGGGCCACTCGAGAGATGTCTATCACACCAAGCGAATGCAAAGAGTCTTTTCCGCCAAATGGACCCCGGATTCCAAGTATATCCTTTCTGGGTCTGACGACGGCAATATTAGATTATGGCGAGCGAACGCATCGAAAAGGGAAGGTATCAAATCAGCAAAGCAACGACAGTCTTTAGAATACAACGAGGCTTTGGCGGAACGATACGCGCATATGCCTGAAATTAGACGCATCAGGCGTCATAAGCATATCCCCAAGGTCGTGAAGAAGGCTGGGGAGATTAAGTCCGAGGAACTCAAGGCGATTAAGCGGAGAGAGGAAAATGAGCGAAAGCACACGAAGATGCAATTTAGGAAGCGACGGAACGAGAGAGAGAAAATGATTCTGGCTGCCGAAAAATGATCCACGATATCCCAGGGCACATGGTTAAAAAATTGGCGTTCTAGTTGGTCTGGGCATTTACAAGGCGCTGGTGAAAAATGGAAATGGAAATGGACTAGAGGTATACCAATAAGAGTGTATGAAACTGATTTTCTTGAATGCTAATATGCGGTTATAACTATGAGGGTAGAGGAAGAACTGCTCTATATCTCTTGCTCAGTTCTTGACCACGCTTAATTTCAATGTTTGTTTTCTTCCAGCTTCCGTGAAAGCATTATTGTGCCTAGATCAACGGGCATTGCTGGCCTATTCTGCTAGAAAACGTCAAATACGATGCACGGCAGTTGTAACTTCGTCGATTCCTAGCTTGCCCCTTCATCTTGTCCTCCAGAAATTTCTATAATTAATTAATAACATTGCCTCGGAACAATAACAGTTGTAAGAAACAACCAAATCTGTTATTTCTTTTAAGCTGCCTTGCTCTTTTCATAACAAGCTTCAGCCTATAATTACTAAGCCTCTCAATATACGATAGGGGTTCCAAATGATATATTGTTGAGTTCATATCTAGCCGCACAGCCTTGAACATAGTACTATAATACACCAAATTGGTGCGAAGTCGGCTATGCCGCCTGTAGAACAGGGCTTGGTGTAGATTTGAACAAGCTTATCTGCTCCTTGGGTCATTAAAACCTAGGATTTTGTCTAGTTCCCTAGAGACTCATCATTGTGTGTTACTGTGTTAATTGAACATAGCAAATTTATAATATCGCTAGTGAGTGATTGTTAAGCATCCAAGAAAATGTATTACAAGGCATGTCTGTGAGTTTGCCAAGTAAACAATCTCAAGAACGTAATCAAGTCAAGATATTATATATTATTCTGTAAATTACCTTTTAACAAACATTATAATCGAGGGTTATTATTGTATCGTCGCTTTAAAGCAATTCTATAATTAATTCAAGTTATTACAGTTTTGTTTTCTGTATATAAAACTATATACCCTATCACAATAGACAATCAAATCCGCATGAGCATGTCACAAAAGCCCGCTAATATCCATCATGTCCAGTTATTAAGAACGCATCTGCTTTATATAAAGAACTACCCCAGTTTCCTAACACCCTACTCTCCCTAAATATTATACATTAAGCAACTCTTCTAATACATTAGTAAATCCAAGACACTATCATAACCACTTTGGTATTGCTGCGTTTTTAATATATTGTCTACACCGAGATTCCCACCCCCCTTTACGCGATTTCCTTGTGACCTGGAAGCGAACAACAGTGAAACGCAAGATAAACAACAACAAGAAAAGTGTCTTCTAACGCAATATAAAAAGTGAAAATTGGTCTTGGAAGGAGTCGAACCTCCATCTTCAGCTAAAGCGACATTAAGCGTATAGGCATGACCCCATAAGCCTAATGTCCTCTAGAGCGAACCCATTTGTCACTGATATTCTAACCATTGAACTACAAGACCGGTTTTTTTGTTAAAGGAAAATGTGTTTAATTGTGATGATGTAGTTTGGGGAGGTTAAGGTGAGAGAGGAGGCGGTGTCCCATGATGTTCTGCCCGTGAATAGCGAGTGAGGGCGGTGTCGGGAGTTGGAGATAGTTGGATAGTAAGGTTAGTGTGGGATGGAAGACATAGTGTGAGTACTTATGTAGGTGGGATATTCCCTCGTTTCTCGATATGTCCTATAGTCTTGACCTAACTATTTTCAAGCATTGCCAAACATATTAAAAATTGAGTGTTCCACGAATTCTGGCATCCTCTGGCGGGCCTCCTAAATCTAATGATAATGACACCTGCACCACTTTAGCAACACCTTGACAGATTTAATATAGCGTTACAAGGTTGTAAATTGCTGTTATACACCAGTAGATATCGTCTCAAAGGGTTAATATATTTCAGTTTAGCAAATCCTGCCCCTACCTTAAAAGTCGGACTTTAAAGCAAAAAACCCCATAACCTTTGTAAAGGAACTTCATTAACACGACCTCATAAACCTATGTTACTCCTACCAATTTGACTTGCTGAATTTGTAACTTGATGCAGCATTAGAAGCCCTGTATGCACTCTTCATACACGCTAGAAGCTCATATCTTGGAAGAACTACTTTATGCCTTGATTTAATGTTAAGAGACTAGGAGGACCAATTTAATAGGGGCTGCGCACATAAATAAAGCTCTATTATCTTCTGGTGAGTAGAACATATGAAACTCGGCACCAAGGTACTTTAACGAGTGCCTACCCAGATGATTTAAGACTGGTCCTTAATGCATGTAGTATGAATGCCCACAACACCACTTGGACCGGGGTAACGGAATGTGGAAATTTGCTATTATGCTGTATTTGTGAATCGTGCCTGCCGACGCCATACAAACTCCCCACCCAAGCGCCTGTTATGATTCATGAAAGTAACATTTTCATACACGACGGGTTACTCATCCACTTCCATTTCCTCGTCCTGCTTGGCTTGTTGATCCAACTGCTCCTTCCTGGCTTCCCTGGCGTTGTCTGTCATAGCTTGTCTCTCTGCTTCTCCATCTGGTCTCCCGAGCACATCCGTAATGGCCTTTAATATCTCAGCCTGCGTCGTATCGCTGGGAAACCGCTCTTCCATCTCCTCGATGATCGTGTTTAGATTCTCTGGTTTGGTTGGCCGAAGATTCAAGATCATAATGATCTCTCCCTTTGTGAAATCCCATGGCCGTAACCCTGCGAGGAGATTTTTGATCGTTCGCTCATTGTATGGAAGAGGCTGAGATCCAAGCGGCGACGGGGCTTCCCGGAGGTAGTCGAGCAGCTATGCAAACATGTTAGATCGGGCCATAGACCGGCTGGCAAAACAGCCTCTCACCTCTTTAACAATTGTTGCAAGGTTCCCTGGCCGCCTGTCCTTTGGGTCTTTATGGTCTTTTCTCCCATGCTTCCCGCCTTTCCGGCTCTTCTCGCTGCTCTCCCTGCGTTCATAGCGTTCAGCCTGCTGGGTCAAATGCAGGTACACCTCATAGTTGGTAAGCGTCGCTGACTGCGCCTCAAGGATCTTCATGGTGCACGTTCGATCGCTCGCATTGGTGTCTCTCACGGGGGAGGGGATTTGGGTCGTCGTCGTTATATTTCTTTTGCCCGACGCCTTGTTATGCAGCCTTGCAGGACCCCTCCATAGTGCTACCCCGGCTTAGGTTTAGCGTGAACTCGTTTCTTTCAGCAACCTTTTCCTCAAGCTCGCACGACACTCTCACGCTGACTTTCTAGACTTTGCTTGATTTCACCATCAGACCGCCAAATGGATAGCAAGCCTCGCAACTACCCTACCATGCTTCCTCCATTGTTATAACCTGTTCTCCCTCTCTTTGTATCTCCCCTCTTCTCGCCATCCAGCTCTCCTCTGCCGTTCACTGGTGCCGAAATCGCCGGCAGCTTCCCCACGCGCTTGTCAAAAAGCAGGATTCCCGATACCTTCCCCGAACGTCGATCTCTTGCATTCATCCCCCATTGCATAGAGAGTTCATCATGGTTCGGAATATCGTCGTCTTGGGAGGGAATTCCCATCCCCGCCTCGTTGACACCGTCACCAACATTCTCGGTGTTCCGCAGTGCAACCGGATTCTCAAGAAATTTTCTGTCGGGGAAAGCCGCTTAGAGATCCAAGACTCGGTCCGAGGCAAAGATGTCTACATCATCCAGTCTGGAGCCGGTAAGGTCAATGATAACTTCGTTGACCTCTGCATCATGATCTCGGCCTGCAAAACCGGATCTGCGAAGCGTGTCACCGCCGTCCTCCCATTGTTTCCCTACTCCCGACAACCTGATGTGCCATACAACAAAATTGGGGCTCCACTATCGAAACCGCCAACGGATGTCAATAGAACCGATTTTACTTTCGAAAGTCGGCCTACAACCCCTAGCCCAGCCCAACCGCAGAGCCAAGGGCTTACGAATGGCATCGACGGACTGCAGCGAAAACTAGGCAAGACTTCTCTCGAGCAGCAGAACGGGTCAAATGGTATTACTCCACCAAGACGCTCCGATACAGCTGATTCGCTTCAGTCTCTAAATGGACGGGACCGCGGTTCCTCGCTGGGATCCCCGGCAGCTCCCGCCTTCACCACCCACGATTACGATAACCAAGCTATGGTCAACAAGAACTTCTTTCAGGCCAAGCCAGGATACAAGCAATGGGTAGCTCAAGCTGGAACGCTTGTTGCAGACCTCTTGACATGTGCTGGAGCCGACCACATAATTACAATGGATCTGCATGACCCTCAATATCAGGGATTCTTCGACATTCCCGTGGACAACTTGTATGGCAAGAGTCTTCTGAAAAAGTATATTGAAACAAGGATTCCGGATTTCAAAAATGCTGTCATTGTCAGTCCGGATGCTGGTGGTGCGAAGAGGGCCACCGCTATTGCGGACGATCTCAACTTGGAATTCGCATTGATCCACAAGGTAATACTACCCATGACTCTAAACTTGCGCACACTCATATCCTCTAGGAACGCCGCCCAACGCGTATTACAGACCGTCAGAATGCCACCATGATGCTCGTCGGAGATGTTGCGAACAGGGTCACTATCCTAGTTGATGATCTAGCCGACACTTCGAACACAATCACTAGAGCAGCCAAGCTACTGAAGAAAGAGGGCGCTACTCGAGTCTACGCTTTGCTCACGCACGGCATATTCAGCGGGGATGCCATCGCTCGTATCAATGCTTCTGCTTTAGATAAGGTCGTTGTGACGAATAGCGTTCCTCAGGAGGAACACTGCCGACTGTGCCCTAAGCTGGAAGTTCTGGAGGTTGGCTATGTGTTTGCTGAGGCTATCCGTCGTGTCCACCATGGAGAATCTATCAGTGCCCTTTTCTGGGACTAGGTTGTAGGCATTTATGGGTATTTTCGTTTGTCTGAGGAAGTTTGCATCCATCTCGGCGTTCTATGGAATCGGTGGCTGTGGGCTATCTGTGGCAGCGAGCTTTGCAAACTTGCCATGTCCACCTGCCAAACATAATTGCTATACCCCATCGACCGCTCTGCGGATCATACTGACGTCTCATAATCGTGGAAAACTTAGACAACCCATGATTGTACTTCCACTGAACGCTTTCCCAAGTGCTGGATATAGGCGTGACGCAGTTCATCTTGTTAAATAAGAGATTATACATATCGGGACAAGTATATAGAAAAGATTTGAGCAGAGCGATGGATACCATGCTCCTCGTGACTCAAGCTGGTCAATCATGAACTCGATTTCCGAAATGCGGCTAATGTTAACACCCACACTTGAGCAACTATGTAACGTAAAGGAACCGGTTGTTTAAAACCGTAGATTTTGTCCATCTCAGCACACGAATTTGAATGACGTACTCCATAGTCCAAGCTTTAGTGCTCGTAAAATGTTCTCACCAATAAACGAAGTTTCTAATAAATCCGAATGTCTCAAAGCACTACTCCGCGATCGCTGTCAAAAAGAAAATACTACATCGCAAGGCTGAACCTCCGCCTCGCTTGCCGCTTCTCCTCCACTCGAGACAAACGCCCGTTTTCCCATTCCAAAGCCTCCATCCACTCCCAATACCAATTGCCATTCTCCCAACATCGGCGCCATACTGACCGCTCTCCATAAATCAATAAATCAATATGTCTTTCTCCGACGAAGACGAAGACGAAGACTCCGCTGCAATGGCAGCGGCAATGGGGTTCTCCTCCTTTGGGGCGTCGATCCCTGCGAAAAAGAAGCGTAAATTCAACCCAGCAACGGACGCCTTTGTTTCAGGACAGGAGTTAGCTGCGCTGGATCGCGGAGGCAAGAAGGGGAAAGGGAGTGGTGGGAATACAGTTGCGTTGGGGAAGATCAGGACCTTTGGCTCCGGAGCAGAAATCGAGAAGGGATTGAACGAGGCCGAGATTGACCTTGGCGATGACAATAATGAAGGAGGCGAGAGTGAAGGGCAACACGGAAGACATGGAGATATAAATATGCATAGTCTCAGGGAGGGAGACCCAGATGATGATGTGGATGATGGCCCAAATTACATGGATACGAGCCAGCCGCCTCCTGCAGCTGTGGAAACAGAAGCGCAAACGGACGAAGATAAAGAAATGCAGGCTAGAATTGATGCCATTCTTGCATCTGTCCCTCCACCTCCTCCAGGATCTAGTGAAGAAGTACCGAGGCTCCAAACCCCAGCGGCGCCAGGGCAACTTCATCCTCCTCCATACAACCTCCCGCAGCGCCCGCCTCCACCACCAGTTGGGGGACTAGGGTACACCGACACGGCGTTCATGCAAGGTCGTTTTGATCCACCTCCTCCGGGTGTGGGGTCAAGGGGTGGTGATTCTGCCTCCGTTACTAGTTCAAGAGGTAGAGGTGGCGGAAGAGGGGGAGGGAGGGGAGGCCCAGAGCGGAATGAGAGGTGGTATGAAGGTTACTATGACCCGGGGTTTAATGAAAACCCATGGGATCTGTTGGAGAAAGAGAGGGGGTTACAGCCTGTGGGAAGCTGGCTGCAGCGAGGGCATTGGAGTGCGGAGAGAAGGAAGGCTGAGAGCACTTGATAGCTAAGGATGGCTATGTATGCTTACGACGTCTTGGAGTATTTTTATGCTCCTCCCAAAGCTTGATATCAGCTTTGTATCAAACCACGCCAAAGATATATTCATCGTTCGAACCTCAAGATGGGAAGCCGTACTTCCCTTCGCTGTGGAAACCCCCCTTATCAAGATCAAGTTTTGGACGTCAAGAGAAGCCATCGTAGGATGTCAAGTAAGGGGCTCTGATCTGGGGTCGATATGGATTCAGCTTTAGTTTAAGGAATGTAAGGTGAATAGCCACCGTTGATCGGCCGAGATAGCTTTAAGGCATTTGGTGAGGAATAGGAGTATCGGCAGATGCATACCACTATCAACTATAGAGCAGCCGTCCCTAAGTATGAGTTTGATCTACTACACTCGTCCATACTCCGGATATGCCGTTAAGTGTGCCCTCATCAAGCAGCTACGCTTCCACAATGTACAAAAGTAATGAACATGGCTTTAGAGGCTTCTCGGATGCCCACCAACCTCCTTTCTTCTTTCCCTTTCCCATCGAGACCATGCGCGGTTGCGGGATCACTATTATCACTACCGGTTTATTGGGATTCATGATATTGTATTGGAGCTTAGACTTAACAGAGTATATCTACTCATCAAATCCATTCCATACCTCAACCGCGGCGGCTTCCAAATTTTCCCGCTTCACTTGCTCAATCAAAGCTTGGACATCCGCCTCTTTCTTTTTCTCCTCTTCCGTCATGTTCTCCAACCGTTCTGCCTCTCTCTTCCGCCTCTTCTTCTCCCTTCGCTCTTCTTTAACATCCTGCTGGTCGTGCTTCTGGCTCCAGGCCTCTCTCTCCTTTCTCTTCTTCAACACCTCTGCACTGGGTACGTAGGGCCCTTTCAACTTCTCCTCCTCCATCGCTACTCTTCTTGCTTTTTCTCTAGCCTTGTCCTTGTATGCATATTCAGTCATATCCAACTGAACTCCAAGTGTTTTATCTCCCTCCCATTTCTTTAGCTCGGGCATCTTGGGAAGTCGTACAAGTCCCCACGCACGGCCTAGGTCCGTCCAATCTAGGTCTGTAACACGGAAAATGCTACTTGCTTGGTGCTTGGAATATGCCTTAACCCAGCTCACGAAGGCGCGCTGGCCTTTATCGTAGAGTGCCCTATCCGCGAGAACTTCCTTGCGTATCTTGGCTGTGACTAATTCCGCATCCTTATCAGTGGTAGTAACTGCTGGCCGTTTTAAAGGTTCTATAGGTGTCTTCCGGACGCCGAGGAATGGAATGTAATCCTCTTCCCTTCCGGGCTGAAGGAAGATCACACTGAGACCTTTCCGTCCTGCTCTTCCGGCCCGACCACAACGATGGAGGAACACTTTTGGGTCGGAGGGAGGGTCTATTTGGACCACCAGGTCGACTTGGGGGATATCAAGCCCACGAGCTGCTACATCGGTAGTCAGGAGAATTGTAGGTGAAACTGCGGTAACATATTTTGAAAAGTTCCTCTGCCGTACATTAGGGGGATGTTTTCCATGCAGAGTTATTAGAGAGAATTGTTTCGGCAGTATGGCGATGAGGATATGCTGGAAATAATCGACTGCCGCACACGTCGAAAGATACATGATACTTTTTTGGGGCGTAGGATCTAGGTTTGATAATAACGAGAGGAGCGCGGGGAATTTATGGCTGGGCGGGGTGAGCAAGTATGTCATCTGAAGACTTGCTGGCGTTCTTTTATCATCTCCCGATGCGCTTTTGACCTTCACGGCAATTTTGACCGGATTTCTCAACCCAACCCGCACGATTTCTCCTACTGCCTCGCTGACCGACGCGCTGAACAACCCAGTTCTCCTTTGCTTGGGCAAACGACCAAGGATCCTTTGTAAATCATCCTTGAAGCCTAAATCGAGCAATCGATCTGCTTCATCCAGAACCAGGACTTCAAACGAAGATTGAGGACAATGTACGTGCGGGGATGAGAGAAGCTCGAGGAGTCTGCCGGGGGTAGATATCAAGAGATTCGGGCTGTTTTTCAGAAATCTGCTTAGATCTTGAGCAGGAGTTGTTGTCCCGCCAAGAAGCAGCTGAGGAAGAACGGTGTTGGAGGAAATCGGCCTTTTTGTCTCGCCATCTTCTGACGGGTTCAGGGCGTCGGCGGAAGGTTCGTGAAATGCTAGCAAGGAGCGGAGGACGGAATGGATCTGAGTCGCCAGTTCTCGGGTTGGTGAGACAATGATGGCACCGACATGGTGTTTTTTAAGGGGCTCTTCTAATCGCAATAGCTTTTCCACTACTGGAATAAGAAATGCCAACGTTTTCCCGCTCCCCGTCACAGCCTGTGGAAATTCATGTTAGTCTTTGATTTGGTAAATACAAATAGAGGACGGGCGACCCACTTCTACCACTACATCTTTGTTTTTTAAGAAGAGAGGAATACAAGAAGCTTGCACAGGCGTCATTCTTGAAAAGCCCATAGCAGCAATGGCATCCAATATCCATTGCGCCAGCGGGGGAGTCAAGGCATCCCAAGCTCGGGGATCATTCTTCTCCCTCTCCTTCTCGTTCAGCTTCTGCTTCTTCTCGGTGCTGAGCTCCATGGCGCGCCGGTTGCCAGGATATGGTTATGATTATGAAGGCGTGAGGGCGTGAAGCTGTGGTTATGGTTTTCCTTCCTGTCCCTCCATCGCAAGATCTTGCGCCGGGGTAAAAAATGTTGTCTGTGGCTTATCTTATCTTATCGCCGATCGTGTACTGTAGGCTGCACCTGATTTTTTAGCGACGCCAGAAGCTGCCAGAGTAATTTGCAGCTGAAGAACCAACCAAGTAACAACACTCTGGTTGGAGACAAAGTCCTAGGTAGGTACTTATTATCTTTTACGCAGCGATTTCTCTCTCCTGTTCCCAGACCACCCATATTTCATTTATATTCCGGTTCAAACCTCTCAACAGCGCTGTTCGGGCTTCTCCCACCGGCGCATGTGATATCTGTCCAGATTGGGTTGGTCCGGCTTTTCGTAGTTCGGTGTTCTGCGAAGTACCAAAATTTCGGTCTTTGCGAGTTGCCCAAGCTGCGAACCTGCAGACCTGCACCACCTGGAACTGAGACCGTTATCGTTCCTAACTGGCTCCTGGTTGTCATGCTCATGTGCCTCGAGAAAGGCACACAAAACCCATCATCTCTTTCCTCACCTCCAACCATGCAGCGCAGTCCTGCTCTGCGCCGTCCGTTCCGCTGGAGTCAGTAAGCACACCCGCATCTTTGTCTTCTTCTTCTTCTTCCGTCGCTACCATACGCCCTTCGCGGAAAGATACACATCTCCACTCTACTATTTGGCTCTTTCGAGTCGCAGATTTCGCGTCTATGCCTACAGGCGCTATCCGAATGCCATCGTTGCCGCCTTTCACCATGTCCCGATCCTCGTCAAACCCTATTCCGGCAACACCCAGAGTAATATCCCCTTCACCGACGCCGTCGGATGCCCGGGAAGCATTACAAGATGGATATCTGGGGCCTATGACCAGATCGGCGAGGAAGAAACAGTCGCAGTCGGCGTCTCACGCATCCATAAACGAAGATCTAGACGAGGATGAGGAGATCGGCGATGAGCTAAGAAGGGCCAGATCAAAAAGCAGAAGTCCTATAAGGGTTCGGAAACCAACCGGCCTGACACCTGTGAACGCCAAGGCATCAAACTCAACATTAAAGCCATCGCCGAAACCTCCTGGCGGAAAAGAAACGAATGGACATCTGTCACCAGCTAGTGCCAGCACAGGGTGGAGTTGGAGAGACATCAGTCGAAGTCCCAGTCCGCTCGGCTTGATTCCTATCCACAGGCACTGGAGGTCTTTCGTACACCGACACGAGGTTCCGCGAAAGATGCTGCATGTGTCGATCGGGTTCTTCGTTATATGGGCCTATGTCCACGGTCTACAGACCTCTCAAATCACGCCGTATCTTATGGGGGCTTTCATACCGATCGCAACAGTTGACTATATACGTTTTACATATCCCTCATTTAATCGTCTATATGTCCGCGTTTGCGGCGCTCTGATGCGTGAAACCGAGTATGAAGGATGGAATGGCGTCATCTGGTACCTCCTCGGGGCATGGATTGTTCTGACGTTCTTCCCAAAGGACATCGGGGTCATGGGCGTTCTTCTCCTCAGTTGGTGTGATACAGCTGCAAGCACCGTGGGACGGCTCTACGGGCGCTACACGCCTCGCATCAGGAGCGGCAAATCGGTCGCTGGATCGCTTGCTGCCTTGGTTGTTGGTGTGGTTACCGCGGTTGGTTTCTGGGGGTATATAGCGCCGCGGTACGGCCCCTTTGTCAACGACATAGACCAACCTTTTATGTTCACAGGAGCCTTGGCTCTCCCAGAGGCTATCCGTGATCTGTTTGGTCTAACTGCGGCTCAAGCAAGCATCAGCGGAGGACTGGCACTGGCGGTGATGAGTCTGTGGACTGGGTTTGTGGCATCAGCGAGTGAAGTAATTGATATGTTTGGCTGGGACGACAACTTGACGATACCGGCACTGAGTGGGCTTGGAATGTGGGGATTTCTCAAGGTATTTGGATAGAGAGGGGCACGGGCGTTCCGGTGGGCATTACATCGCATACACTAGAGGGAGGATTTGGGGGGTGGAGTTTTCATTTCGTACGATAATATGTCCTGTCCACTATACATGAGTCTTGCAGAGCTTCGCTGGCCATGCAGCAAATTGACCCGAAATGTCGTTGGTGTCTTTCCGCAAGGGATGTTTTTCATGTTCCCGCACGGGGAGCAGGCACATCCTTCCAGTTTTTCCGGCGTGGAAGGCCCATTCATTGGTGCAGATCCCGTCCATCGGCAGCCCTTCCCTCGGTGCGGGAGCCTGGAGGTGGTGGGTTTTTATTTTGAAGTTTGGCGGTTTGGGGGAATTGGAGTTCGGTTGCGGGCATGTCGTGTCGTTAGAAGCGCATCGTGGGCGAGGTGCGGACTGGGGGTTGAGGTTGGGATTGGGGATTGGAGATTTGGATCGGGGACTGGGATCAGGACTTGGGGATTTGGAGATTGGGGATTCGGGATTGGGGACTGAGATTGGGGGATTACGTGGTGATGAACCATGGGCCAGTAGCAGTCCACTGCTGAATGTGTGCCGATTGCTGGGTATTGGCTTTGCTTGTGGCCTTGAGTGAGTGCCGGCTTATGGGCTTTTTCTTGCTCCTTTGGAGAGAACAGAGGACAGAACACCTCGTACTTCGTTTCGTACTAGACTGTGGTACCTGTACCTTGGTGAGACGGAGGGAGCAAGGCGGCGACGGGAGATGGCAGTTTGCAGTTGGCATCTGGCCTGTGGCAGTTTTCCAATTGTCTCTCTGTTTCTGTTTCATTGTGGCCGAGGAGCAGGGCGAGCCAGTTCGTCAGCCTGCAGTGCAGTAGTTCACGTAGGGCTTGTTGGTCCTGCCAGTCATTATTGGCCGCATGGCATGGGGGATCCTGTGATCGGACGGCGATGGCGAAGGCGATGGCGATCAATAGATCCAGTGGGCGTCTGGGTGCGATGGTGAGATGTATGTACTTGTACGTAGTAGAGTGGTGGAGTGGTAGAGTAGTAGTAGAGTAGAATCTTCTCTGGCTTCCACGCCCGTGGCTGCAGTGGGTTGTTGGCAGTGGGTGGGTGGTGGGCGACCCGATGTGATATCCCCGAAGTATATATATACTATATAACCATCAAGGATGTATGAATAGACATATAGTGTGCGTACGTAGTATTGCGCCAAGTCCCCTCTCACTCTCTCGCTCTCTCGTTGTGGTGTTGTTCCTGTTCTTGTTCTTGTCCATTGCCCATTATTGTCCATGGCGGGGCAGATAAATGGCAGATCTGAAATTCTTGGAGGGGTCGACACGCCCTCAGACCGCACCCCGGCGAGCCGAGCGGCGGAGGGCGGAGTGCTGCGCTGCCCTGCGCTGCGCTGATGTATGGATGTCGAGAAATAATTATTCTGCCAACACATACATTTCGCGAACGCGAACAGGAACATCGCTACAGCACCGTATGCGTTGCAGCCTGACCTTTCTTCCCACATCCTCTTCCTCCGTCCATTGACAACCCGTTCGTTCGTCTTACCCTCCCCGGCGCCCGCCATAAGGCACTGTTACAGCCTGCTCTTGCAGTATAGCCGTGTCACCGTCACCATCCTCAGTCTTGCGCTCTGGCTTTGGCTCTGGCTCTGCCCTCCCGCGCCGCCGACGGCTGCTGCTGCTGCTGCTCCTGACACACTTTCTCTCGCTGCTTTTGGGGCCCGCGCTTGTTCGTTTGCTCCGTATCAAACCGCCTCACCATGACAGAGTGGGCTTTGCCTTAACCAGCCTGGACGACAAGATCTGCCCTCCGCCCCTAATCCACCCCCTCCGCCGCTCCACCAATGCCAGCCAATCGTCGACACATACAATGGCATGACGCCTATCGCTGAGCAATGGCAACTCTCCTTCCGGCCGCGGCGTGCCGTCAACCCAGGGCTCGAGCCGGGCCAGGGATTTCCCTCGTCGAATATAACTGCTGCATGGCTGGGAGGATGTGGGACAACGGTGAGAGGGTGGAAACACCAGCCGAGGGGGCGTAGCGGCTGCTTAGGGGGGCAAGTGAGAGTGAAGGCAAATACTGAGACCATGTCATGCCATGTCCAGTCCAGTCCACCAGCTTCCAGCCGGTCTTGCTCCTCCTCGAGCGGGGTCAGAGCAACAGACGGTGAGAAAGGGTTAGGTCCATTCCCCCCGATGATGGCACTTCCTTGAGCCAGGGGGCCCTCAAGACGGGTATAAAAAGGGGGACGAGAGACCGTCCTCGATGTTTTCCTTCTTCTTTCCTTTCCATCTTTTTGTTCAGTTCCACAAGTCTACTATTGCCATACCACAAGTTTGTTTTGCAAACATAAGCCTACTTCACTTTACCTCACCTCACTTCATCACATCACATCACCACATCACTTCACCTTACTGATACATACTTGCTTGAGTATCTCCAAGCATCATCGTCACATACTGTCCATCATCTATCTTGTCCCACCCCACTTCGCCTTCCCAAAATACTTGATTGCTACCAGCATCATCTCACAAAACATTCACCATGGCCTACCAGCAAGGTTACTACCAGACCAACTCCCTCCCCATTGCAGTTCCTGCAAAGCCGCAGCATGCTCAATATTACACCCCTCAAACTCACGGGTATGGAATTTCACCTCCTGAAGTTGCCGAATCTGTTACCACAGGATCGAGCATGACTCCAGCATATGGCCATTCCACATACTCTACAAATTCCGGCAGCTATGCCGGTAGTGGGAGCGATTACGACAGCACATCTTCTGCCAGTGGCTTGGATATGCAAGAGTATGTTCAAGATCGCTTCAATGGCGCTTTTGACCCTCTTCCTCTGGATCGCACCCTGGCTGTCCAGGCGCAAACGTGAGTATTCCAGCTGCGAGTTTCACTCCTACCGCATTCAGATTTGCTGACATTTCCGAAGATCTGGATTGCTAAATGCGAAGCATCGAGAACTTCAAGATTTGCAGCAATTGGCACAGCAGCGACTTGCGAGGTCGCGAGCCAGGTTGGCTGAAGGCTACCAGGATGCTAAGGAAGTGAAGAGAGATCTCGAGTGGACACAAAAGCGCGTTTCGTAAGTTCCTCATTTCTTTGTATTTCACGATTTTGTTTAGATGGTTTGCGATTCTCGCGGTCGTCCAAAATCTGAGCAGTCAAGTTTCGCGTAATCTGGGGTTCTCGAAAACTTGACTAACACAACTTCCAGATCAATGAAAACGAAAGCTTCTCGCAAGCACCCAAAAGAATACAAGCAAGCACGCGCGCGCTACCCATCGCCAGAATACTAAGCGTCGATTTCATTTCATTTACAAAAGTTTCCCAATCCGGTAGTTTGTTGTCGTCGTCGCTAGCCCCCTTTTCCTTGCATGATACATATCTTCACCTTGTCCCAGCAGCGGGGGCTCGCGGCTGTTTAGGCGCGTCCGCTGCTGCTTTTACAGCAGGCGGGTATTTCTGAAACGACGTTATGATTTCTTATTGGGCGTTTGGGACGGCATTGTGACGGCGGTGCATGGCGTTGAAGCGCCAGGGCTGCAGTAGTGCCCGCGTCTCCCCTGACCCCTCCCCCCTGGCTTGTCGGGAGCGCAGGGTGCAGGAGCGGCGAGGAACGGGTGTGACGTGCAGGCCAGGCGTGCGTTGCGGGTGCTTGGGTGGCTGGAGAGGGCAAGAACAGGACCTCTCTCTCGCTTCAGGGCGCCATCTGCATTATTGGGCGGAAACCTCTCTTTTCTACACGCCATTTCTGTCTCCTGGGCGTTGTTTTACTGCTGTTATAGGGATAGCGTAGCGGGCTTTGCTGCTTCTCTGGGAATAGGGCTTGTTTTAATAGGGAATATCCAAAATACAGCATTTTCTTCATCTCTCCCACCTACGTAGAGCGGGCTCGTGACTGGTTGGTTCAAGGGGCAGAGCTGTGATTTTCCCAATCAGGCGTAGAGACGTCAGCAGGGCTATCCCACCCCCATATACATGACCTGATTCTTGCAATCCCCCGACAGTAGACATGAACTATGATACACGTGTCCCCGTGATTCAACACCCTGAAGACCCCCGCTCTCTGCCACCCAGACCGTGTAGGATAGCCCGTCAGACGTGGCTGGTGGAATGACATAAGCAGCTAGGTGCCTGCCACTGCTGTACTGTAAATGGCGGGCTGGGGATTCTCTTGAGCAGTGCTAAATGACCCGGACTTGGTTCGACTAAGTGAGATTCACGTCCTGAGCATGTGTTTGTATATTCCTCACCACGTACTTTACATAAACTTCTTTATATATTCCAAAATATGTTGTTCTTCTTTGGGTCGTCACTTCAAACCAATAATTTCCCCTCTGTTTCGTAGAAGAGGGGTGGGGGTTCGTGCCTTATCTTGTGGTGAGGGATCGAGAAAGGGGGGGGGGGGGGGTTGGCCGAGCATTCTGCGAGGAATGGGCGCATCTTCGTACGTACTGTAGGTCTGGTTTGAAACAATTAAGGTGCTGAGAAGTAGGGAACGGTAAAAAATGCATTTGCGGGGCGAGTTGGAGGTGGAATGGTTTATATAAACTTGACAAGGTAACTACTTTGGCGGGAAGACACAGAGGGGAAATCATATACAGGTGTGGAAATAGATATTAGTTACGTGGCCTTTACTTTGGGAATATACTCAGCTGTCGGCAAGAGCCGGGGAAAATTAATTTTGGGGTAGTTAAGCATTGGTTACATCGAGATACTCAGAGAACTTGAAATGAGGTAGGATTTTGGTGAAATGTCCCTACAAATATCCCTCTTCCTACTGTGGAGTTTCACGCCGAGTTTTGTCCCTCATTTGTACCACGTATTATAAGACCAGTGGCACTAAAACTCCCCGGATGATTGTGAGCGGCTCCCGCTCAAAAGGACAGTTTGCTTTGTAAAAACATTCAAGCTTGGGTTCTAATAAAGGGGCCATAGTAGGTGGGCTTCTGGCTTTAGCTGGCTGTGCTTCGATTTAAAACTTAAGAACGCGACTCTGTTCGGACCTCCACTGTTGAAATGATAATAAAAGAATATTGAGCTTGAAAAGTTATAAAGGTCTGTTATATCTTTCCTTAATTAGGCATAGAATATAATAAATAGAATGTAAAAAGTCAAGACGACACTATCTATCTCGTAGTGATTAGATACTTCTACCGTAGGGGACATCGCGTTTAAGAAACTGTTTTACGACGGAGGGAAAGTGGAGAGAACATTTGTGGTATTGGTGGGAGGTGTGTCTTTAGGCATGTATTGATACAGGGGTTGAGGGTTGGGGCAGGCAGTGTGTAGTATTGGTAAAGATTGATTTAATAATTGAAAAGAGGTATGAAAGAAGGAAGAACAGTGACTTTGGCTGTTAACGCTAGTCATAAACCCAAGAATAAAGGGGCATATCGGGGTGCATAGTTGGATGAAACAGACGAAGGCAATGCAAGACCAGAAAGTTATCACATGAACCAGCGATCGTTGCAGAATAATGTCTTTATATTATCCGTTGCTTCTTATCACGCTGCGGCAATCACTAGGGCCGAAGAGACACAAAAGGGCGGAGCAACAATCAAGCAAACTCGCTTCGCCTTGATAGCACAGGGCTTTCCCTCTACACCTGTAAAGAATGAACAGTTGCAGAGTATCTTTCCCTCATGAGTACTATCAATTTGACCCCTTGAGCAAAAACAGCGTCGAGTAGATAGCCCGCTTTTTATTTGAGGTACATTTTTTTGTTTGTTTACCAATTCTCAGTCTTGGTATCAGCGGCACCCCACTCAGCGGTAGCGGCAGGAGCGGCAGCCCATTCATCACCACTAAATCCAGGTTAGCTTAAGAACTTGCGAGTATTTATATCATTGAGAACTTACGCGGCATCCCACGAGGCACCAGCGGCAGCAGGAGCAGCAGCAGCAGTGGCGCTAGCAGCAGCGAATGCACCAGTGGCAGCTCCAGAGACCTCCCAATCGGCGTTTCCAGCGAAGCCCTGCTCAACAGCAGCAGTTCCGACCTCCTCGGCACCTGGGACCTTCTCCTCGACAACCTCCTTGTTCTCCTCAGCCTCGGGGTCACGGTAGAAGTACAAATCAACCATGACATCCCACTCGGCCTCGCGGCTGGCGATGGATCCACGAAGACGGAGGACCTCACGGGCCAACAACCACCAGACCAAACCAATAGCGTGACGACCCTTGTTGTTGGTTGGGATGGCTACATCGACGAACTCAGTTGGGGAGTCAGTGTCGCAGAGGGCAATGACGGGGATGTTGACGTATGAAGCCTCCTTGATAGCTTGAGCATCGGTGCGGGGATCGGTGACGATGATGAGGCGGGGCTCCTTGAAGGATCGGGTGATGTAGTTGGTGAAGTTACCGGGAGTGAAACGACCAGCAATGGCGACGGCACCAGTGTGGTGAGCAAACTTCAACACAGCACGTTGACCGTAAGGACGGGCAGAGATGACACAGATGTCGGCTGGGTTGTCAACAGCTGCGATGATACGGGCAGCGAGGACGATCTTCTCCCTGTAGAACAAAATTGTTAGAGCGTGATTCCTTTGCTTGCGGATCCCGCAAAGCCTATCCAATCCTTATGTCCACATACCAGGTCTTGCCAATGTTGATAACGTTGATTCCGTCGGGGCGAGTCTTCCACAGGTAAGGGTCCATGTGAACCTGGAGATTCTTGGAGCCGAGATGGCATTGAGCTGCGAGCAGCATCTCAATATCCTGGGAGGTGGCATTGAAAATGGGGGGGAGGTTTGAAGGAGCCATCTTTGCGATTTGACGTTGGGGGGAGGAGAGGTTGGCGATGTGGTGTTGAAGGTTGTTGGGGTGGGATAGAAAAGGAACGTCAAAGATGAAATTCGCGTGTGCGGGAAAATAAGTTCGCGATGCGATAAAGCGAAACCCTAATCGGAAATCAGGTTGCCGCCTCAGTCGCAAGGCATGAAGTTAACTACATCACGTGCCTTTGCTTCAACGCTAAGCCCAATGGAGCATTGGCCGGAAATTCCAAAGATTCAGGACAAGACTGGACTGTACGTACGAAGCACGAAGTACCGCGAGGGAAGTCAGAGACATCATCTGCCAAACCCGTGTCAATATGCCTCCCCGAATACCAAGACCAATTCTGTCGCCCCTAAGCGGTTCCAGTTGTGAGTCTCCTCACATCCCTTTTGTTTTATTCTACCATAGCTAATCAAGCTGTAGTATGCATTCGGCCAGCTACCGCTACCAAAGCATTCAAAGGGCCCCTTCCCACGACCTTAACGGCCAATGGCTCAACATCCGCTCGAAAGAAGCAACGGGACCCCTATGCGATAGCCCAGGCGGCTCAGAGAAAAGCTGCCAATGTAGCTAGGCAGAGGGTGCTACAGGAAGAGAGAACAGCAGCGATGGGTGATCCCATCCGAGGCATAAGAACTCCCTTTGTGGAATCATTCGACGACGTGGGAGGCGCAGCAGTGCTCTCAGAAAAGAAGGCAGAAGATGGTTCCTTGCAGGGCCTCGAAGTCAAAACGGGTGACAATGTGTTCCTCAATCACTTCGTCAAACCCTCTGAGTTTGAGGAATCCATCATACGCTCACACCTATTGTCGAGACCACTAAGAGAAAAGCTCGAACAGTATCGAGATCCAGCCAAGGAAGCGGAAGAGCTGCAGAAGTATGAGGAGGAGCACGAACGAGCCATGGCTGCGTTGACCCGTATTGTCAGTCTGGCAAATGCAAGTCAGAAGGATAAGACGAGGGCCAATATCCAGCGGTGTATACAGACATTTGGGCGCCACGAGACAGACTCTGTTCTTAGACCCCGACCGCCGATCAATCCCGTGGCTTTGGGGGGCAAGCCATTGGCAGTGGGTACCCCTAGGGCAGGTCCGGACACAGGAAGCTCAGAGGTGCAAATTGCAATCTTGACGGCCAAGATCAACGTGTTAGCGAACCAACTGGAGAAGAAGGGCGGGACTAAGGATAAGGTCAACAAGCGAAATCTTCGGTTGATGGTTCATAAGAGACAGAAGCTCTTGAGCTATTTGCGGAAGAAGGAGCGCGGGAGTGACCGATGGCAGAATCTGGTCAGCACCTTGGGATTGACAGAGGGGACTTGGAAAGGTGAAATCAGCCTGTAATTATATGTGTATCATGTGTCTGGGTCGCCAGGCGTATGTAAAATAGGGCTTAGATGTATGAACATAGCTGCTACACCACTTTTCTATTTGTTCAACGTGTGCCTTTTACGGATTGGATGGGCGAATCGTCAATTATTCAAGGGTCTCAAAATATTCCTAATCCATCACCTTGACTTGCTCGTGAACAAATCTGACAATATTACTAATGGAAAGGCTGTAGCAGTAGATTCATGGCCTCTGTAGCCTTCTCCACCCTTCTGATGATCTAGTGGGAATACCTTCTAGTCGGCCATGTCATAGCTGGGAAATCAATGGGTTGGGCACTATATTTCGATTGGAATGAAGTGGCCATAAACTATGGGGCTGAATACTGATATCGCTGCCAGGGCCTGTCCTGATCTCCTTGCGCCGACCGTATCACCTAACAGTACAAATTATGCCGGTGAAAACCAAGGCCAAAAAGGTAACTCAACGCTACAAGTCGACGCTTCAGAATACACTAATGTAATTGCCAATTCTATCCTTCTGGTTTTGGGCTATGCATTCCGCAATCCACGTTATATTCCGGATTTCCTAGATTCATGTCAGCGTTATTGCCGAATTTCATTGTGGACAACAAACCTGTTCCCGTAGCTTTACCCACGCATAGACAATAGCGTATGTAAATTGCTGGGTGAAGGCGCTCTTCGAGATCTCCATCTCCTTTTGGTAGAACATATCTTCTAGGCCTTTCCCTTCGTTACCAGCGCCTCCACTCATGTTGCCAGCCCCAGTGCTGCTCTGGCCCATACCTGCTGCATCAAAGTACGTCTTGTAATCACTAACGCCTTCCACCGCCAACCGGACGCCCTCAATATCATCTGCTCTAGACAGCATCAACGAACCTTCCGGGTATAATCTCCCAAAACTTGGGTACAACTTCTTCCGTGACCCTTTTGATAGCTCGGTTCCAAAGGAGTTCAAAGTGATGTTGATCGCTCTTCGGTCCGCCTCAAATTCCAGAATTTCTGTCATAACTTCCGCAGTGGGGGTACCAGCCATATCTGGGTCGGAGTTGACGAACTGATAGAAGTCTTCGAGGTAGTTCTTATATAAGGTGTTTCGGATAATCTCGATATTAAGCTCATCGAGATCTTGGTGACTCAAGCTTCCCTTAAAGTATGCCGCAAGTGGGGTTTCAATCAAGACGCTATTGTATAACTCCTCGATGTTTGTGGCAACGCAGAGGACCGGCATAGTCTCGAACCATCCCAAAGGATGGCACCTCTCCAGTAGCTCCCTGGTATCCCGCTCATGTAACGTACCAGTAATAAGCAGCGCCACGTTATCAATCATATAGCCGTATGTCAAGTACTCCATAAATTTCGCAAGAGAACCGACGGCATTTGCTTGGATATATCGGAACTCTGATATCAGCTTGTCGGTTGCCTTTGCAGCGAGGGTAGAAGTAGATGGATTCGGAGGAAGGGATGCGAGGAAGTCGCCATAAGCTGGGCCCAGTTGAAGCTTGAGATCTGATGCGCATTTAGCAGATGCCCCAGAGTACCATGGCTAGCTAACTAACCGTCGATCGTCTCGCATTGTGTTAAGTTGGAATAATTCTGGCCCGTCAAAAGACCGTTTCGATATCCTCTAACGATGCCCTCAATGTAGCTTCCGAAAGGTTAGATTGCAAACCGCGACAGAATTTGTATTGGCAGGGATGCATACCCATTGTTAACATTGAAGAAAAGGCCCTCCATTTTGGCAAACAAGTTTGAAATCGTCGATAGGAATTGATCTTGGTGTTCACATGGGAAGCCTGGAGCTTTGGATAGCTGAGGAGGGATATCACATGACGCGGGCCCTAAGCCCGATATGGCCATGCCCCCAATTAGCATAGCGTCTTACACTTTCTTCTCGCGAACTTTTTTTTTGAACCTTGAGCTTTAGGTCGGAAGAACTTCACGAACTGCACGACCACCAAACACAACCACAACGAGAATTGCCAGGCCAGGCCAAACTCCGAAAAAATGGGCCTCTTCGTTCTCACAGAGACCAGCGCCGGCTTTGCGCTCTTCAAAGCTGACAAGAAGGCACTGAAAAAGGGTGGCCTCACGGCGGAAGTCGAGACTGCAGAAGGCATCAATGGACTGTAAGTGCAATTGAGCTGCAATCCTAAGGTAGAAACGAGCCCAAGTTCTAATTGTGTGTCTGCTATAGCCTGAAATTGAAGCAGTTCCAGAAGTTTGATTCTGCTGCTACAGCTTTGGAGGAGGTCGCTACGCTGGTGGAGGGGAAAGTGTCTCCCATGCTAGCTAAGCTTTTGGACAGCCTCAAAGATGAGAAAAAGGCATCTTTGGCTGTGGCCGACCCAAAGCTAGGCCAAGCCATCAATAAGCTTCCAGGTCTTACCCTCACGCCAATCTCCGACTCCACCACGAATGATATTTATCGTGCAATTCGCGATCATCTCCCGTCGCTCATCCCAGGTCTCCTACCCGAAAATATCTCCACCATGTCTCTGGGTCTCTCGCATTCACTGTCCCGCCACAAGCTGAAATTCTCACCGGACAAGGTGGATACCATGATTGTTCAGGCTATTTCTCTGCTCGACGACCTAGATAAGGAGCTGAATACCTATGCTATGCGAGTCAAGGAATGGTACGGCTGGCATTTCCCTGAGATGGGCCGTATTGTCAATGATAACTTAGCATACGCTCGCGTCATTCTAAAGGCTGGTATGCGCACAAATGCTTCCAACACTGATCTTACGGATATCTTGCCTGAAGAGATCGAGACTGCTGTGAAGGCTGCTGCCGAAGTCAGCATGGGCACCGAAATCACTGAGATAGACCTGGAGAACATCAAGCTCCTTGCTGAACAGGTCGTTGGATTCACTGAATATCGCCAGCAACTGTCGAGCTACCTGAACGCTCGTATGCAAGCAATTGCGCCAAATCTGACAGAGCTAGTTGGTGAGCTTGTCGGAGCGAGACTTATTGCTCACTCCGGATCTCTCATGAACCTTGCCAAGAGCCCTGCCAGTACGATCCAGATCCTTGGTGCAGAGAAGGCTCTCTTCAGAGCACTGAAAACAAAGCATGATACACCCAAATATGGTTTGATCTACCATGCATCACTTGTTGGGCAGGCTACTGGAAAGAACAAGGGTAAGATTGCTCGTATGTTGGCCGCAAAAGCTGCAATTGCTCTTCGTGTCGATGCTCTTTCGGACTGGAGTGCTCAGGGTGAAGGGAAGGGTGATGACGTGGATGACGAGGAGAGGTCAAGACTAGGTGTCACGTCTCGTTCCAAGTTAGAACGCCATCTTCGACTGTTGGAAGGCAAGCCAATCCTTCCCAGAGGTGTTGCAATCGGACCTAATGGCAAGCCGGCGGTAACCCCTGGTAAGTGGGAAGTTAAGGAGGCGCGGAAATATAACCCCGATGCCGATGGACTGGCTGGCGATGAGCCTGCCGCAGTTGTTGCCGCCTCTGAGAAGAAGGCAAAGAAGGATAAAAAGTCCAAGGATGAGACAAAACCAAAGGCCAAGGAAGCTAAGAAGTTGATTGAAGAGGTCTCGGATGACGAGTCAGAGTCAGATGAAGAATCGGACGAAGACTCGGATGAGGAGATGGCTGATGTCGATGCTAGCCCATCCAATGGGACCAAGGCTACCAATGGAGATGATATGTCAGACACTCTTTCCACTGTCTCCTCAGATACTCCCGAGGCCCCGGCCTCACCAGAGGCTAATTGGCAATCTTCTATAACCGGCAATACGATAGAGGCGAAGAAGGCACGGAAGAAGGAGCGTCATGAACGAAACTTAGCGATGGCTGACGAGAAGTCCAAGAAGAGGAAGGAGCGAAAGGAGGAGGCTGCCAAACGAGCTGAGCGTGAAGAGCGAAGACAGAAGAAAGCGGAGCAAGAGGCACGAAGAGCAGCTAGAGAAACCGGAAGTTCGTCGCCAGAATCTGCCGAGGACCCAGATGTGAAGCTTGCAGCGCTCACAGGTCTCAGCCTCGAGAAGTATAAGAAGAAATTCGCAAACGGGCAGATCAGCATTACTGCGGAGGGTACCCCTGTCGTCATTAGCAAGAAGGACCTCAAGAAACAGTTGAAGAAGGAGAAGAAGGCAGGAAAGGAGGACAAGGCTGACAAGGCCAGTACCAAGAAGAGGAAGTTGGATGGTGATGATGTCGAGAAATCGGAGAAGAAGAAAAAGAAGAAGAGCAAGGATTGAGCTTCTTTTTTCTTCTTTTCTGTAACATAATGCGTCCAGATAGATGTCTCTGGTGCATGAGATGTTTTTATCGGCGTAAGGCGGGGCATGTCAGGGTAAATAGTGCTTGTGTGTGGAGTTTATTAAGGATTATGCTTTCCGCATTAAATAAAAGGGCTGGGTTAAATTGATTACTCTTAATTTCTCTCCCTAGATTCTGTGACTGATATGAATATAATAAATCCGTGTCCATTCGTAAGCTGGCACGAAGTAGGCGGCCCTAAATCTTAATTTGCACCTCAATTATTACTCAGTCAAACCTGGTGATAAATCCGTGCCGAACCCCGCACTCGCCAACGCCAGTCTCAGCCTCTTCAAAGCTCCATCCTCCTTCCTCAGCCTCGTGGAATAATTTCTCCATTGTTCAACAACCTAATCATCCTCCACTTGGCGCTCGGAAACTCGGCCCTCACCAACAGACTCCAACCCCCAAAGAATGTCAGACCGCATATCCAGTTCCGGATCAAGATCCCCTCGTCGCTTGGTGCGTGACGATCCATCCTCGTCAGGAAGACACCGCAGCAGATCTAGATCCCCACATCGACGCTCAGACAACGACCGAGACCGAGATCGCAATGGAGATGGTCGCCGAGAAAAGCCGCGAGCCAGTGGCGGTGGGTTTAAATGGAAAGAGAAGAGGCGGGATAATAACAACATGAACGAGGACCGAGACGGAAGGGAGAAAAGATTAGAGAGGGGATACAGAAACCGGTCACCACGACGGGATCGTGATCGCGAGCGAGAGCAAAAGAATAGCGGCGTCTCAGTAGAAGACAAATTTGGTGTTGCGGATAAATTCGGGCCCTCCTCTACCAGCTCCTCATCTAAACAGAAAGAATCCTCGGAAGGAACTGCTAAAGAGAAAATTGTGCCGCCTGCGCCTGTAGCAACACATGGCGAACCCATGATAATCGTCCACGTCAATGATCGGCTGGGAACAAAGGCAGCAATTCCATGTCTAGCTTCGGATCCGATCAAGTTGTTCAAAGCCCAGGTAGCAGCGAGGATAGGAAGACAACCGCATGAAATTTTGCTGAAGAGGCAGGGGGAGAGGCCATTTAAGGATCAGTTGAGTTTAGAGGATTATGGTGTGTCGAATGGGGTGCAGATTGATTTGGAGATTGATACTGGGGAGTGAATGTGTGGTTTGGAAGTTGATATCTGGGGTTTGAACGAACGGGCAAATACAGTATGGAATGGAACCCTTGTTTATAATGATATTTAAGCGTCTAATCTCTATCGATGCTATGGATGGTTTTGACCTTTAAGCTTCCCCTATTAAGGTATAGGTGTCGCTGGTCAAATCCTCTTTCTCTTTTCTGGGCAACTACATGCTACACACTACACGGGCAGCCGGCTTTGCGAGAGGCTGGCGAGCCATCTACGGACGAACTACTCCTAATTCTACTTGTGCTAGCCAACGCTCGATAACGCCGAGACTGAGCGAGCAGCCTTGACGTAAAGTCACTTCAACTCAGAGCAAACAATCCAAACCCAGTCTGTATTATTTTGCATGTCAACATATCTCAAATTACCCAGAACAATAAGACAACGGTTATTCTTAACGGAATCTAAAACTCTCTGGGAAAGTAAATACGTAGAAATAGCAATGAACTACTTTTGAATGGCTTTGTATAGATTGTCCATGCCGAGCTCCTAGCCATCTGAGGGATGGCAATCGAAAGCTTCGTCTGTCGAGCCTGTTGTCCGTCATCAATCTCGAAAGTGGCGGGGCAGTATTGTTTTCCAATTATCGTCTTGTCCAGTCAGAAGAACAGTTCTATCATCAAAGCTGGATTTGAAATACTTGGCTTCATCCGATGACTTGATGAACGCCAGTTGGATACATCTAGACGGATCCATCATCCCGTACATATCGAAATGTACGATTTCAAAGAAGCTAGGCATATGCCCTTGTAGGTGAGTTTTGAGTGCTTCAAAGCTACTTAGTCGAGCTACCTCCACCGAGACTACTCGAGGTTAAGCCTAGGCGACATCCACTATAATGCGAGCCGATGTTCAATATATAAAGACTATATCCCATAGACAGATGTATTAGAAGAAGACCCAGAGATAGAAGACCTTGACGGTAGACTAAGAGAGGTGGAGATAGAGGTAGCTTTTGCACATGATAAGTAGTTGGTGGTTTGATTGTCCCCCAATATTCCCCTTATCGATAAGGATAAGCCCGAAATAACTTAAAGTTTCTCAGCCTCTTTCATCTCAACAACACCACAACACCACCTCACATATCTCCATCATACAATGCCAATGCGATGCTAACAACGCAACCCCATCTCCGCACGCGGCGGCCCTCCCCCACCACGTCCGAGTATACCGTTTCAACGTCCCCTTCTCCAACTCTCACCCTTCGACTTCTCCTCCTCACAACAATCATCCTCCGTCTCCTAATCGGCCTCAGTGTGCTGTTGCTCCTCTACTCGAAATACCTTCTTAACAACTTCACATCCGCATCCCCTCCCGCGTCACAATCACAAAACCACATCGCCCCGCCATCATCGCCGTCAATTCTCACCACAGAGTACATCTTTTACATACTCTACCTCACGACATCCTCACCCATTGGCCTCCTCTTTGCGCGCCTCGCGGCGGTCCTTCCACTCACTATCATCATTCCAGTTTCCGCAATTCTCCTTTACGGCATCTTCCTCCGCCTCCACACCACCGAATCTCTTCTTGTCCTCCGAGGCCTAGGCATCCAAACCGTTACGTCTTCAGCCACGTATCTCAGCACCGCGACGACACGGTTCATCCCCACCGAGAAGATCCAGGATATCTTAGTTAATGAAGCATTTCGGGGTTTTGAGGTGCGCTATTATTTAGTGGTTGTTGTGGAAGGAGAGGAGGAAGTTGTGGTGGTTTTTCCAAAGTTGCTACCCAGGAGGAAGATTGTGGAGACAGTTTGGAGAGGGGTTAGGGGGTGTTTGTTCGAGCCCGAGACTGTTGGAAAAGATGGAAAGGGATAGTGAAGCGATTATGTGCTAGTAATGGTAATACGAAGTAAGTGTGGCTAGTGTTGGATGAGCCATTGGGTATCTTGTTGTAGCTCTTGTGCTATATATCACACCCGTGAGGATCCATCCTATTCCACTCCTTCAACAAATTCGTTCTCAGCCTCCTCCACAGCTGCCTTGTTCCGCGTCCTATATCCTTGCCTTTTCAAATCCTCCGCATTTTCAAAGCCCTTTCTCATTGCATATCTATCGTTAATGAAATCCACACTCTCCATGAAATGCTTCTTCATTACTGGTTGATATGTGCCTTGCAGCCGCGGGCGGTCCGCGCCGTGAAAGACCTTCTGGCTCCTATTCGGTTTCTTGCTTAGAGTTAAGTCCGTTATCTCGCCCCCCTGTCTTTGCACTATATCAAGAAGGCTCCCGGCAAGCACCTCGTCTATTTTCTTTTCCCTCCATACTTCCCAGAGAACATCCACAAGTCCCATGGCGGCGTACTTAGCTTCCGCATTTCCTACACCATCACCAACATAAATCCATTGCAAAGCATCTTGTCTGGTTGGATCATCTTGCCGAGGGAAAATGCAATCCCAGAGAACAAGGGGTGTGTCGGTTGCCATCTCGTATGTAGGCCGGCCAGGCGTCTTGGCTATATCCAACAACTCTGACACAATGGAAGGCGGTTCTAGCCCTTGTCCAACTAAGAACAAGATAGCAACTATATGCCTCACTTGATGCCAGAGGAAGGCTGATCCGTGAAGGTTAAATGTATATATCTGTGGAGCTGCCTCACCGTCAAAGCCTTCAGGGATAAAGTTTTTATCATTTAGGAAGCCGAGAGTTTTGTTAGACGCCGCGGACTCGCTCGATATATCAGCGTGATATATCATGCGCTCAAAGTTTGAAATCTGTTTGCTTGCATCCACCTTGCAAAAGTTCCGGAAATCATGAGTTCCTTCAAATAATTTCGCAGCTTCTTGCATGGCACCGATATCCAACCAGCCATCCTTAATCTTCCCACTGCCCTTACCCGAATTTGCGAATTCAAGATTATGAGGTATTGGAGGAAATGCTGGATTCGTGAAGAAGTACTTGTACCTTCTTTCTCGACATGAAAATCTTGCTGAGAAGTCGGTAGGTGGGGCAGGACACCAAGCCAGAATGCGGATATCTGGAGGCAGAAGCCGATTGAGAAGATAGCAATAGGGAATTTCATCCGCTATATGGTCAAAATTGAGAGCCTCGGCCAAGGCAGGGTCATGAATGTTCAGTGGTTCCGAGTCGAGGACATGAGGGCCGCGGGGTGAGCGGCCGAGGGGAGGAGCGCGAATCTCAACACCATTCTCCCCGGGATAAGCTTTAAACGCATCGGCATGTCCCTGCTCGCGCTGGCCCTCTACAAGCTCGATCCCCTCTTGTCCACTGGCCTCTGACTTTTTCTTCTGCGCCAAAGGCCGATTACTCCGCACCCTAATGCCAATAACCTGCCCAAAAGCACTCACTCCCTTGTCAGTCCTCCCACACTTGCTATACTCCAGCCCATCCCAATTCACCTCACCCGGGTTCAGAGGATCGGTGTCTTTGGGGAAGATCAGACGGGCCCTGTTCAGCGCCTTCCACAGCTCCTCCTCGATTGTAGATAAGGGCGTGTCAATATGGTGCTCGAATCCGTTATAATTCTTGCCCAAATACGCAAGCTTGAGGGCAATAAGACGAGTATGGTATTTGGCGGGATCGAAAGCTCGATCATGCCGGGGCTTCTTCCAAGATTTCTTTCGCGGGGCAGGTGTGGGGGTCGAACTATTTGCAAGCCCATTAGCAAGATGAATACTACATCAACAAAAGTCTTTCGGAGGGATATACCCGCGATTCTTGCTTTTTAGCTCTGTCTCCAGTTGCGCAACGCGCTCAACCAAACTGTCATGAGACCATGCCGTATAATCCATTTTTTCCCTAACTATCTCGGGATATTTTAGAAGTAGCCTTTGGACTTTTCTGTCCCTCACGATCTGTGCCTGTTTCGGTCTTATCCCACGGCATCTGGCAGTCGTATGCAAGTGTGCTCTGGATATTTTGGTCGCCTGCAGTCGCTCGAATAAGGGCGGGAATATTGGCCGCATCCGAACGTTAGGATCACAAGTGTGCCTTTTTTTTTTAATATTCGCCCATACATCTCCAGCGGATGAATTCCGATACCGCGATGCTACTTTTTGCAAGGTGCGCACGGACCAGGGGTCCCACGACAGCCAACGGTTCGACAAGAGCTTCAAGCTATCAACTCTTCAAATATAAATATAAACACATTAATTAGAGCAAATTTAGGAGTGAGCTCTGTTATTGCCGCGCCTATTACAGCGGCCGCAAGTTGCGCATTTTTGTTTCGCGAGACATTTTTGGCAACCAGCTCGTTGCTTCACGAATCTGTACCCTGGAAGAGACCGAAATTTGAACGGTATGGTTCGATTGATTCTTTAAAGTACTGCCGGGAGGAGCTAGTAATATGGAGTGCTAGGGGTGCTTAATTATTACTAAGGCTGTCTCGCAATTGTGCTTTATATGTGTGTCATTGCAATTAGTATTACGTTGTATGGCTGGAATCTTCTGATTCTGATACCAACAAAAAGCACTCTACTGTAACTTTTCGATGTTAGTTGGTGGATGTTTCTTGGGCGGTTCCATCGCGACCTATGCAGCGGTAATTAGAAGCTTCCTTGAACTTGAGTTGTCTGGTGCTTGCTTTCGAGGACAAACTTATTTAGGAAAAGCAAAACGGTGAGGGATCCTCTTGAGCTACTTAGATGTAATCTCCGCCCACTTTCAATTATTCGGGACAGTAGAGATAATTAACCCTGGACCTGAGTGGCTCTACAGCTATGCCAATTCCCAATAGAGCTAATTTCGAACGGTTATACTCATATATTTTTTTGTTCTTATGGGACAAAAACGAAACTAGAGGTATTATCTATAGGAAAGCACAAGCTTAAATCTGGCAGACCCAAAGTCAATTATCAAGTTATTTTAACGAAGGTCTCAGATCGTTCCAATGTAAAATAACGTTCGACAAAACATGCCTTGCACCGAGATTTTGAATTGATAGATTTAAAATCATAGCGCAATATTGCGCACCCTTAAGACGAAGTACAGCTTGCTACCAGACTCCATAGAGTAAATTCATATGTGCGCCTAGCAAGCTCAACCCGTCAGGAATGTCAAAACCTCCAAAGGCTCCAAAGGTCAGCTTGTTGCATAAAGTATCCAAGTAAAACAGCTGCATTTCACACAGGCTTCTGGGAAATTGGATCTACCTCTCCGTATAATCCGTCCAGACTGGCACAGTCGAGAATGGCAAAATAATACCAATGAATTTAAGGATGAGTCAATGATCAATCGGATTAAATCCTCAAAACCCCTACGCAAGTCCTTGGCTACCATCTGGAGTCTGAGATCAGTTGATATCCCCTTTTGAAGCAATAAACTCGATGCCTGAGCCATCTACCCGTCAGGAGGTCACCGTCCTACTTCTTGGAGATGTTAATACCGGGAAATCGACCTTCATCACGTTAGTACCCGTTTTGCTTCAAACCCCCATCCATCATGCCGAACCTATTGCAAGACACATTGCTTATTCGCCCTATTTAGTCGAATTGCCACCAAGGCCGATGGCTCATCATCGGTGGTGGTACCCCCATCTATCATAACACAACCCGTCATTCTCGATTTCAGGTTTTCAGGCCAGCCATACTGTCTTAAATTGTACGATACGGACTCATATGAGAATTGGAAGGAGCTAAATCCGAACATCGCGATCTTATGTTACGATATTTCTTCTCGATTGAGTTTGATCAATGTACAACGCCAGGTGTGTTCCTTCGCTTTCCCTCCCCACCCCTCCTTCATTCTCATCACTACACCGACATAAACACCAATCCACTTCTTAACCCCCCTAACATCGCCCCTTCCATAGTGGTCCCAAGCCGCCGGAACCCACTTTCCGGACATCCCTCTCTTCCTGCTCGGTCTAAAACGCGATTTGCGTTCAGAGACCGACCCAAACGGTATCATCTACCCGCAAGAAGCGTACCGGGTAGCGCAGGAGCTGAGATGCGATAAGTATATGGAGTGCTCGGCCGTTACGGGGGAGTTGGTAAGGGAGGTGACTGAGGATATATCTCGGACGGCTTTGAAGACGTTAAAGGGGGGGGGAGGGAGTGAGGGGGGCTGTGGGTTAATGTGAGAAGTTATGGGATTTGGGGATTGGGCAACTTTTGCTTTTAATGTGGGAATAGAATTCCACAATCTTGATATGACTAAAATACATATACATATATATATGGAAGGCATCTGACTTGTTTCTCGTCTCCTGGTCCATGAGAAGGTGCATGGTTAGAGTGCTCCGATCAAGAACATTAGGTCAAGCTCCGGTTGTATGTAGGCTGAGGAAAATATATTGACTGCCACGCATCCTGCCGGTTAAACCCCTTAGAATACTAGTTACAACACTCTAAAGTTATCAAGCATATCAAGACTACTATTTATATATTAAAGACTTGGTTGAAATGTTCTCCATACAATATTCTATCCCTAATCTAACTGTGCGTAGTATCGGAGTTCCTAGCGCTCAACAACCTTCCATCCATTCTTTTCAACTTTTCATGATTAGTGTGGGGGGAATAAAGAAGAAAGGAACAGACGTGAAGCGAGAATCCTACTCAAACAACACACCCAACACATGCGCCCACCGATTCAACTCCATCCCGTTCACATTCATCAACCCAGACTCCCCATCTTTTGCATAACAAACAAAAATGAACCCATGTTCTACTCAAACGGCGGCGGTCTGCCACTTTCTTTTCCGTGGTAAAATAGGGCAAAAACAAAAGCAGAAATGAGGAGCCTTATCAACGCGCGAGAAAAAGCGACAACAATGTTCCGGGGGTATCCGATCTTTTTTGGTGAAATTCAAATCAATCATAGCAGAGCACAAATCCCTACTCTCAGCAACAAAGGAGGGAAAGAAAGTCGACGTTCGTGGTTCATCCATCCCTAGCTGAAATTTCCGCAACGGTTGAAGATGCCATGGGAAAATAAAGCAGATGCGAGCCACAGTAATCCGCAATTAGTCTCACAATGTTGCAACTCTTGCATCTCCCTCCAGATGTTATTGTTGCTGTGACTCCTGCGGTTGTCGTGGCACACTTGACTCCTCAGGTACCTTCTCTGGAAGCACTTCTCGCGTGATATCCACGCTCTTTCCACGCCCTGGAAGAATCGAGGCAAGGCGGTCGGTGGTGGCAGGCGGGCTTTTGTTGCGCTCTTCTCTCGTGATATCCACGCTCTTTCCACGTCCTGGAAGAATCGAGGTAAGGCGGTCGGTGGTTGCAGGCGGGCTTTTGTTGCGCTCTTTCTCCGCCTCCTTCTCTTTGCTCTCCTCTCGCTTCTCGCGCATCTTGTTCTTGATCCAGCCCAATGGGCCCTTCTTATCTTCGCTACCGGCGGAAGAACCAGGGCCACTTTCGTTGCTTGAATGAGGATGCGCGCTGACTAGGGTTGATTCAGAAGCAACAGGCATAGTATCACCAGTGGAATTTTTTCTTGGACGTGACGCACTGCCGACCGAGCTTGAACTTGCTCCCGCACCACCATCAGAGCCAAGACCCTTTCGAGGGGAGAGCGAGTATCCTAAACTCTGCGAAGTATCACGGTGCCGAGAAAGTCTCCAGCGCGAACGCTTCTCTCTCTGCTCTGCACCGGGAGCGGAATCGTCAATATGATCAAGATCCGATTGATCATTGAGCGAAGAGTGGGAGTGAATCGATGCTGGAGGCGTCCCTGGTTTTAGAGCTTGTTCAGATGGTTGACCGGGTCCTTCCGTTTCGACGAGCTGTTGCCCTTGTGCTTCGGCACGGGGGGTTTGCGTTAGCGGTGGAGTCGAGTCACTGATGTTGTGGGCATTTTCAGATGGAATACTCTCCAAGACTGGCAACGCAGTTGCATCTTGGGTGCCCTGAGATGACTGAAGGGCGGGGGGGACTGAAGTTACCGAGTCTTGCGGTGGTGCATGAAGAGATTGTGATGAGCTTTGAGCGCTAGGGTTTGAGCTGCTGGCGACGCGTTGCTTCTTTCTTAGCTTGTTTGGCTGTTTTCTCTCGCTCTCACTTGTGGTCGATCTGAAGAAATTCGGCATATTTCTTTCCTTCGATGGCGTGACAACTTCGGGCTGCTTTTCACTTCGGTCACCTAGTAATCGCTCCTGGCTTGCTACAGCGGACTCGGTATGCGATGATGGTGCAAGGCTTGACTTTCCAGGAATGCCAGCTTGTAATCCAGGTGACGAAGGGGCAGCCAGGCGACTTGTTTGGTTGGAGACAAACACGGCAGCCGTTGGCGATGGAGAGCCTGAACCCTTCGCTACCCGATTTGATGGCAACCCAGGGGATCTCTTTGATGGGAGCGTATTGCTTCGGTGAACACCTGCAGAAGCTGTGTGGGCTAAAGCTGGGCTCGCAGGGCTTGGTCCGCCGGTAGACTGCCTCGAATTCCGCGATGATACAGAGACGTTACGACGGATACCACCATATTTCCGGATACTGTCTGCACCAGCGCTGGCGGTTGACGTAGATCTTCTAATGGTATTCTTCTTCCCAGGTGTGCTTGGTGTCCCAGGTCGAGGGCTGCCGCCGGATTGTACTTCATTTACTGTCTGCTCATCGGCGGCTGTGCCTCTCATGCCGATCAAGAAGTGATCTTGGTTCTCGATCAGGAAGATCAGCACATCCTGACTGAGGCGATACTCGCTCGGGGCCATATCGTGGGATGGATGCGAAAGCATGCCTGGCTGGAAGATGGCAGCGAGATTTTGGGCGTTCATGCGATTATCATCCGACTTTGACGCGAATACGGCTAATAGATCCAGAATATATAGGAGAAGCTGGCGATTGAGTGGAGGCAGCTCGGTGATCAGCTTTTGGTAAGTCTCGATTGCTTCTTCCATGTTAAATGTATCTGCCAACTGGGTACCCTCGGTATCTCCAACAGCTTGCATGGTGTGGCCTTGAAGGGGATTGCGAAATCGATCATAGAGATCCAGCGGGACAATGGGTTCGGGAAGTTGGTTGAGATATCTTCGCAGCACGTTTGCCGCATCATGCACCGTGTACCCGGCCCAGTCCAAGCCTTTCCCGTATCGGTCAGGCGAATCGAATATCGTCTTTAGTTCTTTAATGCGCTTTTCCGAGCCGCTGAGGCGAAATATACCTTCAACATTAGTAGCTGTGGCTCGGCGTTAGCGATCCGTCCTGGCGTGTTCAACAGGGCCTGCCTACCTTTTTCTTTCAAATACACGCCGCACTTCGCAACAACGATTGGCACATAACCATATATGTAACTCTTTCCATCCGCGTCGACGAGGGAGATAGCGACGTTCGCGTACGTGATACTTTGACGAAGCGGGATGCCAAAGATGCCTGGAGCCAGATCTGTTTGACATGTGAGTTTAGCATATTCCAATTCTACTTCTGGCGGAGGATTTGTAGGACATGGGAAAGGTGCGGAAGTCCGCAACGAAGACTTCATTAAGGAAAACATATGTGAGATAGGGTTAGATCTAGGAGCAGGTGCTGTTAGTATCGCTAGTGCGTCACTCGACTCATAATAGCTATGACCAGCTAGAGGAACACTCATCATCATCTGTTCAAGTTTTGTCATCGGGTTATCGGCACCAACGGCCACACTTGCAGGGCGCTTTCGTCGGACATGTCGAACAAGGCTGCTTTGAGAAACGACAGTGCTTGAGCGTTTTTTCACTTGCGGTTCGTCTGCAATGGCCACCTCAAATATTGAGTCTTGAAAGGAAAGGCGCAATTCACTTGCAGGTTCTAGGTCGATACTTTGGTCTCCAGGAAAGCTCCTTGAGACTGCACGTATGCTGTCCACGCTTTCCTCTATGAAGCCGGTGCAATATCCCTTGATACCACGAGCAAATGGCGATCGCTTTTGTTCGCCCCACCGGAGTACTGAAAGTTCATCTGGCGAACCACTGGCTGCTTGACCTTGCTCGGATGGGAGTAGACATGATGAACTGGTGGGATTTATACCATGTGTGTCGCTCTTTTTCCCTTCCTTCCTAAATCCCGCCCACCATGATTTCAGATTTTGCTTCGTTGGAGGGGATGTGGGCTGGACGGGAGCCGGTTGGGGGGTAGCGAAAGGCTGCTGAGAGGACGACGGGGGAGGGAGATTGGAAGCCATGTCGAAGATGACCAGCCTAGTGTGCTAGCTGCCACGCTGAAGAAGAGGGTGAGTCGAGCTTCTGCAGCGGGAGCAGTCTCACGGGGAGGCGTGCGCCCGATCTATAGGTTGGAGCTGGTTGTCGCGACTAGCTGTTCCGATCGCGTTGATAGCAACGTTTGCGTCGCGAATCGATCTCTGAGGGAGTAGCGAGTGGTAAAGTAGATTCTATGAGAGTTTTAAGTGCCCTGCCAGCAAGAATAACGACTAGGCCGCAAGGATGGCGAACAAGATGTGAATTGGGCGTTGGGCGCAAGACGCGACCGAGGGAGGTGGGAGGAGGACGAAGCAAGCGCGGACAGGACGGGCAGAGGCGTCTAGATGCAAGCCAACAGCGCAAATGCAAGTGCAGATGCAAGTGCAAGTGCAAGAGCAAGAGACACGAGGTGGTCAGCCGCGTCGGGCGCGACAGAGATGTATGGACGCTGCCAGTGTGCGAATTGCTGCTCGGCCAGTCGGTGGGTTGGTCGTTGGTGGAGAGGGTCGGAGGTGGAGGGAGGATGAAGTTCAAGGTTGTCGATCGAAGGCAAGTTCCTTGTTAATAAGTTCAGTTCAAGTTTCCCACGACTCTGGCAGCTTAGCGCCAACTGGGCGATGGATACCTTGGATACCTCAACAATAAGGCGAACGCCGTTTTGGATATAAGGATTTAATTAAGGTTAGCGCCAGGGCCATTCTCCATTATTGCACCTCCAGACCAGACCAGAAGGTAAGAAATACAATCTCTTGCTAGTATGGCAGTATGAGATCTACTTTCTACAGAGCCAACTCAATGCTGGAAGTCTATCTCTGCCACTATGACGCGCGACGGTCCGTGGTAATCTGCACTGCAGCGAGACGGTGCATGAAGGCTTAATCTAATGGTCATGGCCGTGGTCATGCAGCTCCTTAGGTTGGTCTTGTGAGTAGTAAGGTAGTAGTTTTGGTGAGTCTCTCTTCGCAGCACCTTGAGGCAAAAGCCGGGCTTTGGATGTTTCCATATTTAGAGTGCAGCCACGTTCTCAAAGCCCTACGCTAAGGTACATACCACGGCTTTTGGCTAGTAGCATGTTGTTAGTGTCCACGTTAAGCTAACCACTTGAAACTGTTGGAGCTGTTGTGAAGATACAAGCTCAAGTAAATTACTATGTGCACAGTACTCTGTACATTGTGTGCACAACTAAGCTGACAAGAGCTCCTGAGACCTGTGGAGTCTGGACACGCTGGTGCATATTAATAAATCATCTACGGAAACCCGGCGGAGTAGTCAGCAGCGGGCACACGTGATCTAGGCATCCTATCTTCGTGCCTAAGGCTGCAAGGCATCGGTCGCAGTCGGCCTAAGCAGCGGAACTCCGACAGCAGTTGGCGCTAAATGTTCATCAAAATCTCTAAATCCTGACATTGGCATTTGAAAGCTGGGAGCTCCCTATCAGCCTCATACCGAATCTCAATTAAACAGCAACTACCGGAGCAGCACAATAACTCCTTTACGAGACTATCCTTCGTCCTGATAATCCTCGGTTACCTTGCCAAACTAGCAAATCTTCAAAATCAAAATGGACGGGTGCGTAATTCCTACAACCACTGACCTTACTGTCCATATTTGGGGAGGTTTGATGCTAACTTGTAGCAGACTTACACCCACAGAGCAGCGTGAGTTCCAGTCTCGAATGGAGCGGAAGCAAATGAAGGAATTCATGGGCGTAAGTCGGCTTCCCTTTTGTGACCTCACTTGCTTGCAACGTTAAGTGGAGACGTCCCTATTGTTCCATATGCCTCATTCGAGCGGCTGGATGCTCCACTTCAGCAGACAAGCTCTGCAGGTCCTCCGCGTTTCTTCATCGGTTCAACTATATCTGTTATATCGTTATGGGGGGACGGGGACCCCTTCGAGCCCTATTTCCCTAGTCTGCAACCAAAACACGAATACCTCATCGAGAGTGTCCTCGGACTAACAGACCTGCCTCCCTAGATGTTCTCCAACCTCGTCGGCCACTGCTTCGATTCCTGCATCGACGACTTCACCACCAAATCCTTAGTCCAGCGCGAAACAGGCTGCGTGACTCGATGCGTCAAGAAATTCATGGCCGGAAGCGAAAGAATCGGGCAGAGATTCCAAGAACAGCAAGCACAGATGATGAACCAACCTCCACCCGGACAATAGAGACATTGGCGATTTGGGGGGACCCGGGGATGTAATGGCGTTGGTGCTGGCATTGTAAGATTATGAAAATGGGCATATTGAGGATGACTTGTGCTTTGCCCGGATCGTTTTGCTTTGCATGTTACCTAGAGAAAGGTCATCATCGCCTCCGTGTAAGATGGCGTGTATTGTATATCAGGAAGGGGTATTTGGTGGATATCGGACTCCACTCCTATGTAGCCGCAAGCCCTCAATGCTGGTTGGGAATACCAAAGCTGGATATACCATTCCTGCATTTTTTGCACTTCACTGAGTCTGCGAGCTGCTGCAAATGCCATCCCTTGAAACCACAATGCGGTTGCAGAACCGTTCTTATGATTTGTATCACTGCGGCCCTATTCCTAGCCTCTCCTATGCCATTTTCATGCGATGTACCATTTTCAGTACTTTAAAGACCCGCTGGTACCTCCACAAGTCCCGTCTTCCAAGCGAGACATAAAACCCCCATCCCTTTATTCCAACCTCCACTCGGCTCCAGCTTCAATCTCACGAACAATCTCAAGTCCCTCACTGGCCCTTTCTTCATAAACGACATTTCACAGGAACGTCAGAATAATGGCTAGGCCCTTCTCTCCTCAACCTTCCACAAGTTGGACCATCAGTCATATGTCCTAACCTTTTTATGATCCCATCTTACTCCGCTTCAAAAAGACAATAAAACAACAAAGGCAAAATCAGTTCTAAGGGCTTGTTAGAACGGGAAATATTAGACTAGGGGCGTGGAATAACGCAATAGCATGGCAACATCAAAGGATCGCTGGGAATGTGCGGCTGGCATCAACTTCTGGGACTTGGGAGACAAAACTAGGGAAGTGAAGTATCATTTGTTCTTGTGGTTCCCGATTATTCTGGCTATCGCTTTGGCCTTGCCCCTTCCGTTCATGTCAGGATCCATATCTGGAATACATCGGGGTTGGCTTGGTCGCTTCGTGGGTTGAGCAATACGATCTTACAGTTGGAGGGCCTAGAGTAATGGCGGTACTGTGTAGTCTTCAGATTAAAGGTTTCATTCGATGCTGCTTTCTAGCCATATCTATCTCGGATAAAGCTGAAGGACTACGGCGGTGTCATCAACAACGCTTCAAGGACTCGACGAAATCACAGAAGTCTGTGATGTGGGATATATAGACGTAAAAGTAGAACAAAAGTTCGAATCGGTTCTTTTTCTGAACACACTCTAAGATTTTACAGCAACTTATTACTATCAGAGGGAGCGATGACTCAAACAGGATATACCGAGACAAGCAATTATTTTCCGTGCAAGCGGTCGGCATACAATCGGACAATAATACGGCCCCCAAACCAAACAGAGATCCTCGGCCCAAAAGGCGCACTTGTCTAGCATTCCGAAGTAGTCGAAGGCGTTCTCACTTTGCAGGTGGAGAGTAACGTGTGTTGAGGAATATATATTTCTAGCCACGGCAACGTTGCGGGATGCCTAGGCAGGTAGGGACTAAGCTTGCTGTCGATTTTTCGTTGTAAACCGAGTTGATTGCCAAATGTTTTATTGCTGTCACGCTATTTTCGAGTTGTCAAAGTGCTCTATACTGTCATAATCACAAGTATTAAAGATTGTATTATTCATTGTAGTAGAAGTTCGCCGTGTCTTCTTGACAGGTAATATGTCCTATGGTCTTTAACTGCTCGAACATCTCGTGGATACAAGACTTTATACTCATAATCCTGTGCCCTATTGGACTTGGTAATAATCATGGGGGTGGTATTCAACAAGTATGATGAGTCTGCCCACATTTCAACTCCCCTTGGCCACCAAGGTACGGACGGCTGCTGCATCTAGGTTTTGGTGCGCCGTATGGAAATGAATTTGTTCAAACCGAATAGCTGTGGCGGTAGGTAGGAGCGGCGCGAGGAAAACCGCGAAGATCCTCACTCACCACCCAATAAAAAATCCTACCACGAGCTTCAAAACCAGCCACGACAGCGTCAGTAGTAGCACCGGCAGATCTAGGGTTTGGCTCGCTGTAGATGGAACTTATTTCAAAACTGGTTCTTCATTGTAAAGTGGCGTCACTACATCACTATAAAGCCAGCGATCATCCCTGTTGAAAACTGTTCTCCTTGAAGTTCGTCTGTGGAGTATATCAGGGCACAGAGAGTGGAGAATGAGGCCCGAGAAAGTTAACTATAGGCGGATGGTCATTATATCTGGCCGCACTAGGTCAAACAAGCCATCATGCCTCCCACCCGTTGTTGCATAGCCAGATCTAGCTCACGTGTCAAGCTCATACAGTTGTGTACCCCGATAATGATCATTCTATGCAATAGTGAGGATGATGGGCATGAGTCTGTTTCCCCGAGGTTGATTAGTTGCGGCTGGCGAGCCGTTGCTGCATTTACAACAACGCCCAGAGTGTGTTAATGCGAAATTATGCCCCACCCAAGTGCATTTACTAACCTAGATAGAAGAGAAATTACCAGTCTGGGCAGGCAAACCCCTCCTAGCCCTTTAGCTAGGCAAGCTTGATCGAGTAGCACCCTCGATGATATCGCACACCCAAAGTCAGCCAATAAAGAAATAGAGATTTTCATACATGTACCTTTAAAATAGTACCATATGATGGCATTTAAGAAATAACCATTTAATAGGTAGGTACGCCCTATTTTCAGCTGCCATGAAAGCCAAATGGGTACAGCCTTGGCGGGACGGGGTTGCAACAATCAGATTACGATTAGATAGTGTGAAATAAGCATTGGAGGGTTGTTTGATGAGTGTGAACTTATTTATACACTGCCTGAAGGGGAAAAGGCTAAGTGGGAAACCAACAATCTTTTGTAGTGCTAGCAGTGAAGTGACTAAAAGAGAGATTTACTTATTGCAGTAAATATACCTATACAGCATCCTGAGATGCGTCAGCAGTGAGTCTGGTCAGTAAAATTGTGGTTATTTGTAATTCGACTAATTACTCATCGTATATAGGACATGCTGGGGGTTAATAATCCTAGTCCTGCCAACATTCAAGGAAAATATCTAGAAACTAATAGGTATGCTATCAGGGGCGCGGTAGCCACAAGCTAAATAGGGGCGAGGAGGGGCGACTACTCCGTACAGGTGAGTGAGAGGTCGAAACTACGGTGCAGGCAGAAGAGGAAACTGAACCTATTTTTCCTTGTTGAGACACGAAACCGCTTGTTGAATCAGGTCAACTAGGTGGCCAAGGTGCGGCGTGCAACAGAGCTGCTGCTACATTCAGTCTCATACCCAAGGTAAGGTAGGTAGTGAAGAAATATGAGCACGGGTAAGTGTAAAGTGACGGGAAGGCTATCTCATAAATCAGACTCCGTTCTTTAAAAGAAAATAGTAGGATTCAGGGCATAAAGAGCAGGTATTCGCTCATGTCACCTACCCAACTACTAGTCTGCAAATCTAAGACAATAATATAGATTATATTTGCATGCTTAAGCTAATGCAAGAGGGTTCTTGGTGAGATATTCCTCTAATGTGGTCAACTTCCCACGAGCATTCTGAGAAGCCCATTCTACCTGTTCCTTAGTCTTAGGACCGTAGTAACCAAAGTCTTGAAAATATAACAGCATATCAACGAGACCATCAGCCATTGGCGGCAGTAGGAAACCACGGAAGACACTCTCGGGAACCTGGTTATATTTGACAGTCTTGCCTGAGATCTTGCTGATAATCTCCGCGATTTCTTCCATTGAATAGAGTTTGATCGCACATGCAAGGTACTTGCCTTCGTACTTCTCGGGCTCAGCGAGAATTGCAGATACCCATTTGCCCGTATCCTAAATTGTACGGTTAGCTCTTAATTTTTCTCTATTTAAGAGTGTAAATAGAGGTTTAATAATTGCCTGTAATTCAGGGTTTAAAACTACAGAGAAACCAAAGAAGAGACTTTTCATACCTCAGCAATATCAATGAGGGGAAGTTGTGTCTGGGGCGTGATACAGTTGAAAATCGCAAAGTTGCCATCACCGGTAGGTTGGGGCGCCATGGTTTCCTTGAAATTCTGCATGAACGAACCGGGCGCGAAGAAGGCGCTCTTGATTGGCAACCCGCGGATATACTGTTCGACCTCCGCCTTCGACTCAAAGTGACTAACATTTTTGTATTTCCCGCCGGAGATGCTGCCTGGGTGGGCTAACGAGCTGAATATCAAGTACTCTACGTCTGCAGCGACTGCTGCATCCGCTAGTGCCTTTCCTTGACGAATTTCTCGTTCCTTTGCCTGATTGTCGTAGACAGTAACTGTAACGCCAAATACAGCGTGTGCGCCTTGCATGGCCTTCACAAGGGATGGTTTGTCGTCCACATCAGCTACTACAACCTCAACGCCATCGTTCTGTAGAGCCTGGACAGCAGGCTTCCCTAGGTCCCGCGTGACGCCTCGAATCTTGTACTCCTTGGAGAGAACCGGGTCACTGAGGACGCACTTAATGACGGAGCCACCCTGGCGGCCGGTGGCACCAAATACAACCAGAAGTTTGCTCATAATATTCGAGTAACGCAGAGTTGCGGTGCCGAGAGTTGTTTGGGATGTACCGAAGGATCTACGCAAATTTGTGCTAGTTTCAAAGGTGATAGACTTGTCTGGGAGATGCACAACTCGTTTTAAAAGTAGCAAGCTTCATTTTTGCAACTACCAAAGCAAATAAGCTATCTATAAAGAAAACCCAGGAGTCTGTTAACGTATGTCGTTGAAGCAAACGTGGATATACAAGCTTAAGTCCGGGTGGATTTCGGCCCTCGGCCGTTGAGATATTCCTGAATCTTAGCTCGCTCTTAAGTTACCCCTATCTCCGACGACTGAACTCAACTGAACTCACTTCTGCCCCTTTGCAAATCGATCATAATTTCGAGTTGGCTACGAAGCTTACTTTGTCAGTTTGTATAGAAAACGGACTACTTAGGATACTTGCTTACTTACTTATTAGGTAGGTAGCATCGGGGAAGTCTGAAATGCCCGCTGTGCAGCTGTCGATCTGAGGCTATATCGATCGATTCCCGAAACTCCGGGCGAAAGGCGTTACCGAGTACCACCTTCAACCACTACCACCTGAGCGCCTCGCGCGTGCTCATATGAGATGGTACTACGGAAGTACGTAAATAATTGACTTTCGGAGACTCTTTTGCTACTGGAGCTTGCTCCGTCTTTCGTGCAGCCTGAAGACAGGCACTGGAGCTCACATGGCATTGAGCCCCACCATCTTCAAGTCAGGCAAAACACATATTCTTCCAGCAGTCGCAACCCCTATTTAGACGAGATCAGATGATATTCGAAGACCGCTTCCTGCGATAGCAATAAATTCTTCCGTCCGGCCAGCTCAGTCCCGCGCCGATGGAGTTCATCCGCCTCCGCTCAGTGCCAGCTTCTACCTAGCCACTGCGAAGTAGAGCTAACCATATCCATCTCCTCCCCGACAGTCTCCAACACCATTGGGAGGGGCCCCGCCAAACAAGGTCAGAATCCTTTAATATCGCGGTGGTGTGCAAGATCAGGGTCAGCTCGGTTATCCCCCTACAGATAAGAGGACGCCTAGATGGTACAGTAAGTTGCAACATCTCTAGTTGTGACTTGTCTAACGTAGTATTGGACTTTTAACCCTGAAGTATTCATTGCCGATGTACCATTCACGGAAGACGATAGGGTTGATGCCAAGGTGCTTGAAGGCAACGGTCAGTGGGTGTATTGGAAGGGATGCAGTGGCATTTCCTTCTTCGAGAACGGACAGAAGGAGAAATGGCACCAGCTTAATGGCCAGGTGAAGTTACTGCCAGCCATTTCACTGTGCTTGTATGGGCAAGTGAAGGAAGCATAGCATTGCCTGACTGTCGTCTCACTGTCCGCACTCATCATAGAGACCATTTGATATTATAGTGAATGTCACATGCAGACTTTTTGTTACAGTTCGCACCGATGTGGTCTTGTTCCCTCGGTAGTACCTGGTCTGTGGTTAAGCTTCTCTTAATATCCCATATTACTCCGAATATTGGTTTTTAAGTTTTGCTGCACATCGTGTTTATTAAATGTACTGTTCCTGCTTCGATGAATATTCCATTCATATATCGAAGCATTCAAAATAGAGTTATACTGCACGTTGCAACCTGCGGATGGGTGAATTATGCCCGGTTTCCAATTTAATTGGATAGCGTCTCAAGATTTTACGTACATAACTGTCGAGCTTGAAAATCATCCCAGAGGGATTTCTTGCAGAGACACAGTGACCGCTCAATGCCCCAACCATTTTAATAGATATTCATGTATATTTCAATATCAATTGTACCAAGAGCTCACAGGCAACTTTCTACATAGAGCGAGGTCCTGCAAGGCGGTACTCTAACAGTAGAAATATGATTATTTGAAGATCAATGACGCTTGGAATTTGCTTGAGCTAGTACACCTGTGACCTCGGCGCTTCTCTATTCTGTCTCTTTCCCAATAGTCGCAGCTGCTCAACAAGTCCATATATCCGCTGCGTCACCTCGCTCCAGCAAGCAAGTTCCTGGCCAAGCTTGGAGTTTTACAACAGAAACGGACCATCGATAGTTAATAACGCTTTAAGAAACCACACCCCTATCCTTCAGGCCGTGCAAGTGCCGTACTTCGGTTGACAACCAAGAAGTGTGCGGCAATAGAGGGACTCACTACCACAATAGCCATATTCAGAGCAACAGTCGCCGTAGGTCGATCCAGTGCATTGGGTAGTCTTGCCGCACGTGCCATCAGTGCTTACGGGTAATCCTGGTGGCAATGTTGGTGTTGCCGTTGGCGACGTCGAAGTCGAAGTCGAAGTCGAAGTAGATGTCGTTGAAGTAGTTGTCGATGTAGTCGATGTAGTCGTTACTTTCCCATCGCAAGTACCGAACAGTAAGTTACACCCGGTGCCACAATGCTCAGGCGAAGTTCCGCAATACCAATACTGAGAGCAGCACGACCCGTAACCTGTCCCGGCGCATGTAGTGCTGTTGCCGCACATCCCGTTGATACTGGGGATCAGCGTGGAAATTGGCGTTGGTGATGTTACCGTGGTTGATGTGGATGTCGAGGTCGATGTAGACGAGGTGGTGGAGGTAGTCGAGGTACTAGACGTAGTAGACGTAGTTGACGTAGTTGACGTAGTCGTTACTACCGGTGCATCACCACACCTGCCAAACTGCGGCTGGCAGCTGGCAATTTCGGCGCAGAAATCATCACCGTCACCACAATAGCCCCAGTGCGAGCAGCATAGATTCGAGCTGCACTTCTGGTTGCTGAAATCCGCACCGCACCGGCCAGTGTTCTGGCGCCGGCCGAGTTCGTTGGGCTTGTTGCCGAAATGGCGTGGGGTTTTCATCCCGATCATGCTGAGTTTGAGGGTGTCATCGACGAAGCAAGAGGCGCCCGAGAAGCTCAGGCATGCTGCCAAGCTAATAAAAGTCCACCGCATTGTTAAGTTCACGGGATGGTATGATACCTAGAGGAGGAGGAGGAAGAGGAGGAAGAACGGTGGCCGTTATAAGAATGAAAACATAAATGTATATCCAGCAAGAGCTTCTAAGTATCAACGAAGCACAGGTTGGGTCAACGAGGAGAAACAGTAACACAAACCGCTCTGCAAAAGAAAGGGGGAGGGTGAGTACTAGTAGTATATTGTCCTATTGACTTTTACAAGGAGGGCCAAGTTCAATATCGATTCCAAGCCGGGAATACGGTTATTCGACGTATACAAAGAGCTTCGAAGATGGTAGCGCTATTGGAGGCAAATATAAATTATATTGTTATTGGGGAGAGGCTGGAAAAGGTATCAGAAGAGGCTAAATAGGGGTTACACTGAGATGCCTCGGGTGGGTGCGCCAGGCCACGTAGCCTTCTAGTACATTGCCCCACGAAACAATATTTCGACATTCTCCATTATATGGGCATTTAGAATAAAAAAATCGATATTAATTCAGATTCGGCTGTTTTGGTTAATATAGTCGAGCCTCAAGTCGTTAGCAATGCTCCGACCTTCGTCATTATTTAATCTATTTTGAGTAGAGCTGTCGACTGACCAGGCTCGTTAAGGATACACCTGACTAAGAAAGGTATGGTCGAGTGTTAAGTTCCCTAGATGGGACCCCTTTTATTACCACTTAGGTCGGATTTGGAGTTGCTCACGCACGTAGAACTTGATTCGGGATGACATCAGTCCAATTCTACGAACGTAAATGGAACTTGCCGCGTTTCTTTTAATATAAAAGCTTAAGATTTAAATTATTGGGACCCGGGTATAGTAATACGTGATATAACAGAATGGCCCGGGAGATTGTGGTTCCGGCAAGGCTTTGCCGGCAAGGCTCTGAATGTAAATTCAACTCCCGAAAACTACCCCAGACGTTTCCATTTCGCGGCTTTGGATACTACCGTGGTACGACATTGCTACATAGATTTACTTCAGGTTAGGTAGAGCTTCCGTCGCAAGATGGTTGGATTACTGGAAATATCCCGTGTCCAAATCTTATGGAAGTAGTAAGAAAAGCCGCAGCATCTGTTGGTTTTGATATACTTTCATAAGGTCGGGTGATGGGTGATTTGGGTGATTGTGGGGTTCATTCTAGAGCTAACAATCCAAGTAGCCCCACATAGAACCTTTCTTAATCCCGTCGAATTAAGAATATTTGAACTCGATTTATAGATCACACTCATTGAAAAAGCTTCATCTACAGTAATGAAGCTGCAATGTCTTTGTTCATGCCTTCCCTCTTGTTGCCGTCCAGTATATTTGTTGGTAAATGAATATTCGTAATCCTTCTTGGATGTGAAAGCTTACATGAGGAAGACCTTAAGGGATTCTACTATTAATGATTGGAATGGAAGATCATTGTTCCGCATATCGAGTTATAACTCTCTCCAACATTTGGGGTAAAGATTCAAAGCGAAGCGAGATGGGAAAAATAGGGAACAGGTAACTTGCAGCGTGAAAGGAGGAGAAAACAGAGATGCTGTGAACGTATCTTGAACTCTGTTGATTATCCTTCGCCAATTCGCGGATGTTATCTTTGATTTCCGCGGACGTTGTGCCTAGTGTTGTGGTTCGAGAATTTGTGACGCCTTCGGCGTGGTCCCGAGGTTTGTCCTTATTTAGAACTGGTCTTCTTGCGATCTCGGATAGCGCAGGGAAAACTGAATTGGTGATTAAAATGCTGCATCAAAGGTGCCCACACAATTCTCGTGAGTATGAGAATTACATCGCAGTATCCAAGAACGCGGAAGAAGACAAAAAACAGGGCGTTTCGACGGAAATGTTTGCCTGAAGGGCTACAATTTTGTAACTCCATGCCAAAAGCTCTGTGGGATTCCTGAGTTCAAAAGGTTCAATTTTATTTTCACCTTTGTTAGATCGCTGCACTAGGAAGACGTCGGTTTCGTCAAGCAGAGGTATAGCCCGAGATCTTTTCCAGAACCAATATAGTTTTTAGATATTTTCCACATCTCCACAAGTAGCTTGGTATAGGGCTTTTCTGAAATCTCGGAGACACTCTCTGCAGTCAAAGTTTTCCCTGTTCCAAGACCACCGTGGAATCAGATAAACAGGCCATTGCCTTCGCCAGTCATTAAGTCAATGCCCTATTCTGCATCAGTATATTTTCTAGCGAGCGCCTAACAAGTTGATTTTCCCGCTCTCCAACAACAAGAACTTTCGAACGCGTTGACATTCCATTTCGCTGGCAACATTCGGCTCACATGTGGTGTGACCCAGTCTTTCTTATGTATATGCCACCTAAAAATCGTTGAAAGAAGGCAGAGAACGAACTCGTCCCCGGAAAGAGGTATATTATCTTAGATCATTACCTCTACTCCGAATCCATCCCGCTTAATACTTCCAGCTCAGGAAGAGGGCACACTTCCTAACAGGTATCGATGTTAACCATATATCGCATCCAACTTTTATAAAATTTGGATTAGCGACTAGGTCATAGCTGGCTGGTTTGGAACACAAAGTGCTTTGGATCAGTGTAAATGAATACAATAATGATAGAAGCTTAGAAGCCAACGTGGAAATGTGTGTAACCTAGTAACGTTTTTGAATTAAAGGAGATACGGCGAGTTAGATGTATTACTCGACCTGAAAATGTCTCTCACTTGAAAGAGGTGATCAACTAGGTAGAATGAGGCCATAGAAACACCCAAATTTTTGTATAGATACGTCTACTCCCAATGCCGTCGCGCCGAGACAATGACTATATATATAAATTGCGTTCTAGGGGAATGACTAGTTCCTTGTTTGAATAGCTCCTACTGTTTGTAGAGCTAACTTGATAACAACCGTATTACTAGAACTGGCTGGAGGTATCATGAATACGCATTGTGGTCCGTCAACTTCATCCGCCAATTCATCTTCGTGCATATTGTTTGCTACGACTGCTGCATATATCTGAGGATCAGAAAATTCCAACTTAGGGGGTTCTGAAATGTCGTTCACAGTAAGTTTAGAAGGAGGTATCGCCACTTTGACCCGATAAAATAAAAGTCGCTCAGGAAATTGAGACTAGAGATCGGACCAAAATCACTTTTCTAAATGGGTTGCTTGAGCGAGTGATCTCGAACTGGACCGTTCTTTAGCAGTCAGAAGGTGCTTGCTACGTGCAGTTTTGACAAGTAAATTTGGCAGGCCATCAAATTGACAACTTCAATGCAACCCGATATTTTTAAAGCCAGGGGTTAGAGCCTCAACAGAGGGGAAAGCTTCATCGAGCTCATTCGTCGGATCAGCCCCGAGAGACTGGTTGGCAACGACCAAGGCACATAACCAAGATGCGGCCAGCATGCAAGTATTTTACGATCCAATAAAAGCCTCGCAACGCACCGCCCCATTCTCCGACCATGAATGTAAAACGAATGTGTATCAGGATACGATAGGAAAACCCTCGTTCAATATTGAGATGCGCGAGCTGGAAGAAAATTGAAAATATTTTTTCCACTTGACGCCTTGCCAAGGGATTCAGAAGCCACATCGCGAGTCCGTTCGTCTCAGACATTGACAACTGGCAGACTAGTAGGGGCTGAAGCAAAACATATCCAGATATCCGGGTACATATATCCCTCAGAACACGCACGCTCCCTCAAACATGTATACTCCGCCACCACTTGGTGACAACGAAATCACGGATGGAGGACATCGTATTGGGGAATTTGTTTCAATAGCTGTCGGCATGTGGAGTATTGATAGGCTCTCCGGTAGACAGTGTAGACGTAGACCCTTTATCGCATTCTTCAGCGCATAGGGCCCGAGTGGATACAGATGCTTCGCCCATGGCAAGCTGAGCTGAGCACGAAGCATATATTGTATATCCGTATAATGCATATGCATGCATATGCACACTGGCACTCGTATGGGCTGGCGGAGAACGCGCGGATATCTGAGGGGGCCGGATCCTTCTAGCTAACCGCCAGGGAGGATCGAGCGTGATTCAGCAGTCGAACAAACCGATGGGTAATTCCTGGCTGGCGGAGACATCACTCTCGTGTTTTCAAATATCTTTGATTCATTCCTCGTGAAGAGTACTCGTATTGGCCGCCCCCATCGTGAGCGTGGAACGACGTCGGTCCCGCTGTGGCTTCTATGAATAGAACGAACGACGCCACCGCCACACCCAACAACGTGCCAAGGGCTGGCGAGCTAGGACTGTACAAGTAACCCGCAACTGTCCGGAGTGTGCCTGTCCATGTGCAACCGCAGCATATCGAAAATCATTACTCGATCTGGCGGCGTGTTTACATGTTTCATGTTTCTTCGTGTAGAAAGGGGGTTGGGACAACAGAAACAACATGGGATTTGCGTGTGCCATCTGCAATTGCGATGATAAAGCAGCAGAAAAGTCGGGAATATCCATGACGTAGTCTCCACGGATCTCGATTCTTTTTCTCTTGGCTCGGGGCGCTGCTAGTCCGGGAGAGCAAACTTGGCTGGGATTGTTGCTGGGTGGGGGGAAATACCCATGTGCATTACGATCTCATTCCGTATAGAAGAAGAGAAAAAGTCGTGTTTACTCCGTGCGTACTCGTATGCCGACCCGGGTTTTTTCCCTTTCATTCTTCGACCAAAGCAATGCAATGCCACCGTTAGTGGAACTACCCGGGCATCTGGCCACGATGCGGAACATACCAGGTAAGGTAAGGACCGAGGGCATCGTGCACCCACAAGTGAGCGGATAATGGAGGGTGGGTTGTGAAGACGAGGAGAGGTGTGGTGATATAGAGAACATCATTCACAGCAGGAAACCGTGGAAGGTAGTGGCACTGGCCGCTGATTGGGCCAAATGATATGATAGTCAATGACAAACTTTCTGTGCTTGTACGTGTGGTTGTATCCTCTGCAGGCTACCGTCGCCATACGAGGTGGTTCAGGCTTCGGCCAGGGACCAAACCCCGTAGCTCCTGTTCCACTGTGTAATACTATAGTGTAGTAAGACTTTGGGCAGTGTGAGATGAGGATTCGGAGCTGATCAAAGAGCTGACCCAGATTTATCGAAACACTGGCAGTGAGCGCCTGGCGGTATTGTATTGCTAAGAAGGTGGATTATTCAACCCAAGCCAGTTACAGTTACTACTTGGTGTTTGACCGGCCCACGTCGATTGCCCGGATCTCGTGGCTTGCCACCTTTCGGGATTTGGCATTGGCCCGCCGCTGTGGTTTGCGTCCATTTATTAATAATTGCCGGACAATCAGATGCGAGAAACCGAAACATCGATACGTTATTCGCTATACTCGTACGTTGTTGTGGTGGTGGTGGTGCCCGGCTGTACTATGTAAATAAGCTTGGAGGCTGTAAGCATGTACATGTACGTAGTCGGCAGCACAGTGAAGCGAGCGTGGAATACGACGTGCTGGTGGAGTCGGAGGCTCTCGACTCGCCCTCAGAGGCTTCGCTGGTACGAGAAGCCAGCCCACGCCACCACCTGGCTAACGACCAAGTTCCCAACTACTGCCAACTGCCAGCTGCCAACTGCCAACTGCCAACGGGTCCACGGCTGTCAATCCCTTGCGCTGGCTTACTCCCTGCACCGTGCATATCTCTCGCTGACCACCGCCGTGTTTCGTCGTCGCTGGTTCTCCACGGCCAGCAAACCATTGACTTCTTCCCCCATCTCCATCCCCCTCTCCCTCTCCGTTTCCCACTCTCGTCACCTCCCCATCTCTCTGCATCTCCCGCTTGTTTTGCCATTCGTTGATTGCAGGCCGCTCTTGTTCCACACGCGCCAAGTTACACTCGTTCGCCCCTACTGTGCTGTGCTAAAACCTGCAATTGATTGATCCCGGCCTACCTCCGCCGGCCGAAGTTTATTAGCTTGTCACCATGGAACCAGCTAATGGTGAAAAGACGGAGTTCTCAGAGAAGCTCCTAGGACCTTCATTAACTCTTGACGGCGAAAGTCAATTCTTGAGGACGAACAAAGAAACCCCCAAGAACCAAGCAAAAATGCGGATCTTACACAACCTCCTCGTCACCATTCTCATCCTCAGTCTTCTCACCATCGGTGCCGTTTGTGCTTCCGTCAGGAACTTCCCCCTCCCCAATGCCGCTCCCGCCGTTCATGCCCCGACCCCAGAGGAGGTGCAACAGTTCCGAGAGCTTCTCAATACCGTCGAGCCCGGCTGCCTTCACAGGGTCCTCCACGAACACCTGAAGGATCGATACCAGCATGGGGTATATAACGAAGACAAGACTGCCATGGAGATTGTCCATAAGGACAATGCTGAGGTAGCTCATAGCTTGGTTGAGCTGGCAAAGAGACAAGGCGGAGCCGGTTCAAATTCGAGTTCGACCTCCACGCCGCCCACCGTCACCGAAGGCCCTACATCGACTGTTCCCCCGACCACCGTTGTCGTTCCCCCTACCGACACTTCCACCAAAGAAAGCCAAACCCCAACTCCTTCGGCCACTCCACCGCCGTCGGATACGACTGAGGTCCATAGTACCAAAACCGACATTGTCTCTAGTACGACTACAAATGGTGCGGTATCAACGTCGAAACCACAGGGTATGTATTTCTTCGCTTCTCATGTTTATAATTCCACTTCTAGCACCTATCCCCACTTTGCATGATGTTTTAAATAGTTTTAATATCGTCCTCTCTTTCTTTCCCGTTCGTGGTTCTCTCAATTGACTCTCAATCTACCTCCATGTTTATCACATTTTAAATATAATACGCTTTGGGGAGGAAACCGGGGGCACCGGCTATATATTCCCCTTACTAGACGGAAACCTCACATCACCACCTTCAGCCCCCTCCAAACACATATTGCTATAACTGCTGTGACCAAGTGGTTCCAATTTGTACCAGTTCTGCAAACGTCTGAAACCCCCTCTCCCTGATAATCCAAGACTTTAACTCTCCTTCAGGGTCTTCCTCTGGATCTACCTCTATTCCACCCTCTTCTGATTCCTCCTCGAGCTTCCCATCCTCTCTCTCTACTTCCAGATCCGCCCCCCCTTCGTCTGCCACAACCAACTCTAACACTCACGCTGTAGTAACATCTAAAGGATCAGCATCTACTACATCGCCACCAGATGAGAGCCCAAGTTCCATCACCCAACAAATCGTGTACAAAACCACCCTAGAAAATGGCGCACAAAGCGTTGTCACATCCATCACCGTCGTTCCAGCTGCACAACAGACTGGGGCCGGTTCGGGTTCGAAGACAAACTCCGCGAACGCGAGTTTGCAAACAAACGCCGCAGCGAGATTGTCTCGAGCTGCGAATGCTGCTGCTCTCTTAGGTGCAGTTGGAATTATTGCCGTGGTTGCCTTGTGAAGGGGCATGGCGAGAATGGCCGGGGATTTGAATTTAAAATTGCATGGGCATAGCATAGCGTCGGGTGTCTCTCTTGGTCGGTTTATACAAAACATACTAACTAATGTCTCTCCTTAAAACGATACTATTCTCAGCGACTATCAGTCGAATACACGAATTCCTTTGGGCGGATAGATCCTTTTTGCGCTGCTTTAATAGGTATGGAAGGGATAACTATTGGTCTGCATTGGATATCTGTGATTGGGCATGATTTTGGAGGAAGGTTAATACTACAGATATACAAGGATGGATGGTTAAAAGCAGTAGACTCGGGACAAATGGAATATTATAACCAAGCCAAGCCGTATCTGTGCATTCTTTAAGAAAGGAAGGTAAATTTGTCCCTCACATACGATGATTGAATGAAGTTTGAATATTTATTCGAATATGTGCTTAGCATATAAATACGCAACCTGAATGCCTAGGAACTTGTCGTAGACTGTCTCATACTTGAGACAGGTAGCAGTATCCCGACCTGCCTTATCCAGTACGGCCAAACCTCCCAAGCTACATTCCATCCCCAATATGCCCTCATCCACAACGCCAAACCCAGCAGGAAACCCTAGCAATCCTTATCCGGGCCCAATTCTCGGCATATCATGATGTTCACTCAAATTACTCAAGTATTTATTTAATTCCTCCACGCGCTGCTTATGTGTTTTTGGCGGACCTTCACGGAGCAGCCGCTCTTGTAACTAAGAAATAGTTTAGCTTTTGGCAACCCTATGGCTTGAGTGCAGGAATAATGCGCAGAAGGAGAAGGTAAGGGATTGATGGGGGAAAAGGGGGAAAGTAATAGGGACAACATACGCGTTTCCTTCTCGTCTCCTCATAAGCACGCTCTGAAGCCGTTTTCCCATCATTCGGATCGCGGTGTTCCAGTTCCCGCATATCCTGGCCATCTACTTCCTCTCCATCATCTTCCCCACCTTCCCGCGTATCTTTCTCTTTCTTCCTCACTGCACCATCTTGCTCCTCTACCCGCCTCTCGTCATCACGATCTTTAAGAGCGGTCTCTAACGCTTTGGACTCCGAGGACGAGGATTTGCTCTTCTTCTTCTTCTTCTTTTTCGTAACGCCTGCGGCGGCGCCTTTGAGCTTTAGCCCGCCGCGGACGATGGGCGCGTAGTCGTCGGAGGGCATTTTTCGCTGGTGGTTTGTTGGCGGTGGATAATAATTGACAAGGCGGAGGAGGGGAGTGCTAGATAGGTGGCAGAATAATGATAGGGCGGTGAGAGCGTCAGATGTTGCTTATATAATGACTCAATATGTCACGTGCATCACCCCCCTTTTCTATTTTGTACTAACCCGGAGGGACATAATATAGATCTAGGTCTCACATGTATAAGTTGCGTGAACTTAGACGTATTTACCACCTATATTTGATTAGATTGAGGCAAATATTAACTATCGCTGCTTAGATGTTGCGGATTCCCGTTTTAAACTTCGTTGATGGTTTTGATTCTCACTTAATAACAGATGAATAGACCTTTGTTAGCTTAACACAATGGTGACTTAGAGCGTTCGATTTAGTTAGCATAGAGTAGTATTAAACATGGATCAAGGAGAGCGCGATTGACAAATTGACTAAATATTTATATTTGTCTGTTTGATAGCTTAGAAAATACCATATATTGGTAGCTAGATAAGGAAAAAAGACGAGAAGCAAAAATAGCAGTCTGCATGGATGAAGGAGGGTTTCCGAGGCAGCTAGCTACATAGAAAATCGAATTGGAATCGGAATACGAGCGACTATCTCATATATTCCCACGACTCAACAGTCAGTGCTTTCCATAATTTTACCAACTGATTGGAGCATCGAGCGAAGTGAAGGCCCTAAGCGCTTAGCAGATATTTTCAATCTTCTGCTCAAGTCCGTCATGAGCTCCAAGATCAATCTTTAGGTTGCGACCAAAGAGCTCAAGGAGGACCTCAAAGCAGATCTTCGTAATAGCTGGGTCATAGCGGCCTTTCGATTCCTCATCTCGAATAAATGCATCTACAAATAATCAGTGGCGTCTTTTTTAAAAATGGCAATAAGAGGAACATACGCTGCGCTCCAGCAAATTCATACCAACTAAACACCACACCACTATCGCGTAGTGTCTTCCGAATCACATCTCTTCCCTCGGCTGGTACGTGATTGTCCTTAGTCCCGAAGATCAGGGCCAGCTCGCCTTTAATCTCTCCAGCTCTGGCCAAACTGTTATCTTTCTTGCCCAGTGCTAGAGTGGCGCTGTGAATATCTGTTGCAAAGTACGTTACGGCGGCGGAGATTCGGGGGTCGAGTGCGCAACGGTAGGCAAGGTGGCCACCGAGGCACATTCCTGTGGCGCCGATACGTCCGTTGCAGGTTGGTAGAGCGAGGAGCGTGTCGATGGCGAGGGAGGAATCTTCGTCGTACGCGGCTAATGTCTAGGGAGGAATGTAAATATAGGTGTTGAGCCGGATAGGGGGAAGGGATTTCTTGTAGGCTAAGTAAAGTAGGAGAGCGTGTATGCAAGAAGGGTGCCCACACACACGGAACGCGGAGAGTGAAGTCGATATGACATACCTTTGAAATCTTCCATAAATTCCCTGAATCTGTGCCAGGAACATCGTACGCTAAAGGTTCTGGCCCTGTGAACTCATGGTACGAGGAAGGTGCTGCAACAATGTAGCCTTGGCCAGCTATCTGGCGAGCAAAACGTGCTACCGGGCCGGTGACTAGAAACAAAGCAGTAAGTATGAGAAAGGGCTACTGGCGCATATAGAAGCTAGGTTGGGCAAACAACATCTACGAAATTTGTAGTTACGGGAAAGGGTGTATAGGAATGACAGCGGCTAACACTGCAGCGCCTAGTATGGACTATCCTCGAACAAGATTATAAGAAATATAACAAAGGAAACATCACTACGGGCCGTTCTACTGCAGCCTTACGAGGGCCCCTAGCAACGAAGAGAGGATCTTCTCCTGTTTCGTTCCTGGTCGTGGCATCTGAATGGAGATTAAACCCACCTTGGTAAATCTCACTGAACAGGACAACGCCAGGGAATCGTCTGAAAAAGTATCAGCTCACGTCTCCTAGGCATGGCTTCTGAGGGGGCCAACCCACGCTTTTGGGTAACCAGGAATAGTGGGGTGGAAGAGGAAGATCCCTAGTATTTCTTAGTCGAAGCCACTCAGGTGTCTACAAAGACATGATTTATATATACTCATGGATCCCACTTTCCCATCAGCCTTCGTCGGCACATCTGTATGAGTTTCCTGGATCAGCATGTTGGTATTGTTGTGTTTTTGTTGTTGTTGTTGTGGATTTTGTGGTTGTTGTTGTGCGTGTAGATGGCAGGTATGATGCTCCCCGCTCTGTGACGGCAGTGGTGTCAGGCCACTTCCAGGCTTCTAGAAGCTGTTCTACCGAAGATCACCCGGACGCCGAGCGACCCGAAGCAACAACGAAACTTTGACTGCTGGAATCTCGACCCATGCCCGTTTCTCCCTTTCCTGACGATAAGCCCTTCGACTGTAACATCCAACTTGCACACCCTCCTTCTTTTTTCGATCAATAACAATTCTTTCTGGCTCTGGCCATTTAATCTACCTTTTTCGGAGCTCCTCTTCTTGCTCGACCTTCGTACGGAAACCTCAACCCCTTTTCCTCGCCCTACACCTCGTACTCCTTTGTAATCACCAACTTACGCAATCCTCGACCACGCAACAACGACGCTGTCGGAATCCTAACGACTACGATAACGAGACAAATATGTCCAGTGTGCGGACGAGACGACAGGCTGCTGCCATTTCGACTCCAAAAACTCCGTCTCCCGCTCCACGAATGAATGGTGCCGCGATGAAAGGGAATGGCTCAGCCGTTGGGCGTGCGAAGGCTGACCATCCACCTGAGAACATATTCCTCTTCTGGCCCAATATAATCGGTCAGTAATTGATTGCCGCAGTAGATTTCCGAATCAATCGCTAACATCCTCATCCTCCAGGCTACACCCGAATTGTCCTTGCATTTGCGTCCCTCTACTACATGCCTTTGCATCCCAGGACGTGCTCCCTTCTATATAGCATCTCTTGCCTCCTAGATGCGCTCGACGGATATGCCGCCCGGCGCTTCGAACAGTCGACCCGGTTTGGTGCCGTCCTCGATATGGTCACAGATCGCTGCACAACGGCCTGCCTTCTGGTCTTCTTGGCTTCTGCCTGGCCTCGGTGGGCCCTTTTGTTTCAAGGGCTCATCTCTCTAGATTTGGCAAGCCATTACATCCACATGTATGCAACTCTTATTATGGGGGGTTCGGATCAGAGTCACAAGAAAGTCGACAAATCCAGGAGCTGGATTTTAAATTTATATTATACAAATAAAGTAAGTGTAACCCCTGTCCTCGCATTGGCAAGGATGCTAGCTAACACCCTACGTTAGACCGTGCTGTTCATCTTCTGCTGTATGAACGAGGTTTTCTTCATCGCTTTATATCTCCTTTCATTCTCGTCACCACTCCTTTCTCCGTCATTGTTGGAGGTCAATCGGGCCGGCGACGCCGGCTCGACCCTTCAACCCGGGACCCCTTCGGCACCCTCCGCTTTTATCTTCTCCAATCCGCATAGTGCCGCAGCACTGGAGTTGGCACGAGCAAATAAGATGGATTCCTTCTGGCCCTGGGTCATCGCTGGAATAAGCTTTCCAATCATGGCTGGGAAACAAATCATCAATGTTGTACAATTGGTGAAGGCAAGCAGGTGGTTGGCTGAGGGCGACAACGAGATGAGGAGGGCTGCTGGATTGCCAAGGAAGCGCAGCATGAAGTAAAGATTATCAGTGGGTGGATATGCTGATGATCTAGGATTCTGCGGAACGTTCTCCGTATTACTCAATGCAGAAGTGGATGGCGGTATAGGGTTCTGGGGGCCATCCCAAACCTCCCTCGTTTTGTGTACATCATTTGAGCTGGCATGCTCTGGAGGCTTTTCCTATGCTCATTCTTGTTCTTGTACCCCGGTTTATTTGCGCAATCGGTTTTGGGGAGACTCGGAGGCTGCTCAGGCTAGATGGAACGGCGTTCGAGTGAAGCATGCATAAGTCATGTAAATAACTATAACATGTTGGACGATTCGAAATAACCAGGTATCTAATAATAATAATAAACTAGAATAGATACATCTGACTGCTACGTTCGTGGTACGCAATACACAACCATAAATTCTCCCAAAACAGGGCAATTAGGCTTTATGGGGCTTGCTGGCCACAAGTCTAATAATATTTACTGGGCCTATATCTCAGCTAGTCCAGGTAGAGAGTAGTAGCACGTTCAAGAAAAGGCAGATTCGAATAGTTCGTCGCTATCGACGGGAGGCCCTGGACACTGGAGCAGCCCGTTGCCCGTGTAGCGTACTTGGTCCTTGAGACTCGAGTTTGGCCCAAGTGGGTCCTGCTGAGGTTGATGAATTCGACTAGCACGGAGGATGAGAGCATGAAAGCAGGCAGCATAATAAGAATAAGAATAATACCAGACAAGCATCCAGACGCTCTATTGCCATTATTAATTCGACTCGATCTAGAACGGGCATCTTCCCTGCAGGCCAAGCTGCTCCACCATCGACGACATACCGCTTCCGCCCTGAGCGCCCTCTCGTGATATAAAAAACCCTTCCGCTAGCTCTTGTGCTGGATTAGGCACGCATGAATGCCCACGATCAGGTAGCATTTAGTAGAGGTTAGGTACAGCACCTTAGTATCTACTATCTAGGTAGTCGACGCACGCCCAGAACACCCAGAACACTCAGAACACTTAGAACACCCCGTCCAGACGCTCTCAGCGACTCCCCGCAATCGGCCGCCACCTGAGGATGGTTGGGGGACTTGGAATGTGGTTTGGTACTGCAGGCGACTAACGGTTGAGCTCTACCGTCCTCCAATCAGTCCGCATCTGCTGAAGCCTTGAATGATAAACCTGCCCGCTGTCGACCGCTGTCACGACGAGCAGAACCCAGTACCTTACGACGTACGCAGGCCTCGCGCTGTCGTCCCCACGTCGGAGTGCTCCTATCCTGTGCTACTACTCCATAGCTCCAAGAACTCCCAACACTACTTTGTACAGCTACACTTCGTACATTGCATTACATACATACATACGCACGAGCTCCGCCAGCTACACCGTATTTTGATCACAGAGCTCCCATACTTCTGGAATGTGTCGAGGCCCTCGCGGAAATTGGTGATTGAGAAGGGCAACCTGCCTTCTGATCCTTCGATTCCCAATTCCACATCCAGATCCAGCTGCAGCCATGCCAGACACCTCGCCTCCGCCAACCGCCAGGCGCTTCTCACCCACCCCAGTCGAAACATCCATCAAGAAAGTTCGTCGATTCGCTCCTGAACCCGAGGAAACCACAACTCGGAGCAATAGAGGACAGGATGGACACGCCATCGAGAGACTCAAGCCCGCCGCGGATAAAAATGGCTTGCCTCCAAAGCCCCGCTTCGCCCCGGAGCCTGTCGAGACCTGCTTCAAGAGCAGCAAGGCCCCGAACAGTAAACCTTTATCTACTGCGGAGCCCACCCCAAACCCGATTCCTGAGGATACACCAGCGAGCGAGACCCCAAAACCCAGGAGACGGTTTGCTCCGCAATTGATTGAAACTTCGAAGAGGTCGAAGAAGGCTTGCGATACCAGGCCAGCTACCCTTCCCACTGACAAGGTAAGTGGCCGTTTATTTTATGTTGTACTGTACGTGTGGCTAACCGTTGCATGTAGACCGATTTGACGCCTGGAGTTCCTAATATATACACTCGCCCCAAACGAAAAACCCCACGACCTCCTCTCCCCATCCCCCCTGAAAATACACCAACATCCAGCTTCATTCTACCCCATGCCCCCCGCCGGCAGCCCTCAATGCGTCCTCATCCAAATACAAGGCGGGGCACCCGACAGGACTCCTTTCAACCCGAGTTGGAGGCTATACCATCGGAAGAGTCAAACCGGAGTTCAGAAGATGAGGAAGACGAGGAGTATAACTGGAGCTTAAAAGACTCCACGCCGTCACTTACGGGGTCACTTGGGTCATCCGAGGATTCGTTAATGAGATTACAATGGGCCAGGACACGGGAAAGCTGTGATGAACGCTTCTCAGGATATCTACTTGCTCTGGCCGCAAAGGCTGCAGAGAAGCAGCTTAAAGAACAGGCCCTGGCTGCGTTTCCCAATGAAACCTTTCACGAGACTGTGGAGCATTTCTACGATCGGGAAATAGACGGGAATTCAGATGAAGACGTGGTAGAGGGTATCGGGTTACTTGGGGACGACCCCACGCTGCCAAATCTACAGCGCAAATCTACAGACGGTGGATGGGCAGTGGAGGAGATGCAGCAGCATCAGGAGAAGCTGAACCGCCTGAGGGAGGACGAAACGAACCAGAAAATCGCCGACGAAGCCACCAAACCTACATTCAACGACCCGTTCTGGACGAATGGGATGACGATCAAAGCCGCCTTGGCCTCAGACACGCCAGTTAGTGTGAAGAATGAGCCAGAGCTAGAACGCATGCGCTCCGCTGCCGCACCGCCAATGTTAGGCACAGACTTGACATTTCGCATGTGCCCATCCCCAAAACAGACCAAACTGGAGTCCGACCAGCGCCCCGATGTGCATCTCCACCGGTGCGAGGATGGTGGAGGTCTCTGGGGCGGGTATTGCATCGCAGAGGAGCCCGGGGAACTTCTGAGACCCAGCTGCAGAGGACCGCCGGGAATCCGCACCCCGCACCCTGAGCGGGAGGACCCGGTTCCCTCCGCCCTCACCAACGCCACGACGAATGGCGACCATGATAGCTGTGGCACAATGCTCTCTTGTGTTGGCGACAGACTGGTTGCCGAGGAAGCAGTTCTCGAGGAGTTCAACGACACATTCGTCACACAGGTATACAACTATCTCTCGTTAGGCTATCCAGCCCTGGCGCGGCAGTACGACGAGGAGCTGGCTCGCGTGAGTCACATGGAGGTCGAATCTCTAAGGGCCGAGGATCACAAGAGAAATGCAAAGGGGCATATTGGTCTCGTTGATGCTCCTGGCGTCAATTCTAGCAAATCAGGAGATCAGCCTAAGTGTCCGCGGTGGAAAGCACTCCGAGTATATGTCCTGGAATGGGGCAGACAGCATCCCAGTATGTCGAATGGTGCAATGGATCATAGCACTTGGGGTGTTCTAGCAAGGCGAGGAAGCTGGGCTATTTGATTACCCCCCCTTCCTAAACGTTTTTCATTTTATCTGTGCCGTCATTGATCGAGATGGCTAAGTTATATATTGTTAAAAGGTTGGGATGGCTAGAAGAAAATGGCTAGCATGCGAGGCGTTGCGGTATATGCTGTCTGTTCTATACTCGGTTCCGGTCTTTTTCAAAATAGCTTTGAGAGCGGGTTCGTGGTTTATCTTTTCTCCCTTTATATGGCTTTTTAATCGATATACTTCTCCTTATTGTACATATTTCTACACTTTTCTTTCTACTCTAGCTTTGCTAAAAAGATACGGGCGAGGGATGGACGGCATGGTAGATGGAGCTTATGACGTTATGATGTTGCATACACACCTACGGACGGATTGCGAGGGAGGCTTTAGTGAAATTTTGCGAGAACAAGCACAAGATACACAGCGGTCAGATGCGAGACGGCTGTGCGGTTGTTTGAAGTAGACTGACTACGTGGCGATGGAAAATGATAGGCCTCAAAAAACTAAGCAGGCAAATACATAGCCTGACTTTAATGGCATTGAACAAATACAATGAAAAATTACAACTTAAACCCCTTTTCCTCTTCCTTTTGCCTCGGTTACATGTGTTTATCCCGTTTCAATTACCAGTGAGTACCCCCTTCCGCGACTTCAGCTCCGTATCGCCTTCTTCCCTCCGCGAGCATGCCCAGATACCCAATACACACAAGATAAGTTCTTATTATTCATGCCCCCATCTCACGCCCCCATCCCACGCCCCCCTAAAAATCCCGATCTTTACCAAGCCTTCCCCCCGATTCATTCTCGAGCTCCGTTCTCCCGCATATGCATACCTCACCTACATAGCTATATTATGTGCCTGTCCGTGTCTAGTAAGGTCTCACATGTCTGTCACACCCTTTTATACTTTACCCCGCAAAAACATGACAGGTGGAGAAACGGAACCAGTCTAGAGCCCTGTAGATATCCACCCGTCAGCCAATGCGATCGATGTCAAAGTGCTGGTAGCTAAGGTATGGTTGCCGCGCGTGTGGCAATGAGATGGCGTGTGAGTTGCAGGCTAGGGGGGAGGGGGGTGTTTTAGGAGGTCTTTGCTGGTGCGTTATAAACGTATGTGTAAATCAAATTAGTTTGGGTTTTATTGGTTGATGGCTTGAAACGAGGCGGCATGGAGATCCCCCGGCCCTATTGGCGGTCTATACTTCGTACATGATAATGGAATTTAAGCTAGTTTTGGTACTGTGCTATTAAAACCTTCTGGAGATGGAGAAAGTTAGTGGCTACCAACGCTGGGAGAGCCGATGGGGGTATAAATCAACAGGCTTTTCTACTATGAGGTGTAGTAAGGTTACACAGAAAGGTATTGATCTTACTGGCTAGTGACCAACTATTCTGTGTACTTTTTATTATATCGAATACATACCGAAGTACTTGCTCTCTCCTTCGTTCTTTGGGTTTTTAATATGAAGGGGCGCTTGACACTTCCTGCTCTAGTCTTGTAGAAAGAAATTATGGCAGGTAATTGAGGGAGTTGAATCTTAGGTGATGAAGAACTAACAAATAGGGCTATAATTTTTGTTTTAGGATGTTGGTTAGTTACGCTAATAAACTGGTAAGCCAGGCAGGTGGGTAATGTCCCTAGGTGGCAGACGTTCGATAGAACGTAGATTCGACAGCTGTAACACTGAGTTCTAGGGACACAAAGGTTTTGGCAATTCCTTGAGTTGAAATAGCACGGTGTTACACACAGATAAGAGGGTCATTGTAAGGAATGGTATCATTTTTGCTATTATTACTACCGAATAATTCAAGTCGCATAAAGTGAGGGGGTATCCTGCCATAAACCGGAACAAAACGAAATCAGACCCTATTCCCACAATTTCGTCGACAATGCCCATTCCTCATGTCGACCACCACAGGCGAAAAACAGCAGGATATTAAACTATAAACTTCGGACTTCGGATTTTGTTTCGCAGTCGCATAAAAGCATGTAGTCGTGGTGAAGGCGTGATAAGTAGCTCAGGTAGACCACGCTAATCAAACACGGTATCATCAGCAGGTGTGCCTAGATATTCTCGATCACATGGGCGTTAATCGCCTGTTGGAAACCAGTACCTCCAAAATCGGTATCATATTTCTGCGACGCCGAAGGGCCGCCATTGTGTTCTGAGCCCTCGCCAAACGCATTCGCCATTTGCATCGATGATCCAACGGTCGACGCGCTCGGCAAGAAGATGACCTTGCTGTTGGCGGACTTGGCCATGGCTTGCATTGCCTCGAGATATCTGATTTGCATGGCGGGTGCGCTGGACAGGATATCTGCCGCCTGGCGCATGAGCTTCGCGGATTCGACCTCGGCGCGCGCGGCGATAACCTTGGATTCTCCAATACGCTTGGATTGGGCGGCCATGGAGAGGGAGTCTTGCAGCTCGTTGCTGAAGATGATGTCCTTGATGAGCATGCTCTCTACCTTCACACCCCAGCCTGATGCGACGTCTTCGATGATCTCGCCAATGGATTGGGCGACTTCCTCACGGCGTTCGATGACATCCTGGAGGACGCGCGCGCCGACGACATGGCGGAGGGTTGTTTGAGTGCGCTCCACGAGTGCCTGTCGAACATTGGAGATTCCGAAAGCAGCTTTGTGGGGGGATGTGATGTGATAATAGATGACGGAAGTCAGGTGGAGGGTAACATTATCCTTGGTCATGCAAACTTGCTGAGGAACCTCTATTATTGGGATTAGCTCTGTCCTGCTCCTATTGCCGCCCACTATAGTTATACATACCAACAATCTGGATCTTGACATCGACCTGGATAAGCTTCTCACTGAGCGGGTTGATCTTGACAAGACCGGGGTCCACTGCGCGATAGAAACGGCCGAACTTGGTGACCAGACCGACGTTACCCTGGGAGACGGGTTTATATGGATTCGGGCAGATGATGCAGCACGGAATGGCGCCCATGGTTCCAATACATGAGCCCAACGCGTTGACTATATGTTACGCGAACGTTAGCTGACGGAGCTTTAGAGTCGAGGGGCCTGGATCCAATTCATTTGAACCCAACGGGTTACGCACTCATGCTTCCGTACCAGCCATGCGCGCCGACATCATCGTTCTGAAGGACCTGCGCATAGCTGGGCTGGAGATCCTCTCTTCTTGGTGGCTCCACGTTCACCATTGGACCGCCGCTGGCGCCTGGCCTAGTACGAGAAGGGCGGGATCCGCCATTGACAGACGACTCGCCTGGCTGGCTGTCCTTGACACTGTCGACCGTGGATGCCATCTTGAAATGTGTATGCGTATAGGGAGGTATGTATTTGTGTATCGAGTACTTCGTGGACTGGTAGAAGCTGTGGATATGTGAAACGGAGGAGAAATGGTATGGCATGTTATTAGCGGCGGGGAAGGTGCACTGTATTTATCATTGCCATTGTGCTACGCGCAAGGTTGGAGTCGGGGTGGCTTGCAAGGCCCAGCAGGATGCCGGTAGAGTACGAGTATGTAATGTAGCACTGGTCGCTGGCGCAGAGAGCCTTGTGGGGAAGCCAGCAACGGCTAGCTACTTGGCTATACGAAATGCGAAATGATCGTAAGAATTAGGGGGCAAATCAGTAAGATTCGGGCACTCTCCTGGTGATTGTCCGTTGGTCCTCTCTTGCGCCCTAGGATACAAGGCTTAGTCGGCGTTCGGAACCCCTAGAGGCGCTGTTACCTAGAATCTGCCGGGCCAGTCATCAACGACATCATCATCATCATCATCATCATCACTGTTTTGGACTTTTGACGGGAGTAAGAAAGCAAATAAGTGAGCCAGCATAGCCGCAATGGACCCCGCACGCCCGAGAGGGCAGGTTGAATAGTTGGATAGCAGATACAGATCAGTATTACAGTTACAGATTCAGATACAGATACCTTCGTATATCGCCTGGAAGCAGTAAAGTAGAACCCGACCCGACAACTGGCCGGAGCCATACCATGGATGGACAAAGGAATCGCTTCACTCCAGATAATCTCCCCTGGCCACGGAGCAAATCGTTGCCGAGCTGGGCTTCAAAATCGGTCTCGTGACCGGGTGATTGGCCGCCTCTGCCGTCTTAGCCATGGAAACACTGGAACTCCTCCGACGAACTGGAGAAGCCTGATGGGATTGATAGGGTTGATGGGATTGCTCAGCCTTGGGCCTAACTTGGCGCGCGAGCTGGCACGTAGTGCCGGTCTGCCAGTGCTGAGCCTCGCTCGTCATGGTCATGGTTTGGTCATGAAGTCCCCTTGGATTTCTCCGGCCCTTACCTCCACGTTGCTCGATCTGTACGAATAGATGGTCGGAACTCATGATCGTCGTAAGCTTTCCTTTCTCTAGACCCTGAACCTCAACCGGCCAGCCTCGACAGGGACACTTTCTCGTGGCACTGTTTACATGTCTGGAGGGCTAGGAATCCACGACTCGTTGATCTGCCCTTGGCCTTCCTCGCCAAGGGCTTATACGTGCCTATGCCAATCTACCTAGGCAGTACGTAAACATTACATCAGGTCATCATTCCATAGTCAATCTTCAACCTTACGAAGTGCCTCTTCGTACTCCACATCCAATGCCCTTCGACCCTAACGCAACTCGCGTTGTATCAACTCTTTCTAATGTGTCCCTAGGTAGTCTTGACGATGTCTGTAGTACGACAGAACAGCCTAATTTGCTAGAGCGGCGTGTTCGCCGACTTCCGCCAACGCAGAACTGCCATGGTGCTTAGTATGCTCAGGCTTTTAGCATCTCTGATCGTAAGCTACTGAGGGATGAGAGATCCGATGCAGAAATCGACGATTGGCCAATAGCGCTTTCCAACGTCGGGCGGAAATGCATGCACGACTTCGGTAGGTATATAGCTCACCCCGCTCACTACCTAGGAAAAACGTGGGAGCTATTGTGGCGCAGTCTATCACCAGATGAAGGTGCCCACCACTAAGTTGCAAAATGTGCCGGATGTGGTATATAATTCGCCAGACGGTGCATCTCAATCGAGACATATATGACGGCAACAAGCTCGTTCGTTCTCGAGAATAAAAACCGCATGCAAACTTTGGAAAGTCCCCATAAGATTTTCCCGATGCTAAAGATGCACTGCCCCTATATGTTTCGAATACGCTAAGTGGCTGCTAAGGATACCTCGTGAGAGCCTGAGAGGTATTGGAACTACATATAGCAATCTCAGCAGGTGCCGCATTTCCGTCTATAGTGCAGCTGTGCGACTGGAGACAGTAATATTAAAATATGAGTGTGATGCAGTCAGCTTAACTAGGGCGTAGTTTTGATATTAACATTTGTCCTTTTTTACCATCTTAATTTCAACCTGAACTAAGCCCTTAGTATGCTATGGTTACTGTAGTTCTCGGGGGTAAAGTATGCCTCATTCGTATATCTCAAGGGCTATTCGGAATACTGCGTCAGCGATACCACTAAATACTTTGAAGTTATCTACCAGGGGGCTGAGCAATACAAAGCCGCGGGAGCAGGTCGTAAGCAGGTGGAGTGGCGGCCCGGAAATAAATCCCTTCCGGAGATTCCATAACCTTTTGATTTGAATTCATATCATGATTTCGGGAGATTAGATAGAGAAAGTATAGGTCTTACTATATCCAAGATGTATGATATATATTTTGACTAAGCTCTCCTGTTCAGTGGCCAAGGCCCAGGAAACGCCTTGTTTCGTTTGCTCGCTGGCAAAACAAGTACCTTCTGCTCAATCGACCCCCCATGGTCCATGTTGAAAGTAGCCGGGATAGTCTCTTCCAATGCGATTAAACTCGCAAAGTTCCGTAGTTTTTCCCAAGATAGGTTTTCCGGGTTGTGGATAGCACTGAACTGAGGAAGAAGGTCAATCTGTTGGATTGTGTGGTTGATCGTTTCGTGCTCTGAGGGATCTGAGTAGAAGTCCCCACATTGGCCGCCTTCACGGAACGATTCGTAATTGTAAGCCCTGCGGATAGAAATGTCAGCTTTGTCAAGGGGTTTAGATATGCAAGTGCCCTTACAAAGTCATCTCAGGCAACCAAGATCTCAAATTGCCGTGCCGCAGCTCGAAAGCTTGTCTATCGAGTGCCCATAGCTTCCATATCAGATAGATCCAGACTATCCAGTATGCGTTATCCCAGTCTTCTACTAAGATACTCCAGTTTAAGGGTAGATGTTCTTCCTGGTCATCGGCAATGATTCGCACGAGTGAATCGTGGATATCTGGGTAGTAGATATGCAGCCAATCAAAAGCACATTCTAGAGACAAAAGATTGGCTTGGATATCCGTTATATGGGCGTAGTCTGGATGTGGTGGGGATGCCTGATGGCGAGGATGTTGACAGAAAGAGCTTAATGAAGACGCTTCATGGATCTGGTGGATGATAGGTGCGAGAGCAGTCTCGAGGACACCAAGCTGTCTGTTCCTATAGTCCAATGCTAGTTTCTGATTCTCATTCTGAGGGTTACTACGAATGCCCGAAATGCGTTAGTAAGTCTAATTAGAATAGATCCCAGACTCGGAAAACACTACCTACCCTAACTCGGCTTCACTATCTCGGATTCTCCCGATTTCAGATTCAAGCTTAGCGGACAGAATGGGCAGAACACGAGAGACAGCTCGGTATAAAGGCTTGGAAAACATATCACTGTCCCTCTCGAGACAATATCCAAGATTTTCTTGAATAAACCGGCGCTCCCTGGAATTCGCTACCATACAGACCATGGTCTCGAACAGCCCGTGAGAGAAGTATTTTAAGCCGAAAATAGTGCCTGTATGCTTCCCAGGGGAGGTTTGGTATCGCATTCGGAACATAAATTCTCCAGTTGTTTGATCAGGACGAGGACGTCTATGGCAAGTTTGACTACGGCGCAGTTGAGTAGCATCAGAAGTAGGGGTCAATTTGAGGTTGACGACATCCTGATACATGGTAGGAGGAATTGTGAACCCGTATCCCACTAGCAGCTCACTATTTGACTTGTGGCCGTAAAAGTTATATATTTGGGCACCTTGCGTCACTTCTTTGGACGTGGAAAGAATGAACTGCTCCGTTTCTGGGGCCTTGGACCATTTAACGAAATCGAGTCCGTCGTGGTTCCCTATATCCAAAACTGGGAGAAGAACAGAGAATCGATCCTTTTTGATATGATCTAGAATCTCGACCCGTTCCTGCACACTAGGATAGGAACTTCCTATCATCTCCTCGGGAATGGTTAACGAGGCACGGAAACTTCGTGTTCCAAATATGGTTGCAGCCCACTTATAAAGAATATAGGTGTAGGCCTCCAAATTTTCCCAGCGATTCTCAAGGAGATTAATTCCTTGCTTCCACTGATCCCTCCATACGCGCTGTCTTAGTCTTATTGGAGGCTCAGCATTTGTCCCAGCAAGAAACTTTCGATCGGCTTCGGGCCACCAGATGGGAAGGCCCATGTCCTTTGGCTGGTCTGGTTGTGGGAGGAGGCGAATATAGTCCCACCAAAAGGACTCCGCACCCATCAAGTATTGCTGGATTAAGAAGAAATGCCCAATAATATGCGGATCATCGTGGCCCAATTCATCGAGAAATTCACGCGGAAATCGCGGAGATTCATGAAGGTGGAATTGAGCAGATCCATGGATGGCATTCAGATAAGACAAGGCTGTGTGATAAGAACAGTTGACCAGTTTGTCGCCAGAGGGAATGTCCTCAACTGCCCGGAATGACAGGCCGGTGACTGGGTCCTGATAAATCTCGACATGGGGATGAAGACTGGTATGATTGACCTCAGCCCACTGCAGCAGAGCATCTATCTTTGGTTGATCTAGAACCATGACGAGCGTATACGTATGAACTCATACGTAATAAATCTTCGTATTGGGGTACTAAGAAATCCTACCACTCGTAGATGCGCGTTCCGAATTTTAAGTATTCGCCAAGAATTTATAACGAACGCTCTGACGGATTCTGTGCTCGTGCGTGCGAGCATAAAGGCGTTATTCAATGTTATTAGTAAGCCGCGAGTCCTTGAGCATCAGGAATACTTGGCAATCTTAACCACCAGCCCTGACGTCGTTCATCTTGATTTATATCTTATCTTCCCCATCTGCGTTGCTGGTGCCACACGCTGCGCACTCCAACATATATGGAATCTAGTTGCCTATTCCATAGCCCATGGGCTAGTATATTTATATTTGCTTACGAATACTCCGTTTGAGGTAGGTAACGCGTTACTGTGCCTCGACGCGCAACGCAACGCGAATGTCATTTTCTGATTCCTGTACTACATAATCCTCACAAGATAACCCATAATTTCGCATGAGCTATCAAACCCGACCGTTTCCCTTCACAAAACTCCTAGCCCTATATTTCCATCGTGAAGCATCTCTTCACATATTTTTGTCTCGCTGAGTTGTGTGAACAGAGACTGGAAAGGAGCCATATCTCAATATGGCGTCTCTGGAGTCCGGCTCGGCCAGTTATCTCTCATCGCTGCCGCCTGCGACCACCCAAATTATATATGGCCTGAAGCTCTGGAGCCTCAAGCTGCTATCATCCTTTGGTTTGGCGTCTGTGCGGCTGTTCACAACGACCCCATTACCGCTCCGGCCTTCCATCATAAAAGAATACCCTTGCCGACCCGGCCTTGCCAATCGAATATTCGTTCCGAGGTCTCACAGACCTGGTGAACTTCTCCCTCTGTATCTCGACCTTCATGGCGGGGGGTTCGCTCTCCTTGATGCCCAATACGATGACGAATTTTGTGCTGTACTTGCCAATAAATTCAATATCCTAGTCGCCAGCATTGAATATAGGAAGTCACCGACCAGCAAATTCCCAGAGCCAACCTACGATGTGGTCGCGATCTCTAACGCCATTATTGAAGACGAAGCTCTACCTATTGATAAATCGCGTGTGGTGTTGGGGGGCTTCAGCGCCGGTGGGAATTTGTGTCTCTCTGCCGCCCAGGTACCCGAGCTTAAAAGCAAGATCAATGGGGTTATCCCCTGGTACCCTCTTACGGATTTTACTCTGTCGCCAGCTGAGAAACAGAGCTCAAGGCCCTACCGAAATGCGAAAGATATGGACGATTTTAAGGATTGGGGCCCGATCTGGGAATGGGCTTATGTTCGGCCTGGGCAGAACTTGGGGGACCCGTTGCTGAGTGTCAGATATGCGACAAAGGACAAGTTGCCTAAATGGGTATATATGGTAGGCGCAGAGTATGATATGCTGGCTAATGAGGGACGGGACCTGATGGTTGACCTTGCGGGCCTGACCGAAGTTGGGAAGGAAAAGGAGTTTTACGGGTTTGAAAAAGATACCTACAAGTGGACCTTGGCTAGAGGGGTACGACATGGTTTTACCCACGATATGATGGATAACCCGGGGGCAGAAGTGGTAGTCGTGAATCAAAAGAGGGTTAAGGAGCTAGTTGACGACCTGGGGAGCTGGTTGTTCAAAGGTCCCTTCGCAGCATGAACGACTCTGGATAATATCGCATGCAAAGAACTTCAGAATGAATCTAGATCTACATAGTCCATTTATACCTAGGTGCCTATGTTGCCTAATTTCCAGCAACCCATGAGATATGCTACTGCAATTACCAGTCTGATAAGGTGGGCCATAAGATGTAAGTACCATTAGTCTTATGCTTCCTCAGATCACGCTCTCCACGAGGCTGCCGAGGCTACAAGGCTGAGGATAAGATGGTAAAGGGAATGTATAACGGTATGACGTTGTCAAGCATCCGATGACGATGCCTACCCAAGACACTGACTCTTCGTTGGTCCTTGGCGCCAAAACATACATTCTTGATGAAATGATTCGCCAATCAACCTTCAGCCTCAACCTACGTTCCTGAAGTCGTACGACTTGGCCACAGAGTCAACTCTCACATTTACTATAAATTCATTCCTCATCACCAGCAGCTCGTTTTTAACTCAGAAATACCAATACCAACGTCATATTCAACTCCCCAACTTTCATCGTCGATTTAGATACAGCGTGGGCAGCTCGGCATAGCACAATATCAACATGCCGGTCTCCAAGCAGCTCGCCGAGATCATGAATCGGCACAAAGATCTCTTCGCTGCGCATCGGGATGACGCCTCTGAAGATAGCAGCTATTCAGGGGCTCCTGCCCTATTATCTCGTCGTCTTCGACTGGTACCCAAGCACTTAAGGGCCTACGTCTATGCAGCGATGGCGTTCAAGCAAGATCACAACTTTTCAAAACAATCACCCACCTATCATGATCGCAAAGTCCGAGCCTCAATTCAGGAGGAGGGCAGGTTTGCTGCTGCTTTCACAGTAAGTTTGAATTCTCCGTCTGTTGGGAACTAATTTACTGAATTTGAATTGATAGCCTCTCTTTGTTGGCATGTCGGCGGCCTTTAGTGATACCGACACCAATACCGCGATGATTGCTACGGCTATTCATGATAGCTGCTACTTGATCGACTTTGCCGTCCAAAGCATTGATCTGAAATCCTCGCAGGAGTCTGAAGATCCTATTGCAGATCATGTTGTAAAAGAGTTGAAGAAGTATGAACAGATTAATACGAGCAAGTTCGTCGGTGCTGGCATTCCGTGGGAACTTGTCAAACGTAGTCCAAGATTGTGTTCAAGGCTCTGGCTAGAACTTGACATCATTCCAATTACAATCCTCACACCCGGCTTGGAGAAACAGGAAGCTGAGATGAGGGGTGATATCTCCTGGGCTGATAAAATGGTCGATGAGCAAGCAGATTCCGTGGCGAGAAAGTGCATCATGTAAGTTCCCCCTTTCCCCATACTTATCTGGACTGTGTTGCATCAATGGCCATAGCATCCCTATATTGCTCCCATATTCTATTTCTAAGCTAATTTGTTAGGCATTTTGGTCCCAACCTAACTCCGCTTCTTCAAGTGGGCTGGAGAGGTGCCGTTGAAGTCGATTCAGGCTTTCAAGCTCGCCTCCTCACTCCACAGGACTTCAAAACCACTTGTAGTCCTCGCACATGGGATGCAATGATGAAGTTTGTCCTATCATTGAAAGAAAGGGGAACAAAAATTGCATTCTTCTCAAGTACACCACAGGGGGGCGGTGTTGCCCTCATGAGACATGCCCTTATTCGATTGGCAATGTCTCTGGGAGTTGACTTGAATTGGTGTGTGACCTAATATCCTGGGTTTGGTCCTTTCATCTCACTAACACTATTAGGTATGTGCCAAAACCAAAGCCCGGAGTCTTCCGCATAACCAAAAATATGCACAACATTCTCCAAGGTGTTAGCAAACCACATGAGGCCATTAGTGCTGAAGACAAGGCGGCCTTGGTCGCCTGGATCCAGGATAATGCATCTCGTTACTGGCTTAATCCAGGCGGCCCTCTGAGGCCTCCAGAGGAGGGTGGAGCACATGTTATTATAGTAAGTTTTCTCTAAAGCTTCTGGAATACATTTCTAACTTATGTAGATTGACGATCCTCAAATGCCAGGTCTCATCCCTTTAATCAAGGAAATAACTCCCGATAGGCCAGTTCTCTATCGTAGCCACATTCAAATACACAGTGCTCTGGCAAACATCGAGGGGACCCCTCAACATGATGTTTGGCAATTCCTGTGGGCAAATATCAAACTAGCAGATTTGTTTATCAGTCATCCAATCCCAAGCTTTGTTCCCGAAAACGTCCCAAGACCGATGACCTGTTATCTTCCAGCAACCACAGGTAAGCATGAACCCATCCCCTAAGTGTTTGTTTTATTCCCCCCACCAATCTTTCATTTGTTTTACCATAATCCAACCAAAATTCCGCAAGCCCTCCCCTTATATCTGAATATATACTAATTCCTGCGCGCCATTTTAGATTGGTAAACCCCCCCTTCATCCAATAGCTTTTGCACAACTAATCTAGATATATAGGCTCGACGGACTTAATAAACCTCTGAGGGATTGGGAACAGGCATATTATACCCATATGTATAACGAACAGTGCCACTCAATAAGGATGTTAGTCTTCAATATGTTCGATTTGCTGGCAAAGCTGACCAATTTTACAGGACTGAGCTGAGATATCCAGAAAGTACGTAACAAACGAAAATAGGACTACCTACATGCATTAACAACCACTCAATAGAGAAATATATTATTCAGATAGCCCGGTTTGATCCCGCAAAGGGAATCCCAGATGTTATCGAAGCCTATGCCGAGTTCCGGCGTCTTTTAATTAAGAAATCTCCGCTTGCGGATGCACCTCAATTGGCAATGTACGTTCCAACCAGCCAAATTCTGATAAAGCTGACAATAATGATAGCTGCGGCAATGGCTCAATTGACGACCCTGACGGCGCTCAGATCTACGACCAAACGATGGCTACACTAGAAACCCGCTACCCAGATCTGCTCAGCTCTGTCTCCGTCATGCGCCTCCAACCCAATGATCAACTCCTCAATGCCCTCATCTCATCTGCCCACTTTGTCCTACAATTCTCGACCCGAGAAGGCTTTGAAGTAAAGGTCTCTGAAGCCCTCCACAAGGGTAAGCCGGTAATCGCAACTAATTCTGGTGGCATTCCACTTCAAGTACAAGACAAGAAGAACGGATATCTAATTGAGCCGGGAGATTGGCAAGCTGCTGCTGCCCATATGATTAATCTATGGACGGATGAAAAACTATATAAGAGGATGTGCGATTACGCGAGCAAAAGTGTCAGTGATGAGGTGGGCACGGTTGGAAATGCTCTCAGCTGGTTTTACCTTGCGGATAAATTCGCTAGTGGGGAGAAGCTGGTACCAAATTGTGCGTGGGTTAATGATATGGCAAGGGAGGCCGCCGGGATAGAGTATGAGGAAGGGGAGAATAGATTGCCTAGAAGCTTTACGCAGAGGTGATAGCAATATTTACCGTCGATAGGCTGAATAGCTCAGTTGCGCCCCCAGATAGTAATTCTATAATTACGTTCACTTCCATCTTTTTTCTGGGTTTAATTTCCCAAGATTCTACTCGTTTTATGGGCTATATCTAAAGGGGACCCTCTTGTCCTAGGATTCGGCAAACTTTTTCTTCCGTGTACACCTCGATTCTAATTTTGTGCCTTTCTTTTCGTTCAGCTCCCCACCAGTTTTTGAGTGTGATTAGAATTTGAGGGAAGAGGTTTTCCAGCTGTGTAAAGTCTGACGGGGGAGTTCGAATATATTTTCGGAATAACAGCGTATTTATTAAAGAGTACCTACCTCAGCTATTTGGCCAGCGTGAAGTTCTTATTGAACCCCAAATCCCTCTTAGAAGCCAGCGTAAAACATGATCTCGCTGGCATACATTCCTGATTCAATGTGCGACTTGGAATTGATTGAGACGTATGGGAACGAGGCAATATCGGTTTACACTTTTTTAATGAATGCATCTACTTCATTCATGGTAAAATTTCATTTTCCTTCTCCCCAGTGACCTTCCTATCTCATGAACGCCACGGAAAGAAATGCGAGTCTACATCATTTCATTTAATATTACATGCCCAGCTATCGATTACTTCAGGAACCATCACTGCCACTGAGCACATCTCTGATCCCCATCATCTCTGTCACAACACTGTCCTCCAATCTACTACGTGCAGATCCGCCCGCTCCATCAACCTTCTGCTTCGTTAGATCTGCCTCTCTCGCACCCATAGGTATAATTTTCTCTGCTAACAGCAACGGTGCACCAAGCCAAAACTCAACATTCTCCAGCGTAGCAGAAGCATCCCAGTTCAACTCCGGGATATCCGCTGTCCCAGGATGATTCTCTCGGAAGTTGTTGAGTATGTAATTTATCAGGGCTAAGGAGTGTGCTTCTGAGCACATGCTTAAGGATATGTATTTGGGCTGTGTTTTTGACGCTGTGCGTGAAAGTTCTGGCGCTTCAAAGGCTCTGGCACATTGTTCGAGTAAGGGGGAGAATTGGTTGAGAAATATGGCGACTTCTGCGGCGATGGAGGTTTGCACTGCGTCGAGGAGGTTGAGGATGAAGGGGAGGATTCCTCGGAACCAAATGTTGTAGCATCGTTGCAGCCCTGCGCCATCGGCAAAGGGGCCCACGTTACCACGCCGAAGATATGATGTGATGTTCGCAGAAGCGATGTGACCGAGTACGCCCTCAATGGCAAGTTGTTCGGCCATGAGAGGCATGCTGGACAGTTCTAGGAGGAAGAGGATGCTGAGTTCGCCGTAGATGGGGTCACCATCAATGGCAATGCTGTCAGACCAAGAGAAGAGTGTTGTGGCAACTCGAGCTGTATCATTCGCTATTATCGTCGAGACGATCTGGGATTGGGAAAGTTCGATTTCTGGGATGCGGAGACAAGATTGCAAAATTCCGGTGATCAGGGCAATATCCTCTGGTGACGATTCGGCTATATCTTCGTGGATGGAAGATGCACATTCGCGCATACCCATGGCGACCACATATTTGATGACATCGAGAATAACCGGAACAACGGTGGTGGATTGGGTCATTCGGACCGAGACATTGAGACTCTCCTGCTCACTGGTATTGGCGTGCGCTCGAATCGCGATGAAGAGAATTTTCAGTAACGATCTGTAATAAGGAGCATCCTCTTTGCGGAGAGGCCTCTCAAACGAGCCTCTGAAGGTGCGAATAGTGGTCCAAGTTCTGGTGAGGAGGCCCTTCATCTCTGGGAGGGTACATTTGGCCTCCATTAGGCGCTGAGCAAGTATGAGCGAGAAATCCGCCCGTTGAAAACATAGTCTGGTGAAAATCTCTTCTGAAAACTGGCTTTTGGAATTCGCAATTAACGAGTCGATGGAGACCTTAACTAGCGCTTTTTGCGCTTCAGTCTGTTTTGAAAGATTATTGCTGATCTCGACAGCGAGAACTTTCCAACCTTGGAAAAGAGCCTAAACAACATTAGCAATGATCTATTATTTGACTGTATCGGCTTACAATTTGCGCGTCAACGAGAGACAGGTTGACATTCGCATTTTCAAATTCGACTCGCAACCCATTGCCTCGACGTCCAGTCCAAGCTTCATCAAGGCCCAACATCTTGTCGGCAAGTGATAAGTCGTAAAAGTACTCACTCCCAAGTTGCCGTTCGTCCAAAGTCGTTCTTTTCAGGTCTTGTGGAATACATCCGGGATATCGAGACTCAAAGTTCCGTTTTAATAGTGTATGGAGCGAGGAATTTAGACTGGGAACTAAAACAGCAAATCTTATAAAATAATCCAAATTTGGGATTAGATTATTTAAAGGTGTCTCGGCTCCGGTTTGTCTAGAATGGAACATGTGCATTGCCACTATTTCAGCAGTGCAAGCTGCAATCTTGGTCTGCAAACAAGCGTCGATTTGATCTTCCAATCTTGCAGATTGCTGAATCGGTTTAAGCGCAGCGACGAACCGTAAGATAGACCCGAAAAAGCTACTATGCTTTGGCGAGCTGTACACAGCCCACGGCCAGAAGTTTTGTGCTAGCGCCACAAATTCGAGCATCCCTAGGGCTCGACTTTTAGGAATGCTCTCAATCGTGGAAAGAGTTTCGAGCGCCGTGGCTAAAAGTGGTTTTTCTAGCACTGATAGATCGGTGCTGCTTGACTTTATTCCAATGGCTTCTTTTGGAGTTTTCCCAGTGAGGAGATAATTTGCAAACCACCTCTGTTTGTTGCTCACAACCGTGGCCAAGAAATGCCAGATCGCCATGACATTATCGTCTCTAGCTAAAGGTTTGTCCAATTCAGAGAGGGTGTGAACAAAATTTTTCGCAGTGTGTGAGCCCAAGTGACCCAACAACGAAGGAGGGTCCGAGGTATCATTTGCAGTAACAATTAGAGCTTCGAAAAGCCCAAGAACAGTTTTCTTGTAAGCGTCAGTTACGGCGTATAACCTTGCAACCAGAGGAGCAGCCTTAAACATCTGCCCTTCGAGTTGGGAAGCGGGCCTTTGCAGGAAGCTGCTAACCCTTAATAACGTCGTGGAAAACATAAGTACAGCATTGACTTGCGATTGCCATAGGCCCAACTCGTTCAAGAAGATTGTCAAATCTGGTGTCTTCACACCATCCAAATATACAATCAATAGGGGCTGGAACCTCAAACTGCTAGTAGAAGTAGCTAAAAAGCTATCCACAAGCTGCGACGCTGATGCTATCAAGGCACCTGTGATCTTCGATGTTATCTCATTCGTAGTCGTGGATGCAGTTTTGGCAATTTTTGAGGGGGGTTCAACGCTTTCGAATGCGGTTTTCGGAGACTTAGACGGTTGTGGAGTGGGTTCGATGCCATACACATAGTGAAGAATATTGTCGAATGTGCTGGCAATGTCCCTGAATAATCGGCGACGCTCATTTTCCTCCGCAAATTTCCAGCTGAATGAGCTCTCTAGAATATCGATTAAGTAGCGGGTAAAGAAAAGCATGATTTTTGACAGAAGCTGATCGGGGACACCAGTTCCTATATCCTCTCGATCTTCGAATCTACCAGTAGACTTGGGACCGCTTCGCCGCTTCATAGCATTGGAAGCAATATCTTCCACCAAAGCCTCATACAAGCGCGAGCATGACGAGAGAAATTCGTATCTCCCCGATACAAGCTCGACACTTTCCACGATACTCGGCAATCTTCCACCACCGCGGCTAACTCCCAGAAGTGCGCTCCTCGCCAGATGAGGCCAGACTCGACCGGGCGAAATTGAGATCAGCGAGTGAATGAAGTGTGTGCAGCTGATGAGTACCCCCAGAGGTGCTTCGGTGCTCGAAAAGCCCGATTGTCTCTGAAGCTCGTCTTCGAAAATGTCAAATATTACAGTTATGATATCGCGATTGCGGCTTAAGCCTGAGCTCGCAATTTCTAGGATACGCATGGCATCCTTTCTGGCATCGGCCGCATCGATGTCTGATTTCGAGATACCAAGTACAATGGTAGCAAGTATATCAATGATCTCCATGACAGAATCTCGATCAGCGGGCAGACCTGTCGTGGCATCCACCAAGTTGCTCGCTGTCAAGAACGTTTCAAGCAAGGTCCCAAAATACTTCAGCCCAGAATATTCGTGGAACCAAAAAACCACTCTTGGGCCCGAGTCTGAGATAATGCGGCCATAGCTTCCTGTAGGGATACAGAAGTCTTTGTCAGCTAAGGTCAGAGCTAGCGATTCGGACGGCGCGCCTTGATGGATGGCCTTTGATCGAGTATCAAATAGATGAACAGGCACTTTAAGACGAACGGTGTTGTTGTTGTCCTCCTCTTGTGCCGTCTCATAATCTGCGAAATCATTTGGTAATCGGTAGGTGAAAAAAGGAATCGAATCCAGGAAGCTGAGGGCAGATTTGGCACCATGTTCAGAGTAGCTCGATGGGCAGGATGCAACAGCGCGGATCATCCGTAAAAAGGGTAAAGACTCAAGGGGGTATCTGGACATGGCATTTCGAAGGAACGCTGCGACCAGTTCCTCATTCCCTAGAAATATTGCAACAGGATCCGATATGATACTTTGAGGATTGAGGTCCACAAGATCCCAATAGTTTTGCCCCCCAAAGAGCGTGGAAAGGAGGGCTTCTACAACCTCAGGGATATAACCGAGACCACTGTTGCTAGTTGCAATAAGATCTAGAATGATGACCCTCATCATTGCAGCTGTTGTATTTGAGAAGAATGCATCCGATGTATTGCCGAGTCGCATCGCAAGGCCAGTGAGAGTTTCTAAGACGTGGTTCTGATTAACTGAGCTTCGGGCCATGAAGTCAATCGGGTCTTCCTCATCTGAGCTATCCATAATGTCTTCCATCACGCCTTCATATTGATCAGAGGTTAATGTCGCATCGGTTCCATCAGAGGTTCCGCGCTCGTATCGACTTAGTGGCTCGCCGTCCTCAAGTTGCAAGGTTTTATGATCCCAGACTCGTTGTTTCATTGTTTTGAGGATAGTCACCCATGCTAGAAGTGGAGGGCCTGCCGTGACGAAGCCTCCGTCTGCAGCGTTCATCATAATTTGGTGGATTTCAAGGATGGTTTGGGTATTGAGAATAAATGGAGCATCAGCTGAGACATCCGAAGATACTACCGCGCCCGAGTTATAGTCCTTGAGGTAATCCAGAGTACTTCCCACGCCAAATACTGACAAAGAGACCAACATAGAGATGGTTTGGAGTGGTAAGATGAGAATCTGAACAGTTGGTTCTTCCTATGGAACGTTAGTGGGTAGGAGAGAGTCTTCGGAATAATAAGTACCATATTGAATTGGTCGAAAAATCCACAAGATTGTACGAGCCGGAACCACCCAAGAACTAACTGGGAGGATGGCAAGCTCGTGTTGAAGAACACAATTTGAAATATCAATTCCATTGTGTGGGTCGCCTCCATGATCTGCGTACAGACCCATTCGAATTCAAGGTCGGGCCGCCCACCATCTTCCTCATACCACCCACTGCCTTTGCCAATGTTTTGTACATTATTTCCGATAGCTTCGAAACACCTCAGAGCAAAAGTTTCAAGTGGCCCAATGCTCTTCACGAGCGCCCTTCCGATATCCCCAAGCCATGTATCCGCCGTTCCAACCTGTTTTCCTTTCCCGTATTCAGACGCCGGTAACTCAAGAATGAAGAAAGCGTAAAGTAAGCGTTCAATGCACTTCAGGAGATAGCGGCGTTCGGAAAGATATATCAACAGTATGCGGCTGCGTCGATTGTCCTCCGTCTCAAATTCGGCCACGATATCTGTAGCATCTGCTCCTCGGGAGAGCAATGAAAGAGCAATAGGACTGGAAAACTTGCTATCGCCAGCTGATTCTCGTATGCTCGAGAGTTCATCCTCTGAAAACGGGCCTGACAGCTTCGCTGATGTCCGCGACTGATATTCTTGAACCACCAGCCGGAGGGCGGACACTTCGCCAAGGTTGGCAATTTTGGTCAACCATAGCGCATCATCCTTGATTTGCTTGATATCGTACCGCGCGTTCGATGAAGGCGTGACGTTAATTGCAGAGGTCTTCGTCTCGAAAGCAGACTTTGTCTGAGAAGTTGGCGGAGGGAAGGCATCAAAAGGACTGGTCAATAAGTCTCGTACGGCCGGGTCAGAGAGAAATTGCTCGATAGCAGGTTGTGGGCTTGTTGCACCTGTGCCATTCGTGCTGCTCTGGATCGCAGGGAAAATCGACTTCCAAGAGCTGGTACGTTATCAAGTTAGCAGCTTCCCAAGGCAAAGGTGACATACCATGGGGGGTCAAGCTCACATTAATAGCTGCTCTCCACTCAGGCACTTGTCCAGAGGCGGGAAATAGCTAGAATCCGGTATTGGCACCATTGCTCCCAAGCTCAGCAAGCCAACAGCAGAAACCCGCCGTTGTTTGGTGCATAAGAAGAGCGGGAGAGTAGAGGCCGTTGAGCTTGCGACTTTTCGAGGGTGAAAGTCTCGAAGTTGGAGACGCGCGCGAGACTGCGCGCGGTGGCTGAGGTGGTCACCGTAATAATTCTTTCAGCCTTCCCAGCCCCGGTTTCCGCCACTCCCCCACCACGTCCAAAATCCCATCAACACCGCTCCATCTGTTATACATTCACTGCAACCACAACCACAACCAAACCTCCAACATGGCCCCCCGTGGCCTGATTGATCACTCCCCCCAGCAACCCCAAGCAGTGCAGCCTCTTGCTACTGCGTCGAATCTTATTATCATTGACAATTACGATTCGTTTACCTATAACGTCGCCCAATACCTCGTGCTCGAAGGGGCAACGGTCAATGTGTACCGCAATAACAAGATCAGCGTGCAAGAGCTCATCGCATTGCGCCCAACGCAATTGGTAATCAGCCCGGGTCCCGGCCACCCAGAGACAGACTCGGGGATAAGTCGCGATGCCATCAAACACTTCGCTGGCAAGATTCCTGTGTTCGGCGTCTGTATGGGACAGTGAGTCACCTAGTGTAGTGGACAGGTTGCATGTCTCAGATCATGGACTAAATTTAACCTAGGCAATGCATCATCGATGTATACGGAGGAGACATAAGTTACGCTGGGGAGATTCTGCACGGGAAGACATCCCCAATTCGACACGACTCGAAGGGCGTATACAAGGACGTTCCCCAGGACGTGCAAGTTACCCGGTACCACTCGCTCGCCGGCACATACACCACCCTTCCGGAGTGTTTAGAGGTATCTTCTTCGATCCAAGTGGGGCCAGATGGGGGCAAAGGAATTATAATGGGTGTTCGACATAAAAAATATGTGGTCGAGGGAGTTCAATTCCACCCTGAAAGCATTTTGACCGAGGAGGGCCGGCTGATGCTCAAGAATTTCCTGATGATGCAGGGGGGAACGTGGGAAGAGAACCAAAGACTGGCCAAGAAAGCTGCAAGTCTACCTAAAGCGACCTCCAACGGTGCCAGTGGCAAGCAGAAGGAAAACATGCTGGAAACGATATTTGCGCATCGTAAAACGTCGGTGGCAGCGCAGAAGGAGATCCCTTCGCAGCGGCCTAGTGATCTCCAAGCTGCATACGACCTCGAGATAGCTCCCCCTCTGATTTCATTTGTCGGCCGCTTACGACAATCGCCATTTCCGCTGTCGCTCATGGCTGAAATCAAAAGAGCTTCTCCATCCAAAGGAATCATTTCACTGGCAACTTGTGCTCCTGCCCAAGCTAGAACATATGCTCTAGCTGGAGCCAGCGTTATTTCTGTTTTAACCGAGCCGGAGTGGTTCAAAGGGAGTATCGATGACTTACGCGCTGTGCGGCAGGCTCTAGAGGGGATGCCCAACAGACCTGCGGTGCTCCGCAAAGAATTTATATTTGAGGAGTATCAGATCCTTGAAGCTCGACTCGCCGGGGCAGATACAGTTTTACTAATAGTAAAGATGCTCGATGGGGCTACTTTAGCAAGGCTCTACCGCTACTCGCAGTCTCTTGGCATGGAACCTTTAGTTGAAGTCAACAACGATGAAGAAATGTCAATAGCGGTAAAGCTTGGCGCGAAGGTTATCGGGGTCAATAATCGGAATCTGACGAGTTTCGAGGTGGATCTAGATACAACAAGCCGACTTCTCGGCCAGGTCCCCAAGGAAACCATCGTTTGCGCTCTTAGTGGAATTTCCGGGGCCAAGGATGTAGTATCATATAAGAATAATGGAGTGGGGGCTGTGCTTGTAGGTGAAGCTTTGATGCGTGCGAAAGATACTACTGCGTTCATTCGTGAACTTCTAGGAGGATCAGAGCCCATTATAAAATCAGCCCCTGGGAGCCTTCTGGTCAAAATCTGCGGTACAAAGAAAGCAGAAACGGCAATTGAAGCCATGAAAGCAGGTGCTGACTTGATCGGAATGATATTAGTTCCTGGACGGAGTCGACACGTTCCGTTCAAGGATGCTATCGCCATCTCGAGGGCTGTCCATGAAACTCGCGTCACAACTGGCGGGCTGGCCAGTGACAGAATTGGCAGCCAAGCAACGGACGCTTTTGCCAATGCCGCTTCAAATATCTCGAGTCATCGCCCGTTGCTGGTTGGAGTATTCCAAAACCAACCTCTTGAAGAAATCCTGGAATTGCAAAGGGCCTACGAGCTTGATATTGTCCAGCTGCACGGGAGCGAGCCCCTTGAATGGGCTAATATAATCCCAGTTCCTGTAATTCGAAGTTTCAAGCCTGGCCAACCAGGTCTTGGAAGAAGAGGTTACCACACAGTACCTCTGCTCGATTCTGGGTCTGGAGGTTCAGGACAGAAGTTGGACATGAGTGACGTGCAAAACGTTCTCAAGAATGACGAAGGGCTCCAGGTCCTGCTGGCTGGTGGTCTCAATCCAGAAAACGTAGCAGACGCTGTACGTACAGCAGGCCAACTGGGCGATAGGATCATTGGAGTCGACGTGAGCAGCGGAGTTGAGGAGAACGGAGTCCAAAGCGTTTCAAAGATACAGGCATTCATAAAAGCTGCTAAATCCGTCCGGTAAAGTAGTTAGTTCCAAAGCCCCATCTAGGTTAATATGGTCATAATATTTCTATACAAATTATACCGATAAAGAGCAGAGCATCTTGCCAGTTTCTAGTATCTTGACACTTTAAATGATGACATGATCATATATAGTACCAAATCTCAGCAAGTGCTCTATGATCCTTACATATACCAAATTTATGAAAGCCTCCTATCTGTACCGAGTTAGGAACCCCTCCCCCCCGTTTATGCATCAACATGGTAGCATCTTCCACCAATCCCAAAGGGACAGAATATTGCTATTCATAGGAGGACCACCTTCGTTATTACAACTTTAAAATTTCCCTCCGACTTGGCCATAACTCAAAGTTCACCGTTCAACCACATTTATAGGTTGCTAGCAGCAATCAAGTTTTAATCAGCTCAGCTTAAAAGACCTCTATGCTTCTTTCAACCATATTTAAATCTAATAACTCTACACATATTGTCTCACCCTCAGTCATTCCACCTTAACCTTCGAATTCCCGGAGCTTTCTTTCCTGTGTACACACACATATCAACGTCGATAACTTTTAACTTTCTCAACAATAATCTAACGCGTTGGCCCAGGTTGACGGTACGTCTTAAATTATCAACACCTTCTATGGAATTTCAATCACATTTCAACACCGATCCCGTTCTCTCTTCACGAGTTTTATCAAAGTTAAAACTGCTATAACACGGCTACTCATGACTTGGCGCAAGGATTAATTGAACCGCCTTGTCAATTTCAGGTGTTTAGATCCGCAAAAACACGCGTTCCGTTTCCATTCTGTTTCCATGACCCAGAAACAGTACCACTTTCTCATGCTCCGTTATCCTAGACCTCGCTGATCTTGGGCACCTCAGCTTTTAGTCTCACCTACTCCAAAATATTCAAATTTATTTCCTTATTTTGAGGATGCTGAGCCGAATTTCACGAAAGCCCACCCGAAACTCTGTTCTAAATTCTTAATTCAGATTGCACCAATTTATCCCGCGCAATATTATCACCGGCCACAAGTCAATATGGCCCCCATAAAGGCTACAAGCAGGAAAGCCACAAGCAGTAATGCTAAGGGTCCAAAATCAACTCCAAATCCCACATTCAAGCGGGCAACACCTAAGAGGAACCCGCAGTTAAAGCAAATATTCAGAGGTACGGAGATGTCCTTGTCGGGTAATTTCACCAGCTGTGACAAAAATCTCCCCCATGAGCAGATTGCGAAATGGATCACCCTTCACGGTGGTAGCTTTGAAAGAGAAGTTACCGAAAGCACCACTCACCTAATTTGCTCTATTGAGGATTACAAGAAACCGACATCTCAAGGTAATGCTCCCCTTACTGCCTTTTCTTTATATGATATTTCATGATTAACTAAACTTTCCTGTAGTCAAGAAGGCGTCCAAGTTAGACAAATGCCAAATCGTCGTCTTCGATTGGCTCGAAGACTGTCTGCTCCGCAAAGTCAAGCGTCTTAGAGCCGAGAGGGGATACACTCTCGAGCGAACGATTAAACGGATCGCGAAAGGGAAGAAGGACCAACAGAGATTCAGAGAGAAATTCGAAGAAGGTGTGCAAATAGGAAGAGAACTATGCAATAATAGTAAATGACTGACCTCCTTGCAGACAAGCCGAAGATAAATCCAATTACTAACGTCGAGGAAGGACTCAATCATGTGTACTATGATACCGTTGGCTTCGAGTATAAAATTGTTCTCACCCGGGTTAATCATGGTAGTCGTATGACTACCGAGCGTTATACTATGATTGTAAGTCTTCCTCTCCCTTATTTTCCCAATGTATGTCTTCTGCAACAACTAATCATGCTCCCAGCTCTTTGAATCGCACACCAAGCCTTCTCACTACATGTTCGGCGCGAAATACAACCGTTCCAGCTGCAAGACATCCTATTACCGCGACGAATGCAGGCCAAAAATATTCTATGATGCGTTTCGTGATTTCAAAACTTTCTTCACCAAGAAGACAGGCGTAGAATGGGACATGCGTCTTGAAAAGATTAAGAACCCCGGGCTATTCATCTACACGCCTCCTGCTCTGGGTCTCCCGGTTGGAGAATTTCCTTCGGGATATGTGCGTCCCGAGGAGAGGAACGTGAAAATGGTTACTGATACTAATACGAACGTGGACAGTGATGGCACCACAACTCATGAGGGATCTGAAACTAGCTCCTCCGGCGAAGAATCTACCCCTTATATTGAAATGGGTCTTGCGAGACGTTCCTTGTCATTGGTGACTTCTCACAATGAGGCTTATTAGGCGTCTTTGGAAGAGCTATTTTCTTTAATGGCTTCATGGCTGCCCTCGAGCTCCTATAACGACATTCGCAGCTCTCTTCATTGCCTCCCTCCAGCGCCATCCACCCTGGCACAGATTCCCATTTGCACAAGAGGCATCAGGGAAACTACCACGAAAGTGGGAAATATCCCGGCGTTAAAGGAGAAGCATCTAATTCCTAACCCACGTCGCCTACCACCGCAGCAGAAATCTCAACGGCCGTCCTCTCTCACCAACTGCACCTTCTCCCCTTTAATTTCTCGCATCTACCCTATACTCAAAAAGGCTGAGACTATTCAAATATCCAAAAACAGTCTCCTTATTTAACACAATCAAACAACATCGTGTCCTTAATGCGGAATTACAAATTCTCATAACCCTAGCTCAAACTCTTGCTTACGGATCTTGCACAGTTTTGAGATGATAGAAGCAACAAAAAGGTATCAGCTTCGCATTTCTCGGTTGCTGTCTTCTATTATGGATCACGCATGCATCTGTCATGGCCAGTGCAAGGAAATGCTAATATCGGTCATTGTTCAGCGGACCCACTTCATAATCGAGCTGCCGGATAAGGGGGGAGAAGTCTGGGTTATGGAGGGCATGCGTGGCCTGAAACGACTGAGCAAATCCAAATAGATAAATTTGTCAATTCAATCATTATCAAATAATACTTTAGGGGGTCGTTGCGGATATCCAATACAAGCCCATAATGATCTTCCATAAACACCTCGCTTTCGTTAGACTTGAAACTCCAAAAGTATCTTCCCTTTACCAAAAGCCGTTGCCCTTTCCCATCAAATCATATATCTATACAACTGCCGCTTTCAAATGCTAAAACCTTAATTTGGGCCCGACAAACACAATCAATACTGCAAGCAGGGCCAACCCCGCAATCCACGCATACATCAACATCCTTCCCCACCACCCCTTCCCCTCTGTCATACTCCTTAGCATACCCATGCGTCTGGTAGCAGACTCTAGCCCTAGCTCATTCTTATCCATACCCTGAGTTGCACGGTTCAGAATATCCTTCTCGTCCTCAAGAGAGGAGGCAAAGGACTGGGAGGAGGCTTTGAGGGCCGACGCCATATCGAGGAGGGAGTTTGTGAGGGATTCTTGTTCGGTGCGGTGGTGCGTGAGGAGGGCTTCTTTGGTGTGAGTATTCAGGGAGGAGGAGCCTGTGGAGGCACCGGTGGAGACGGAGGTAGTGGGAGCGAGTAGTTTGGCGCGTTCAGCTTCGTGGGCGTGGTTACGGGAGCGGAGGGTAGATGTTGGTTCTGTTGGTGCTTGACTCGTCGGTTGTTGGACTTCTCTCTGTGGCTCTGGAGGAGCGCGAGGTTCGGGTATGGGAGGAGACGGTTGGTTGAGCTCAGAGGGAGTTTCTGGGAGTGATGCTTGCGTATGCGATTCTTCTGTTTCTTCTGAAGGCGTATCTTCACCTAGTAAATCCTCGCCTTCGGAGGAATCTTCGTCTGTTTCGTGTTCTCCTAACTAGACAAGAATATTAGCGTTGATACTCTCTATATTTTATGGATGGAGGGATGAACCTCTTCAAACTCCTGTAACTGTTCCTCTAGCCGCAAAATCAGCTCTCGTTTTCGGTATAGCTCTGCTTGTGTCTCCTGCTTCTTTGCTGGAATCTTAATATTCTGTGCCTCTTCCTCAAGGCGTAGAAGTAATTGGTTAGCATATCGAATATTCGTTCCGACCTTCTCACGCTCAAAGCTCGAGAATCGTAATCTGGATTCAGTTTCTGAGGAGGGAGCGATGAGAGTCTGTTGCAGTCGTGCCAACATCCGGGTTAGGTTTATGGACGTGGGGTCTATAGCTGGAGCTGGAACGGGAACTGGAGCAGTAGCTACTGCCATTGTCGATATTCTAGCCATAATCGTTGAGGGTTGTTGTAGGGGTGGTGTGTCGGTGTTGTTCTTGCGATTTATTATTGTTATGCGGGCAATGCGCAAGCTGGCGTCACAGTTGTCGCAAGGCTGTGTGGCACCGAAGCACAACGTGGCAACGAGGGTTTTTTTTTTATGCAGCCTCGAACTCTCGGAAAGATATCACGTGTAGGGGCGTGGACTGGGTGGACCCCATATCGGCCGATCCTACCTAGGTACGACGTTTAACTAGAAGTCGAAATCTATAATGCTGTTATTAGGCCCTCACTTGATCTGTCATAACCTCCTATTATATATACCTCAGGTACCTAGGTGCCTTATGTATATGTCCTCTTTACCCCCTCTCTATAAGCCATCGGATTTTACGACCACAGCGCACCTTCAAAGAACCTTCCTCACGCTTCTCAGAATACACCTACCTAGGATAAAAACGCCAAACTCGAATATTTTGCGATTAGTCTAGTCAAACACCAGACCGTATGGTTCAAATGAGGGTTGCCCGCCCGACATAATAGAGTGGAAAAATTATGTTCAGCACCAAACATGCTTCATTTCCCCGCCAGGGCACAAGCTATAAGAGAAATAAACTATGATAATTTTCTTCTATAAATCTACCTAAAAGAACCCCGACTTATCTGTTATGCACCCAGCTATCCCACACACCCTACGGCCATGCAAGAAATCTTCAAATCCAGAATACACGCTTGCCTTCGTGTAAGCATGAAACAAGACAGCGAAAGGAAGCGAGCATACCTTCTTAGACAAAATTCAGAGTCGTATAGGGGGTTCAGCAGTCTGACCCATGTGGCATAGCATCCGGTCGATCGTTCCCGAGTTGTTGCGGACATGGTACACCGTTTCAGCTGGGTCTCCAGCCTCTGCCCATTGAACCAGGCGGTGCTTCAGTGGCAAGTTGTCGTGATACTCATAGAATCTAATTTCACAGCCATGGAAAAGCACGGCCCAGCAGCGACCATGTTCAGTAATGGCATTCTCTAGGGCGGTCGTAAGCTGTGCCAAAGAGGGTTCCAGAGCATCGGCTGCCTTCGTCGCTTCTGCAAGAGTATGATCCACAAGGCCTCTGTCTCCTGCCCAACGACGCTGGATTCGGAAGATGATGGAGTCGGGATAAAAGTTATTACGATTCTGTTCAGGGCCGACGCTGTAGCCGTTAATGGCTGGGAAGTAGTAGTTCAGGATTCCGGATCCCATGGATTTCACGGCATCTTCGTAAACGGAACCGTTTTCGACGAAAGCAACAAGCTCATCTAGGATCGGGATGGAGATGTAGCTTTGATTTTCCATCTTGGCTGGATTGTATATTGGTTAACATAAGGATAACACAGAAGGGATGCTAAGTATGGCGCATTGCTGGGCGAATTTAATGCAAAACTCTTCTCGCCAGTATTATGAGGCCTATCGGCCATTACCCAGATACGACTCCGATATCGAACTTCATATACTGATTTTCTATAATATTAATAGTCGACGTATAGTATCGAGTACTATACTCTATATTATTCGAAATATCTAGCAGATCGCAAATTGAGATTATTCCTAGAACCAGGCCCTTATATACTGTAGTCACAGCCTGGAGACCTAGCTCCGCCGACTAACTTAGCGGCGCAGGTATCTAAAGCGGGATAACAGCCAGCCACTCCTATCCTTGGGCCTACCCTCTAGGTCTTTATGCCCCGTAGCCAAGGCCTACATATCTGACCGAAATTGAGATATTCATACGACTCGAATACCTCAATTTCGGTCAGAGATCTAGGAGTAGCTTTACTTTGTGATAGGCCAGGTATTCGAATAATAGGACTTATATCTGGGTAATAGCCGTTAGGCCTTAATATTGGCGAAAGGTGTTTTACATCAAATTCGCCCAATAATACGATAGAGAAGATGACAATATTATTAATATATGCTCGGGCGAAGCCGCGCGATTCTCGCAGCAAGGTATCTATAACGCGTTGGACATACGGAGTGTGTACTAGTCTTGGCGGCGACTCGCTACAACCTCAGCGCCACCACATTCTTTATAAAACACCTTCGCGCCAGTAGGTCTCTCGAAAAGGGTCACTCTGCCGCCATAGTCGCTCAAGGGTTCTGGAATATACGTAGAAGGGATAAGTTATCTTCATATTCACTTGCATTTCTACCTTTAACAACCTGACTCTCGTTTCAATTCAGGGAAGTGGTATCAAATTCAATCGACAAAATGAGCATAATTCCACCTACCGATCCGCTGTTTTATAAACAAATTTAAGGAAATAACTGTCACATACGACCATAGACTGAGGAGAAATGGGCATCCCGTCCGCTCTGCCATACACAAGCCTCAGATCGGCAGATTAGTAGTTGGGTGGGTGACCACCAGCGAATACCTGCTGTTGTATGTTTTTTTATTTTTTGTTTTAATTTTTTTGTTAAATTTATTTCACCTCTGGTGGGCCGGAGGCCGAAATCATGGACGAACTAGCTCTACTGTTGATCGATCAACGTATTTGACGGTCAAGGATTTTCGTGATGGAATTACGACGTCACATAATGCGAGGCCAATCCCATTTCCGCTCCCGCTCCCGCTTCAGCAGCATCTCAATTATGTTTATACACTTAACCTAGATTTTGCATACTTGGCTGTTTCGTTCTGGCACCGCGAAGAAGCGGACGAAGATCCGGGGTTGCCCCTGTGCATGAGGCGACTCAGCTTCAACGCAATCGACGAGGCTTCAGACCTGAGCATCGAGGCTTTGCTGCAGAATGGAAGCAATCCACTTCTCGATATATCCGCCGGACAAGGTTCGCTGCAGGCAGAGAAAGAGTATGAGCATTTGGAGACTGAGATTGGACAACCGAGCTCCCCGAATGAACTTCAATATCGCATGTTCATGGATTTCGTATACCAGTGGCGGTTCTTTACTGACGACAGTACAACCTGGAAATACCCTTCATCACTCCTTTTCCGCAGACTTTGTAATGCGTTCTTGCGTTTTGCCGCTTGGGACTTGGAAATATCCTCTGAATGGGAGATTGCAAAGCTGCCGCTAGGCGCTGAGTCATATCCTGCCTGGGACAGTCATCCTGCAGAAGTCTACTGGTTTCATGGGTTTCTCGTCGTTCTTTGCGAGGATCTCGAGACACTATCGTCGATAGCGACCGCTGTATCACGAGCAAGAGAGTCAGTAGGTCATTTAAAAGGTAGAGGAAATGAAGTGAACTGCATATTGATATCGCTGAGCGACATCGCTTTCGTACAACTTTCGGCAGATAAGATACGGTGTTCGACAGTATTCCCGCTGCTCACCAACTCCTCCGCAACGGAATGCTCAGCTGGTTTCCGCATCTTGACGTATTTTTTCACATCTCCTTACGTCAAGGAAGGAGAACGGAATCTTGCAGCACGAGAAGTTTCAAGCATAGCTCTTCCCACGGAAGTTCTTGGAATGGTTCTCAACGCCGTGGCGCCTTATGATATGGTTTCATTTGCCCAGGCCTCCTTCATAGTTAAGAACTGGTATTACTCCTCGCTTCCGCAACTTCCGAGCATGGCCATCCATCACCGCGATGTTTCGATTCCTTGTTGTGGGAGAAAGGCCAACCGCAATCGAAAGGAGGGAGTGTGTTGTTCTGATTGTTATGCATGGCGACACTCAGAATGCCTAGTCCCGAGTGACCTTACGCCAGAAGAGTGCTACATATGCTCCAAATGTCTCATCTCTAGAGAGCAATCCGGTGCTCGGCCGAAATTAAGACCGGGCGCTATCGGACTTGAAAATCGCCGAGGCGGTAGACCAGATGGATGCCGTGTTACGATATGGAAGCAGGAGAAAGTCTTGCAGTTGAGGGTCACGTCTCCGGCGGTCATGAGACCTGAGTTGAGATTGAGGGACCGCGATCTTACCTCGACGCCACCGAATCAAATTGATTATGTTGTGCTTTTTGGAGGGTCGTGGAGCGGTCTTGTCTATGGGTTGGATGATGTGCATTCTGAGGCGAGGATATGAAATGGGTTGCGACGGCCTGCGTATATCTGGGAGTCAAATTTAGCACTTGCAATTATGGATATGCGACGGAGTTATTATACGCGCTATCACCTTATGCAAATAATATAGTTGTAGGCGTTGAGTCCCGTAATGGCTCCATTTATGTAGCTTCGATTGTAAGACCAAAATCTAAATGGTGTTTACAAGCCAAATTTTGGAAAACATCGATGATGGTCTTGACGCAACGGAAGTCTCAATTATCTACATATTTGAGATTTCCAGCTCGATCGTCGGTAGTGATATGCAGCACTACATTAAGAAATGTGACTGAAATGGCTCTTGATGAAGCGGTGGAAAGGATTCCGCCCGACTTGTACACAATATACGATCGGGTTCTAGACAGTATTGCCAAGAATTCAGAATCAGAGAACAGAACGCTCATGGCTGTTCCCATGCTGTTGGCCAGTGTATTCAATGATATAATCGTGGCCCGAAAGACCTTCTAAGCATCTCTGGTTTAGTGGGTCTTTAGCCACGATTTAGGAAGCGCGCAACCTCTATAGTCGTATAAAAGCGCCCGTCCGTACACACGCCTTACATAATCCAGGGCTCGCTAAACATAGGGGGGACCACCACACTACGCTCTAGACTATACTTTATTGATATAAAAAGTTATTATATAGACCTATAAATATATATAATATGAGAGTACTATATTTTTTAGGATTTAATACTAAGATCTATCTGTTTACCAAAAGAAGTATAAGTTTGAACTTTACATTGCAATACCGCAACAAGGACCCACAAGGACCATCTTTCCACACAAGATCATTCTGAATACAAAGAGCGGGGCTTTTTCTCGGAATCCCAGGTATAAGTTCTTGAACTGTTGCGAAGCAATAATGTATTAGCCACGCGAACCATGTACGCATTCCAAAGGTGAAAAGAACAAGACGGCAGGAATTTAAGAGAAGTACTTGAACTTACAGCAGAAAACAACTTTGTCGGTGACGCTCTACTGAAGGTACATCGGGAACCAAGCATCATACTTCGGGCTATACATCTTGATCCCACCTCCAAGTGATACGGTAGCTGTCGCCGCAATCATAGTCCGCGATGCCGTTGCAATCGTTGTCCCAGATCCCGCAGTGGATTTGAGCATTGCACACCTCAACGCCGTCCTCTTTCACAGTCGCTACCACATCTGTTCCTTCAAAGGGGCCTGTGTATGCGGAGATATGGCTGTCTAGACAGGGAACGAATTCTTGCTTGGCACACAGGTCGCAGAACAGGAGGTAGTCGCACCCGCCGTTCGCGCTGCCGCAGGCTTCCTGGCGGGGGAACAGCGCGGCGGGGCCAGATGGGTTCGGGCTCTGGAACTCGCACGGCTGCGAAAGGGTTTGGTTCTTTTCTTTATCGTTCCTCTTTTCGTTTTCTTCTTCTTCTTCCTCTATTACTTTCGAGTCTGAGTCCGAGTCTGAGTCTGGGTCTGGCTTGGCCTCGAGCGAAGGTGAAGACAAAGGCGAAGGTGAGCGGATGGCGAGGAAACCTGAGGTGATTGTTGGAGTGGCAGTGGGCAGGGCATCGCGCGCCAGCAACGGGGTAGCAATCACACGCGCGCATCGGGTTCTCACCACGGTACGGATACACAACGGGTATTCTGAATCGGTACATACTGGCGTGCCCGAAGCGGCGAAGGTCGGCACACACGGCTGCGTCGGCACGCAGAGTGCCTGGGTCAGGCAAGCTGCCTGGCCGCCGCCGCTCCCGTTGCATCGGACCGTAGTGCTATACGAGGCGCAGCCGTCGCCGCTATATGGTGGTTCTTCTTCCGGAGGCAGGTCAGGCAGATCAGGCAGTCCGGGCAGACCAGACGAAGTGGACGTGGTCGTGGGCGTGGTTATAGGAGGCCCAGTGCCAAAACTAGCACAAGCCATGGTTTCGTGGCAGACGTCGCCACGTGGGCCGCCGTTGCATACCGTTGTTGTAGTTGAGGAGAGACAAACCTGTCCAGGAGGTGCGGTGGGCGTGGGTTCCGTGCCGGGAGGCAGGAAGTCAGGAGGCGTGCCGGTGGGGGTTGGGCTACAGTAGTAGCCGGAACACAGCTTTCCACAAATTTCGGTACACAGTGGACCGGCCGGACCAGGTCTGTACACGACCGGTGGGCCAAACCGCGACGGGCCGGTTCCGGGACCACCACCACCACCACCACCACCGCCCGGCAGTGGGCAGGCCTGCCGGCCGAATAGATTCCGCTTCGCACCCGGTTCGCCACAGTTGGAGCCCGGGCGTAGCTGGCCGTTGTAAATCATCTGGGCTGGCCTGTCCGAGTTCTCTCCCTCGGGGCTGTAGCTGAGACGTCGCTCTATATGAACGATAACATTCTTAATAGCGGCAGGCGACTTGTCCCCTGGGTAGTTCGAAAACCCTCGCAGGTAAGCAATAAGACCGGCCACCTGAGGGGCAGCTGCATAGGAAAGCACGTTAATAGCTGGCTTGTGATGAAGTGTATGAAGTGAACGGGGAGGTCAAGCAGAACGTACCGAATGATGTTCCCACTGCAGTACCATCTTTCTTGAATGGATCTGTGGTGAGGAAGTTTGCCTGTGGAAGTGGCAGCAGGTAACCAGGGGCCCACGCATCGACAATACTGCCGAACGAGCTGTCCTCCCACGCATGTCCATCTGGTTTCGTGGCCCCGACCACTAACATGCCGGCCATATCGCCCGAGAGCAGCTGTGGAATGGTGTCCACTACTGTAGGAGCGTTTCCAGCGGCTGCAACGAACGCAACCCCGAGATCGGCTTCCATCTTCCGCATAAGCAAAGCTGTAGAGGAAGGGCACCTGTCAGTGACCCGTCTCCTCAAAAGAAAAAATCAAGAAGGTACGAGGCTCTAGTAGAAGGGAGGCGGGTTGGACAAACGGTAGAAAACGACAAGACTCACTCATAAGTTCCAATATAAGAGGATCGTATTGATTACTTCGATTGATTCCCGCAGATATGTTGACCACGGCTGTATCTCTGGCTTTTCCAACCAGGTCATTGGCGATTGATACAAAAGCAGCAATCATCGACTCCGTACCCACAACTGGGGTTGTCTTCACCTTTACGGGTACATGGACCAAATTGGCATTTTTCGCGACGCCAACCGTTTTGCCAACGGCATAGTTCGCGACCAAGTACCCGTGCTCGTCGTTCGCCGTGCTGGGTGCGAACGCGGGGCCCCACGTTTGGAATGGGAGCGCTCTAGGGTTCACGTGTGCGTATTCCTACCATTCCTTCAAGTCAGAACATTCTGTTGATGTTTGCGGCATAATGGAGGGAGACACTTACGCTACTGGCGCTCATCCAGCCGGCTTCTACTATGTATATCGTCTGGCCTCTACCAAGGCTATCTTCAAACGACCAGAAGAACTTGCCTTGACTTGGATCCGCTATGTTTGGTGAGTGCTTAGTCAGAGAGTCTTCGTCGTTGAAATTAATCCCTCTTGGCGTGGAAATCTGGGAAAGATGCCAATTCGTATCTGAGTCAGCTGCGATATCCCTTTTGAGAAGCCGGTCCAGGTGGGCATCTGTGCCGTTGAAGACTGCGGCGGTTTCATCGGAAGGGGATCTGATATTGTTGTTGCCGTCTTTTTCAGACCCGGACTCAGACCATTCCTCATCCTCCCTTTTCCTGTGATAGAGGGAGAAGCCATTATCTGGCGTTTTGTCGCTGGCATCCCGCTTCGTAGTTGACCTTTGCCCGATTTCATAGGCTATCACGACCTAACGTAAGACCAAACATGTTAACCGATGAACTAGAGCACATAACGTACATGTGAATCATGATAAAACTATTCCAGAATACTATGTTACTTATTACCGACTTACCTCACCGACAGCCTTGGATGCAAAGAATCGCTTCGCTTGTTCTCCCAGACCACTGACGTAGTAAAAGGCCGTGAAGCCCAGGCCGGTTGCCCGGATCTCCTGGAATCCGCGGGGGATATTACACGCTGCGAGGGCGGTATCACGATTTTTAAGGAGCTGCCTAATCCTGGCCTGGTCGTTATTATTCTCCGGGTCCTGAGGGATAAGGAAGACGTCTCGGGGATTGCTGTCGGATGCCCAATCTGGCTCGGCTGCAGCTCGCTTTTTCTTTTCGGGCATTATAATTCCCGTCATTACTGGCATCTCGGCATCTGCTACCAAATCGACGGTTCGGCGGGCAAGTTAGCAGGCGTCGACAGTCGTGGTGGTCTCGGCATCTCGGAAATTGCAGCCGGTGATGGTCGCGCAGGTGGACTTGACTTCCGTGGCGGTCGTCCGGGTGGCGCCGCCAGAGACGGTCGTTCCGAACGAGCTGGTGGTCAGACAAAGCGACGCCTCTGCGGGGGTGCAGTCTGCCGGCTTGATGGGAGCATTGACCTTGTCTCCGGGGAGCACACTGAAGAAGAATTGTGTTGTTAGCTCTCTTCTCGCTTGAATTGTGTCTTTAGGGATACTGTCGTTATTTCCCTCTGTCTGCGAGTGGGTGCGCAACTTAACTTACGTGATCTTGGGCCAGGGAGGAAGAGCTCCCTTGATTGTAAAGCCCGGGGGCAGTTTGATACTCCCGACTGGTGGTGGGCCGCTAGAGGAGAAATAACCCCGTGTTAGTGTTGGACCATACCCATACGTCTGCAAACAACATAAAATGAATGCTCCGGGATTTCACGTACGGTCCCCAAGTGCCTACTGGCATGTTCCACTCCCATCCACCAATGTTGACGTCAAAATCGGCCCATTTGATACAGATCTGTAATGGCGGGTTAGTAAGGTATGCACGACCTGGAATCTCGCGAGGTTCTTGTCATTGATTCCGGCTGTACGTAAGTAGACTTACCCCGAAAAACCAGAGTTTGCAAGTAGACTTGGACTTAGGCCCATCGCCATCGTCATCTTCTCCCCCTTCTGGAACTTCCGTTTCCACGGGTCGAATCTCGAACAACGCTGGCCATATTGTTGCCGCAGGAGGATCGGGAACGACTGGTGGAGTCCACTCAGGCTTTTCTCTACTGGGGATGGTAACGCTCGGCGGCGGAGGTCCCAGCGGTGGTATGTTGTGAAATGGCCAGCCCGTACCTGTGCCGTTACCTGGGTTAGTCGAGTTCGAGTCGGTCGAGTTCCAGTCGCCGGATGGACCTATCGTGATGGCAGGCCAGGGTGGAAGTACCAGAGTCCGGACCTGAGTGGCACCTCCCGAAAGTGTGAAAGTTGTGGTGACAGGTTGGATGCTGAGACTGGCGGTAGGCGTGAAAGTGTAACCTGTGGTGGGCTGGCCCGAGGTAATAGGGACATTGTAATACTCGATCGAGCTTGTCGTGATGGCCGGCACTGTAACGGTGATGGTCGTGGTAGTGCCGGGTGCGAGCTCAATGGATGTTATATACAGCGGGATCGAGATGGTAGTTGGGGAGGGGAGAGCCCTGGGAGGCAGCACAAAGCGGCAAGGGGCTGTGCACTGGGCAGGTCCTCCTGTGTAGACGCCAGGTGCGAGGTATACAACCTCTCCACCGCCATCAGGTCTAACAACCATTCATTAGTAACAAACGCTTAGTTTATTAATATCTTAAAATTTAAGTTATTCTTAACAACCACTTGGTACATGAATGTCTTAGAAGAATAGAAAGAATAGAATGAATAGACAAATAAGAATCGTGATAACGTACTCGTCTGAACCAGACCCACCAACCTGAAAGTCGATGCTCCAAATCATGGTGCCGCCGAAGCACATGCCGTCCGCAAACTCCTTCTTCGCTGCAAACGTCTCATCATCGTCGTATCCTATCCACTGGTCATCCCACGTGATCTGCTTCATCATTGATTCGGGTAGGTATTGGGGCTTGAGGCTGCGCTCCTAGATCACCTGCTGGATCTTGTGGAGCGACATGACGCCGCCGAAGTCGGTGCAGGGCGCCGGCTTGCTAGGGCCTGAGAAGGGACATAGAAGCTCGTTGCAGCTGGGGTCGCTCAGAGTGTAGCCGCGGCCGTACATAGCTAGGCCGAAGTTGATCTTCTTCGGGTCCAGACCGTCGAACCACAGTGGTATCGTGTTGTTGCCGATCTCGTGGATATCGGTTTGGCCACGCACCTTCTTGCCGAGAGCCAGGACATCCGAGTCCCAGGAGCCGTGGAGGTCTGCCATATACCGTGTGTAATTAGTAAAAGTAGTTAAAAGCAAATATACTCTTCTCTTTCTTCGGGTCTGTATCTGGGGCTTTGCTCTGTGATTCCTCTTTCTTTCTTATTCTTACCGTAAGCCATGAATCCGAAAAAGTCAACGCTCGACTCCATGGCCTTTGCGTCAAACCAGCGCAAGTACCAGTAGTCCGGAGCCAGCGTCAAGCTGATACCGTACCGCGTGCCGTATACTGCCCGCATTTCCCGCAGCAGCAGAGTAAAGTTTCTCGTGTCAGCTAGCTTTCGGCCGCCTCGCTCTGGGGCTCCGGGGTATTCCCAATCAAGGTCAACTCCTTGGAACCCGTAGGTGCTTCGTACAAAGGTTAGTCCTTATTTTATTCAGAATCCAGAATCCAAATTCCCTGCAGAAAAATAGAAGATAAAACCATACCGCATGTATTCCTCAACGGAACTAATGAAGGCGGCACGATTGGCCTTGGTTAAAACCATGTCGCTCCTATACCACCACACATGTCAAAATTATGTTTCTATAACCCTAGCAGGCACTTCCGGTGAAGGAAACCTGGAAGAGAGGATTTCAAGACTAACCACGTGGTATGCGTTGCCGCTTCGGGGTTACTGAAGTCGAATCCACCAATAGCGATCCAAGTCTGTAGCTTGCCATCCTTGGACAGACCTACAAACTCTCTCATCATTGCATCGTCGTCCGAGTGCGCGGGAACAATTTTTAAAGGAGTTCGGGTCGATGAATGCGAAAGAGTAGAACAGGTGAGTGTAGCCGATACTGTTAAGCTGCGTAGGGGAAACTTTGTTGCATTTCCGCGTGCGAAGGTTCCACGACTGGTAATATCCCACAGTGCGTCCGGAGGAGCTTCTATCTCCTTTGGCACAAGATGGCGATGGGTAAGTAGCACATGAGCCGTACCCAGCCTAACACGGCAAAGTGGCTCGGACTAGATCAGCGTTATGGCAGTATACATCTGTGGTCTGCAGGTGGGCGAAACGAATAACATCATTAGCCTCATGGCATATATGGTATAACTTGGAAGGGAGGAATCGAAAAGCTGCAGTGTTTACAGTGTCTACAGTATTTACTTACACCGCACCAGCCCATAGCTGAACAGCAGAGATTCATGACGCACGGCATGTCAGCGTTTTCGCTAAATTCTCCGCACATGGCGGTAGCATTACATAGTGAGGTGCAATTGCCATCGCCACAGAACGACGGACCGTAGCCGCAAATTCCCTCTTTGCTACAGCAACTATTTGAAACATCAGAGATGTGAAGGTGGAGGTAAAGGGGAAGGGGAAGGCCAAAAGCGGAGGTAGATGATTGGAGAAAACTCTATCATGGGTACATACCTCTTGTCGACACAGGGCCCATCGTCGCAACGCAGCGCATCGCGTCGCTGGAAAGAATGTAGATTTAAGTCTCGGGGGTCAAATGCAGAGACGGAGTTGTTGAAAGTGAGGGTTGTGTTCTCGATGTTGGGTATGGGCACCGCCGGCGCCTTGGCCGGGTTCTGGTGGCCCGGACTGAAAACAATGGCGTCGCGCCATGCTAGATCTGCTACAGAGGGAGAACACGGCAATGTCAGAACTCGAAGCTTTATTTGTAGTACAGTACGAGAGCGCTGAAGCTGGAGCTGGAAGCTGCACTCACTATTGTTCGTCGATGAATCTTGACGCTTCGAGTTCGCGTTTGAGTTCGAGTTAGGGTGTGAGATGTCACGTGGGTTGAGCCAGCGGCCAATAAGTCGAAAGTAGCCAGCGTCCGCATAGATCAGAGCCGGCACACAGAGAATGAAGAGACCAACGACCGATCATACAGCCAGACTCGTCGTGGGCTGTGAACGCATAATAGCTTGTGTGCCTTGCCAAAGTCATATCACGACTGAATCCTTGGTTTGGCCACTGGGCGCATCAATGATTTTATTAATAATTTATTCTCAATTCCACACGCTGATCTCCCTTGACATGATGCATCCAAATTGAGACGGCCCAGGGCCCTAGACACCTAGACGGCCAAACAATTCATCTATATCGCTTGATATTAGAAGCTTCGTCCTTCTCTAAAGTGGCAAAGTCTCATCGTCAGCAAGGCCCCTGCCCTTTAATAACAACCTCCGCGGGCACCTAGATAGGTAGTCCGGGTTTTTTGAACTCTTGTTTTACTAGAGTCTTTCTCTTTGGCTAGAAATATGATTGCCTATCGAAAACCACGTTTCTAGGCGGAGTCCCCGGAATCGGCTCGCTGATGGCCAAGTCTCACGCGGGACTGATAGGACTCAGCTCCACAACTCAACATATCTTGTACAAAATGAGAGATTGTATCAATATATCACTTTGAGCTATCACGGTAACCGTCCTAAAAGACTCACTACTCCGTATGCCAAGGTGTAGATGTTGCGTAGTGCTTAGTACTACAGCACTGCTTACAAAGAACTACTAGGTATAAGCTTTGCGTTGTAGTTTATTTTTTAGAAACGAGCTAAATATAAGCTTACTTTATAGTTTATTTCAAGTGCAAATGTACGAACTAGCCAATTAGCCTCAATTGTAGAACTTTTCAACACCCAAGTTTGATTACCTAAGCGCACGGAAGTTAATCAGCTTATTCATTAACGTATAGTTTATTTGTCAACACTTAAGTCCCGCTCAGGAAGTGCGGGCATGCTAACCAAGGTTGTTTTCATGTTGCCCGTAGTTAGCTCTCGGCTCTCTTCGAAAGGATCAATACTTCATACTCTGCATGGAATTCCTACCTGACCAGAACATAAGCCGATGCAACTTCATCTGCGGCGTCGAATGCTCGGAAGGGTCAGTTGATCAGATGAATTTTGCTCCGCGACGGGGAAATTACATGTAGTGAGCCCGTCCCCAGCATCTGTGCCAGGACTTCGGTGATGCCAAGTTGTGGGTTATTGGGAATTGAATACATGGGACAAGAGGGACAACAATAATGCCTCCGTAAGTACCTACCTAGGTATATATCTATAAACGCATTTCTCCTCTTCACAAGAAGTTAACTGCTGCATCTTAACTCACAAATACCTCTCTCAAAAGCCTCACGCTCCTGCCGTCAGCACTGGCAATGAAGGCATTTGCTCTCCTCTGGCTGTTGCCGGCGCTAGCGGCGTCCCATAGCACGACGAGCCCAGCGTTACCGCCATGGCAGACAGGCGTGGTCACTGTCGACGGGACCTGCGCAGGAGCAGATGGCTACGTCTGCAGTCCCACATGTGGTGCATGCTGCTCCAAGGATGGGGTCTGCGGCCGATCCAAGGCCTTTTGCGGCGATGGTTGGTAAGTCACGACACAGACTCTTGTTACCCCATTATTCTTCCCTTTTCCTTTTGGTGTTTTCTTATGCATTCTGTATCTTTCATAAACTTACCGTACTCTGGCAGTCAACCCAGCTTCGGCAACTGTGATGTGGCTCCCCCGCCACCGCCCGGACCCGGCTCCCCATCCCCTGACGGGGCCTGCGGCGGCACAAATCAGTTCAACTGCACCGGCTCAACCTTTGGCGCCTGTTGCTCATCCGGCGGATGGTGCGGTGATACGACTGCCCATTGCGCATCGGACGGCGGTTGCCAGAGCCTCTTCGGCACCTGCGCTGCGCCTAGCAACGTTTCCTCCGACGGATCCTGTGGCGCCAACGGCAAGATCTGTCTTGGGTCCGCGTTTGGCGATTGCTGCTCTTCGAGCGGCTTCTGCGGCGGCTCGCCCACTCACTGTGGAACCGGTTGCTAGGCGGGCTTCGGCAACTGCACTACCAACGGCGGTGGGAGTGGAGGTGTCTCTACCGACGGCAACTGTGGGGGCACGTCGAAGACGACGTGCAAGGGTTCGACGTTTGGGGATTGTTGTTCATCGAGCAGCTTCTGCGGTGGCTCAGCTACTCACTGTGGGCCGGGTTGCCAGTCCGGCTTCGGGACCTGTACTGCGGCGGACAATGTCTCGACGGATGGTTCCTGCGGAGCCAACGGCAAGACCTGCAAAGGCTCGACCTTCGGGGACTGCTGTTCGTCCAGTGGCTTCTGTGGCGCATCTTCTACCCACTGCGGTGCCGGGTGTCAGGCAGCCTTCGGCACTTGTAATGCTGGTGCCGGAGGTGTGTCGACAGATGGCGCGTGCGGGAAGAATGGCAAGACTTGTAAAGGATCGACCTTTGGAGATTGCTGTTCGTCCAGTGGCTTCTGTGGTGCAACTTCTACCCACTGCGGAGCAGGATGCCAGACAGCGTTTGGCACGTGCCCGACCGACAGCAGTGGCAGCATCTCAACTGATGGGAACTGCGGCAAGAACGGTAAGACATGCAGAGGGTCGACTTTCGGAGACTGTTGCTCAGCAAATGGCTTCTGCGGCAAGTCAACGGATCATTGCGGTGCAGGCTGCCAGATGACCTTCGGGACGTGCACCAGTGGCTCTGGTAGCATCTCAACAGATGGAGAGTGTGGATCGAGGAATGGGAAAACGTGTGTCGGATCTGGGTTTGGGAGCTGTTGCTCGAGCGTAGGTTATTGTGGCAGCACGGCGACTCACTGCGGTGTAGGTTGGTAAGTTCGAATTCTGAGGTTCCCCTATCCCATCCTACCCCGTCCCTACCTTTACTCTGCTCGACCTTGATGTTGTTCTCGTCCAGGGAAGGTAATGCAATGAGGACTTGGACTAACTCCTGCAAAAGCCAAAAAGCATCTTCGAGCGCCTGCCTCACGACAAATATCCCCTCGAACGACGGGACTTGCGGCGCCAGTAAGGGAGGGCTCACATGTGCTGGTGGCACCTTCAACAACCAGTGCTGCAGTTCGGGTGGCTTCTGTGGCACCACGACCGCGCATTGTGGTTCTGGGTGGTAAGTCTCCTTCTGGTTGACGTTATTCATCTCCTCGTTTTCCATCGCCGAATGGTATGGAACATAGTGTTAATGCTCATGCAGCCAAAAAAGTTATGGACGGTGTACCTGAGCGGCTGGGCAGCTGGAATGGCATATCTTGGGGAAGCAGCATTTCCAAGATATCGAATTGTATAATGTTCCACGGCTTGTATATGATCTCTTAATTCTATGTCAGCCTCTCTTAATATATAAAGCGGCAGGGGTAACTTCTCGTGAATTAATTTTGCAATTAGAGATGCTGCCAGAACCACTGCCGCGTGTCCCAAAAGAACATCTGGCAGCCTACACCGCAGTGATCCCTAGAAAATAAAGGAGTATTCAATAGAGCAAGCATATAAAGAAATTGAGGTCAGAGTGAAGAGAGTTAGCAGATGCGGACACGGAATTTGAGAAACGCGTAGTAGAGGGTGGCTTTGAGGTGGGGTTATGAGATGGGATTTGGAGAGCGATTGTGGTGGAAAGGTCGTCGTGTTGGGCGAATCGGAGTTAAGTAACGCTGGAGAACTCTCGCGAATAGGCGAATTGAAGCGCGGTAATAAACAATCCCAAAGAGAGCCAAAAGAAAACAAAATACAAAAATATAAAGTCTACCCCAAAATATATTTAATTCTAATTGCGTAAACCAGAGGTTGGAACTTCAAAATGGCAAAAGAGTTCGGCCCGGTGTCGAATGCCTACATCTCCTGTCGTTTTTTGGTTTTGCAGTTTCCGTTTTTTTTCCCTATCGTCCCTGGCGGCCCCGTAAGTACAATTTGACCCTAGCCACTTGACCAAGTGTCACGCCCTTGTACTTCGGTAGTGGGTATTTGCATATTTGGTATTATATAGATATGGTTGGCCACCCAGGACAATCAACAGTCACATGCTGCCCCTATATCGCGCGTACCAGCTACGACTTCGAAAGCCTAGCACAACCTTACGCGAACAAAATAGCAATGAGCGAATTAGCCTAATAAATAGTTGCCCCCTTCCACCCTTTAAACTAGGCGCAACTTCCCCCCAGAAACCCTTACCAAAGTCTATGACTATGTCACAAAAGATCTCATGAGCCTGAATGTTTCCTCAAAAATCTCGAAAAGGAACAATCTCCTAGCCGCAGGGAATTCGGAGTCGACAATACCTATCCTACTCTACCTCCGCATCCGAAGATAACGCGCTCGGTCTCACTGCACACGAATCGGTCTAGTTGAGTAGGCAAGAGTTTCAATTCAGTTTATATAAGCATATATCGTAAGGCGCCCCAACAGTTTGCAACCTCATTGAACTTTCGCTTTTCTTCCACCCATTTCCTCCACACAAGCAGCTAAGGCAAGACAATCATCAATCTATATCATAACTAACACAGCAGTGCAGCACCAACCAAATCGCAGTGCGATAATCAAGTAAGCAAGCAACCTCAACAATATCGTCAAAAGATTTTCCATCTTTCTTAACCAGAACTTTCTCCTCCACAGGTTAAGTCAAGTCATCCTGGAATGAAGCGTCCACAGGACCTAAGTCTCGGAATCCGGAGGATGTCCACGGCATCGTCCACAGCATGATCTAGGCTACTTCCTCATTCCGGCACATGTCCTTGGGCATCCATACGGCAGTATCCTGGTAATATGTTTGCATGACTGGTAGCATGACGTGACTGTCAATATCATATATACGGAGCAAGCGTACTGGGAACGCTGCCTTGAATATTCTTTTGGCGGAGGAGCTCATGATCCAGTAGCAACGACTGTGGCCTACTCTCTCTATTACACATTAGTAGGATGATCAAGGCACCAAGGTATTTCGGTGGCAGATTGTTATTCTTGGGTACTTACAAGGTCTTCTCTCACAGCAGATGTGGGTTTTCATTCAGCCAGGCTGTTGGCTAAGGCGTTTTCCGTTTGCAGGAGCTTCACCGACACGCCTGCTCGTCTGAGTCATTACCCTGATGCAATCATCCGCACTACGGAGCAAGTCCAGGTTTTGAGGATCCCTTGGATCGCTGAGCTGCTGTTCCACGATATCCTTCAGCTTTTGCAGATTATGATGGTATCGATCCGCCAAGCTTTGCTCCTGAGTCTGGTGGACCACAACTGGTGGTGAGCTAACTCTCTTGGTGGCCTTTCCCATGGTTTGGATCTCTAGCTTTTCATCGGCCTTGCGCTTCTTGCCTCGGGCAGGCCCAGAAGGCGGAGGGGATCCGGAAGCGTTGCTCTTGGTTGGTCCTGGGTCATTATGCACACGCTTCATGTGGTCACGGAGATTCCAGTGACGGGGAAACCCATTGCCAGGGGCGCCGCGCTCGCAGCCTTCGTAGGTACAGAGGAAGGGTTTGTCGCCGTGTCCATGCATAGCATGTGCTTCACGCTCATGGCGAAGCAAGCATGCCGTGGATGAGAAATTAAGATTCTCACAAGCCACGATCTTACAGCGATACGGCTTGAGGTGAGAATCCACACATTTGCTACGGAAGGAAGTCGTTAGCATTGCGGTTAAACAAGGGAAAAGAGACTTATCCGTACTCGTAATTACACTTCAACTTTTCCGGTTTGTGCTGGCAGGAAGGCTGGCCTTCCCATGGGCAGTGATAGAGTCCGTCGGCTAAAGGGCTCACGTTCTGGTACAGATGATGATCCCGGGCAGTATTGTCGATCTCGAGGCTTGAGCGACCACCCACCAGTTTCAAGGACTCCTCGGAAGTGTCAGATGTACCCAAAAGCCGCTGTTGTCTAGAGTTGGCAGCTAGGTCGCTGGCAACTTTAGATGGTCGAGGCCCCATTGGTCTCCTCTTAACCCTGTCACCAGTCGTGTAAGGGGCCAATTCCATTAAATCGGAAATATCCTGAACATACCTGGGGGATATGGCTTCAAGACTTGGGGAGTAGTTTGTAGGACTAGCGGTTGAAGATGTCGCCATTGGGAGAGCAATGGGCCAGGAATCCTCAGGAGCGATAGGAGATGATGTTTGAGAATCCAAGAAATCGGCAGGATTGTCCCACAATATCGAGGACTCGATGCCCGCACCGGTATGGTACATCACCGAGTCTCTCGATACTGGACCTTGGCTAGCCAGAGAAGTCGAACCTACAGCAAAAGAAGATACAAAGGAGTCGTCTTCGGCGGTGGCATACGAATTGAATGCTGGTCCTGGTAACGAAGCACTAATGGAGTGCGGATCTGTATCCGTCATGGAATTCCTGTGGAACATCGGATGCATGGAAGTTAAATCATCTCCTAGGAATGGGTAGTCGTATTCTTGGATTTCTAGCTGCTGAATCGGAGTAGACAGAGCAGGATTTTCCGGGCTGATGGACCTGCCAGTGACATCTGACCTTGTTGATGACATATGAAATGAGCCCTGGGAAAGACTTGGATACATTCTTGTCGACCAGCTTGGATCATATGTGTTAGTTCCAGAAGAATGAGCGGTCCTTTGGGAATGTGCTCCAACGGAATCCTGAGATGGCAGACGCGACATGCCCTGCGACTCTAACGGAGTCGATGCAATTTCAGTACTCCACTCGTTCTGGCCTGGCCCTGGAATGGGGCCTCGGCTTGTCCTTTGGCCGGCCTGACCCTCAGCAGTATGGAAAGAGTCGTATGATTCAATTTTGCAATTCTCGGCATCTCCTTGGGGCAGAGGATCTTGGTGCAAGTACTGTACACCTTCACCAGTCCCGTTCCAGAAGGGTGTGCTGTGGCTACCCCGGATACGTGCTGTTTGACTCTGACGCAAAGAAAATCCAGCTGCTCCATGGACAAAATTGGAATTTGAAAGACTGAAACCGCTACACCATCTCTGTTAGTGTCCTGTGCTACCACTATTCAAAACCGAATGCAAACGCAAGACAAAAGGAATAAAAGCAAAAGCACAACATCCAGTGGAAAACCTGAAGTACAAATAGGTCAGCATAATAGTCACTCATGCGTTAATGTATAGATGGATTGACAGACCAGTTGGGCACGAGCGGCGAATGACCGGAAGCCAAGGGGTGGTTCTGATGGGGACATAAGAGGGCCAGGCATGGAAGGAATCAAATGCAACGTGGAAACCAGAAAATCTCAATGGCCGGATGCAATGAAGTCAAGTAGAATCTCTTTGGTGTCCATAAATCCTCGGTTCGAATGATCCAATGGCCAAGAACGTTTCTACAAGATAAACGGGAAGCAAATGGTTAGTGCATAGTCGGTGGCGAAAGGGGTAACATGCTAGACTCTCGAGCCTGCTCCAAAAAGTGTGTACGTACTCAATGCGGTCAATAAATATCTAACCAACCACAATCGCTGGCTAGCGGCGGTGGATCCTTGGTGTCAGTCGATATGCACTGTCGTGTATCCAGATAGACCTGGAAAAATGTACGGATCCATCCTCAACGGAATTTCCATGGCTGGCTCCATATAGGTCCTCAAGACGGGTACCGGATATCAGGGAACACATTAACACCACGGATCACAACTGCGGCGGCAACAACCTCATTAAGGTCGGCGAGGATGAATGTCATGACATCATCCTCAAAGATTTGACCAACCTTATTGAAAGGCTGATGAGCGGGATCAAGGTCCGGTGGTCGCGAGATATTGGTAGCATTCATCTGCCCAACATCCCGATCCATGACACGAGGCTGGAAGCGCCACGTGATAAAACTGCGAGCTACCACAAACAGATGAATCAATTGTGTATGGACATCCGGATAGACGGCCACATGCGGGAGGTTTTCATGGGAACGGTAATCTAGATATATCCAAGGAGCAACCACGTTTGTGGTTTGGGGTGGGCGATACTTAACCCGAGACCGTAGTCTTGCGCATGGCATTCTGTCATCATAAACAGATCACATGATCATCCGTTGGAAGTATTGTGACTGGAGCACATTCAGAAAGGAATCCTGTGTGGAGCCTAGGTTTGGATATCCTGGATGTTTTGGGGTGGAACCCGTGGAAGCCTTGGAGCCCGGACATGTCGTTATCCACGGAGAGTTTGAAGCTAAAGGAAAGACATTGTTTCGGACAACATGATAGTTCGACGCAAAAATTGCAAAGCATGATTGAAATAAAAATATACCTGGCGGCAGCCTTGGTCCTGGGGTGTTTTGGGGCGTCGAATCCTGTCATGGTGTCCGGTTGACGGGTCACGCTGGTCTGGGTACAAGTCATTGGAATGAATAAGCCCTGGTATATAAAAATTGGCAGGCTCCTGTTGGGTGGGATATTGAGTCGTATGGTTGTTGGTCAATATGACTTGTGGATACAAGTGAAGCCTTGGATAAGGATAGTTGCAGCAATGCGTCGGCGACTCAGGTGCGGCTGCGATGCATAGAAGCGAACAATGTGAGTGAGGTGATGAGGAACTGAATTGAATTGAATTACTCTGAAAGGCGGGTGGAGTGGGGGAACTGGCCAACTTATGCTGGATTCGTCGGCAGAGGAATCGCTGATGGCTGTGAGACATTGATGCGTTGTCACCGTCGCTAATATTAACCGGCTTATCAGCTTGCGAGCAAATGCGGGCCTTCTGGCCGGTGCAGAGCCTTGGTTGGAAACTGGAGCGCCATTGCCAAGCCAGCAGCGAGCAATAATGTGATGCATCGGCGCAGTTGCAGACCAAACCAGGCAAGTCGCGAATCAGGAGCGCAAGAAGTGTGCTTCTTCCGCTGCTGTCGCGCGATTTCAGGATCCGGCTTGCTGCCTGCATGCCCTTGAACTCCACGTCAACGCGTTGCTTACGCCGAGTAGGAACGTGATGCCGAAGAGGCCCTCTGCACGGTCGAATTGGCCCAGTTGATTGACGGTTGTCAACTCAACCGGCCAAAGAAAATGCTGCATTGAGCTGCGGGTTGGCGAGCATCCAACGACCAGCTGCGGCCGCATCGGAGTCGTCACTGGGAACCTCTTCCTTGGATATCACGTTTTCGCATTTTCGCACTCGAAACCCGGCGGCTCGACTTCCATTTCCCCTACCAGATGAGATTTGTTTAGCAAATCGACAGCAGTTCCTATCCTGTCGTCGCCCGAAAGTTTCCCTTGGGGGCTTAAGGTTAACATTGCTCTGTAGAACTGAGATACGATTGAGCGACTGCACTACTATCCCAAGGTTTCAGCCGTGACCGCCCCGCAGGAGATCGAGCACCAGGAATGGCATTAACAGGTTGCTTTTTCGACGTAATGCATTAGGAGAGTGTGGCCGGTACCGTGAACGATTGGAAAGGGCTTCAAGGAAGCAAGGCGAGCTGCATCGATCACGCTGGTGTCATGATGGGGTATTCTCCAATTGAGAGCCTCCCGCCCCGCGCTCTCCAAAGGCAGGCTGAGTTCTGCTTGCTTTCGAGAGGTAGAGCTGGAGGTGACATCCGCGTCACGAAAATAAGTTGCAGAACAATTTGACTCTTTGCCACGAAGCACCGACACCTTGTAGAGTTCAACGACACGACAAACCAAGCAGCTAATAGCACAGTCGGCAGCAGTATAGGTGCTGGTCGAGGAATGGGCTGAAGCGTCTTGATTCGATGATCGATGATCGATCAATTATTACCTTATCAACCAATCCTCGCTCGCCTGATGAGGAATGCTGAGGGAGAGGAGAGGCCTGCAAAGGACGACCCCTCCCCATGGTGGGGGAAGGGCATCACGGCAGGCTGCACAGCAGACGGAGGCGCGCGTCTCTATCGTCTCAGAAATAAAGCGGTGTAAGGTTACGACGACACGAAAGACGTTGAACAGTAGCACAGCACAGCTGTTCTTTTCGTCCACCGTCTGGGGATCAATGGTGGTGGTGATGGTGATGACGATGGCGATGGTTGGTGAGAGTGGAGTAGGAATCAAACGGAAGTGTGTGGGCTCGTACTGAACCCTTAGTAATTAGTAAAGCCTCAGGCCGGGGCGGGCCGAGAACCATATTTCCCAGCGCCTGGCTCGGCCCGCACTTCAATACCTTAGGTAATCCTCAGTGACGCAACAAATTCGGATACACGTGACCCTGAACCAGCTGCGCGACTTCATCGCTCCTTCCGTTCCCCACCAAGAGCCTGTCAAACATAGGGCTTTTTGGCGTACTGTACCAAGCAAGAGAATCTACCAAAATGAAGGCCTTACCCCACCTTCAGCTCTTCTGCGTCTCGTCAGAGTCGTCACAGCCCCAGTCCCGATAGCGTTGATCGTGATCCAGGGTTGATGACACACATGATGGAGCGCTCCAGCACATCATCCCGACGACTACTCGGTCACGGCTCGTCAATGTCACCAGGGAACTTTTTCATCACATCGGCGCATACCGGAAGATACAGGGTAAGCGTATCAGGGCTCTCACCCAAGCTCTTGTGGCTTGCCTTCCTCCCCGTCGAATACGCCAAGACCTGTTCGCTTCTCGTGAATATATTATCGGTTTCGGAAACTCCACTCAACGCTGCTTCATATATTAATCAGATCACATTTACTTGAGTTACATAAGATAGCTTTAGCTGGTTCTAAATACAAGACACGGTATAAGGAAGTAAACCCGGGATAGCACGAGAATACCCTCAAAGGAGTTCTAAGTGGTTACATTGGGACATGGTCTAGTGACGAGTTATCCCTAACTGGCCTGCGCGGGAATCGCGGTTGGTACGAGAATCAATGCTGGTATGTTATATTTTTGTTTGGGTTCAAGATACCACCTTTCGCTTTGATAATTTCACGCCCTGTGCGGCAGGGAGCCAATTGAATAGACGTCGTCTTTGCGAGTATTAAAATATCGGCGTTCCTCGAAGTTTTGGAACTGTTCATTGGAAGCATTTTATCTTGTCGTTAGTTACCAGCGCCTTCTCCTTACCCCATTTCTCTCTGATCCTGGACATCCCTCCTGTCTCCCTCTTAACGTTCCTGTTAAACCATTGCTTAACTCTGTCGTCTTGGCAGCCATCCAACACATCATCCCTCAACGTAAGGTCTCCATATAAGTAGCTAATAACCCAACCACACAGAGTCCCTTGCCAGTCTTTCTGCTTACACGTGATGTCATCTTCAAGGATAACTTTGATCATGCTCTCTAGCAACATAACCACATTAGGGAAGTAGAGGTTACCGTCGGCATAAAATGGTGGCTGTGATGGGCCGGCATGCGTCGAGTTAGATATAGTCGGTGAAATCGGGTCTTCTGGAATGCTCAAGTGAATATAACTCGCGGGAAGAACAACGGTCCGCACTTGGCACTTCTCCTCATTAGGATACTGGAATCGTATCGAGTTTGCATCGAGCTTCGCATAGGCAGGCCGGACGCCCGCATGAATGCGGTTGTATATCTCATCGTCCTTGCGAGTGGATGGGTCTATACTGGAGCTAAAGGGCCAGTTCTGACGTTCAAAGCCTGCACCGGCGAGTTTCTTTGCCGCCAGATCCATCTGGTCATCGTCAATGCCAAGCATGTAGCTCTAAGACCACGGGTTAGCAGAGGGCTCCAGGGTACAATGCCAGAGATAAAGGGGAATTGAATATAACTCACACTGTGCACTGCTGGGACGCCAAGATAAGCCACTGCAATTTCGCCCCAAACCACCAGTTTGATGCGCTGGAGCAGATGTGCAACGAAATCTAAATGTGCCAGCTCGGAGGCCTGTTCGGCCATTGATAATTTGCAGATAGTAAAGCTTTTGGGCTGGATTCTTTTAATATGACACCAGAGTCTTCCTCTTTTGCTAATTGCAGAGCGCTGGCGGATTGTGTGTACTCCGTATAGGGGGAAGAATGTCAGATGTAGGGCGGTGGGGCTCATCCTAGGTTCCTCCTTAGTGCACACCGTTTGGTTAGCTCAAAAATCACAGTCTTAGCAGGAATAGCGGTAGACAATAGGTCATAGAATGGATATTGAACTAGTATGGTACGAAGTAGTTTGGGCTGGTGTGGTCGTAATATAGACCACGGCTTTGGACAAGGACCTACCGTAGAGCTCAAAGGGCTGGAGACCAAGTGCATACCTCCGTACGAGTACGATGTACGGGTGCTAAGATTCCGTGCTACGTAGTTCTCAGGCACCGGGTATCTACCAGCCCAGTCGCGCCTTCAAGTCCTTGCTCCGTAGATAATCAATCATAACTGCGAAAATCTATTCGCCCCTCCAGCGCGCAGCGACATTGCCCAACACCATAAAATGCGCCTATTCGCCTGGCAAAGCTTCAAAATTCCCTCTGGCGACTCTGTTAATGGTCACCGATAAGATATTAGACTTCTAGGCACCAGTACTCCCGTTACCCGCTCGTAGTCGCCCTCATCCGGCCCCTTCTACCAACAAGGCTTACGTGCTCTTATCCTCGATTCTTGATATGAGAGCAGTACCTCCAGCGCGTCTACCACAGGGCGGCTAGTTTGAAACGTATTTCCTATCTATAGGACCTTTTAGTTGATTTGCCACCTTCCCAGGCCATCGGGCGGCTTCGTCTGCCCACCTTAATCAATCGCAGCATGTTCTATATTCAAGGCCAATAGGCTCTTCGAACGTTCTCGTCGAATCGATACACCATTTAGCTCGTTGGTGTCTATTTCTCCTTCCGTTCCATATCCTAGTTTCATGCCCTTTTAGTGCTACGTTAATCTATCAATGAGATGTTTATATCTTGCACATTTTGCAGTGCACTACAACACTAGTAATGGTCTGTAAAGCTACGATCACCCTACTACAATGGTCTAAATATTTCCTTCTTCAGCTTAGCAAGGTTATCAAATCTTCATTGCTTCTTACTTCCCTGAAGCCGCAAATTCTACACGTTCCCGGCGCAAGCATCATTATAGCTCACGCTCCAATATCAGCCCACCACCACTAGCGTTAACTATATCATAGTTACGGCATCATCTAGTTTACATAGCGTCCCTTCTCAAAAAGAGTTGGAGATAGCAATTCTGCTCTGGCATGGGCTTTGGTCACTCTCAATATCAAATACGGCATCATATGCGGCGAGCGCCGTCTTTATCCTTGCGCACCAGTTTGGACTTGAACCACGCCAGACAGTGGACGTCGATCTCATTGTTCAACCAACCAACCCCACGGCAGCGGAAACGATCTCTGAGCGGCTTTGCAGGGGTCCGAGCTGCTCTCAGCACATATAAGACCATTTACAGCGTCAAAACTGCTCAGATCATCGCGATACTTCTGCCACAGCAGATTCATGCTGACATTGAGTGTTTTGATCACCAAGTGTGGCCGCAAAGACGAGAATACTATGATTCAACTGTTGAGATGTCAATAGGCGGACAGAAAACACCCCACCTAAACCCTATTTGTCGGTTCTACTTTTATTGGCAGGGGCTGCCAGACGAGGGGATACTCTTTCTATACAATCTGGATAGTCGGCGCATAGTACTATGCCCTGTAGGAGAGTAACTTCAGAATCATATCTGGGTAATGGCCGTTAGTGTCTAATCCAGTGGGTTGGCACCAAACCGCCAAAGGATGCGCCATACTCCAACCTCAGTATAATATGGCCCTGTCCCTTCACTTCTTACTCACACAACTTGATTTAACATCATGGCACAAGTGACTTTGTAGGCCGGCTACAGCTCTTCGGCCCGCAGTTTACTTCAACCAATAGGATGAAGATATTGCTTGAAAGTCTTTGGTTGCATAGCTAGTCACTGCTAGCGCAGAGATACATGCTGCTATTGATGGAATATTACATGCTTCAACAAAATCCTAGAGCGGGGCGTGGTTCAAAACAGAAAACATCCAGCAGGACGCGCCAGTACGACCATTGAGTGATAACCATATCAGAGACGGATGCGATTCTGTCTAGGGACCTAGGGTCCCCACACGCCTCCCCAGTTGGCTTGGTGACAGATAGCCGGCTAGTGGAATGATGTAGTGCAGTAAGGCTGGAGGACAAACAGGCATTGCATAGTTTTGGAGCTTCTGGGTGATATTGATGGTTGCAGGAAGAAAGAAAAGAATTTCAGAGTTGTTAATGTCGCATTGCTCCTACGGAATATTTGTTTGTCCTTGGTGGAAGTCCAATCCTGTTTGTTGCTTTACGAGGCTCAGGCATAAAAAAAGACCACACCGCAATGGCCACCGACCTCCAGTACCTATTTAACGCGCCGAAGTTGATGCTAGGCAAGATGTGCTGCGACACATTTGCCCGTTTGCGTCAACTCTTCCAAAATTTCGTTTGCTTGGGCGTGTTTATCTGGGAAGGCAATAAAGCTGGGTTCACCTCCTCCCCACCCAAAGATGCCAAGCTCAATCGTACCTGGCCTAGCAGCCATCGTCTTCGCAATGTTCTTCCAAGCGTCAAGGAAGAAGATTGCGCTATTGCCTGGTAGGGCTAGGGCAGTAGCATCTTCCCTTCGTCAATTACCCAAACCCGTATGTATACCCACCTACGTTCTAGTATTTATATGCGTGGAATATCTAATGTTTTGCTCCTAGGATGCTCTTCAACCACGCAGCGTTCTGGTTGAAGCACATTACAATCACCCCTTATCACTCAAAGAGTCCGAAATCTTGGCCCGGTTGCAGTCAAACCAACAACTTCTGATCAAGGAGGCTCCAGATTTAGTGGCTAGAATCTCGGGGGCAATTTCGAAAGACCTTGATAAGCATGATTTTAGAGATGGTTTGAAGATCACAAATGATCTAGACCATTTCCAGAAAGTCGAAATGCACAGATACGCAACAGAGAGCAGGCTCCAGCGCCTAGAGAGCAGCAACCAGCGCCTAGAGCTGGCCGCTGACAATGCGTTCAAGCAGGAAGTAGCGATGAATAGAGCGGAGTTATACAAGGCGATCGGTATAATCCAAGCTCAGTTAAGGGCTAGGGGCTGGGGAAAGAAAGATCAGTCAAATGCCTCGATTCCGCCATACAAAGCTCAATCCCAGACACAACTGTCCCAAACCCAACTGGAAGCCCAGCCTACTGCCTCGATTCCACCAGACGAAGCTCAACCCCAGACCCAGCTTGAAGCCCAGGCTTTCGCTATCAGAAACCGGATTGCACATGCCTTGCAACTGACGCCATGCCTTCTTCTCGTCAGCGAAGAGCCAGCTTTGGAATTGGTTTTCAACGCTTTGTTTGGTCTCTCGTCTATCGAAGGCAAGGATCTATCCCAATTCGACAACACTAGGAGTTTTCATGTAGATAGAATTCTATCGCTACATGCACAGCTATGGAAGTCCGGACTCGCTAGCGCATTTATCAGCCCATATCAGCAATGGTTGGAGGCAATGCGGTCGCTTCAGCCCAAGCACAATCCACGCCAGACCGAACCCGCACTCGTCTCTTTCGTGGAAGGGCTTGCGACGGAAGTTTGTGAAAAAGCTGATGCAGACTTCAAATCGGCGACTATACAAAGGCTCGAAAATCCGGCGACGATGAAGAAGATGTTGCGCCAAATCAGATCAAAAGGCTTTGTTGACCCATATTGCTGGGACAAGATAGTGTCGGGCTGGGAGGATAGGGGGCTTTGGCAGAAAGTCGTGGTTGAATGGAAGTTGTGATATTGAGGGCAGTAGAGGTAATACGAGCAGTGCTGGCCAGTAATAGGTACATCGTGCACCATTAGGTCCACGGCTATTAGGATACAATTTAAACCTCTCCACTTCTGGTCAGCTTTTATTTACCCCTCCCAGTTCGCGCGACTTGAATATCTCAATTTCAGTCAGATATTCGCGCGACGTGAATATCTCAATTTCAGTCAGCCATTCGTGGAATGTGAATACCTCAATTTCAATCAGATATTTGCGCGATATCGGATTTTGTTGAGGTTCGGCACTGCCGAATCTTAGGGCTTTTATAGAGTTTTTAGAAGTATACCCACTGTGGCAAATATAACCCACTTTTACCTGTATATAAGAGGACTTCTCCTCCACCTCTATTACTGGAATGAATCAACTCGTTCTATCGTTTCCAAGGTATCCAAATCCTTGACAGATTTACATGTGGGTAATAGCCGTTGGGCCTTATAATACTGGCGAGAAGAGTTTTGCACCAAATTCGCTCAAGATTGCGCCATACTACTGTCTAGAATTTTGTATAACCTCTAGAGAAGGGTCAACCACCAGCGTATAATAATATTGGCAAAAGGAGGTTTGCACCAGAGTCTTCTAATATTGCGCTATACTCAACTCTAGCAACAGCCCCTAACTAAATAAGGTGGTTTATAATACGGGTAGATCAAAGTGAATATTTCTAATTCCCATTCGCCTTAGCGCTTGCGCCCCTAAGTACTGCATCCTCCTCGGACATCCAGAATTCTGTCTTCTTCCGGATGCCCGCGACCATGGGGATGTCACTATTAGAGCTCCTACTCTCGGACGGCCGCCTATTCCCAGCTTCGATCACAGTGGGAACCACCTCGAAATTATCGCCACGGAGTTTGCCGTGATTGGCACCGGAGCGGGAATGAGGAAAATGGTATGGAGAGCTGTACTGGGAGTTGTCGGGACATTTGCTCTTATCGCCGAAGAAGTAGACATATATAGAGTGGGAGAGGGCGACGTTTGCAGCAATGATTCCGAGGAAGAGTTCGAGGTTAGACCAAATTCCGGCGATACAGTATGCCCCTGAGATCATGTTACTTTTTGCAAGATGAAATGGTTGTTATGGAATTACTTACAGCTAAGGTCACTAGTCTGGATTCCAAGAGATGCTGCTCGAGCGATACCAAAGCCGGTTGCCCTAGGATCGAGTCAATAACCAGAGTTAAGAGCAAAACGGATTGGGGAATGCTTACAGGAGTCCCAAACCCATCAGGCCAGACACGGAGAGCTTGGTACGTAGTGGGATCCTGACCTTCCACACGACAAAGGGCGGAAGCAGTGACAGGAAGAGATCTGTTAACACAGAATATCCTGTGGACGCTTCGAGTTAGCTGAAATCGTTGAACGGTCCGGATAGTTCAAGTTACCAATGGTAGCATATATGCAATAGATGCGGATGTTGGTTGGCCAGCACTTAGCTGAACTGCCTCGCCAGAACCCGGCTGGTCTACACTCAGCCAACAAGATAATGACGACTCCAAAATTGGTAATCAGCACTCCAGCCATGACCGTATATACCAAGATCTTTAGGGGCTTGGTATTCTTGATACGAAGGATCAGGAGGCAAATGGAGACCTTCAAAAACGCAACGGAGGCGAACAGGAAGATTTGGCCGTACCACCCGTACTTGTTGATCATCATATAATTTTGGTCACTCAGGTAGACCCGGTGCTTGCCGTTCCCGTGCTGGGCCTGTTTGATTTCGAATCCCAGTCTTGTAGCGGCACAAGCAACACAAAGCAGCATCGTAGCATCGTCCCATCCGAAGATTCGGTTCTTGCACCTAACAAATATTCGGAGCGCTGTCGAGATAACAGTTAAGACCATCAGAATTCCAGATATCCACATGAGGATAGGGCCGACATCCTGTTGGGGAGGCAGTCCATTATCGCGGTGGGCAAGCCCAGACATGTACTGCGGCAAACTTTAATCTGGCGCCTCTATGAGAGTTGATCGATACTCGAGCGATGCCCAAGCTAGTTCTTGCTGGCTCCTCAAAGTGTATTAACTGTGAATAGACAAGTGTCAATAGTGGAAACTTAAAACCAAAAGCGGGGAATGCTGGCTAAGGGAAGTCTTAATATCTCGTCCTCAAATCGATATTGTTTCGCCTGTATTTTGTATAGCCGGGTTCCTAGTCTTATAAGAGGAACATATAATCGGAGTCTGCAAGTTCATACCTGCTCACCCAGCTGCAAATACCCCCATGTTTCAGGCTTTCAGCAGAGCACTTCTCAAGGCTTTACAGGGCCAAGGGTTGTCTTCTAACGAGTAGTCCACTCACATATCGAAGCAGAACACAGGGGTTGATTCTACAGCACCACGGAGAGAACCCATTATTTCGGCTCGGGGACGAATGCTCCCGCCCTACTGTGCCGCATTATGAGAACAATAAAACCTCTTGGTAAAGAAACAGGGGCCTACAATTGGATTCTCGAAGTTCTCCCGCCGCCTGGCATTCGGTGAACAATCACAGGAATCTCCACGGTTCTATTTACCAGCGCTGATATTGTCTTGGTTTGTACGTAGTAGTGTTAGGAGTCCTCCGCAAGGTGCAGGTTTGCAAGGACGAGGTTGGAAATGTTTTGAACATGACCCGGCAGTGTCCAGACGTAGAAACGTCCACAGCATGACTTACTGGGGTATAGGTGCAGGTTTGCAAGGACGAGGTTAAGGTTTTAAAGTTATCCCTACGTCAATTCTATCAGACGCTCTGAAAGATCCACAAGGGCACTTGCCCCCACACCTACTAAGCCCATAGTTTAGGTAGTGAAGCTGGTAGGGCTATTATTGACTTATCATAGCTGGAAGACTTGCTGCGAATAATAAAAAGCAAAGTTTATTGACAGGTCTGTGCACAATACCAGCAGCGGATCTTCCTGCGGCGCAACAATATCATGAGAACATATCCATGCTCCCCATGGCTTGGTAAGTCAGCATACTACGTACATCGCTTACGAAGGTATTCGTAAGGTACCGGTAGGTAGGCAGGGTCAACGTACGGAGGGAGTAATTTGGAAGCAATTTAGTTTAGACAAATGCTATCCATGTAGCTATTTCCCGCCGCCATTTTGCACGGGCTAAGAAATGAAAACATTCAGCCGCCAGGCCTTAAATCCTTCGATGCGAATCTCTCTGGCTACCCTTTCTGCATTGTCACCCAAACAGCCATAATGTTCGCTGTCAATACGTTGTTGCTGGCCCTTTCTCTCTACGCCGCTGGGTGTGATGCGGCTCCGACGCAGGAGGCCCATTCGAGCAAAGGGTATGATTATGTATGCCAATTTCCAGTATTTCTGTATCCGTTCCTCGATTTCAATGCCAGATCTTCACTTGAACATAGGAACTAACCAAAGTCAATATAGATCGTCGTTGGAGGCGGTACCGCTGGACTGGCTCTGTCTACCAGACTAAGTCAGGGTCTCCGGGATTCTAGCATTCTAGTCATCGAGGCGGGACCAGCTGCCCTCGATGAACTCGGAATCAATGTCCCCGGGAAGAAGGGCTCGACCCTCGGGACCAAGTACGACTGGAATTTCACCACAACACCCCAAGAGAGTGTCAAGAACAGAGTCTTCGCACAGAACAGAGGCAAAGTCCTAGGGGGGTCATCCGCCATTAACCTCTTAACGTACGACAGAGCCTCCGAGCACGAGTATGACGCCTTTGAACAGGTGGGCAATCCAGGGTGGAACTGGACCACCTTCTTAGAGATGATGAAGAGATCGGAGAACTTCACCAGCAAGAACACTGAGTGGTATGGCGATGCTGGGGTCAACACCAATGGCCCCATCCACGGTACCATCAATCGCATCATTCCGACCCACCAGGACGGGTGGATTCCAACTATGAACAGACTTGGTATTGAAACCAATAAGGAGTATCTCGGCGGCAACCTCCTAGGGGTTTCGTACTCGCCCAACAGCATTGACCCAACGCACTACAACCGGTCCTACAGCGCCAATTCTTATCTTCCGCTTGCTGGCCCACAGCTCACGGTCATGACAGAGAAGATAGTAGCCAAAGTCAATATGAAGGAGGATGGCTGTGGATATCGGGCCAGTGGTGTGACGTTGACGGATGGAACTTTTATCGCTGCTCGTCGAGAAGTCATCCTCTCCGCCGGTTCCTTCCAGAGCCCTGGTCTCCTCGAACATTCCGGCATTGGGAACAGAGCCATCCTGGCGAAAGCCGGCGTCGAGCAACTCATTGATCTTCCTGGTGTGGGCGAAAACCTCCAGGATCACATCCGCATCCAGAGCACGTATCAGGTCAAGAAAAACTACACCTCTATCGATATTCTTAGATACAACCCTGAGTACGCTGCAGAGCAACTCCAACTTTGGGTTGATGGCAAACTTTCCCTCTATGATTATGCCGGCAGCGGGTACAGTTTCATGACCTGGAAGCAAGCCATTGGCAATGACTCGGAACTTCTTGCCCTCGCTCAAGCTGTGGTTGGCACCTCGACGAATCCTGCGTTAAAGAAGAAGCTAGAGTGGATGTCCGACCCAACCATTCCTCAACTCGAGGTCATTATGAGCGACGGATACACTGGGGTGAAGGGCTATCCGGCGCCAGGCACCCCATTGTACGGCGAAGGGTTCTTCTCTCTCATCGCAGCCATCATGCACCCTCTCAGCCATGGCAGCGTACACATCAACTCCTCTGATCCTCTTGCCAAACCCATCATTGACCCCAACTACCTCAGTAACGAGCATGATCTCCAGGCGGCTATCGCGGCCATCAAGAAGTGCCGCCAAATTGCCCTGACGCCGCCATTAAGAGACGTGTGGGTATCTGAGTACGAGCCAGGTCTGAACAACGTCAACACCGACCAAGAGTGGAAAGACTTCGTTCTCAACACCACTCTCACTATCTACCACCCAGTGGGGACCTGCGCTATGCTCCCAAGAGGAGACGGCGGCGTCGTTGATCCAAAGCTAAGGGTTTATGGCACCAACAACCTTCGAGTCGTAGATGCCAGCATCATGCCAGTCCTTATGTCGGCGCATATGCAGACGGCTGTGTACGGGGTCGCAGAAATGGCTGCGGAAATCATCATCAACGATGCGAGGGGGCATTAAGGACCTCGTTGACAGGGCGAGTTCCCCGGTTCCAAATCTAATGCGGCGGATGGCCAGGCGTTTCAACTGTACGTGTAGTAAAGAACTTTGTACGTACTCCGTACAAGGCCACATGACTTGATTGACATGGTCGGCGGGAAATACTTGTGGGATTCTCGCGAATCTTTAATTAGTAATATAATGGTCTAATCGAGGATTCCTATCGTGAATCGGCCACCTTGTTCCCCAAGCTCCGGTAGACGTGATATTTCTCTTAAAAAACATCTGGAATGACGATATTAATTGCCTGCCTCAAGTACTTACCTGAGGTACCTAGGACCAGCAAGCCATGCGTCCAGCTAGAGATTAGTCTTAGTCAGCAACACTATCCCTAGTCATGATTACCCTCGCTCAAACGGACAATTTCAGAACGTCAATCACCTTACGAAGAGCTGGCTAAAGGCCGGTGGCGCTGATCCAAACACTCTACTATGATCGGATCCTGTTCTATCTTAGATTCTTGAATAATGGATTCCACAACGCTGGCGGCAAATGCTCCGACAATCAAAATCAAGAGATATTCATGCGTACTCTGCAGCCAACGCAAGGTCAAATGTGATCGTAAGGATCCGTGTCTCAATTGTGTGAGGGCTGGAGCCGAATGTATCCCAAGCAATCCAGCACCGCCCCGGCGCCGCAAACGAACCGTGGAAGTGGGTTTGCATGAGAGACTACAACGATGCGAGGATCTCTTGAAAACCTATGGACTTAGCATCGATGGTGAAAATGCTGGAGAGAATCAGGACCGCAACCAAATAAATGCTGTGCCTTCTGAAAACATACCACCTGCGCCTGCGCCTGAGACTACCCATGGAACGATGATATCGAAGCCGGGAATGACGAGATTCGTTGACAGGTAAGCATAAAATTCCCATTATCGACCTCATCGGCCCATTTGCTTCCTCTACTAAAAGTGTTAATCTGAGTAGCCATTTGTGGTCCACCCTATTAGACGAGGTTCGACTCCTTCCCGGCCTTGAAACATTCCTCAAGTTCTATCAATCTAATATATCCGATAGCTCCGAGAATCCAAAGATATACTTCAACAAGATCCCACCTGGGAAGATGATGAATCCGATACATCTGATACCTCTGCCACCGATGGAAGCAGCCTTCTCTTCTCATCAAATTTTAGACCTCCTAAACTCACCCAGTTACACCCTCCACCGATACAGATCCTTCGCCTCTGGCAGATTTTTATCGAGAACGTAAACCCTGTGTTAAAAATAGTCCATACCCCAACTCTGCAAGTCCAAATACTTGAAGCATCTGGGAATGTTGCTACTATCCCCAAGGGCCTTGAAGCTCTTCTTTTTGCAATTTACACCCTCGCAATCGTATCGCTCAGTGACGATAATTGTTTGAAGACGATGGGCGAGTCTAGGGAAACCCTCATGAGGCGATATTCCACTGCCGCTGAACAGGCTCTGGTTAGATTTGGCGCATTGCAATCCTCCGACCTGGTTGCGCTTCAAGCATTGACGCTCTTTCTGGTGAGAATGCCTAGTTTGTCATATCTTCTTTTGAGTTCATTTTTCCACATCATTATCAAAGGAATAAGGCAGTCATCCCTCAATATGAAATACTGTTCTTTCCAGCCTCCCCATTTTTAACCAGTAATCCTAAGCACCGCTATAATCTCCACTCTATCACTCAGCAAAAGGCATCTGCAACCCCGAAGCGTCATTCAGTAATCCTTTCTACTTGCTTCATCCCACTGCTATAAACTCCTCTAACGCCTTTGATTAGGTCGGGACTCGTTCAGACCGCAATCCTCAAGCATTTTGGATATTATGTGGCGTGGCCATTAGAATGGCGCAAAGGATGGGGGTACATCGTGATGGTGCTCTTGTAACGCCAAAGCTGCCGCCATTTGAGACTGAGATGCGGCGAAGGGTATGGTGGCATGTGATGACGATCGATTTTATCAGTGGGATACACGCCGGTGCGGGCCCTTCATTGTTAGAAAACTCCTGGGACACAAGGCTTCCGGGGAACTTCAACGACGGCGACTTGTATCCTGATATGAGAGAACTGCCCCTCGAACATACAGGCGCGACAGAGATGATATATGTTTTAATGACATATCACATGTGCCAGGCTTTTGCGGAAGCTCGGTATCTATTCGGTTCTCCCGATCAACGTGCTGTTTCTCTGTCAGAGGCGGACAAGTGGTTTGATGAACTCGAGACTCGGATAAGGAACAAATTTCTTCAATACTGCGATTTATCTAATCCGCTCCACCTCTGCTCTGAAGCTGCTGCTATCTCGATTATTGCCTCTAAACGACTTTATGCTCACCATCCGCGGAATTGTCCCGCCGAGAAAACCAGCCAAGAACGGCAGGCTCAGATGACCACGCTCTTCGAGAACAGTATGAGCGTGTTGCGCTATTTCTGTGCCTTCCATTCAGTAAGGAATGTGAATCAATTTCAATGGCATATCAAACGGCACTTCCAATACGATATTTTTGTTTTTCTGCTGAGCGATTTGCGGCATAGGACCTTAGGACCCGAGTCTAATCAAGGCTGGCAAATGGTTCAAGATATATACAAGTGCTACCCGGAGCTATTATCCTCTAAAACAAATGAGCTCCACCTTGCTGTTGGCGAACTGACCCTGAAAGCCTGGGGAGCTCGGGAGCTCAACCTTCGCACTACGAATCAGTTTGTAGAAACGCCGGACTTTATCCTTGATCTTCGTTCTCAGAGATCACGCCAGTCTGCAAAAACCGGCGATAAGATTCCCAACCTTACAAATATATCTTATCCAGCCGGCCCTGACCAAAATGTTGAGCATATCCGAAATAACACAACAGGAACTGGCTCCGGACTTCCTTGGGGGTTTATCGACTATGACCCGTCGATGCCTATAGATCGCGTCGTTTCTATGGACATGGCCCCGATGGATTGGGAGTACTGGGACAACCTCTTCAGGGAGTACGATCTCCAGGCTGGTGATGCCACCAGAGGATATTTGGGCTAGTTTGGTGTTTTGGTGCGGTGAGGAATTTGTCCCTGCTCGGACTTCGTGAGCCTATCGCCTCGGAACTCGAAGGATCTCATACAAACTCCTTGGAAAGTGAAAAATTGGTCTTGAAGTAGTGGCGACCAAAGGACGGAGAATATGATATCAAACATTTTCAAAATGCGGACTAGGAGCAATTGCGACTATCCTGCATAATTCGGAACCGGATGGCATCCACAAAAGGTTGCATAATTATATTAATTTTACCACCCCTCCGGTTTTCAATTCGATTAGTGTCTGTTTCTCACGAGAGACTTAGTACGACATATTAGTTCCTTGTATTCCAACACCTCCCGACACTAGACGTTCTCTCTACCCCATAATCTCGAGAACCTCGCCAATTTAGATCATTAGAAATAACGGATATAGTCTCGTATTTCTTGCATTTTATGCATTATAAGTTTGGCGACGAAATACCTTCGGCATCTTGGAGAGGGAATGCTGGGTATGGGTATTATTACCAGGGGCCTACCAAAACTATTATTGTCGGGGACACCGAATTGGCAACTAAAGAAAGCTTACTTTATCTCTACTCCATACGCTCAGAAGATTATAAGGCCCTATAATGTCCTCGTTTATGTAAATGGTTTAGGAAATCCAAAATGTTTGAACAGCTCGATTCGATTAACGCACTTAGAATATTGTGTTAAGAGCTACATTATGATTTATCAAACCCCTCGAATCGTCCTAAGGCTACGTTATTTATTAGGGCCCTATGTCCTAACCAAGGCGCCATACATTAGTTTGTGGGCACGCCGACAAACTGTCCCCTGTTACAACAACATCTCCAAGTAACCTTCAAAGAGACTGGACATCATTATTTCGCAAGATATAGTCAGCTATATTCAAGAATTTTATATAAATAAGGTCTCCACGACCTGCATGTCATTCCAAAGCCAATTTGTCTCCTCTCTTTTATCCCCCTAGGGATGTAATTCTCTCACAGGCTCATCGTCACAGTCATGTTATTACTATGAACCATCAAAATTGGCGGTAACTCCTTGCAAAGGAGTTCTAAATCTGCCAAATAATCTGCGCTCTGTTCCTCGCTCTGACTGGTCCCCTCAGTGGGGCCAGGTAACGTCGTGAATACCACCGCCGTATCACGACTCTCTTGTCTCATCAACTCATTCAGAATCAAATGTTGCGCCCGACACGGTAAGTCGTTGAAGCTAATGGGCAGCGCCTGTGTGGAATATGGAGATCCTTGACTGGATGGGGAGTCGTCATTTTCAGCGACGAAGAACTCGGTGTCTGGTGGCGCGACCGCGGAGTTGGAACGGTGGGCGGAGGGCGGATTCTGGCCGCGTCTTGGAGGAGATGGAGTGTAGGTGAACATTATGCTACGGCCAGGGCCGTCATCGCTCGAGACTCTGGTTATTGGGACTGGTTTGCTGGAGAATTTGGGGGTTGAAGAATGGCGAGAGAGCGCTGGACGTTGGGGGGCAAGAAATTGAATATGGCTGCTTGATGATGGCGCCTCGGGCTTTATGGGGCTTTTAAGAGCCAATCCATGCTGAGAGCTTGGTCTGCTTGCAGAGGGTGAGGCTTCGGATTCTGGCTTTAGCGATGCTTTGAAATTGGGGTGTGAACCCAACCCTTGGCTCGAATCCATCTCAGATAGCAAGTCTGGGGACAACACAGAGGGGATGCTGCTTGTGGAGACGGTGGTAGTTGGTTGCGTCAATAAGGACCTTTTTCGAGATTTAGACGGCATTCTAGTCTCTGTTTCACTACCTGGCTTCTTTGAAAGCCGTGGGCCCCTTATACTGTCACCGTGACTCTTCCTTCGGGCGGTAAGCTTACTTTCATTCGGAGGAGAATCAGTCTCCGACTCAAACTCATCTATGTCTCCTTCGCTTGCAATGCTCTCTGGCCGCCTGCTTGAGCCCTCGTCCTCGGGACTACTGTCATCACTAGAATCAACCTCTGAATCTTCACTCCCGCTTCCATGGCTCGCATGCTGGCTCCCAACATTCTGTGAAAGTTGAGATGTCCGCATGCCGAGGTTGACGCCTAATTTTGATAGGCGCTGCATAGTTAGCCTCCTTTTTCGTTTTCTTAAAGACTTCCGAAGCCCGAGAAATCGCTGCGTCATGTCCTCCTGGGGGCCTTGTTGAGAAGTTGCTTCTGGCCACCGAGGCCCAGTGGCGAAGATACTAGCAATATCTGCGAGATCTTGTGTCGTAGAGTTTCCTCCACGTTTACCGCGCATGCTCTGCAGTTCATCCCACCATTCTTGACCTTTCAAAGCTTCATCAACTCTCTCTTCATGCTCCTTGCCAGGATTTGTCCCATTGACGACGACCTCGTAAGTGGGTAATTTTCCGGATGCGAGCCAAAATACGACCACCTCGGCCTCGATTCGTAATTTCTCGAGGAGTGATTTAACTCGTCCTTGCTCTTCCTGAACGTCAGATTCATATTCTACAAATACGGCAACTCGAAGTTTATAGGCTGCCTTCCATGAAGGAACGGTGTTCAATATCGCTCCAAGTTGCAAAATCAACGTATCTAGAACGAACAATTAGTCACAGTGCAAGCATATATAAACGTGCTCGGAACTAGGGGATAAAGCTCACATGTGTCAAAATTTGTAGTGAGAACACTTTCCTTATCATCACCCTCCCCAGCAATCTCCGCAGACATTTGAATCGGCCAAAGGTCAATATATTTCTTAGCGCCTTCCCGTTTCTTGTCAGGGAACTCTAGATTTTGAAAGCCTTTCGCAATAGCCACGTTAATCTGCAGACGCCATAGAAGGTCTTCCAGAACAGTGACATAACTTGTCACGCTCATCATTCCTTCTGGCTTGCACGAATCGGTCGGTAAAACTTCCTCCATATTTCCACCCTTACTCTCGCGACGATGCCGTTTCCTCAGTTGCTGGGCTTCCGGGGTATCTTGTGTATCCTTCGGTATCTCGGAGACATCAATGAGTGGCTGGCTTCTCCTTAAGTCGTCCAGATTATACATGCCCATTACTACAATATTCGGACGCATTCCTCCAAGCCCGGCAGACATGAGAATATTTCGAGAGCCCCACTCAATTTGTGGCGAAATTGAAATATTGACGAACGCCTTTATTTTTGAGAAGTCGATGTACTTTGTCCAAGCTGCTTGCTGACGGCGAGCCTCGGGAACTGAGCCACCAAAGTCGTCCGTAACAATTACGTGGCCTAGAATGTAAAGCCCGCCTTTCTTCATCGAGTTGCAGAATTGGATTAGTCGATATTGTCGACGGGGGTCATTAACGAAGAGTAGGATCTGCGGGCGCCAAAATTTGACGTGTTCTTGCTTCAGTCGAAGCAAGTACTTTCGAACTTGGTGATAGATAAGGCTTTGTGACACATCGCCCCAGCTCTTTGGAGGGCCAGTGTAATGAATGATCATGAAAATGATGATAAGTATTCCAACGCAAACAGTGGCATACACCCCGTCCACGAAGAACATAGCAGCTCCTGAACATATGGCTCCGGCAAAAGCCGTTTGCCAATTGAAGAAATGGAAGGATGGCCGGAAGTTTGGCGCGGAACTGATTTTCAATAGAAAGCAAGCCAAGTTCATTACAAGGAATGTCATCTATAAATATTAGCTTTGGACAAGATTAAAACTACGAAACTCCGCATTTATTAGATCAAGGCGTTTGGTATCCCAGATTTGGCTTGGGCAGGCCATATTGCCAGAACACCAAGATCTCACCAATTCTGGTTACGTCTATTTCCAATCTCAGGTGGGACACTCATGATTGAATGGAATAGTGATTAACCCCACATCTACCATTAACACTGAGTGCTCCTCCGACCCAATAAATGCGGCGCCGTGCTTCTTTGAGCAGGAGAGGATCTGAAGAAAATAATACGTACCAGGTAGGCCATTGTGACAAATGAGGCAATCTGGTTGAGATCGCAGAGCATGGTGATCTGGACCACGAAATAGGTAATAAAAATAGCATAGGTCGGTTCATCCCCTTGCTTCGTGCCCTGTCCAAATATTGAGAGGCCAGGGAGGAGTTGGTCCCTGGCTAAAGCCTGTAAAAGCTTCGATGAGCTAATTACGCCCATCAAAGTGGAAAAGAATGATGTTGCAAGTTCTCCAGCGAGGATCACAGCTCCGGACATATTGATATCCTGGATGACGTTGGCATTCCTGAGAAGGGATGATCTCGTTGTTGTCGCAGCCATAGCGAAAATGACGAGGGTATACAAGACAAAAGTGGTACCCAAGCCATAGAGTGTTCCTTTTGGAATCGCTTTACTAGGGTGTTTGAGATCGCCGGACATACTGGCACCAGCAAATATCCCCGAAGCTGCTGGGAACAACACCCCAAATAAATCCTGGAAATTCTCTACTCCATCAAGATGACTTCCTGCCGCGCCTTTTGTGAGTTGGGGTTTTAGATTGCTTAGAAATGTGTCCAAGCTCAGTCCAGTGTACTGGATACCCCATTTCCGACTTTCGAATGGTGGCATGACGAGGGCCGAGAGCGGAATGCTTAAAGTAGAGATTAAAAGGATGACTAGCAAGCCCTTACCGGCACGAGCGAAGATAGCTGAGCCGAGAAGGCATATGATTATGCATAACGCCAATACGCTGGATGACCAAAGGTATAGGTACCATTGGCTTTCGGGAAGAACGTTTGACCAATTGCCCGAGATTGAGCCAAAGTTTAATTTGATGCAGTTGATCAAGCCGACCGCATTCATGCCTGTGTTGAAGACAAGCCCCATATAGAAGACAACCCCAATTGACCCTCCAAATTCGGGTCCTAGTGATCTTGAAATGAGATAATAAGCTCCCCCGCCTCGGACCGTTCCATTAGAAGCTATTGCTGATAAGGAGAAGGTAGTGGTGAGGCTGACGGCGTATGAAGCAATTAGCATGCCCATCATCCCAAGAACACCTGCTTGGCCTAAAATTGGGTTAGATATAATCCATTTGAAAACGAGGTTACGTGACCACTCAGCTCGAGTGGGCGACTAAGAGCGGTTAGATCATAGAGGACATGAAGCTGCTTAACTTCCGAATAGGTTCAGACCTTTTAATCGGGAAGAAAAATTGGGGCAGAGTTCTGTTGGCCTCTATCGACAAGCCCTCGCGGTCGCCCATTGCAGCCGAGTGGTTTAACCGCCTCATTTCCTAAGGTTGGGTAACATTGATGGAACAAACCTAATAAAAATCCGAATCTCAAAAACATAAGAATACTGAGTACATTCAGGCAGGTTGGAATATACACGCCTGACAACGTTCCTAATTTCTCACTGACCCCAGCAGGGCGGAGACCACGTGCCGATGATCTGGACACCGCAGGATCCCCATTTGCCCGCTTTGCTTCCGCCGCATTGTGAGCCTGAATATCTGCGGAATTTTGTTCCATATTTGAGGAGTCGAATATCTGTGGCTCGCTGACGGATCCACTCAGCACACTCGGTAAGTCACCCTGGGTGCCTCCATCATCTCCGGGTGGTTGTAGGCTTAGGTTTGCAAAAGCTCGCTCTTCGGCAACCATCGAAGGATTTCTCCTAGGTTCATGTGGACCAGCCATGTGTCTGGATCCTCAGATCCGGCGACAAGATTAAGCAGCTAGAGTTTTGCGGCGTCGTTGCATTAAACCACCCCTTCCCTCTTCAATTCGGTCTCTCGCTCACAACTGTACGGGACTGGAAACTGGGACTGCGTTTCGAATTTGTGGAATATGCTCGATTCGGTCCAGTATTCGGGGTCTCTATCCACAATCATCACATGCCTATCAAGAAGTGGAAGTGGTCGGCCCAGAAGGTTATATCGAGGTTGTCGACTGCGGCCAGCCAAGCGACATGTGTTGAAAGGGTTGGTCCCCTAGCAGGTACAGCTCTGCCGTCGTCATAAAGAGATATTCGGAGCCTTAACTGCAATCCTGTAAGTTTCGTCTTCTCAGACAGCGCGTTGTGATGGTGGAAGTTTGGGGAATAGGGCGCAAAGATTCGAGGAGACGATCGTCTACGGTACTATACCGAAAGTAGGTACACGGAACTTGGTGTGCAAGCACAATGTTTATACTCGAAACCAGGGACTGACCACAACGTCACCGCGTGGGGGCACGTGGGGGCACCGGCGGGCGGGCACCAGCGACGCCGAGGTCCGCTGCTACGTCACGTGTGCCCCGACTTTGTGCATGTCTCTGAGTACGACGAGGATTGTCAACCCGTGATGCTTGATAGGCAAGCTGGGATGAGCATGATAACACTTCCACACCGTCTCTGCGCATGATCCCAACTCCAGCTGATTCATATATTACTAGTCTCTTGCTCAGTATGCTACAACATTTATTTTGCATATTGACCGAGTTTGTTCCTCCTTCCCCCCGCCGTGCAGAATTCAGTTGGCTTACGCTCCCTCTAGCAGCAAACGATACTAAGATAAGACCTCGACGTCTGTCATACACCGGCAATCTAGCTCAAGAGCAACGCAAACGATCATGCCGGCTCCCATAGATGGCCCATCTACTTCCCGACCTCTGCCAGTTCCGATAGCTTCCCCCCCAAGCTCGAACAGAGGTCGCCCGTTGGCCAGCTCTGTCCCGCGGGCAGCGTCAACAGCTCGATTGGCTTCTCCAGTCCCTTCGCACGACACCACTGGCACACCGCAGGTGCCTCACATACCTACATCAAGTCAAACAGGAACCGGAGCACAGCCATCTGGCAGGCTAACCCCCCTCGCGGGTGCTGCCCCCCAGGCCTCATTGCCAGGGCCAGGCGTGTCAGCGCTGGCCGCCGCATTGTCGGCTTCCTTTGGCCATTCGCCGCCTAATTTTGGCACTCCTCCACTCCGACCATTATCCCCAGGAACTGCGGGTCAGCAAATACCTCAACCGTCAGCCCCGCAGAGCAATTATGGGTCATTTGATGGAAAGGGACGATCCATACAAGGGGCTCAAGGGTGGGCTTGCCCAAGCACCTTTGAAGACCCCGAGATAGTGAAAAGGCATCTCGTACAGCAATCAGAGAAAGCACAAGGAGGAGATGACGCGCTAGATAGTATTTTTGGAGGGCCATCGATGTCCGTTCGAGGTAGCTCACCTGCCGGGAAAGCGAAACAAGCACTCGACTCTGTGGCTCCTGGGCTCGACGATGACGAGTTCTCAAGTCTACAACTACAAGGAGGAGATGTTACAAGGCCTATATATAAGTGGACGGAGGGGGCACAGGCACGAGCGAATGGTAGACCTCAGAGAAGCATGAGCTTCAACCTCTCCCGACCGCATCCTGAAGACGAGACTCTCAATATAGACTCGATAAAGATACCTGGTGGATTCCGCAGGAATTTTCTCCGTCGAGCGGCCCACAGCCCGGCCCCGGAGAGTGAAGACGATGTTGAAGGTAGTGCTAGCGCAGTTTCACGACCAAGAGCTAGTCCGAAATTGCTTACAAACAGCTTTATCGAATTCTTGACCATATATGGCCATTTCGCTGGTGAAGAGTTGGAAGAGGATGACGAGGTACTCGGACCTGATGAATACTTCTCCTCAGATGCCTTGGAATATGGTGCGGAAGACGACGGCAGTGATGAGGACAGAGAGCCTATGGAGGATAGTGCACTTTTGACTCCGGGCCGGAGGAAAAGGAAACGGAAGGATCGTCATGTCGCCGGCACCAATGGACCTGTCGGGGCCACATTATTGCTGCTCAAGTCCTTTGTTGGCACCGGTGTGCTATTCTTGCCGAAGGCTTTCCTGAACGGTGGCATGCTCTTCAGTAACCTCGTACTGATATTCGTGGCCGGACTGAGCTATTACTGTTTCGTCTTGCTTGTCAACACTCGACTAAAGGTTGACGGGTCCTTCGGGGATATTGGCGGCATCCTGTATGGCAAATGGATGAGAGACCTTATCCTCTTTTCCATTGTGATAAGTCAGATCGGCTTCGTAGCGGCCTACATTGTTTTCACTTCCGAGAATCTTCAGGCGTTTATCCTAGCCGTCTCTGACTGCAAAACGCATATCGGCGTCCAATGGCTAATATTGATGCAAATGACAATCTTTCTGCCATTTTCATTGCTTCGAGATATCAGCAAGCTCGGGTTTACGGCATTGATCGCCGACGTCTTTATCCTCATCGGCTTAGCATACCTTTACTACTATGATATTCTCACGATTGTGGCACAGAATGGAGTTGCTGACATTGTCAATTTCAACCCGAAAGATTGGACCTTGTTTATCGGAACCGCCATCTTTACATTCGAGGGTATTGGCCTGATCATCCCAATCCAGGAGTCGATGAAAGACCAGAAGAAATTTCCCCGAGTTCTCGGGTTTGTGATGATCATCATTTCGGTGGTTTTTGTCTCTATGGGAGCACTCTCCTATGCGGCATACGGCTCTGCTACTGAGACTGTTGTCATCCTCAACCTACCCCAAGATTCGAAGCTTGTCAATGCCGTGCAACTGCTCTACTCAGTTGCCATCCTCCTCTCCACCCCACTTCAAATCTTCCCCGCAATAAGGATTACTGAGAATGAGCTCTTCACCCGAAGCGGAAAATACAATCCGTACATCAAATGGCAGAAAAACGTCTTCCGATTCTTTGTCGTGATGTTATGCGCTGCCATTGCTTGGGTTGGGGCCGACGATCTTGACAAGTTCGTGTCAATTGTGGGCAGCTTCGCCTGCATACCACTCGTATACATTTATCCAGTAGGTCTACCGATATTTTGCGTGCTTACTTTTACTAATCGCTCCTTAGCCGATGCTCCACATGCGCAGCGTGGCCAAGACCAATTTCCGCAAAGCAGCAGATGTCTTGCTTTGTGTTTTTGGCTTTATTGTTATGGGCTATACCACTTCGCTGACACTTGCTAGCTGGGCGAGTGGAGACCAGGAACCTGGGCTGCCTAGTTATTGTGATAAAAAGGGTCTGTGAGGGTTATAAGGAGATATAGGTTCGCGCGTTTACATTGGTTTGGTTCCCTTTTGCATAAACTGCTTTTCGTTGCATAGCTTGCGCTACTGGCATTGATTTCTTTCTTGCAAATCCCCTGGGCGTCATTATGGTGTAGGGTATCTAGGTAGTGTAGAATGGTCCGTTCGCTTCTCGTTGAATCATGCTGTTTGGATCACGTTTATTATTTGTTTTCAGCATAAGATGGATTTAGAAGTAGGAATACTAAGGTGCCGCAGAGATATGAATAGACGCTATACATATCCATCATATGCGGCAACGCAAACTCTTCTTATATTGTACTGTATATCGCAAGTCGTGTATCTCCTTTGGATGAAGATCATTCCTCACAGAAATATATATCACTTCCAGAACAAACCTAGTGACTTTCTCGCCCAATTCTCCATCTCACCACACTCATGTACATGTACTCTCAAAAATGAACCCCGAAAACCAAACTCCCAATACACAGTGCTATCATATTAACGAGGATGATATTCGATGGACCAAGGATATCGGAATGCGCAGCGCCGAGACTTTTCCCCGTAAGTATATCTCCAATCGGCCCTGACACAGCGTAGGTTGGGGATGCAAAGCCGAAATTTCCACTATGTGAGGAAGCCATGTTGTTAGCTCGATTATCTTGGTCAAGATACAGGATATAGTGGAAATGAAACTGGGAAAGGGAAAATGAAGCGCTCACGTACATTGTTCCGTTTGGGAGCTGTACTATCTTGGTTGGGTCTGCTGCTTGTGTGATGGCGGGGGCGAACAGAAGGCTGGCGAGGGCCATGAATGGGACGATTAACTTCATGAGGAACATATTTGTGTGCTAAACCATTCGTTTAGAATATGGGTTGTGAATTTAGAATTGATGATAGGTAGATGTGGATTTGGAAGGATCACCGGATCTGTAGTAGGATTGACGGACTGAGAAGTACGTTGGTAGGTTGGAAAATGTATTTAAATTGAGGGCGAAAAAAAATTGATGTACTGAAGAGAAAGTAACAGATTTTAGAACCGAAGATACCATAGATACTGTACCTGACAATGGTGAAGATATAGACAGAGGGGAAATGGGATGGGCATGAAGTCTCTCGGGAGGGTGCATGCCAGTGGCTGACCGGGGCAACCTCTCCAGTACGAAGATGTTCTTGAGAGTGTAGCTTTAAAATGGCAGCTATGCTATATTTGAGGTAGACCAGCTATATTTTTTTAGACCAAAACAATTGTCTTCTAAGGAATGCAAGGAAAGACACTAGAGTACAGAAACGAAAAGGAGGTGGTCATCACGTGGAGCCCTTTACGCGAAAAATACGCGAGACCTACCAGCAAACTGAAGTCCGGACGCGTTGCTTCCCCTCCGCGAAGAAGTGTCGGCCAAAGCTTCCCATGACTGAGTGTAAGATGGCAATCTCTAAAGAGGGCAGTCTTCTCCAGGCGCCATCGTAAGTTATCTCATGCTTCTATAGTGCAATCTCGAATTCCTAAAACTAATTGCCAGCAGTGACCAAAAGTACTCAGCCCTCGAACGAGCCACCACCTCCTACATACCCCACGAAACATATACCCTAGAGAAGGAAAAGCACTACCAGCAACAGTATAGTGACCTATACTTCTTGCGCTTGACTAAACTCAAGCCCCCTGTGGAAAGGATAGCTGAAGATGCCTGGGATGGATTTCAGATAGCGGGGGAGACTGTTCAGAGGGTGGAGAGGGTGCTGGATGTCAGACAAGGCAACCTATGCTGGGTCGTAGGTACGATTTATATCGATATGCCACTGAAGCCTAATATTTTAGATGATATTTCCAAAGATGTAGGTTTCATTACTCTGCTTGGGCCTCCCTTTGCTGATTTAAAGTAGCACTGGATTTCAGCACCTCTACCGCGTCAAAAATACCTATCGCCGGAAGGGGAAGATCTTATAATGTTAGAAGATGAGTCTGGACGATTAAGATTAATTGGAGCTCCTCTATCCAGCGAAATGCTTGTTACGGGTTGCATAATTGCTGTCATGGGAACAGAAAACGCAAATGGAGATTTCGAAGTCGTTGATATAAAAGTCCCCGATTTGCCCCCTCAACCAGATCGATGGCTTACATCCGAGATGCCTGCTGAAAAAAAAGTCAAAGACGAAGATGACGATATGGATATTGATAAACCAACGCCGGTTAGCAATGGGAAGAAAATCGCCATTGTCTCGGGTCTAGGCTTCTCAGGCACAAACGCCGAACATTCCCTTGAGCTAAATCTACTCACAGAATTTCTCCTTGGCGACGCTCTAGATCCAACGAGTCAGGAGAGTATCTCGCAAATCGCCAGGCTGATTATTGCTGGTAACTCCATCGCTCTCGATCCTGAGGCAGTCTCTCATGACACCACTTCTAATGCAAGAAAGACTGTGCATAAAAAGTATGGCTACGACAGCAGCGCATACAATCCTACTCCCACGGCTCACCTTGATAATTTCCTTACGGGTTTATTACCAAGCATACCAGTCACATTAATTCCAGGGGCCACCGATCCTGCTAATGTCAGTCTTCCCCAGCAACCTATACATCAAGCTATGTTCCCACAGTCTCGGGTATATGGAGCATCGCCACTCCAGGAAGGCGAATCGAAGCAACCTGCGTGGTTTGATACTGTTACCAACCCTTGGGATGGTGAAATCGAAGGCTGGAAAGTGTTAGGCACCGGTGGACAAAATGTGGATGACGTTTTCAAATACGTAGAAAGTGAGGACAGGCTAGGAATGATGGAAGCCATGTGCAGATGGCGATGCTGTGCACCAACTGCACCAGATACATTATGTAAGTCTCCAAGTTTTGAGGTTCATTATTCGACGGAATCAATGTACATCCCTTCCAGTCATTTCTTTTCGCCACTTTCAAACTCTATTTACTCCAAAGCGCTCAGCATAAACAACGTATTTTATTTCTTCCTTTCTCGCGTTTCCGGTCTTTCCTCCCCAAAACAACAATTTAGCATGCCTAACAACACATAGGGAGTTATCCATTCCAAGATGATGATCCTTTCGTCTTGAACTCCTGCCCTCATCTTTTCTTCGTAGGCTCCCAACCGAAATTCGACACGGCGATGATCCAAGGTCCTGATGGGCAGGCCGTTCGTTTGATCGCAGTGCCTCGATTTGCGGACACCGGCGAGATTGTCTTGGTAGATTCAGAAACCTTGGAGACGTCGGTAGTTAGGATTGCCATCTCATGATACCATATCCCCCTGAAGAGCTCGCAACGATCGTCTCATGTGGCTTCCTTCCAGCACCAAACCCCAAAACAGTGATCTCTTTTGGACCCCTCTAACACCCTCCTACCCGTGACTCCTGAGTCCTGACGCTACAAAACACGATGTCCAGCCACTTTCCATTTCGCTCCTAATGTCGCCGGCCTGTTAATTGTGCCAGACTATCGCGATGGTCCAGCATGACATCGTATTGGCGTGGAAGAATAGGATGGGTGTGGTAAAACATTGGCGTCAAAAACATCAGCAACAAATTCATCCGTTGAATTAGATATTCGTCCATGTCACCATCGCCCTGCCCATAAGCACCTTTCCTCTTCCTTAGCTGCTGGTAGGCAATTCTAGCAGCTCTTTCTTCCGACACCCAACGATTAGGATTTAATGGAATGGTTTTTCGTTCTGTCCAGCGCCGTTCAAGACACTCATTCGTCCAAAATTCGGCGGTGTTTCTCTGCGAGCTTGGCAAATACTCATCCCATCTTATGTGCACGGCCATGTCCACTATGTCTTCGGACAAAGCGCCAAACGTTTGCTCAAATTGCCAGTCCGACCATCTTTGAAGCTGTGCTGGTTCGGTGTATCGCACTGCTGCTCGGTCAAGAATATCCTTCACCCTTGAACCTTGGATGTTGCTTGGCCACCTCGATCTCATTGCCCGGCTACACAGTGCCCGCAGGATAATTCTGCCGCGCTCCAGACATTCTGCTGTATCTTCAATGGAATCTACCGCCTGGAAACCGAGTAATGTTACAACCAACTGTTGAACCCAATCCTGTTGGGATATCTCAAAGAACAGATCGATATCGACTCGGTAATTCAACTCGTCTAATGACCAGTGCTGTGCTTGGAATTCTCAACGCTTTGATACCAGGAACTGGGCAGCTATGGCCCGTGGTGAGACCTCCGTGTCGTTGCGGCAGAGTAAACAGCCCATATTGAAGCTGTCATTGGTGATGCATTTACAGAACCACAGCCAAAGACAGCTTACGCCGAAAAAATGCCCTTTGGGACATTGGAGTGTGGCTGCAGAATGAGTTTCGAGTAGTATCTGGCCAGGGACAAACTCCTCTATCTCATCCAGACAAATCGGGCACCGTCTCTCTTCCTCGGTCAGGCTCCCTGTGCTGTTGGTCTTGATGGTATTGAGGAACACCTCCTCCATGGTATTTTTCAGGCACTCTTTCGTAGCCATGTGGATCAGTTTAACCGTATGGTACACTTGAGGCACCACTCCGCTCTGTGATTGATGATTTGGAATGGATACGCGTGGCCAATGGCCACCAAGGCCATCGAATCCCGGCTGAGCCACCTGGTGCTCAATTACCTGCGGCTCCATAGTTGGCGGATCATGAATCAAGCCCTCTTCCACATGTTGCTCGATAGCTTGAGGTTTATCAGCTTGTGTGCCCACACGTCGGGCTCTCAGGACACCGATGCAACATATGAATAGGTAGATAGCGCAGATATCGCAAGTAATTGCCATGGTGTACTCCATTAACAAGATGTATCGATGACGGACGGGCTCGAATTTGTCTGTCGGTTGGTTTTATATTGTGGTTGCTGTGGTGCCACTGTGGTGACGAGTACCACTGTTTTGCCGGAGTATTGAAAGCGGTAGTCACTTTAGCACTTTAGTGGGATAACCCTGATTAAATCGAGATTATTTACAGAGATCCTGTTTCTTCGAATCAAAAGATGTTATTCCTTTGCAACTCGATGGAAGGAGTTACAAGTATGTAAGTTCGATGGAGATGCGAGAAGGCTTGCGAGAAGTACGTCTAGTTAAGAGCTTCAGCAGTGCCTCGATTATTTTAAGACCATGAGTCTACGGGCTTCTAGTTAGTCCAACAGGCTCAGTTTTAGTTTTACGTTTGCAGTAACTCATGTCTAATTCTAGTGTCATAAGGGTTCTCAATTGAAGCTACCAGGATCCTGAACCCCGGATTGGGTAATTTTGGCGCTATAAGGGTTCTCAACTCAACCCTTAACCATCGAAAATTATTAGCGTATGTATATGTCCTCAATGTTCCCGTCACTATGGTGCAATAATTAGTTCTTTGTCCTGTCAATAATCTTTTGTTGTGTTTTACAGCTGCATCTACCGCTGGAGCTCACAAACTATTTGGCTGCAATCCGGCCCACGCAAGATCAGTTAGTTGCTTGTGTCATGGTTCTATGCTATTCTTCTACATGACTCAATATTACATCTAATATACTTTTCTACTAGAGAATACTACCCTAAAATATTAACAATAGCCTTTATTAGTACTATAAGAGATGATTACTCTATTCTTAGAGGAAGTTTTGCTCCTTCCTTCTCAGCACGCCAACGATCTCTATTATACCACGCAGTAAGCTCCACACGCCTAGTGAGAGGTAACCAGTGGCTGAATTCCGAGGCGGGGAACATTAATAGGGTTTACTGGGGCCGGTAAAAGCCCCAAAGCCTCCAGAGCTAGGTTTCTCAATTTCCCTGATTTAAATGTCTCAATCTCAGTGAGTTAACTGTCTCAACCCACTTCGAAAATGCTTATCCCCATCCTCCCCCCTTCCATATGGCTCCCGACCCTACCTCCAAGCCCCCATCGCCTACTTCCCATGGTCAAGCTCCCCCTCCCACCATTTTCCTTCCCCTTTCCTCCCCCAACCCTTCCTCCTCATTCCTCTCGTCCTTGGATCCTCCCGGCCGCTGAATCTCTCCGACAATACCACCTTCACTTGCCAAGCCCCATATACCGAAAGTGTGCGAATTAGCGGTGCTAAACGTCGCTATCAGGGCCTGTATATCTTCCGGACTGGTCTGTTCCTCTCCAAGGCTATCCATGGTGATTTTGTAGCGTCGGCCGTAGTAACGGGAGCCCGGATTCGTATTAGATCTAGGGTTGCTCCGCTTGGCAACACGGATTGCGCGAGGGGGTTGGTTAGGTGGTAGGAGGTCGGGTTTTGGGAGCAATAGTGATGGGGATTGAGATGGTGATTCAGGTTTTGCCGCTCCTGAAGATGAAATGGAGATGGCACCTCCGAAGAAGGCTGCGAGAGAGACGTAACGGGATCGTTGGCAGCGGTCACGATAGAGTTCGCATCACTAATATCGGTTTCTCGGACCTTAATTGGCTTATCTGAGGCGGTAGTTACATTCTCTTCGTGTATTGAAAGCTGATCAACCATGGGCTGAGCTGTTGAAGCTACACGGCTCCTCTTGGATGGAGGAGATTGCTGGTCTTGAAACTCAGGGAAGGGACCGAAGTGAGGTGCGTTAGAGTCAACTTTGCGCTTTTTGGGAGGCATTATGAGGTTTTTTCTAGACGGTAAAGTGAGGGGTGAGAAATTCCAGTGTGTGGTATGCAGTATGTGATATGTGGCATATGGCAAGTGAATATCTTTAAGCATGAGAAAGGAAGATTTTCAGATGAATTTGAAGATTCAATTTAATTGTGATTAATTGTTGAATAAAAGATATATAAAAAAGATACGCTGAAGCTCAATTTGAACACTTTGTATCTGCCAAACATTGGTTAGGAAAAGTACTACTGGCGGCTTGTGAAGCATAGGTAGCACTATTGATCTTGAGATAGGTAAATGGTGTTTAAATAAATCTGTAAACCAGTAGAAGTAGAATAAAATGATAAAGAATGATTCCAATGAAGAGTAGGTAGGCCTGTTAAGCACAGCCAGTAAGGGGTTGATGAAGGAAAAGCCGAAGTGAATTATGGGCTTGTAGTAGAAAGAGCAACCTCTTCTGAATATGAGCTCGTAGATCGTTAAGAATTACTGTAGATCCATCCCAAAAATGCATCTCTTTCATTTTCATTTTCAAATTCCAATTCCAATCAATGTAAGCACCATAAAGGTCCAAGACACAACATCACGTGCTGCCCCCCTATAAATTCCTCAAATTAAGCGACATTCCACTTGGACGAAACGAAATGGCCGCAAATCTTACGGTAAATTAAAAATTCGTGCGACATGCAACAAAAAAGATCCTGCAAGGCCGCCGTTTATTATTATTAATAAAAGGCCGTTGTGCAACAAAGAATCTTTGACCATTGATTGGCCTTGGCTATTTTAGAGGAAGACTTGTCAGGACGGAACCTGGAAGGGGAGACTGGTGATATGTTTCTGAATGGGGTTGTGGGGACGGATGAAGATACCAAAGGCGTGTCTAGGGCTTCATTCTTCCTCTCCCCTCTCTGCATTAGTTACTGCGCCGTAGCCCTGAAACGAGGGGTTTGGTGGTGTATTATTCTGGTTCTTATCGCGAGCATATCCCAGAAGACTGATTGATTTCTTGAGAGGGTTTTGGCCCCGCCCAAGCTTTCTTATCGCACCTTTTGTGTCGTTGTCGCGCTAATTACCAGAGTGTAACAACAACAACAATGTACTGTAAATAAATGAGAGATTCCGCGCAGTACTCCCTATCGGTGGTACTGGGTAGGTACTATAGTACGTACTGTACGCACAGTAGTATTAAGAAATAGATTGATCAAGGACGGAAGGCAATTCCGGGATCATGGTCCACGAATCCTTTCTTTCTGGAATACCCGTGGAACTGTGCACCGTGCCAGCGGCGCAGCTTGCATCGCATACCTTGCTTGGTCCCTCTGTCTCTCGGTCTGGCCGCCTGGCGCTGTAGGAAGTCTACTAGCATCAGCTTTTAATGCGAAGCCCTAGTGATAGAGAATGCTATCGATAAAGGATGAAACCAAGAGAAGTACAAAGGACTCGCCGCTCAATCGTTTTCAGAGAGGCGCGCGACAAACAAAGTCCACAGATAACTAGAAGTTCCTTTTGGGCTCGATCGGTGGTTGTCCCGATCGGGGGGAAATAGGTATTGTTTCTGCATGTCCAGGGAAGAAACGCATGCATGTGCTTTATTACCTGCACATGCACGTGCACGTGCAGGCGAGGCTAGCCGGTCAAATGGGAGCACTCTGTGCCTGCATCGGCCCCCTTTTCCATTTTTCTTGTTGTTAATGCGCTGCTAGAGGGGGTTGAGATAGTACAGTAGCAGTAGCAATCATCATAATCATAATCATGACACCTTTCTCTTCCGTATTGCAAACTGACTCAAAACCGAGAGGGCTGACGCGCGGTGCGGTGCGAGCAACACGCATAGTATTCGCGGACTAGTACTATGAGGGTTCATGCAGGCCAATGCCCAGCGATTCAGGCTCAACGTGGGTTGGTTCAGGCGGGCGGTGGGGACTAGAGCGACTAAAACCGCGAAAAGCAACTAAAGCAAGGGGCCAGGAGGGCTTATTCCGGGGCTATCCCCCAAGTAGTTACGCGGTGGCGGTCGAGTAGCCTGTTGCAACGTGGTGCAGATTGGACCCGATCGGACAGATTGGAGAGATTAGACGGATTAGACAGATTACTTCGTACTTACATAGTAGACCAGATTGGCCAGCTGGTGCAGGCCGTGTGCGGTTACTACCGTACCAGCCACAACACATCACCACGATAAATGTGGTTTATATAGGGTAAGAGAGCCGACGTTCCACGGCGGTTTCGCCACTGGTGGAATCAGGGAATCAAGGAAATCAAGGAACAGAGGAACGGGGTATTGCCACTTCCCGACAATGCACCAATGCAACCTCCAAACGAAGCGCTCTCATAGGAGGAATGGCGGAAGCCGGTGGAGAAGAGTTGCTACAGTGACTACAGTAGAGTAGTGGCAGAGCTGGGGAATGGAATGGGGGAGGAGGGCAAGATAGAGTTTACAGATGGAGTACTCCGTACCAGTAGCACGTATGGAGTCGTTAGTGAGGGCGACTTGTGATTGATATGTGCCAATAACAGGTCCCATTACAGTGCTAATACAATGCTAATACAGTGCTAATACCGTGCCAATAAGTAGTCCGTAGGCCCTTCCCGCACCGGGGTTGCCTGCCCTCCACCCATTGAGTCCACTCTCTCCAGGTTCTCGCTCCCCGTTCGCTCTAGCTTGCGTCCTAGTCGGTCCAAGTTCCCCAACTCACTCCCCTCGCCCATCTCCCACCCTCCCATCACCTCCCATCGCCCATCCTCCCCCAGAGCCGCTCGACCACCATCCATCCTCTCCTTCTCCAGCTCCAACTCCAACTCTGACGAACGAGGGCGACCTCCCCGGCTTTTCTATTCTTTTCACTTCGCCAGTCGGAACCTACTTCTGTCGGCCATTTATTTATCGGGTGCTTTGCTGCCGGCGCTTCTCACAGGCGAGTTATTAAATTGGACCGGGTCGGATTGAGATTGGATTGGACCGAGTCGGGTTTGAGATTTGGGGTCGAGTCGAATTCCTGGCACCACATTGATACCCACGGCAATAATACCTACCTACATGATATGAGAACGGGCAATTGAGTTGGGCGGCCCCTATTTCAGCAGCTGTTAATCGCACGGTTATCCATCAATCTCGACGGTCTTACCCCTAAGCTATCTCTACCAACCTATCCACGTACCGCGGCAGAGCAACCACTTCCTCCACCACCTCACGATCCTACAACAGTAACAACTCTCCAAACACGTACATATCGGTTGGCCATTGACGGCACACCATAGCCGCATAAATGGCTACCGTCAAGGAGCAACCTTCCTTCGACACCAGCACGAACGTCCTCACCATCACACGCCCAGCCCCGAGTCGACAACCCTCAACGCAATCCATCGACGCCCGTTCACCCCTCGAAGATGCCGACTCGGCTCATTTTTTGACAACGTCAAGAACAGTTCACTCGGAGAAATCCGCCATCATGCCTCAAGGCGCAACCTTCAATGACTCGAAGGCGGAAATCATCGAGACGAAATCTTGCCCCATGTCCGATCTGGAAGCCGGTCTAATGGAAACAGCCACCCGGGGAAGTGCAGACAGGATCCTCAAGAAGAAATGTAATGAAGGCGATGACCCCTGGCCATGCCCACGAGCCTTGAAACGCCAGCGCAAGGCGGCTAAGCGTAGCAAGGCATGCTGTGCGTGCTGGGGAGATCTGGGGAAGAGGCAGAAGCTTACCGTCAAGGTCGTGTCAGGTGTAGCCATCGTCGCCATTATTGTCGTGATGTGCATCTTGATTAGCAAGGCTGTTGGCGGCGGTGTTTGGAGCAAGGGCCAAACTCAAGCTCCCATCAAGGGCACATGATCTGAAGCGGGTAAGATAATCTTTTGCTCACCGGTCAAGTGCAATAAGAACCTGACATTTCTCCCAGTTTTAATAATTGCGGTCGTACCCACGAAAACACCTATAACCTACTACTACCTTGCTTCACGCTCTTCCTTGGAAAACGACCCCGCCCGGTATTTCTGAACTCGTCGACCCTTTCAGCATCCGCTTTCAACTGTATATATTTTTGATAGAGAGGATCCGGGGTCCTCCTTCTTTAACACACACCCCGGCGTTCAGGCGTACAAGCATACAGGCATAAGAATCGTTTGTCTCATAGGTACCCTTCAGCATTGTTCAAACCCAACACCCAACATCTCCTATCCAAGCTCTCGACCTCAATCCCGTCGGGCTTCCTTTATGCTTGGCTCGTTGTTTGGTGCTGGACTTTGCTCCGATATGATTGGTGTTAATGGTGTTGCACTCCAGGCGTGCATAAATAAACAGGCGCTATTCTGTGTATAGAAACATAGTGTGTTTGCACCCCTAGATTAAATCAGTGGCGTGTTTTGTCACGCAGTCAGAATGGATACATTATATGACTGCCAAGAACCAGCCTAGGCCCGTGTACTTGTTGTAAACCATGTGCACAGAAGTGGTAAAACAGATTGAAGTCCATGGAGGTATATCATCACAAGATCTTTCTCTTTCCCCCTCTTGTAACTTTGATTTGGACCACTGATACCTCCGAAATGCCAGATGTGTGGTTATCCCACTATTACACCACGTCCTCTCCCAGTCACGCCTTACATTTGTACCCCTTTGCCTGGTACATGTACACATCAAAGAACACCATAACGCAACCAAAAACGCAACCCAGAAGATTTCCAACCGTTTCCTATAGGGAACTCAAAGTAAAGAAATAAACAGACATGGGTATCATTCCTTAGCACGGTCAAAAGCCCAACAGGGGGTGCTGCCCAACACTGAGCAGGGGAAATTATGCTGCTAGGAGGAAGATCATATGCGAGCAATATTTCCAGAAACGGTGATAGAGTGGGGAGGCAGTGATACGACGTTAGCAGGAATGTAAGACAAGTTGTGATGGAGAGACATGTGCATATGCATGTGATGCTGGGGGCCTGTTGACTTGTGCACAGCAGTCATGTCTGATGACGATATCGATCATCTGGCATGTATAACAAGGTGGTATGACAACCGGAGCAAAGGAAAAACAAGGTGTGATGAATTGTCAGGCTAACATCATATGCCAACACACAAATAAACCCCCCCTCCTTCTCTCTCCCAGGCACTCTCACATGTTGGCAGATCACTCAATCTTTACCACTCCCCACCTTCGACATATCTTTCGAATTCTTACTCTTATACTGGTCCCTCAAGAACTCCTCAACCTGCACGTCATTATCTGGTCTCCTCGGCGGTGCATCGGTACTAGATTTCCGATCATTCTTGCTGCTGTTGTTGTTTCTCTCGGGACCTTGTTCGAAAGTAGCTTCCTGCAACATAGTTACGCCTATAGTATACGAGGACGATTTTCCCATTAGCCTTTTTGTGTCCCATCCCCTAGATCTAATTCCTCGGCTCTTATTCCGCATTTTCAAATGTTTTTTATTTTATTTTCAAGGGTAAGGAAACAAATAAAAAAGAGGACGTACCCTTCTCAACTAAACTATCACCACTCTTCTGTCCCTCGGGCTTGGTTCCAGTAGCAGCAGCGTTCAATTGATCCTTGAGATCCCCCTTGCGGAATGTATTCCCATGTGCATCCTGGGCGTAGTTTGAGGGGTCTTTATCTGGATTGGGGGGTGGGTCTTGCGCTGTGAATTTGTTGGTGATGGTTTCGTAGGTGGAGGATGCGGTTGCTTTGATTGCGTCGATGGTTGATGGTTGGTGGGACATTTTGTGTTTGTGATGTGGTCGATCCGCGACTAGAGGGTAGTACGGAATGTCTACCAATGTCAAATTGTGAATGAAAGTCCTAGGCTAGGGAGCGCAAGAAGGATTTACAAAAGGCAATGGAAGAAAGCAGTTGAGATCGCACAGAATGTCTTCCAGAATCGCTGTTTTACTTGTGGTGCTATCCCCCCGGCATGCAATGACGTCGGTTGCTGATCCAGGAACCGCTGGCTTAGGAATGGACCCCCCAACCTTGCCACCGATCTCAGCAGTTCTATAATCATAATAACGAAGAGGAAGCAAGATATCTCTCTGGGGAGACTATCGATAAGGGGCTGTAATAGGGTTCTTTTGCTAGGCAAAATTCGATGTACTGCACTACGAGAGGTGTAGATTTATAGCATCGTCCACTGGAGGGAAAATCATATGTGGGGAAATGCGAGAGAGTAGGAAATTGACTGCCTTCTTATACGCTCTAATTATCAAAGTGTTCAAACAACTTTTAATTAGACAAATGTGTACACCATCTGTATATATCAGGAGCGGTGCACCAGGTGGTTGAAGTTGCCGAAGCTGTTTGTTCGTGGTCGATTGTACTAAGCCATTTCCGGTTAGGCTTCCCGCGCTCTGTCCCATGCAGCTGGACTTCTGGAGAGCGGCGACTCTTACCGCGATTCTTACGGCGACAAAGCAAGCGAGCGCATTGCGAAACTTTGCAACCTTGCTATCAAAGAGCACGTATCTGGAGAGCAGCTTTGCTACTTGCGACTTGCGACTTGCGCCTTGGACTCTTTTGCAATATTGTTTAGATACAATATTATCAAGGTAAGCGTAGGGCAAATGCTACTTTGTGGGACAAGCCACTTACATTTTCACTGTGGTAGACAATCCCGTTGCGGTTCTTACTGTAACGATGAACGCCCCGGATAGGTAAGAGCGCCCCTCCGCTCCTGTTTACTCTTTCGTTGTTGCTGCGGCGGCTCGTCGAGATATATCGTCGCGATAATGCAAGAGCTTGGTTTTCTGTCAACAACCGTTCTCTACTGCTAAAGTTGTCTACGACGCAAACCCACACCATACAATCAATCGGCATCATGGCCATGGCTATCAGCAACGATGGAGCTGACCAGCTAAATAGATTCGAGCTCTTCCTTCTTGGACCCGATGAGAAGAAATGCCAGGAGGCTGCCGATACTCGTGCGTTTTCACCCCATCTATATTTACCGCCATGAGCTTGGGAGGTTGAAGCTGATTTGAATAAAGGCACCCCGAATAGCTCGGTCTTCACCTTCAACAAGGAGGACCACACCCTCGCAAACATGTTGCGCTCGCAGCTCTTGAAGGATCCGCATGTCATCTTTGCAGGCTACAAAGGTTCGTTCCCCCCTTGTCCCCCATCAGACTCACAGATGACTTGGTCGGATTGGTGTTAACTATTATCATTTCAGTCCCCCACCCTCTCTTTGCCAGCTTTGAGCTCCGTATCCAAACCGATGGCGGAATCACCCCCAAGGAGGCCCTCGTCAACGGCTGCAAGTCTCTTGTCGGCGACCTTGAAATCTTGAGCAGAGAGTTTACCAAGGAATACGAGTTGCGCAAGATGGTTAGTGGTGATGGAACCGCTGCTGATAAGTGATGGGCAACCAATTTTAGCTATGATGCATTGCAGCTGGCTGGCGTTTGACGGGATAATTGCATGGCTGGCGTTCAAACAGGATGGCGTTCAAAGAACAACGAAAGTTCGGGGTGGAAATGCGTGCGGTTCTTGCAATTAGCGCTGTATCTAGTAGTCACCTCGTTGATTATTAGAACTGGCTAATTCTCCAAAATCGGCTACTTGTTTTTGACTTGACCGTGATCATAAGGAAAGGCTTCGTGGCGAAAAGAAATGTGGATGCTGTGGTAGTTTCGACAATCATGCACATGACCCCGATGATCATATATCCAGGCACCCTCCTCCAACTGACGACAAACAGATTATCCAAACCTCAATTTGCAACACCAATTGCTAAGGAAAATACAAATATCACAAACGCTAATAATCTGGCCAAGAAAATGTCATATGGAAACATGTATGGACCCAGAGCCGGAAAAATGCATGAAACCTTGTTCCTTCGCGTAGAAATGGCAGAATATATTAATAGTCCTGTTGAGCTTAAAATGACGCCACCTAATGCGCGACATGCAACAAAATTGGCAGAATCCGCAGTAGAATCAGATTTACTTCCTTGAAAGGCGGTTATAAAGTCTGAACAAAGACATTTACGACATTCTAGGGAGTAGAGGGCTTGCGCGGACAATTAAAAGACATGATTCTTTGTCAACGTGACTTTTTGCAACAGAGTATATTAGCCAGACAAAACGCGGATGCGGTTAATAACAATGAGCTACTCCCAGCCCTCCAATTGCACTAAAGCCACCTTCCCCAGCCTCGCAACTAAACACCTAAATAGGAGAGCTAGCTAAAAGATTCAAGTGAAAAGCGATCGTCAATCGGGGCACTAGATCGCTCGGACATTTGTACTTCGTATGCACATGCAAGTATTTAGGTACTTGAGTACAAATACCAGCCTCAATCTGAGTTTGTGGGGAGGAAGCCGAGGCATCCCTTTTCCCCACACTATCAACCCCCGCCCGAACCAAGTTTACAACTCTACCCCATATGTAACTTCTTTAGTACCAATTAGCTATCTTCCCCTGATATGTCTCCTCCTCCTCCTTCGTCTTCCTCATTCAAATATAAATTACTTCCTGGTACCATCAATTTCCCACCTTGAAACGCAGAGTCCCTAGCTTGGCGTCCGTCCTATCCATTCCCTTCCCAACCGGCAACCAACAACCAACAACGACACAATGGCAGGCCAAGGCCCCATCACCACTCCCCTTACGACCCTCCTAGGGATCCAACACCCGATTCTCCTCGCGGGAATGGCACGCACCAGTGGCGGCCCCCTCGCAGCTGCAGTATCAAACGCTGGAGGCCTGGGCTGTATCGGTGGCCTGGGCTACACGCCTTCCCAACTACGAGAGATAATCCACTCCCTAAAAGCCTCCCTATCCTCTCCCAATCTCCCGTTTGGTGTTGATCTCGCGCTCCCAAAGGTCGGCGAGGGCGCGCGGAAGACGAACCACGATTACACGCACGGCCACTTGGACGAGCTTATCACGGTCACCATCGAGGAGGGCGCAAAGCTATTCATTAGCGCTGTGGGTATCCCGCCTAAACATGTTATTGAGAGATTGCATGATGCGGGAATTCTGATTATGAATATGGTGGGACATCCCAAACATGCGAAGAAGGCGCTAGATGCGGGCGTCGATATTGTGTGTGCCCAAGGAGGAGAGGGAGGTGGCCACACAGGGGATATCCCGAACTCGATATTGATTCCTTCCGTGGTTGATGTCGCCAGGGGTTACCGGCCAAAGATGTTGGGTGGACAGACGGCGATGGTTGTTGCTGCTGGGGGAATATATAATGGGAGGAGTTTGGCGAGCAGTTTGATGCAGGGAGCAGCTGGTGTGTGGGTTGGGACGAGGTTCGTGGCTTGTACCGAGGCCGGGTGCAGTCAACAACATAAAGAAAGTGTGGTCAGTGCTACATTTGAGGATACCACGAGGACCTTGGTGCTCAGTGGCCGGCCACTAAGGTGCAGGAGAAATGAATGGGTTGATAAATGGGAAGCACAGCCTGAGAAAATCAAGGAGTTGACAGAGAAGGGGGTGGTGCCAATTAATTACGACCTGGAGAACGGAGAGGATGTTGATATTCCCCATTTGATGGGTGTTGTGGCGGGTGTTGTTCAAGACATCAAGCCGGCCAGGGAGATTGTCGATGAGATGGTAGGAGAAGCTGTGGATATGTTGAAGCAGGCTCAAACTTTCTTGGGAGGGGAAAAGAGTAGACTATGAGGAGCTATATGAGTAGGCAAGGTAGCTATGTCCATAAGCCAGTTATATCCTATTAGACAAAATACAAATAATCTATCTTAACCAATTTCCCAAGCACTTATTATTGTTTAGAAAGGGATGATTCCGGTAACATAGTTTCGGTTTGGTACTCTATATTTCATCTAAAGTATTTCCCACGCCTAACCCTCAAACAACCAGCAGCGAGCACTTCGCATGCTTATATAACGCCGATTATCTCCCCTGCATCAATACAGTAGCTATTCGCCTTATACATATAACCCAAATATATAATGTTCAGCCAAAGTTTGGTAGCCTTGCTGGAACGAACCCATAGTTCACGTTCTCCTTAGATGGATCCTCAATACTAGCATATTGTGTTTTGGACGTAGTTGGATCACCATTGCCACATGGGGCATGTTTCAGTGTAATATCCGTCGCTGGTGGGGGGGTTTCAATCACATCAGCTGCATCTTTATCCTCTGAAAAGTTTTCGGTGGTTTCCTTAGCATGAAGTCCACGCTTGAAGGCTAATTTCGCGGCAGCTTGTCGTTTCCTCTCCACCTCCCCATCCTCCTCCAACCGAATTCTGTCTTCCTCTTGCTGCAGGTCCGTCAACGATGGCGTTTCAACTGCATCTGGAGATAAGGCACCAACAACTTCTAGTAGAGATGCTTCCGAGTTCGTACGATACCCCGCTAATCCTGGTAGTGACTGGGATGATGCTGCCGTTCTCGATAGATTTCGGGAAATATTCCTGGAGCCGGCCGGCCTCTTTCCTTTGCTACTGCGCGTCTTCCCACTGCTCCTGTCATCTGTGGTCGGATTTGTCGGATTTGTCGCCCTTCTTTCCAGCACCATGGCAAATTCGTCCGGCAACGGCACCGCATCATCCTCTCCATCGCTTGGAAAAATATCTCCTCGGGAACGAAATGAATCCGACGTCTCACCAGAGCTTGTTGTTGAACTCCGTTGCCTTGCATGTCCCTTGACTACGTTCCGCTCATCATCGCTGAGATCATCCGGTATTAATGGCTCTCCCTCTTCTTCTATAAACTCGTCGCGAAGAGCGCCAGGGTGCTCCTGCAAATCCGCCGCGCTAGGTTTGTATCTCAATGTACCACCAATTTTGAATGGTAGCCGCCCTAGAAACCCCAGGGCACTTGTACTTGGAATGATGGTTGGATCAGGATCCAGACTTTTTCTCGTCGATTTTGATCCTCTGGTGCCATAACTCATTCCTCGTTTCCTCGGGGGAGGCTGAGCGGTACCATCGCCAGCGCCGCTATGGGATCCGCTGCCAGCTAGTAACCTATCCAGCTCGTCATTTCCCCAGCCTCCCAGTAATCCTCCCCCGCCAACACCTTCGTCTTCATTCCAATCGTCATAGAAATCAAAGTTCAACTCTGCCCTTCCTCTCGTGCGACCTCTGTCTCTTAACCTGCGCGCGCGCTCATCGCGATCGGAAAAGCAAGATGTAGTGCATTGCCCGAGGGCTGAGAGTGTGGATGAGAGGCAAGGATAGATGTAATTGTGATGGACGGTCCAGATCCCGGCTGCCGCGTTCTCTGTCGCAGATTCGGCATTTTGCGATATTTGATTCCAAGTCTGCCGGATTCGGGGATCTTCTAGGAGAGCAGCCATTCTGAATTATGGAGATGCCTGGGACGAGCGCGGTCTTGCGTCATGGAACGAAAGGGCTTACAGGTACATCGGGGCGAAATGCTAGGTTTGATTTTGAGGAGAGTATGCGCATGCGATTGAGTGTCTCGAGAGGTTGGTCAATATATTCTGCGCAACAGCCGACATGACGTTTTGGATGGAGGGGACGTCGAGGTTGAGGTTGTTCCAGCTTCACTGATCAAGGGCGGCATTGGGCGTCTGGGGTTGGTTCCAACGCTAAACCGGGAACAGAGGCCACGAATCCATAAGCCGAAAATAAGCCGAACAAGGCTGCGGAGAAGGCTGAAGACCTCGGACGACTACTTGCATGGATGGTCGAGGTGGTATCTCATGCGTTTAAGCTGTGTTATTCGATGCGGAATTTCAAAAAGAGTTGGATCAATCATGCGTGCGCTGTGCTCGAGTTTATATGTCAGAGCACATGTAGGTGTAAATGATGGATCTACGTTAGCAGAGTGAGCAGTGTAGTTATGCACTAAACTTGTTCTTTTAGCGCTGGGGATTATCTTGATCGTTTATTGCATGACATTGTTTGCGCCTGCTATTGGCATATATAGGTACAATTAATGCTTAGTGCCATTGGCGGCCAAGACGCCATTCTCGGCGGCAACATGAGTAGGGGGAGGAGCTGGGCCAAAAGGCTTCGGTCCTTGAACATGCAACTCCTCCTCGGTGTCCTCGTCATATTCTCCCTCCTCACTTCCCTCTTCATCACCATCCTCGGCCTCCTCGTCCTCATATTCGTACTCGCTTTCCGTTCCCTCCATATCGCCTTCAACATATTCTCCCTCCACACTCCCTTCTGCCATTCCGATCATACCACCGGGCACACCCCTTCCTTGCTTCTGCATCTGGTTTATGATGCTTCTCAGCTTATCATTCTTCTTCCGGAAGGCTTGGAGTTCTTCGTTGCATTTGGTGCGCTCTTGAGCCATCTTCAAGATGTTCTGATTGGTCAGGTCATGTTTCCGGGTAAGGTTCACGTTCTCCTTCTCTAGTCTCTTTGTCTTTTTGGACATATCTTCCATTTCCTTACGGAAAGTTAGAAAGAGATCATTGCTATTGTTGAGTGTGTCTTCCACCTACGAGGTTTATTAGAATTAATATTAATTGGTACAAAAGGTAATGGATATGCCATATTCATTTGGAGAACTCTATGCTTACCTGCTTGAACTTCTCGACGTATATGTTAAGCTGATTTCTGAGCTCGTTTTCGGTTTTCGAGAACGTCAGAACCTGTGTATTAAGTGTTTTGGATCGTGTAACTTCCGCCTCTGCAGCCTTTCTCTCGCGGTCGTATCTTGCCATGTTATATTGAACCTCTAGCTCCTTTGCTCGCATGAGAGAATGGAAATGCAGCTCTCGTAACTCGTACTGTTCGATTAAGGACTTGAAGCGTTGTTTGAACCTAATTTCGTAAGCATTAAGCTCTGCATGAAGGGAAGGGACGACGAACAGCTCTTCCACCTCGATATTAACAACTTGGGCCTGAGGATGATCCTTCGCCTCTTGATAGTCTTGAAGCTGCCAAAGTACCTGCCTGAACTTCTCATCCCAAGATTCATGGTTGCTTTTCTCGGCATCCACCATCACCTTGTAGTCGGCCTAAATCAAGCTATCAGCAATCGGGAGCCTCGTGAACACAGCGCCGGGCTACAGTGGCGCACCTTGAGCTTATTATTATCCTTCTGAAGCTCTCTGCAAAGCGTCTCGAGTTTCTGCTTCATGCTAGTTTGCTTGCTCAGTTCGTTGGTCCTTTGGTCCTTTTCCTTCTGTAGCTCGTCCGCACGCTTCTGGTTCTTTCGGCTTTTACGCTCCCATCGTTTCACATCAGTAAGATGTTCGGTGACTCGTTTTTGCAGAAAATCGATCTTCTGCAGGTCGTCCATCTTCGAAGTGAGGTTGTTCAGCTCGCGGTTCGCTCTCTTGACCTCCCGTTCTGACCAGAAGTTAGCAAGATATCTCCGGATAAAGCATCTTCAAACATCCTAGAGGGTTCTGAGGTGCGGGCTTTAGGATATAGCTTCCATATCTAGAGACACAGGGTCGTTGCCTCTGATTATAGCCATAAGACAAGACCATAATTTCCGAAGACGCCACCACTCATTCTACTCGGAAACTTTCCCGCAGCAGCCCGTGGGATTAAAGCAACGGCGAGCACACAACGCCCGCCGAAGGAGACACGCGTTTGCCACCCCCCTCTAGAAAATTCACAGTCATCGGATATCAAAATGGGCAAAACCAACCAATTTCAGCCTCCTGTTCTTTGTCTTCGGCGGCTCCCAGTTCCAACTGCGAGATCTTGGCTGCGATCAACTTCGAGGCTTCATTCGGGTCCGTCGCTTTCTTCTGCTTGCCCTTCTTCGCCGCATTTGCCGTTCCGGACTGCTGATGGGCACCGACATCGTGGTGATGGTGGAGGTGGCCATTCGTGTAGGGTGACTCTGGATGCGCATGGCTCGTAGGATTCGCCGAGATTCTCGAGGTCGCAGGTACAGAGGTAGGAGTGGGATTGACGGCGGTCGACATCGTGCATTGAGGGTGGTTCTGTTGCCGGGTATTGACGCTAGCTGGGCGTGCATGCACAGCTGCTGGATAGGGTGTCTTTGCTACAGTCGCAGTTGAGACCGAGTGGAGCTGGTCCTGTACTGTATACTGTACCCCAAGTCGCGACAATTACACTTGTGTTCCTCGTGCGGTCCTAAGCAAGGCCTAAGTTGTGTCGAGAGGAAGTTGTTGCAAATGAACTTAATTCCTGATCGAGACTAGGGCGGTTCCAGTTCAAAATGAGAACGAGGAGCGGCTGCAGATGACTTCTCGTTCGCAATGACGCAGTGCGGTACGGTTCTCGGTGAATACCTACCTAGAATCCATTTACAGTTACAAATCCGTAGATTGTAGCAGTTAGCAGTATCTATTTGTTTAAGCTCATCATCGCCCATTCCATATGCACCACCTACGTACCTAAGTACCTTAGTATACTGTGGACTTGTCCATTTCGTGCTTTAGGCGAGGCTCAGAATGCCGACGCCGACTCTGCCTCGCCTCCAAACTTGCCTTGAGCCGACATAGGTAGATTTATTATTTCTTGCCCTCGTCCTCACTTCCGACGGGGCTTATTTCTTTGATGCTCCTGGGTCTTCCTAAGGGTAAGAACTCAGCACAGCATGTTGCGCAACGCGTCCAAAGGAGCTCTCCGGAAGGGGGTTACGGAACTGTCAAAATACCCCAAGCCAGGAGACAAAATTCATGGCTTTACTCTCCTCCGCTCCAAGCATGTGCCCGAGTTAGAGTTGACGGCCCTGCATCTACAACACGACAAGACCGGCGCAGACTACCTACATGTAGCCCGAGAAGACAAGAACAATGTGTTTTCCATCGGATTCAAGACGAACCCGCCAGATGACACAGGCGTGCCCCATATCCTCGAGCATACAACGTTATGTGGAAGCGAAAAGTAATTAAAAGTCCTATTTTAGAACGAGCTGTGCTAAGTGACTATAGGTATCCTATACGGGACCCATTCTTCAAGATGTTGCCACGAACGCTCTCGAATTTCATGAATGCCTTCACTGCGTCTGACCACACCTTCTACCCATTTGCCACTACAAACGAGCAGGATTTCAAGAACTTGATGTCCGTTTATCTCGATGCGACATTACACCCGCTACTCAAGCAAAGCGATTTTACGCAAGAAGGATGGAGGATTGGACCTGAAAATCCCACGGTTGCTGCGGCTGGTGATTCTGCTAAGGCAGTTGATTCGAAGCTTGTATTCAAAGGCGTGGTGTATAATGAGATGAAGGGACAGATGTCAGACGCTGGGTACCTATATTATATAAAGTTCCAGGACCACATCTTCCCGGCGATCAACAATTCTGGAGGGGATCCCCAGAAGATCACAGATTTGACATATGAGCAACTGAAGAAATTCCACGCTGAGCACTACCACCCCAGCAATGCCAAGGTCTTCACTTATGGCGATATGCCTCTTGAGGATCATCTAAAGGATGTTAATACTCAACTGAGTGCTTTCACTCGGATCCAAGGGGATCTGGACATTCGGCGGCCTATTGATCTTAGTGGTGGGCCCCAGTATGTGAAGGTGCCTGGACCAATCGATCCGCTGATGGATAAGGAAATGCAATATAAAACTTCAACTTCATGGTTGATGGGGGATACAACCAATATTCTCGAGACATTTTCGCTTGGCCTGTTGTCGGCGTTGCTCATGGACGGATATGGTTCCCCATTATATCGAAATTTGATTGAGGCCGGCCTAGGGACTGAGTGGAGTCCAAACAGCGGTTTCGACAATTCTGGGCGAATCGGGATGTTCTCTATTGGGCTTACTGGCGTCAAAGAAGCCGATGTGCCAAAAGTTAAGGCGGCCATTCACAAAACCTTCCAAGTCGCTCATAGCAATGGATTTGACCGGTCCAAAATCGATGGCTACCTTCATCAGCTGGAGCTTAGCCTGAAGCATAAGACTGCTAATTTTGGCATGACTCTAATGCACAGGGTCAAGCCTCATTGGTTTGAGGGGGTTGACCCGTTTGAGTCTCTGGCTTGGAATGACACTGTCGCGGCATTCGAGGCAGAGCTAGCGAAAGGAGGATACTTGGAGGGATTGTTGGAGAAATATCTCTTAAACGACAATACCCTTACGTTTACAATGACCCCGTCAGCGACCTATGCGGATGAGCTTGTTCAGGAAGAGGCTAGTCGACTTGCCACCAAGATTGCAAAGGTTACGAAAGAGGCGGGAGGCGAAGCTGAAGCTCGTGCGCAGTTGGAGAAGCAGGAGCTCGAGCTTCTAGTAGAGCAGGGAAAATCCAACACCCAAGATCTTTCTTGCTTGCCAACAGTCTATGTGAAGGATATTCCTCGGCAAAAGGAGGTCGTTGAAGTACGGGATTCGAAAATCGATAACGTTAATGTTCAGTGGCGGGAAGCGCCGACCAATGGCCTAACTTATTTTCGGGCTGTCAATACCTTCGAGAATCTGCCAGAGGAGCTTAGAAGCCTTATCCCACTATTTACGGACTGCATAATGCGTTTGGGCACGAAAGACATGGCTATGGAGCAGCTAGAGGATCTCATCAAACTAAAGACTGGCGGTGTTGGTGCGGGATATTATATTTCTCCGTCTCCTTTCGATTTCAAGTCATCATCAGAGGGTATGAGCTTCTCGGGAACAGCACTCGATCGCAACGTCCCCGATATGTTTCAGTTATTGCGGAAACTGGTTCTCGAGACAGATTTTGATAGTGCCGAGGCTCAACTTCGAATCAGGCAGCTCCTACAAGGCTCAGCTGATGGTGCGGTCAACAATATTGCATCATCTGGTCACGTCTATGCCAGGGCCGCCGCCGAGTCAGGGCTATCAGATTGTGGTCGATTAAAAGAGCAGGTCAGCGGACTTTCACAAGTCAAACTCGTCACATCTTTAGCATCCAGGCCCGAAGCGGAAGGTTTATCGGATGTCGTTGAAAAGCTCAAAGCTATTCAGAACCTTGCCTTTTCTGGAACTAACACCTTCCGAGCCGCTTTCACTTGCGGGACTGAAAGCGTTGGGCAGAATGAAGTATTACTTCAAAAATTCCTATCATCTCTGCCTGGTGGCCAATCCTCTCCTCCGATGGTCCCAACACTGGACCTCTCGCGGAATGCTAAGACTTTCTTCCCGTTACCGTACCAAGTGTACTATGGCGCCTTGGCTCTACCTACGGTCTCCTATACATCTCCAGCCGGTGCTCCCCTTCAAATACTGGCACAACTTCTAACTCACAAACACTTGCACCATGAGATCCGCGAAAAAGGGGGTGCATACGGCGGTGGCGCGTATTCCAAAGGAATCAATGGTGTGTTCGGCTTCTATTCGTACCGCGATCCTAACCCGCAGAATACCATGTCCATTATGCGCAATGCTGGTCAATGGGCGGTTGAAAAACAATGGACGGGACAAGACCTTGAGGAGGCCAAATTATCTGTTTTCCAAAGCGTTGATGCGCCTCAGTCTGTGAGCGATGAAGGCATGACACGCTTCTTATCTGGTGTCTCCGATGAGATGATGCAGACGCGTCGGGAGCAGTTGCTAGATGTGACCAAAGACCAGGTCCGAGAAGCTGCTCAAAAATATATTGTTGATGCGCTAGCCAAGAAAGAAGGAAACATGGTTTTCCTAGGCGAGAAAAAGACCTGGGTAGATGGTGAGTGGGATATTAGGGAACTAGGCATGGCGTCCTTGCCCGAGCCGGAGACCCTAGGTGAGGAGGATATTAAACAAACAATGTCGGGGTCGTGACGGAGTGCTCAAGGTCGATATGTACTTTTGTGGGTTACTGTATTCCACTCCATTTCATTTTCCGGCGTTGGATTATGTACTATAGATATACTGTACATTACATAGAACGTTATACCAACACATTCCTGCTAGGTAGTATTTAAATTATTGAAAAGAATATATGTGCCTCCTTATAAGAGAATCCACATTATATTAATGAGAGCCGTTGCTACCCTTTTAGTTCGATGACGCCACAGACCAGTTCTGTCTGAGGTGTCATATTCCTGGAACCGTGGGAATAAATACAGTTTTTCCTTTCCCCCGCGAAATACAATAAAAACTCATTTTAAAATGGCGATTGTTTGGAGTTGTTTTTGAGAGATGTATTATATACCCATCGTCAGTTCCTCCCATGTTGCTCTTTTGGTGTGTTTTTGGATACCGTCTCTAAATAAATGCCACTTTATCTCCTGATGTGAGGTAGCTAACCTAAGTTAGCAGTTTATACGCCTATGCCAGCTATAATTACCTTCGGCATAGCATATATGTGCTTTTGAAGTCGACTATTGACCGGCCCGATACTCCGCAGTATTCACCTGCCCGATTTTGTCCCTAGTTGAACGTATATAGGGACATTAATAATCCTATCAAGCACGATGACAAATAGTTCTAAACCTAATTATGGAGTAGACATACCGCCTCAATGTCCTTCGTATGATCGTCTTCGTAAACCCGTACTATATCATTTTAAAATCCACATACCTTCACGATGGCAGTTCAAAAGGCTATTATTATTCAAGAGCCTGGGAAGGCAATCGTTGTAACTGATGCACCAGTGCCTGTTCTACGCGACGATTATGTTCTCATCAAGAACATAGCTGGTGATATTCAACCCTAAAAGAGTCTTATTTCTTTGGCTAACATAACCGCAGTGGCAATTAATCCTACTGATTGGGGGCATGTGGAACATCTGGCTGATCCTGGTTCGCTCGTCGGCTGCGACTACGCTGGTATTGTGGAGGAAGTTGGCAAAGCAGTCACAAGACCATTTAAGAAAGGAGATCGCATTGCTGGATTTGCTCACGGTGCCAACACTGTGCAGCACCAGGATGGTTCTTTTGCGGAGTATATCGTGGCCAAAGGTGACGTTCAGATGGCTATACCTGAGAACGTGAGTCTTGAAGAAGCCGCTACTTTCGGTGTTGGCATCTGCACCGTCGGTCAAGGTCTATATCAGTCACTCCAACTCGCAATGCCTCATACGCCTCTGTCAGAGCCTGTTCCAATTTTAATTTACGGTGGGTCGACCGCCACAGGAACGCTGGCTATACAATTTGCCAAGTTGTCCGGTTACACTGTTATTACGACCTGCTCGCCGCGGAATTTCGACCTCGTCAAGGCGCGTGGTGCTGACACTGTGTTTAACTACGCCGAGCCTGGTGCGGCATTAAAGATCCGTGAATTAACTCACGATAAGCTTACACTAGTCTTCGATACTATTTCCACTAATTCAAGTGCGGAATTCTGCGGTGAAGCACTTTCCAGTGCCGGAGGAAGATATGCAGCTCTTTCGCCGGTCCAGTGCCCTCGTTCAGACGTGCAGTCTACAGTGACCATGGCGTATACAATCATCGGCGAAGACTTCAACTTTGGTCCCAATCCTATACCAGCGAGCGCTGAAAATCTGGAGTTTGGGAAAATATGGTTGCCATTGGTGGAAAAGTTGATTGCAGAAGGGAAAGTCAAGGCCCACCCGCTCAAAGTCGGAAAAGATGGGTTGGAAGGAGTCTTGGAGGGTATGCAATTCATGAAAGAGGGCAAAGTTAGCGGCGAAAAGCTGGTCTATTGGGTTGGAGAAACTCCGTGACTGGCCCGGGCATACATGGCAATGCCCCCGATATCTTCAGTTGTCGAGGAACGGCTTCCTCTGAGCGACAGCGTGTCTTCACGGTCAAACAAACACTCCAGAAGATGGCTTGTTTCATTTCCCTGCAAGATGGACTGTCTCCTTCGTTCGTAGCAGACAAGGCATATTTTAACGACCTTTCCTGTCAATTTACCGGGTAAAATAATAATAAAATATTGAAACGCTACCAGATCGCTCATCATTAGAAGACCGAAATTGACAATTGGGACTCTCAACATTCCTAAGCAATCCCACTCTTCGGTTCAATCCGAAGTCAACTGACGTATCAGCAACTCTTTCCCATTAAGGGCTTAGACTAACCTTCTCTTCGTGACCCACCTCCATTGCAGAACCCATAAACTTCGGCTCATCTCGATCACTTTTAGTCCAAATACTATCCTCAAATTGGTAGAGATCAGGCGAAAAAGCTTTGGAAAATTCTTGAATAGCCATGGAAGGGCGGCCATATCTGGTGCATCGTTCGGACAAAGGATAGGGCAATTCGGAATGCGTAGACAGCGTGTACAAATCAGTGTTTGGGTTTGTAGCTGTAAGTTTTTGCATGTCGCGCTCGTTAATTATTTTGCTAGACACGACCAAGGCTAGTATCACGTGATGTATTTATTTCGGTTTCCTCCAAATTTCCTACAAAAGACGACCAGTTTCGAAACCAAAACCACATCGCGCGACGATGATATGCGCTTGGGATATGAGCACGATATTGCGCATGTCAGCCTTATAGGTAATGTACAACCAACTAGACTTGCGAGGAAACCCGCAATCCTAATCATTTTTTAACCTGTCGAGGTGTCGTCCACCAAATAGCGCTACGAACAGATTCCAACGTCTCCAGTGCTTTCCATCGCTGGTAGATCACAAGTCATGCCTACGGGCTAGCGCGAGATCAAACCTGGGCTCCTGAGAAACCTGGCTTCGGCCGTGTGTTTTGAGGAGAGCTATCTCCGTCTTATTTCAGACCTGTCTTTCTCTGAGTTATGGGATGGCGGACTAAAGATGAGAGAACATGCAAATGGGGCATCCCTAAGTTAGTGCGGAAGTAGAGGGGGAGTGCTTGGAACACAATGGATGAGGTTGTGGGTATTCAGGAACAGGCAACAAGACGGAAGCTTCTGGATAGAAGGCTGTCCTGTTGGAGACTACTGTACCAAGTATCTGTCAGGACTCTACTTGTATGACGTGTGTTGTTGAGTCTCGAGGAGATTGAGATTGGATTCTTGTCCTGTATTGGTCGCCTCACAAGTGATCTGCGTCGGAATTCAACAACTGGGTTAATACTGTAGCTAATGGTGTTTCGTAATGCCTATTGCATAGGCTCTGGTGGCTTGCGACAGCGTATAACGCAAGCATTTAAGACATTTAGGCATGCTGTGCTACTTGAAACCCTAAAACTGGGACTATTACGCTATTCTTGTCCTATTGCCCTCAGGGCTCGCTCGCTATGTCATTGCCGTCGAAATGCAGGTACAAGGACGGGAGGCCACGGTGACTCGCCTCCATAGTATTTCGTAGACTCAACAACGCGTGAAGGTGGGATATAGAGCGGTTTTGTTATTGTTATTCTAGAGTTAATATAATATCAACCGCACATGTAAAATGCGCTCTTGTCAAAATGCGCTCTAAAAAATAAATGAAAATGGCGCAGCTCATCCAGCTCACCAATTACTTCGTCTTGATCACGCATGACGAGTTGCGCGGTTTTCGAGCTGCCAGGGTGCTCCGCGGCTAAAGAGTACTAGCGCCGTCTGCCCTCCACCACATCAATTTTTCATATTCTCCCCCGCCAACTTCACAACATCGCCCCCTTCTAGAGCTTCAACTTCAGCTTCAGCTTTCCGGAGTAGCTCTTTGCCATATCGACACTGCATAGCGCTACTTGCCGCCAACGATACATCCTCTCGTGGCCCAAGCCCTACCCACCAACTCAATCCTGCGATACCGGTAAGTTTCGCCTCTGCTTTGCGAAGTATACCGCCTCGTCGCTCAATGCCCCGCCACCAGTGCATCGCGGTGAGGCAATTTTCACATCTGTATCTGACAGCCACGTCATCTAGACAATCCAGGATTCTCGGAATCGATTTTGACTGCCTTTGGTCACCTCAAAGGCAACCCCCCCAACACGGCTCCAGCAGCCGCAAGTCTAGTATCTGATCAAGATTACTCCCTACGACCCAACCGGGACATCCTCAACACCCGCCCACCTCCTTTTGCTGCAATCCGTACGGAATCTTGAGCGCGCTCTGTTCGATTCCCCCTACTACAGCCCCATCCCGACCCCAACCTCTCAGCTGCCGCATAGGACGGGTTTAGAGGTTCTTCCTCTCGCCGAGGGAGAGTCGAGCCGACCTCGTCAGATCAGTACAGGATCTGATCGATATAGACCCCCTTAATACAAGCATCTAGAATATACGTAAGTCCTCCATGCTGTTTATCCGTGTCTTTTCAGAGCGCTAACGACCCCCAAGCGAAACAATCCAAACAATCCACTATCCTCGACCGTTCTCGAGGATATGTCACCTTCCGCCACTGAAACCATTACAACCACCCCAACACATCTCGATTCATACTTCGAAAATTCGAAGTGTGCGTATATCGAGCTCAATGGCGCGAATATTCCCAAACAATTGATTGAAGATGCTCTGAAGACGAGAGTCGAAGACATTGACCATGACTCCTGCGAGGCCGGCGATGAAGACGCGTTCTTCGTAGCGGATCTTGGCGAGGTGTATCGGCAACACATGAGATGGAAGTTGAACCTACCAAGAGTCCGACCATTCTATGGTGAGATCATCGTCCCAGTGGCCGTATGAATGCTGCTAATGCTGACATAGCCGTCAAATGTAACCCTGACCCCCAAGTGATTCGCCTCCTGGGGGAGCTTGGAACTGGCTTTGACTGTGCTTCCAAGGCAGAGATTGAACAAGTCCTGAAGATGGACATTGAGCCTGAGCGAATTATCTATGCTCAGCCCTGCAAGACAAACTCTTATGTCCGCTACGCTGCCAGCCAAGGAGTCAAGCAGATGACATTTGATAATGCGGACGAGCTCTATAAGATGAAGAAGCTCTATCCCGATGCAGAGCTCTTCCTCCGCATTTCGACTGATGACTCGTCGAGCCTGTGCCGCTTGAGTTTGAAGTTTGGAGCTACTTTGGACACAACTGACGAACTTCTTGCTCTTGCTAAGGAGCTGCAGCTCAATGTCGTAGGCGTCAGCTTCCACGTTGGCTCCGGCGCTTCTGACCCGCTCGCGTTCCTGAAGGCGGTCCAAGATGCTCGGATGGTCTTTGACCAAGCCGCTGCACATGGTTTCTCGTTGCACACTCTCGATGTCGGCGGGGGATTCTGTAGCGAGACTTTTGAGGAGATGGCTGCCGCTCTGAGCGCAGCATTGGATGAATATATCCCGGGCCACATCCGGATCATCGGTGAACCAGGGCGGTACTACGTTGCCTCGGCCTTCACTCTGGCATGCCATGTCATTGCTCGGCGCACGATCAGCGACCCTCCATCCACCGAACAGAGCCATATGCTCTACTTGAACGACGGCCTCTACGGCAACTTCTCTAGCATCATGTTCGATCATCAGAATCCTATCGCCCAGGTTCTCCGATCAGGCCGCCAATTCTGTTTCGACACGATTGCTTCGCGGGAATCAAGGGGTGGAACCGAATATTCCATCTGGGGCCCGACATGCGATGGCATTGATCGTATCACCGAGAGCATCCGCTTCGATCACACTCTTGACATAGGCGATTGGCTTTACTTTGAGAACATGGGCGCCTATACGAAGTGCTCCGCCACTCGGTTCAATGGCTTCTCGGACGCACACGATGTCATTTACGTTGCGAGTGAGCCGGGCGCCAAGGCTTTGCTAGGGATGAAGTAGGGTTTTGGCCTACGGTTCCCAATCCACCGCATTTTTGGTGCACTTTCATTTTGTTTTGGTATTTCAAAAATACGAGGGGATGTCTGATGATAGAAGTTTTACTTTTCAGCTGTTCAGCTTGCACGTACATAGATACACACGTTCCTTGATTCGGATAAAGTACATAGATTAGTGGATATAATTTTTATAAGACACTGCATTCTATTCTTGTTTCTCACTTGTCTTAAGAGTGGCGATGATGCATCTAACATTATGCACATGCTACTCGTTTGACCAATCAATACATCATGGCCAAACATTGACTCCTTTCTTCCCATATGTCCGACATGTCCACTTGTAGTCGTTGGCTCGAGGTTACCATTGCATATTCTATGTGCGTGTCTGCCTTCCCATGTACGATGTACGTATCTACCAAGCACCTAGGTATGAATGTGTGTATGTCACATCAACGCCGTCTAAATTACCGCACCATCTAAATGCCCAATAATCCGTTGACTACAAAATAGTGTAGTATGTCGTCGCCTCACAATTTGAGCCAGTAAGAATTTCTTCTATCCTGTCGTCTCGTCTCCCATTCCCTAACGTTTTCCTCGCCCTGCCACCTATTAACCCCTAGCCCTTCATCAGGCCTTAGGAGCACTGTCTAGCGGAAGGCTTTGGTTTTCCACAAGGCGCTAGCGGGGTTAGACAGCGTAAAGTTGATCGCATGGTATATCTACTGGTTTTCCTGGCATCGGATGCAACGTAGTCAGATAGAAGGATATCGATGCCGCGGTCAAGTTTTCATCTATCTAAACGCTGGTTTGCGACTTTAGGGGATGATATCATGGACGAGGTAGGATTCCAAGGGTTGGCAATGGACTTTGAAGAGTCACTTCCGATCTGGCCTTCGGCACGCGTTGACTCGGATTTGATGACAGTCATAAAATCGCTGTTGGCATTAGACTCTCGGGACCAAGTTGTGGGATGGATGTAAGGATGGTTTGATATTGACGACGATGGAAGCTTAGGATCTTCGAAGTTCGTATCTTCAAGATCCGAATCCTTGGGAGGCACATATGGAGTTTGCTTGCTAGTTTTCCGATTAGCTGGTGCAGGCATCTCGAGCTCTCCGGCTTCCACTTCTTCAGTTGCTTCATCTGTTGGTATCTCAATTCCTTCGGCAGTGCGGATAGGTATGTTTAGTTCGGCATGATACGGACAAGGCGGAGTTGGATCCAGAGCTTTACGCTTCATTTCCATGGTTTGGTAGAGATGGATTCCAGCGTACGAGTCGGACGCAGCGTAGCGGATTTGGGCAAGATTGAGAGCCTTACTCCAATCACTGGACCTGACATCGCCGCCTTTGAATATCGGGAGGTGGAGATGCTCTTGCACCTGGATAGCGAGCGAGATGAGCTTCTTGTTAATTTGTTTGAACTCTTTCGACTCGGAAAACTTCACAAGCTTGTAGAGATGGCTGAGCTCGAATAATCCTTTCGATTCTATGTCGAGATTGTTCTTTATCCGTGTGCAGTCCCCTTTGATGGCTACGCCAACTTTAGTCACCCCTGGATCCTCCAAGATCCTCTTCAGAGACGGGGCAACGAGGTCCTTTTTATCAGTTCCGGTGAAGAGGGCAATATGAAAGAGTGCAATCCGGTCTTCGCTCGCGATCTGTATCAAGGATACATGCTTCTTCGGTCCTAAACTCTTATGGGCATTGTGGAGCCATTCGATATCGAACCCGATAACCTTCACATCCTCGAAATAGTTCTTCAGCACGCGTTCGGTTGTATTCTTACTCGTGCAGTAATGGACTGTTACTTTCGTTGGGTTCCCATTTTTATCCAGCGTCGGCCCACGATATAGAGTATGAGACCAGTACGAACTTGGGGATTCGGCAGGGGCATTTTTGGCAGCTCGAAAGAGTTCTTCTGTCATTTTCCAAGGAGAGACTTGTTCGGGAAGTACAGCGTATTTTTGATCTTGAAATGCATCGTCTTGGATGTTCGGAATCACCGGGGGAGTATCTGCTGAATTGTCGACACCAGGCCGAGTCTGTTCCAGCTTTTGGGCCTCCGCCAGTGTAGAAACCGTTGCGGGTTCCGGAACATAATAGTATTCTGTATCCGACCGTGACAGCAATTCCTGTTCTACTCCCGCAAGAGAACTTGTATTCCGTCGAGGTGAGCCAGCTCCCGGGCTGGGCTTGAATACGATTCCGCGACTTGGATGCCATGCTTTATGCTGGGTAGGCAACATCCTAGGTCGAGCAGCATTGGAGCTATTCGAAAAGGAATATTAGTACTGGTATGATAGGCAGTGCTAATAGCAAAGAAAAACCTACATAGCCCGTCTGCCTTTCATCATTGCACGCGTCGTGGTTAAAGTGGCGGATACAAAAGAAAGGAAGTATGAATTCAAATGGTTCTCGAAGGTTATTGCGTTGCAAACAGGTCGTCGAAGCGTCTTGCCCAGCGTTGATGCTCCATGGTGACTTGGGAGCATGACGGTATCCTTGGTGGTGACGGCGAAAGCAAAGCAGACGCGACGTGAGTTTGGCTGTGCTGCTGTTGTCGGTCTGTCTCGGTCGGGTTCGAGGCCGGTGCAAACCGAGCAAACTCGGGAACCTGAACTTCGACAACGACAAGAAGGCAACAAATATCGAAGAAGTGCGTCCAACAACTCAACGTCCCAAAGTATCATACCACATCTCCGAATGTTGGTTGCCCTTCTGAATACTATTCACTCTGAAACTCAACCTCTTCTTTGTGAGTGTTCTCTCTTTGTACATGGCATTATATTCGTGCTATTCGGTCTCACGTGTTTGCACTGATCTATCTGTTCGTGGAACGGGCTCCCCAGTCAGATATGATATGATTAGCACACATAGAGGCCTTGGGGTCTCGATACTATTAGATATATAACGTCGCCATTAAACCCTTTCAACTAACAGCTACTCCTAGGATCGACTCTGCACGGCTTATCATGGCATCTCAATTACTTCCCCTCGGTTTGTTCTGCCGTCTTGTATGACCGGATTCCTGCTAATACCCAAACTAGAATTGATCGATAAGTGCGTGGGATCAAAGATCTGGGTCGTTATGAAAGGCGAAAAGGGTATGTTGCCCTCACTTGGTCACTCCATAACGCATAACAGCAGCATTGTTAATCTGTTCTCTTGCAGAGTTTAGCGGCACCTTACTCGGGTTTGACGACTACGTCAGTAAGTGCATAGGAATTTCCACCATTGTTAATGTTATCTAATCAAACTATAGATATGGTGCTTGAAGACGTAACTGAGTTGTAAGACGCCTATGAAGACTTTGGGTGCTAATGGCGATGCTTACAACGTTTGCAGCGACTACTCTGGAAACCACACCAAACTCTCAAAGATACTCCTTAATGGGAACAACATCTGCATGGTAAGATGCATCATATATGATAATTGAGACTGTCTGACACTCTGACAGTTAATACCTGGTGGTGAAGGCCCAGTGGCAGCAAGTTCGTGATGAATGTGTTGAGGTTGCTCTTGCATGAAATGGCCGGAGGAGGCGTAGGGAGTGGTTGGTTGCTTTCAAGGAAAATTCAATAGCAAACTAAAATAACCAGTTTAGTCAAATTTGTAGTTTTCGTGCCTATCCAGCTATGAATTTCCGTACCGAAGTCTGTTCGATTATGGCAGGTGATCAGGCTACGGCTAGGTTCACCAGGGGTGTCCGAATTCGTAGCAACATCAAATAATAATTAGAAAGCAACAGGACGTTTATTTGTTATTGACTTTATCCTTCTATAAGCTTATTTTGTAACTGGATGTTGTAGTTAGCCAGAATTAAGGATATTGAAATTCGAATGTGTCTCGAATCCTGACACTTCTCCAAGGAGAATATGGGTTACTCATACAAGGTCCGGGCCCTGCGCGCGAACAGCTCCATCAACTGCAATAGCCGCGGCTTGCAAATTTTGGTTACTCTCATTCTCATTCAGAATCGCTTGTCGGGCTACGATATTGGCGGCTTCTATTACTACTTGAGCACGGTGGAACGTATAATTTTCAATGGTATACTGAGTAAGGCAGGCGAGAAAGCCCCTATGAATATAAGGTAGCTTTAAACGCAACAGGTCATTAGAAAGTAGATAGAAGGCATAAGAAAGTTAGAGAATGGTGTAGCAGTAAGATAGCAAGATCGTCAGCTCGAGAACGGTTAAGCGCCCCGAGTTGCTACTTTAAGGTAAGAAAAGGGGGGCAGGTTGCTCGTACTTGTAGCGAAGGTTAGTCTATACCTTACCTACTAGGTACCTAGGTAGGTAACTACATACGCCAAGCCGTATATAATGCACTAACACTTGGATATTGTTCCAAACTTTACTTCTAGAATGAATCTATCTAAGCTGATTATCACCCAATCCCCCACTATATGTGGGAGATTCTAAGTCTAACCACTTATTTAGAATTAACCACGGCTGGAGGCCGTTAAGGCTCCTAGGTGCTTGGCTGTATCTGTTCTAACTTCTAACTGGCTAACACTTCCACTCGTTGTTATCGAGAATATGTAGGCACATATACACTCTGGTCCAGGTCCAGTCTGTGATATGCTGCTAACACCGAGGCAAAGGAAATCGTAAACAGAAACGGAAGTACATTATCCGTTCTGATATCTCTAGAGGGTCAAGGGGAATTTATTCTACTACCCTTCCTCGTCTATCGATGATACTACTAAGAGGTACAGCTCATGTACGGCAGAGCCCTACAAGCCTGGGTGCAGACAGAGCCATCCACCTCCTGCATAAGACCAATTGCAGCTTGAAAGTTCCCCTATGAGTTCGCAATAAAAAAAGAAGACAAACAACGTTTCAGCTAACACCTACGCTCGCAAACCAATATGCTAGTGCCACTAGCTTGATGTCCCAAGTGCTGTCCTAATTCTGCCAACAGAATGATCGCAGAAAGAATCGACACGATTTCACATGTTACTTGGAACCTGTCGTTGAGGGTAGACAATGACAGCGTCCCGGAAGAAATGGCCATATTGGCCGAAGTTGTTCTCGGAGTCAGATTGTTGTCCTAAAACCTCGTCGATGCTAAAGGTAAAGGAGCCAAAGTCCGTGCAAGGCATTTCATTGGTTTCCTCCCCAACATCGCCACTATCAATCCTGCGTTAGCGATTTTCATCAAATAAAAGAACACGGCTTACATCGAACAATCCCCCCAGGTGTGATGGACACTCAAGGTGAAGTCACCATAGAGTTGGAACATGCTGAACCTAACGTTTGCATCTTCGCAAGGTTGGTCAATCGGGTTGCCATCGACGGCAAATTTCGTGACATCGGGGTTATAGTAATGACAGCTTGTGTTGAATCCTTGAGGGGCGGGTGTTGGGGTATCGGCGATTTCGAAGCTCCAGCTACCACGGCAATGTTAGTCCTCAGAGATAGAAAATATTAAATTGGTAGAAGAGAATGAGCAGACTTACATGCCGCCCACGCCATCGATAGTATTCTCGATGATGATGCTGGTAATCTTCCACGGGACAGCAACCTTGGTACCATTCGTTGGTAGGCAGGAGCCAAAGCTCGCTGCAATCGCCGAAAATGCGAGTACTTTTAAGAGCTGCATTATGAATCTTGAGCAATTGGGTGGTATGTGATATGAAGGTAGTCAACGATGCTTTGGAAGCAAATGAAGTCCAAGCGGTATACTAACAGAGTCCGATATTAAGGCTGATGTTTGATGAAGCAATGCTGAATGTTTGATGTTGAAGGAAGAAAGGAGAGTAATGGGGCGGAATTGTTTTTATGGATGGGTGTAGTCAGAACGCAGCTTCCTATTTATGTTCCTTCAAGTTTGAAATGGAAGGACAAGGCAGGAGGCAGGAGCGCTGCACAGCTAGTTCGCACTATAGATCTTCAGATGAAACCCCCGTGGTTATACTCCCTTAAATAGTCAATTATGGAAAGATTGGTAGGAACTAGAAGGAACTATAAAATCGAGAGATTAATGAGTAATGGCCATGCCCTATAGAGTCGATCAGACTTCCGTTTTCCACCGAGATTTATATAGATCATATCAAGCCCATAAATAGTCGGAATTATGGTGGGTCAATCCATTTGTATCGTTGCCTTTTCTCATCACATACAGACGTTGTTGAGATGTGAAATAGAAGATAAGGACCATGGCGAATAGGCCCACTTGGGCTTCCGAGGAAGGCTAAAGACATGTTTTATTCTTTCCATAGCAAACTGGTAGAGAATACCTACAAACCGGAAAGGAGTTTGTCCCTGAGGTTTGACTTAAACACAGAGATTCCGGTATATCGTTCATCCCGCTTCTTCTTGTAATCATACACAACCCCACATCCTCCCAACGCCCAATTTATACAATGTCTTCCCCGTATCTCCTCCCATCCAACACCATACACAGAACCTTCCCTTAGTGACTCAAAGTACTCCTCTTCTTCGCCCTTCTCCGCTTCAGTATCATACGGCCGGTCCTGCTCCTCTGTCTGTTAAGGAACCCATGCCGCCTCTTCCTCACAAAATGACTCGGACTAAATGTATTTCTCGGCGCACAACGAATCTGCATTGATTGCATGGCGGGATGTGCTGACATCTTGAAAGGTAAAATCGAGACATCTAAAGGCAATTCTGTGGCTGGGCATGTCGAGACCGGGATCGGATTTGTGAACGCGCGCGACGGGGACGACGAAGGGAAAATGCTCGGACGAATGGGTGTGAGAGATGTGAAGGTCCTGCGAGGAAGGGAGGAGGAGCGTTAGCTAGTTCTCTGAGGTTTGTGAGGTGCTGGTTAGGATTTACCTTGCGGACGACTGTTTAAGCGTCACATTTTGCGTTATTCTTGAGGCACTTGCGCGGTTGGACAGGGCATTAAGTCCTCGAGATAATCGAAGACAAAACATTTTGCTTGCTTGAAACCGGAATTGGGCTTGGTCGTCGTTGTCGTGTATACTCTGTAAAGCTTGCTGTTTGAATGAGACAACGCAAAATTGCGCTAGCGGTCAAAACCCGCTCCTCCCAAAAAATTCTGGAATTGATCCGAAGCTTCAACAATCGCAAAATCAGAAGCCCTGCCGAAAGCTCTCCTTCAGAACTCATACTGATACACATGCGCTCATGAACCCCAATTGAACATCCCGATCCATAATCTATTATCCAAAACCATGTCCGCCTTTCCACCCCACCGTTCCATCGCCTCAATACCCGTCTCTCCAGAAATTGCACTTAAATTCCTCTCGACCTACCTCGAGAAGACCAACACCTTGCCCTATCTTCTCCCAAACGCCAAACTTGAGCCCTCTGGACCCACCGCAGGATCCAGTGCCTCTAGTGTTACGATACATAATCTACAGCGGATAGAAGCCGGGTTAAAAGGGGAATGGCTTGCGCCGACGCTAGAGCTGGAGGCCGAGGATGCAGATGCAATTGCGGTGGAAACCCCTAAAAACCCCGAGGGCGAGGGTGAAGCTGAGGGCTGGCAGGACTTGGACGAGTATCAAAGGGAGCAGAGTGTTGAGGAAGGCGGTATTGGTCCGAGGCAGACTGGGGTTGCACAGGAAGGGGTTCCGAACTCAGTGCCTGACGAGGAGCAGGGCGAGGAGCAGGATGAGGAGGAATTAGACGCCCCTAAAGCAAAGAAGCTCAAGACGGAGCATAAGCCCGACGGAGAGCTCACACAAAGCACGAAGACACCCAAGGATAAGGAAGCTAGAAAACGAGAGAAAGCCGCGAGAAACGACAAGCTCAAGAAAGAAAAGGAGCAGAAGAGAAAAGAAGCGGCAAATAAGTCAAAGAAGGCTGCAGAGTGACCAATTCTACGATTCATTAATATCGAAACGGCATAACAAGCGCCGGGGGAACATCGCGGTCTATTTTGATAACACTATAGTCTACAATTCATCTCTCCCGCTGGCCTTCGTCGCCTTCGCCTTCTCCTCTGGAACGACGGCCTTTTCATCGATCCATCCTAGAGCACCAAGTCTCTCCGATAAAATTGGGTGGGAGAAATGGTAGCTTGCATATATCCAATCAGCATCCATTGTGCTTAGATTTTGGATCTGAAGCTTGATCAAAGAGCGGGCAAGCTCGGTCGAGTAGCCCAGATTTTGTGCGAATTCGTCAGCTTCAAATTCGAATTTTCTGCTGAGGATGTTCATCAGGAGCTTGATGACTGTGTCCATTGGTGCGAGAGCATCGGAAAAGAGGATGAAGCCGATTATGATAGGGAATTGGTTGTGGAAACCGAAGGATTCGTAGAGGGAGCGGTTGTTAATAAATACAGAGAAAAGAGCGAAGATGTAGAAGAAATGAGCCTAAGAATTTGGTTAGCAACTGGGTTTTCAAGCATTGGCATAGATCTCACTTGTGAAATTCCAAACAATTTTGTGGTATGTCCCAAGCTCCAGTGGCCGAGTTCGTGTGCGAGAACCGCAACGACCTCTTGTGTCTCGCTCTTCTCGATCAGAGTGTCGTAGATGACGATGTGCTTTTTCCAGGGCAAGCCAAAGAAATATGCGTTGCTGTGTGCACTTCTCTTGCTTCCATCAATAACATAGAGTTCGTGAAGAGGGAACTTCAACCGCTCAGCCAGTGCCTCAACACCGTCCTTCAAGTCACCAGGTTGCAGAGGGGAAAGCTTGTTGAACAATGGCAAGATGGCAATCGGATAAACTGTAATCATAAAGACCTGTAGACCTGCACCAAATAGCCAGAGGTAGTAGAAGAACTGGTTGCCTGTCTTCTGGACAATGGACAAGAATCCGGCGAGGATGGGAGGAGCCAGGACAAAAGTCAACATCTGCGACTTCAACATATCGGTGATGAAGAGCTTAGGCGTCTGCTTGTTAAATCCGAATTTCTCTTCCAAAACGAAAGTATGGTAAATCGATGTTGGGAGCGAGATGATTTGCTGTATGACTATAAAGCTGAGGACAAAGACGATCGAGTGAGATATCTCGCCGCTGAAGCGAGCCGGAGCGTATGAGAGAAGCCATGATCCAGTTAGGCTCCAGAGTTTCGGGAGAACGTCGAAGTAGATGAATGCCGTATTTTGGATTTGACCATAGAGACCGCTGATGAAACCGTACTTTGCCTTCGCTCGCCCGTATGCCTGTCGAGGATCAGTATGCGTCTGTACTACAAAGGGTTCCCGCCGGCGCGTACCTGACTTTTGTCGAACACTTCTTGCGAGACCTCGTTCTTGAGCACTTTGGGCGGACGAGTCTGTTTCAGGACCTGATACTGTCGCAGAGAGAGGAAACTCTCGAAAACGAATTGCCCGATGGAGAAGCCGACGATGAGCTTCTTCCAGGGAAACAATGGCCGGTCGAGGAAACGAGCGAGGCGCTAAAGCATATTAGGACTTGTCGGGAAATGGAACCGGAAATTTAGGGTGGAACTGTACCTGAAGGATATCCATCTTGCAGTCCTAAAAGCGATTCTGTGAATTAGCTGTTCACGGGAAACCCGTTATTTGTTACAATGGATGAAGATTAAGGCCCCTCCTGCAGATAGATGTGTCCTCCGCCCTAGTTGAATAAGCGCTCAAGGTTGCTGTTCGCCTGAGGCCAACATAGGTACCTAGCCAGGAGACCTCCTGAAGCTCTTTCACCTCAATACCCCATTCAGGATACCACAGCGTATTCTGTTGTTCAACTCTCCCGATCGTCGATAGCAAATATCAAACAGAGAATCAAAATAAATATTCAGTATGATATGTGGTATAATATATATATCGTGAAGATAGATATTTGCCCCTACGGTGGTTTGGCTCGAGGTCAGCTCCACGCGCATCGCATCAATCAGGGATTTTATTTATAAAAGTTTATTACTGTTCTATTGTTGATATATTACTTTGGCTTACGCTACTGACCTGCTGCCATTGTGCAGGAGAGACTGAATGTAGTACGAAGTAGCTGGTCTTCCAACAACTCTTTCGGCTCATCCATTAGCGCATCATTGGGCGAATTTGGTGCAAATCTCTTTCCGCTAGAAATATCAGGCACCCACGGCCATCACCCATATATTACTCTGATATCGAGCTTCTATACTGTTTCTACGCAACCTAGATAGTCGGCGTGCAGTATCTGACCGAAATTGGGATATTCGCGCGATTTGAATGCCTCAAGTTCGGTCAGATAGTGAGGCCTAGGCCACGGGGCCTGGTTCTAGGAATAATCTCGCTTTGTTCGAAATTTAGTAGCGATTTCTCTATTGCATCGTCGGTTTGAAGTTCAATGAAATCGACGGACTTGATTAGGACTCCTCCGCGACTTAGTGCAGTTTCGCCGTACGCGAAGGCTCCCCTGTTATCAACGAGGTCCTTGGTAGAATGAGGTATAGTCAAGAGACTCATTGCTGATTTCATGTCGGTTTGTTTCTTTTACCAGAAAAACTGGTCTTTCAAGGCAGTTTTACCGTGTACAGATATCAGTTTAAGGGCAATTGCCCCCCAGTTCCACAAGTCGTGTACGTTCTTCGATACCGTTATAAGGTTATCAACTCTTTCGGTCCCTAATTTAGATAGGCCTCTTGGGAACAGATATACTTGCCAAGCAGCAACTTTCTCCTTTGGCCAAAATACGTTCAGGTTGTCCCAAAACGCGTTCCGCGCCCCAAAGCTATCCTCTTTTAAAATTTTCACTGAGTAGTGCGGATAGATATGTGTTACATCAACAGATGAGACTTTAGTAAGCACACAACAATTACTGTCTCGTTGTTTAGCCTATAATATATAAGTTTAAGAAGCAGTGTGTTGTGAACTTCAAGCTTACCAAGGCTGCGGCTGCTGGGCTTCGAGGTAATTTTGATGAACTAGCTACCATGCCTCCGGGTGATTCGATCGTCTTCTGCCTCTTGGTAAGTGGTCAACTACTGGGTGAATCGACGGTCCTGTTTCTCTTTAAGGTGGTGGATGGCGAGACATTGGTAGATGAGCCCCGGGTTGATTGTTTTTCGGTGTCAGGTTTCGTGTAGCCCAGGCCTCGATATCTGACCGAAATTGAGGTATTTAGGTCGCGAATACCTCGATTTCGGTCAGATACGGAGGATACGGTGGCATATCGCCCATCGCATCTTGGAGGCTCGTTAAGAGGGCGATTCGATCTGGGCTAGGGAAGTAAAAACCTTCCATTGTCGGCTGACTTGAGCGGCTTGATGGGAAGAAGATGAGCTTGATTGGGAGAATATTAGCTTAATTAAGGGAAGATGGCATTGATGGGAGATAGGTAAATGATAATTCGAAGGCGCTAAAGTAGCGCGCCCTAAGTTCCCGTTGGCGAACTACAAGATTGGCGACCACCAAGCAAGAGAGCTCACTAAGCTCCAATATGAAGGGTGTCTATCCTGAGAAGGAAAGTTTCTCGGAATGGCTAATTGTCTAGTCACTAGCCATCTTCTTGCAGCCTCACTTTTTCCAGACTTGTCTAGATTAGCAGCCTCAAATTCAGGAGGGTTTAAGGGCTACATAGTTCTATAAGCAATGCAGTATATATCTAACACCCCAACACGCTAACTCATTAGTTTGATCTCTTTCTATTTATTAGTCTTTGGTAATAAAGGCTACGACCATGAATATCTTAATGATAGCCGCATTCCTGTCTTTAGGGCTCCCGCTCCCTTCGTAGATTGTCCTACCATTGTTTTAGACATTTATTTGACTAACATTCTGCCAAAGTTAGCTACTGGTAACGAATATTGTCATGGTGACGTTCCCCGAGGTATAAGATACTTCTCCCATCTTAACTGACAACAATCAACGTCAAGTAATATTCTACAGTTGATACCCTCCGTTCCGAAAGCTAATTGAGCGTCACTTCAGATGATATGGTGAGAACAACCCAGGTACTTTTACATAGTAAGGGGTTCTCAATAGCTCGGGTAGTTATTTACTGGACGACCCAGTCTTGGCTAATAATGACAACCATTTCGTAGATATTATCATATTATTAGACTTCTTGAATGCTGAATGGACTTGGTACTCACCACGGGCGCATTCGTCCTATTTCTCATGATAATACATGGCTAACCTCCTACAACGTTGTTGCGTGAAGGCTCCTGTAAGAGCGGCCCATAAATATATGGCAGCTAGCAGAGAGTGATATCACAAAATTCCAAATCCAGAGTATCAGGTTAGGAAGCTTGGGCTAATTGAGCACATGTGGAATGGACGCGCCTTCAACTTGTGGTTTACCTATGATGGAGCTTATCTTATAAACCAAAAAGTTTGCAATAAGTGACTTCAATATTACACGAAAGTTTAAGGTTAGACGTAGGTATATAAGATGCAACTCATATATGTAGTGATCATCCAAAGACAGTCCTTCAATCCGAGTTAAATCAAATCTATGGTTTAATTTTCCTTCTCCAAACCTGTTTTCCAAGTTAGTTGTGGCCTATAGCAATACATATGGCCATGGTAAAAGTCAATACATATATGTGACTTTAATTAAATAATATATCTAAATAAGGGTGCTTTCTGTGATATTGCGAACCCTATGTTATCTAGACACAACTGATAGTAGTATATAAAATAATATGAGCTATTTCACAAATTATTTCAATTGTGGGAAGTGAAATACAATTACTCGACGGATAAACATGCGGCCACTTCCAAATATCACCCTAGGTATTGCGGTATTAGGTAGCAAACACTCATTCCAAAGGGAGGCCGGTCAGGTGATCGGATGTCGGGCCAGGACGACCGCCAAGCATATTAATTCGAGGATCCAAATCCCAAATTCTCACCAAAACAAACACAATCCCACCTCAGCTCAGACCAAGAATCTCCGCCTCATCCCGAGGAATCCACGCGTCAACCCTGTCAGTAATATGATATTCAAATATCTATAACCTCGAAGCATTAAGAACAGGGTCTTCGGTGGACGTGGCGCATGTGATAAACAGGTACGAACCCCCACCATCCCGCAAATTCGAATGCATACCTACTCCGTAGGCATGCAGAGGATGGATCTTCTGTGCTTACGCAAGTCATTATTGCAGTTGGAAATTGGAGGCTTATGCGCCAACGGAAATCAGAGGATGCAGTAACGGACGCTAAAACCGCGTTGAGCAATAATAATAGCTCTGATATTGTTGTTGATGACAGACTAGCGACCGAGAAGCCCGGCCGTGGATACCCCCAGTATTCGGTCAAAGCAAAGTGTTTTTTCTTTTCTTATCTCAACGCCGACGCGGTCCAGCGACCCCGTTTGCGTTTCAACCTTTGGCAATGCCTTGTCAGTCCCGGGGAGGTAGCTGGGGAGCTGGATTAGACATTGATTGGCATGAAACGCTGGACGAGGCGATGTATCGGTATATGTGGTACCAGTATATGCCCTCCAACAGTGAAATGACAGAGGATCACTACTGGAGAGTACTCCAGTACGACGCTCCACTGCTACGCAACTACTGTGTTATTGCACGGTATAGTTACCGTAGCATGAGAACAACGCCGAGCAGCTCTCATATTTCACATTCCCTTTGGTTCATGCAGCGCCCTCCAAGTTCCTACATATCCATTTAATGGTTCTACGGGGCATCCAACCTGGGGACGTGGTCTTGGGATCGTGGCCCCCTGGGAGGAATGGGCCGGCCGTTACGGCTGGGGTGCAGGGTACCAACAAAAGCCTCGTAGCGACTACTCCGCGCTGTTTGTCCAGGGATAACCCCTCATATCATACTCTCCAGGAAAAGGGTTTCTGTCTGGAGTCTGGACTTCCCCTCTTTGCTAGGGGTGATCTCGCTTCTAGCGGAAAGTTGGTGATGAGGAGGGGTTGGCATTATTGTCGTATATTTGACACGGCACATTCGATGGGCTTGCAATATTTTCTAATTTGAGCGGTCCTTCGCCCCTCATGAACGGGAGTTTCATGTAAGTGGCACCCTATCGTAGGATATGGGACGAAGGAAGCTGAGGAGCCGTACTGGCACTCGACGAGGCCCAATGAAAACGCTTCCGGTTTCTCGGGTATACAACGTCTTGGCTGCCGACTGACAAATTCACTAGTTTTCACAATCCAAAACTATCGATCGCCCGCCACCTCAGTAGGACCGGACCTAGATTCGATGGACAACGGATCCTTGGACTCTGTACGGTAGACATTTGCGTGGTTTTTGGAATCAAATAATTGGAATTTGCTGGATAGTAAACTGCTTCCCATTCGGGCACGTATACAATTATTCGAATAGTCTCCTTGTGGCCCTCCTCAATAATACGCTCAGAGCCCCTTGTGCCTCTAGGCTGGTTACTTTGGCCTAATATTTGCGTTGATACCGTTTTTCTTCAATTCTAGGCCGAGCTTCTCCCGGTTTTATTGTACTCTACCTTGCCGGCGGTAAATATGGCAACAATTCCGCTCGTAACATCTAGCTTTTTATTTTTAGACATCCACAAGCCACGTAGGAGGGCGAATAAGAACT